CGTGGAGCTTCTCATCATGGTCTCCGAACACCTTCTGGATTTCCTGCTCAAATTTGTCGTACGATTTGAAAATTTCAATGGTGAAATCGTCCTGAGCGTCCGCACTGTTGGTTAGCCAATCCTTGAGAGTGGGTTCAAACCATCGAAGTGCCTTCCCCTCGAGCCGTGAGGAGATGAACATGACTTTGGCGGATTCGTCCGCAAATTTGTCCGGGTAGTACTTGAGGTAGGCCCTCATGGATGTAAGGAATCCAGTGAGTCCTTCCTTGTCACCTCCGTACTTGGGGGGTGCTTCGAGTTTGGCTTTGTCCTTGGGCTTGCCGTTGTAGGCCTCGTTGACGAGTTGCTGCATGTTGCCGTTTTCGGCCTCGAGCTGGGCGATTTTGGCGTTAAGAGTGTCGAGAGCCGTGGTATTGTCTTTCTGGGCCTCGAGTTGGGCAATCCTCGTGTTGAGGGCTTCGATGACCTGCTGCATCTGCTGCATGGTCGCGGTCTGGCCCTGAGATCCTGGGGTGCTAGGTGTCTGAGGCGCCATGATGGTTGATGGTACCTTCGATCTGAACCGTGACAGAGTCAAAGGGAGTGAGCAACGTGTGACGAAACCACAGGCAGTCCTGCCTCTAAAAGGGTTCGCCGGTCGAAGGTACTGCTGGTCGGACTGTAGGTCTCGGTGAAGCCAAAAGGTTCACAACAATGCAAGTCGCAATGTCTGCACAGTAATGTAGGGCTACCTTACTGCTTGTATTGCTCACTGGAGAACTCCCAGAGTCCTCCAGAATGAATGACTATATACTAGCTGGTTTTGGTCCGCTCACCATGGCTCACCAGTGAGCCTAGGTGATTCTGCTCGTCCGCTCACCTGGTGAGCGGGCGCTCTTACATATGCTCATCAGCGCTGCGAGCGCTCTTGCATGTCCCTGTGTACAATGATTGGCTGCGGATACACCCTTGTCCGCCCCACCGGGTCACTGCATGTGGTCAAATCGTGACAGTAGCCCTCTATCTTAGTTCAGCGTCTCCGAGCGAATGGCATAGATAGAGAAGCGTAATACCATACGCAAGGAAGACAAGGTATACTCGCTACTGGGTATTTTCGACATCTATATGCCGCTTATCTATGGCGAAGGGGAAAACAATATATTTAGACGGCTGCGAGAGGAGATCAATAAGGCTTCAAGGGGCGAACGGGTCTATAATCAAGCGGAAGATCGCTGTCCGGCCGACCTATGCTATATAGACCTACGGCACGACAAGACGTGCATCGAGCAGACTAAAGGCGGCTTGCTAGTAGACTTATATCGCTAGGTCCTTAACAATGCCGATTTCCGACAATGGCACGACAATGGATAGAGCCGGCTGCTCTGGATCAAGGGCGATCCCGGCAAGGGCAAGACTATACTGCTGTGCGGTATCATTAACGAGCTGAAGGCCACCTGTGACTCCGGCCTTCTCTTATTCTTCTTCTGCCAGGCCATCGATGCGAACATTAACAATACCGCGGCTGTCCTATACAGCCTGATCTACCTTCTTGTGGACCAATAGCCATCGCTTATCTCTTACGTATAGAAGAAGTACGATCCTATAGGAACTCCACTCTTTAGGGATATAAATGCATGGGTAGGCTTGTCGGAGATCTTTACTGGCATTCTGGAGGACCTAAGCCTGCCTTGCACCTACCTGATCATCGATATACTTGACAAGTATACTCAAGGTTGGGAGCTGCTTCTTGACCTTATAGTCCAGACGTCGGCGGCTTACTCGAGTGTCAAGTGGGTCGTATCCAGTTGCAACTGGCCGAGTATCGAGAAGGATCTTGACGCCGTAGCATAGAAAGTCAGGCTGTTGCTTGAGTTGAATAAAGCGTCTGTCTCCGCGGCTGTTACTGTATACATCTAGTTCAAGGTAGATAGGTTGGTAAAGCGAAATGAATACGACAATAATACAAGGAGCGCTATTGAATGCTACTTATCTACGAACGTATATGGCACCTTCCTCTGGGTGGCTTTGGTCTGCCAATAGCTCGCCAACATCTCGGGATAGGAAGCAGAGGAAATGTTGACAATATTTCCACCTGGACTCGATATACTCTATAGACGGATAATAGACTAGATCTATAACTCGAGATACGCTAAGCTACTTCAAAGAATACTGGCTGTCGTCTTAGTCGTATACCAACCTATTATATTAGACGAACTACTGGCACTCGTGGACATGCCCAACTATGTCTCTAGCAATGGCAAAGCTCTAGCAGAGATTATAGGGCTTTGCAGCTCTTTTCTAATACTTCGCGAATGCACGATATCTTTTGTCCATCAATCCGCCAAGGACTTCTTGCTCAAACAGGCATGCGATAAGATCTTTCCATCTAGGAGAGAAGAAGTACACCGTACTATATTCTTGCGATTGCTTCGAGTTATGCAGAAAACATTACGACGCGATATATATAACCTTGGCACTCCTGGATTTCCTATTGATAAAGTCAGACCACCCGATCCAGATCCGCTAGCTATAGTACAGTACTCGTGCGTATACTGGATTCACCATCTACGTGGCTGTGATCCCGAGAAGAACGCGAACAAGGACCTCCAGGGTGGCGGATCGATCGATATCTTTCTGCGCAAGAAGTATCTCCACTGGCTAGAGGCTCTCAGCCTTCAAAAGAGCATGTCAGAAGGAGTGGCTTCAATGCTGAGCCTTGAGGATCTGTTTGAGGTAAGCTTTTAGTAGTGCGATGTAAGAGCTATACTAACATTCTGATAGGCACGAAAGGAGACATCACTTCTCATCGATCGCGTCCGAGATGCATGTCGGTTTATCCTATACCACAAGTGGGCAATTGAGAACAGCCCTCTTCAGGTATACGCTTCCGGACTTGTATTCAGCCCAGTCGGTAGCATAACGAGGGATCAATTTAAGAATGAGGAGCCTAAATGGATCATCCGAAAACCAACGATGGCGGACAATTGGAGCGCATGCCTACAAACGCTCGAGGGCCATAGCGACTGGGTCAGGTCTGTCGCGTGGTCGCACGATGCGGCGCGGCTGGCGTCGGCGTCACGCGATAAGACAGTCAAGATCTGGGATCCGGCTACCGGTCAGTGCGTATCGACGCTCGAGGGCCATAGCAGCTATGTCATCTCCGTAGCCTGGTCGCACGATGCGACGCGGCTGGCGTCGGCGTCATACGACAGCACCGTCAAGATCTGGGATCCGGCGACCGGTCAGTGCGTATCGACGCTCGAGGGCCATAGCAGCTATGTCATCTCCGTAGCCTGGTCGCACGATGCGACGCGGCTGGCGTCGGCGTCAAGTGACAAGACAGTCAAGATCTGGGATCCGGCGACCGGCCGGTGCGTATCGACGCTCGAGGGCCACAGCAGCTCTGTCAGCTCCGTGGCCTGGTCGCACGATGCGGCGCGGCTGGCGTCGGCGTCACGCGACAAGACAGTCAAGATCTGGGATCCGGCGACCAGCCAGTGCCTATCGACGCTGGAGACTGGTTGTACCCTTAACAATCTCGAGTTTCATGAATATAACCACGGCCTTCTATATACCGACATTCCGGTCGCTATTGGCTATAGCTTGAGTAGTAACGGGACCTGGGTCACGTATGAAGGAGATAACCTGCTGTGGCTGCCGCTCGAGTATCGGCCATCATCTTGGGCCATATCTGGAACGGCTGTATCAATCGGCTGTTCTTCAGGCCGCGTCTTGATCTTCATGTTCTCAGATAGGAACCCGATCATGTAGCGAGAACAGCATATGCTTCCGCATCTTATCTTTCTGGGTTCTCTCAATTCGTCACTCTTTGTCTCTTATTTTCCTTTTTTATAGCATGCCACAAGAAGGGTGTGGGAGGATGTGACGGTGGAACCCACCGTACCATGGCACAGGCCATTGCTTAGCCATGTGCCCGGCTTCCGGTGCATGCATACATGATTGGTCAACCTGGTTGGTGCTCCATCTTCTACATCTGGGCACCATGCCCTACTTCCTACATTTAGACTTCTTCGCACCTTGCAGCCTTCGAGGATTCCTTTCCTCCTGCAAGTTCAGTATTCTTGCAATACTGTAACAACATTTGGTGATCAAGTTGTCTCAGTGTCTTGCAGCCCAGCTCTTGCATTGTGGTGTCACGGGATCGTCTCGTAACATGCTTCTAGATAGCAATGAGGGTTAGGGGTAGGTAGGGTGCAGGGCTGCAGCGTAAGCCGTGACTGGTATGGTCTGTGCGTGGGGCCCACATACAGGTTTTGCCCGCGCCTCGCGCACAGCCACTTCTGTTCCCTCGTGCAACGACAATCGTAAGAAAGGATACCCAAAATTCGGTATCATCACCGTGGCATGTGGCGAGCGCCCGAGGCCCTGATTCTAATATATGGGCCGAGCTTAACTGGTATAATCCGGGGCATCTTTGCCTATTATTAAAACAGGACCCTTATGTGTTAACTACCATAGTTTTGAGGAAACATCTCGAAAGTGCTAGAACTTGATGCAGGTCCTCTGTCACGGTAGCTGTCGTCGCAGTCCAGGCTCAGGGCTCTGGTAGGAAACTGACTGTATTGCAAGAATACTGAACTTGCAGGAGGAAGGGAATCCTCGAAGATTGCAAGGTGCGAAGAAGTCTAAATACAGGATGTGGGGCATGGTGCCCAGTACGCGAGGTGGCTGGAAGATCGCGTCGTGTAAGCCGGCCAGTAGATCGGTCATGGAGGGTTGTATAGGGTACGTCGTAGAGCTTAGCTGCGGCTCGGAGGCTTAGTTTTTTGTTGTTTTGACAAGCTTCAAGTGCCAGGATTACCCTGGCTTCTTTTGAAGGAGAAGGCGTGTTAGGTTGTAGAGAAAATTGATGTTGGGTGTGAAAATGACGCGTTGCGGCAAAAAGTGATCGGCTCGCTGATATGATCGGCTCGCTGATAAGATACGTTACACAATATTTCGCAAGACGTATATAGGCCAGTAGTCCAGCTTCCCTCGATCTCTGACCAATTCACGGATGCCCTGCCGAGACCTTTCGTCACCATAGCACCAATTTTTCAGATCTTTGCTTTATCTAGCTTTCTAGTTAACATTACACTTCTTTATTTTTAAATAATTCCCCCTTGACAATTCAGTAGACAGCCGTACAATGTCTGTTTCGCATCTCCTGGTGCTAACCCTCGCCTTTCTAGCATCTTCCGCGATTGCGCAGCTTCGATTGAATGTTACCGCGATCAGCGCGGAAAACGGAATCTCAACTCTAGAGTGCTGGGAGCTTGATTCTCCCTTTTACATATCTCGCGACTCGGCTACAGTTGGAGCCAAGGTTGCTCACCTAGGCAACGTATCTTCCTTATCGTGGTCCGTCGTCCCTCCTGGACATTACGTTGGCCCACATAACGCCCCTTATAATCAGCAAGTCCGCGTCCCTTCAACTATGGCTGGCCAATAACTAATGTGGTTCAGATGGGTGATCTTGCTTAAAGGTTTCGGACATATCACTCTTCCCCATGATAAGTCTGCTGGCTTTTATATGACAGGGGGCGAATTCGGGGTCATATTTGCGGCCGACACGGCCGATGTCAGCTACGACGGACATATCAGCACATATCTTGGTAGCACCGAGAGTGTCTATGTTCAGATCCCAACCCAAGATGGAATGATACCGGACCACAATAGGCTACACATGGGACCATGCGATGCCAGAGATATAACCGGTTTGAGGATGTGAAATATCTTGTGTGGTAGCAGCTTCTGCAAGTTGCTAAGGGCCTGGGCGGCCGCTCTATAACTCCTCGTCGAGTGAAGAGAAATAGAGAATCGTGCCTAGAGTTTAGAATAGAAGCTCTAAACGCAGATGTACAGTCGCGGTCGAAACCTCTTCTGCGCACGGACGACCCTACCTGGTCTCATGCTCCCTTGCATCATCAGTGCCCCTTGGTCGCGGCGTTTCAGGCCAGATGTGTTCCCCTATATATACAAACACTCTCCCATACCTTTTATGATTTTCTGTTATCTTCTTATCTTCGTAATCGATTCCCCAATAGGCAAGCCACGTTTTGTCACTAGCAGCTTGTTTTCTTTTAGCTCCTTGAGCAACTGTTTGGAGTGCCAAGACGGTTTCTGTTATTTCTAGAATGAAACTAGCGGTCTCGTTTAGAGCGCTGTAGCTGACCTCAATATACTGTAGTAATTGAGAGTGTTCGGCCTTAAGGATTTCTAACTCTTGGAGTTAGTGCATTTTTCCATGCGCTCTAGTCTCTGAAGAAGCTCGTCGATATTAACTATGACTTGGTCATCTATGTTTTGAAAAATACTCCGTGGAAAATTCTTCCGTGCTCAATATATCGACAACGCTTACTGATAGTTGAGAGTACACTAAAAGGCGAATTGAGAGTCGCTAATTTTTTACTTAACTTTTTTAAGGAAGGCGGGGTAAGCCTGTGGCTGTGTGGCTGTTGTGGGATCCACTTGTAGCAGGGAGGTACATCAGGGCGCAATACCTAACAAAAGGGCAGAGCTGGCTGATTCATCCTCCGGCGGAAACTTGATTACCCACTGCTTAATCCTTCCCCGCCTCGTCCAAAGGTTCGTCTTTTCTCCTTCTCCTTCCATCTCCACCAGAGTCAGCGCTTACGTGTCCGCCACGATCATGGCGCCGCAATTGGATGCTGCACAGCGCATTCTGATTAGAACTTTGCTAACCGAAGGATTTGAGACCAAGCTAATAGCATCAGAAGCCCCGTGTACCGTGCGCGCCGTCCAGAGAATCCGTCGGGAGAGACAACAGTCCGAGGTGCCCACCCGAAGAATAGTCCGCGTCGGCCGCCGCAGCTGCATGACACCACCCATGCGGGAAGCCCTCTGCAATATGCTGATCAAGCAGCCGTACATGTATCGGTGCGAGATGGCAGACTTCCTCCATCGTAGGTTCGGGAGGAGGATATCCGAGCGGTCGATTGGCCGGGCTCTGCGATCAAGTGGCTGGACGAGGAAAACGATCCGCCGCGTCGCACAGCAACGGGATGCCGACCTTCGAGACTACTATCTACATAGGATATCGCAGTACGAGTCCTACCAACTTGTCTTTGTTGATGAGTCTGGCTGCGATAGAAGGGCGGGATACCGGCGTTGGGGCTGGTCTCCGAAGGGTTCCTCCGCTGTCCAGATTACGAAGTTCGGTCGCGGAAGAAGATGGCATATTCTCCCAGCATACGCGCAAGAGCTGGAACTTTTTAATGTTGCTCACGAATTGCAGTGCAATGCCTGGCTTCACCCCGCCCTTGATCATCAAGTTAGCGGCGAGGGTGGGGTGCTGCAGGATGGAGTTCAGTTCCAGGAATTGATCCAATGCAAACTGATTCGCAGCCTGCAGTGCCTCTCTCCACCTGTCGCTCTTGACTTGCTGCAGCGTCCAATTGCAGTACTCCTCAAGCTTGTCCTTTCTATTCCCATCCACATCCGTAACATCTTCAAGGCTCGCCCCGGCCGCATCGTGATGCCCGCTGTGGGCCGAGACATGGGTTTTACAGTTACGACAGCCGATGGAGTCCTCCGGCTTCCGCTTGCGGTTGTTATCCAAAACGTCCTTGAGGATTCTGGGTGGGATCTCGATATTAACGTCGACATCCTCTTCTTTCTCTCCTTCCTTCATGTTCCCTTTGATGTGGCGGACGAGGTCTTCAAGGTGCCTTGGCAAGAGCCTATGGTGATTTCCTCGTTCGTCTGGCCAGCAGTGGGGTCCTTGCTTGCAGTGCTTGCCTCTGCAACGATGACGCTCGTAGACTCGGGCCCAAAGACCAGCCTCGGCGGCCCTCTGAAGTTTTTGAGCCTCAGTGGCGCTCTGCTTCTTTTTCTTGCCTTTTGCTATCGTGGGGTCACTTGCGACTTCCTTGTAAATAAACTCAATGCTGAAGGTTATCTTCCTCCTCTTACTAAACAAGGCACTAAGGCCTTCAAGGTGGCCGTCCACCACCTTCCAATCGATCTCCATGTTGTTGAATCGTTTTTTTAAACCGCGCTGACGGCTTCGCTCGATGGAAATATCGATGATCGTTTCTTCGCACGTATATGCATCTCCTGGAAACTTGTCCTTGTCTTTCAGAAGGGTTTCAAGTCGTGTCTTGAAGTTGACTCTCCAAAAATCGCTCGGAGCCAGGACGAGGTCGGGATCTGTGTCTGAACAAACATGCCTAGCTCTGATATTCTCACGTTGGGAGACCTTCCACCGAAAGTCATAGTGGATACATTCGGGGCTATTCTTGTCATACTGTTTGTTACTTTCCCAACCACTCAGTCGGAGAAGTGGTAATGGACGTTCGCCATTTTGCTGTTCGGCCTGTTCGGCCACTGGGCTGGCTCGTTCGGCTGCTGGGCCGATTCCGGGGCTGTCGGTAGTCAAGAATTCAGGGGTTGCATAATTCAAAGCAGAATCGCCATCCAGCCAGTCAAAATTGATGTGTTCCATGGTGTCATGCCTTTCGAGTCGAGATGCGTCGAGGCAAATCGTTGCCACATTGCCCCTCGCCCGTCGCCGATGACGAAGAGAGGCCACGTGGCGGAGTTTCTACGGGTCTCTACGGGCTTCCATTTGGGCCTCTCCGCTAGTTTTAGAACCTGGCCAAAACCACACCATAGCTTCTTCAAGCACCTTGATCAGAATGTGCCTCTACGAGAACAAGATGCATTCGAGCGGCGGGATGGCTAGTTTTGTTTTTGGCTTCGCCAACGCAACGCTATTTGCCGACAATGCAGCCCCTGATAGGGCTATATAATTCAGTTGCTATTGGCCTAGAAGGTCCCCAACTGCGTAAAAGGGGGAACACATCAAGGCAACACAGCTGTACTGTAGGGCTGACACAGTGCACGTGAATGTGGCCTTTTTGGACAGCCACAAGTCGGTTCAAGAACATTCACGAAATGCCATCCAAGGTATAAATTTGACCTGGCCCGTACGACCCATGTAAGGGCCGAGATATGAAATGAATATCAGTTAGATTGAATTACCTTAGATCCGCCTGTTGTAATATATACGTGAGCCACTGTTGCGACGCGAGCCGGTCAGGGTGGTCTTCGGCGAGGGTTTCGGCCCGAATGGCGACGACCTGCTCGAGCAGCGCGACGGCCTCTTTGACCTGCCCGTTGGCTTTATAGGCCATAGCGAGTACGTGCTGCGACGCGAGCCGGGAAGGGTGGTCTTCGGCGAGGGTTTCGGCCTTGATAGTGACGACCTGCTCGAGCAGCGCGATAGCCTCTTTGACCTGCCCGTTGGCGTTATAGGCTCCTGCGAGTTCGTGCTGCGACGCGAGCCGGGAAGGGTGGTCTTCGGCGAAGGTTTCGGCCTTAATAGCGACGACCTGCTCGAGCAGCGTGATAGCCTCTTTAACCTGCCCGTTGGCGTTATAGGCTCCTGCGAGTGTGTGCTGCGACGCGAGCCGGGAAGGGTGGTCTTCGGCGAAGTGGCTATTCCTCCACTGGCAAGCCTCTTCCACATACCTAACAGCTTCCTTGATCCGCCCGTCCACTCTCAGACACCGCCCAACCCAGAAACACAAATTAGATCTCTCCTCCATATCAAGCCCCTCGCTGTGTTGCAATACCCTAAAAGCATGTGGAAGGTACTCCCTCCACAAGCTGCAGTTCGTATAGTCGTCGTCTGGAAAAACCGTCGCAAGATGACGAGTTGCCTTTTCATCTATCGTCGCTGTCCGGCCCTCACCTTGGATCCAGATTCGCGTTGCCAGGTGCACCAGACTATGCATGTCGAATATTTTGCTGTCCCCCCGCCTAGTCAGAAAGCCGTATCCACATAGCGTGCCGACGGCATGCACCATCTGCTCTTCCAACTCGAAGCGAGGCAGGATCGACTGCGGAATTCCCTTCGGCTCGATGCACGACATGAACGACAGCAGGTCGGCTGCGGCGCCATCGGATTTGCAGATCTGGTCGAAAGACACGAGCCATGTCGTCGCCACAGCGTTCGGCGAGCCCCTGTATCGAGTGTCATCGTGGAACTCTCGACTCATTAAGCTAGCCGTGTCCTCTGCCCCCCGCAGCAATCTCAGATACTCTGTAATCGGCACTCCAGTCGTGTTCAGGTACGCCGCCGCCTGTGTGATCGCCAATGGAAGGTACGTGAGCTCCTTCAGTAGCTCGGCCGTCCCCGCTCCACTGCTCCGAATCAGCGACTTCTTTAGGTAGTCAGCCGCCTCCTGCGGGTCCATCTCAAGCAGCTCAGTCACACTGTTTCTAGCCACCGCCACAGCCACTTCTCGAGACCGTGTTGTGAATAGGACTAGGCCGTCTTCGCTCTCCGGAAGGTACTCATTGAGACCGCCTGGTTTGTCTGAAGGCCCGAAGAAAAGGTCTATATCGTCCGCATTGTCCACGATAAGAAGCCATGGACCCGCCGCCTCAGAACTCAGGTACCGCCGAACAGACTCTTTCAAATCCTCATCCTCGCTGCGTTTCCTGATCGGGAGCTTGCTGGCCATCTCGACATACGCCTGTTCGAAGGCCACACGGCTCAAAGCAGGCACCCAAAAGATAGAGTACTCCGGCTTATTGTCTTTCACCCAGTATGCAAACTTGAGTGCGACTTGGGTTTTGCCAACGCCGCCCAGCCCGACGACCGCGATCTTCTGTGTCTCTTCTTGGACAAAAAACATATCTCTAAGCTGGTGCAACGTCTCCTCTCGTCCCACAAAGCGCTTGTTCTTGGGGAAGGGGATGTAGTGACAGGGTCGGGCGCTATCGTCTGCGACAACATCGGCAGCGTCAGTAGCCACGTTGTGCTCCCCTACAACGTGCTGGCTCTTCGAGGCTGATGTAACCAATCCCTCCCATCTCGTCAACTCGCCAAGCAATCTTTGGAAGCCAGTATCTTCGGGGGATGTAAACCTAACCATGTCGCGATGATTTGCATGGACACTGATTGAGGTATATCCTTCAATGGTCGCGGAGTCCCTGGAAACGACATGTCCAACAACTGACAGAGGCAGCTCCTCAAAGAAGCATGTAATCTCAAAGGATCGATCGCCTTTTTGAATCCCTCGAACCATCGACAAGAACTTACCCTGGATCGACTCCAGCAATTGATTTTCTGTTTCCAAGATTGCTAGCAGCGATGTATTATTAGACTTGAAAAGTCCAAGGGTCGAAGCGGGAATGCGCGCCCAGCTTGCCATCCAAGATCCTTTATGAGGTGTACCCATAAAGACAATCCCCATGACACGGTCAAAGATTCCGCGAAGGTGAGGTTCTGGATTGTGTTGGGAGAGTAGAATGGCTTCTTTGCAGACGAGACCGCCGAGACTATGGGCGACGAATATAAGCGGGCGAGACGACTCGTTACAGAGGTCGTTGAGGAGGTTCGAGGCATGATCGATCAGCCGGTTGGTCGATACAACCGACTTCCGGACGACGTATGCGTCGTAGCCGTAGGTGAGGAGGCGAGCATTTCGGAGCTTGGACGGAAGGAACGTCTTCGGCCAGGGCACCGACTGCCCGTGCGCTGTCCATGTGCTTTCTCGGTTCCCCGTCAGGCCGTGGACAAAGCATATGTCGACCGTAGCGTCGGGGTTATCGTGCCATACTGCGACTCCATCGGGGAAAGGCGGAACATTCCCAGGGGTTAGAGGTCCGGCCTGGTCTGTCGGGACTGACGCCGGGTAAGACGAGGACGCATCGCTGCTCCCTTCTCGTTCTTGGTCGCTCACCGTCACGTCCTGGATGGCCCGAGATTTCCCTCCACCCCTCTTAAGGATGCGAAGAACTCGCTTCATCCAGGAAATGATATTGAAACGACCTCGAAGGAGCAGAGACAATCCAGGTCACAGTATGCAGACAGCCGTTTGTCTGGGCTGGCGATCAGCTTTCCATGCGGGGCTGAATGATGGGATCATCTTTGACAGCCAAGTACGGAGCCGCAATTTTGTTGATCCGCAATTTCGATTCCTCTTCTGGAATCTTCGACGGAAGAGTTCACTGAGATCCTCACCAACGACAGAACTACTGTTGTAATACCAGAAAGTTGTAGCAGCTACAATTGCGTTTGCGAAGGGCACAAGACGATTGGGGCGCACTTTTGTAGCAAGGATTTAGAAATGGGCAAGAATCGGCTTACCGGGCTGCTCTGTTTTAAAAATAACAATCTTGCCACTCTGTTAACGTTAGTTATAATAAATAATGACAGTATCTTTGAAGTACAAATGACCAGAGTTTACAGCCACATGAGTCAGCAACGGGTCTCCAGAAACGGATCCTGCTAAAGAGTTAACTAAAAATTAAGCGACGCTCAATTCGCCTTCTAGTGTACCATTCTACTATAGGTAGAGGTTGTCTTTCTCACCTATATAAAGATTTGCTAACTATAGTCGACCTATTTATAGCTTGTCCTAAGAATAGTCATATACGTTCCCAAAAGTAGGTATATCCCTTCTGTGACGGTATGATGCAGTTCACAGGGTCAAGCCAGCTGTTCGTGGCATACAATTCCATGAAACTAAGCCTAAAAGAAAAAGTGGGAAAAGGTTCTGGGCGGTCGGTACAGAATTACACGAAGATATTCCCCACTTATGGGTCACGTGACATATGCCCCGCTTCATCCGTTCCACCCAGAAGGTCGTAGGTTCAACTCCCAACCGGGGCGACAACCCTACCGACCGTGACACCTTCCTGGCTCATTCCTAGGTTACCTGAACCGGATTAGCAGAAGCATTTCTTGTAGGTGACTTGTCCCTAACACTACCTAAACAGCGGACGACCGGAATAGCTCATTTGGTAGGGCTTGGTGGTGGCGTCGCTGGAATAGTGTAGTTACGCCTATAAGTATTATAGACAGCGGTGATTCGCTGTTTTACTGGCCTGGATGCTAGAGATATATCAAGGCTAATACAAGGTGTCTGGGCTTTGATCAGACCCAAAATCTGTTGGAATCGTTGGGTGGGCGTAGCGACTCTGGCCGGTGGAGCGGCAACCTGGCACGGAGGCATGGACCTCATACTAATAACTATTGAACTAGGAAAACTTAAACGATGAACGTTGGATAAAATAAGGCAAAGAGCGGCAGGGTGGAGGTTTATATAGCGGAAACGATGTACCAACGTAGAGAGTGCTTACGATGGCGGTCACAGAGTGGGTGCAATTGACCACTACGTACCACCACCTTAAAAGGTGGACTGTTGTTCGACCTGCTTTGCCGAACACTGGAATTACACCCAAGTATGTGACGAAACCCAGGCAGTCCTGCCTCTGAAAGGGTTCTTCTGTCGAAGGTAGTGCTAGTCGGGTTATAGGTCTCGGTGAAGCCAAAGGGTTCACAACAAATGCACAAGCAAGTGTCTGCACAATAGCGAGAGGCTATTGCTTGTATTGCTCACTGGAGAACTCTCAGAGTCCTCCAGAGCGAGTGACTATATAGTAGCTATCTTCTTGAGTGCTCAGTGCTTCGATTTGGATGAGCACCTGGGTGCTCATCGTGATATGTCCCTGATCACTCTGATCGCTTACATCCTGCAGAGTGCTCAGCGGCATTGGCACCTTAGCACCTTCGCCTGACTCTGACTGGTCCGCCTGATTGTCCCAAGTGATTGGCTCGGGACGCCCCTGCGTCCCCACATACAGCCGTCTGCCCTGCAGCCTGCCGTTGGTTAATTCGTGACACTGTCGCTGGATGGCCAGGAATACGTTAGTCGTAGACCAGGGCAGATCCCACGAGCATGCACGGTCCAACTGAGAGCTGGATCTTCCAACTCTCAGTTGGACCGTGCGTCAATGGCACCTTCCAAGAGCGGGCGACCTAAGTTGGGCGATAAAGCTGGCAGGGATCTAGGACGGCTTATAACAGAGTGCGGACTGAACTATACACATATTACTAGCACCTTGCTGGTAGCTAAGGCAGGCAACAAAGCCAGTTGGATACCGCAATCACTTGATAATGGTTCTACAGGCATCTACTGTAATTATAGGATCATACTATATAAAGAGAATAGTAGAATAATTAACTGCATAATGTGACGAAACCACAGGCAGTCCTGCCTCTGAAAGGGTTCGCCGGTCGAAGGTGTCTGCTGGTCGGACTGTAGGTCTCGGTGAAGCCAAAAGGTTCACAATAATGCTTGCCGCAATGTCTGCACAATAGATAAAGGCTATTGCTTGAATTGCTCACTGGTGAACTTCCTGAGTCCACCAGAATGAATGACTAGCTATCCTATATACCATCTACTTCTAGGTGCTCTCATGTGCTCTATAGAGCTCCCTAGAGCTGGTGCTCTGTGACGGCAAGTGCGGCTTGCGGCGTGCTTGCCGTCAGGGAAGATATAATCCACCGAGTCGTAAGTCTGAGGGACTTGCGATTCCGACATCCTTTTCGGAAGGTGTGTATAGCCGAGTGGGTTAGGTTTATGCTACACTGTCATACTCAACAACGGGGAGAGGTTCGGTGAAGCCAAAAGGTTCACAATAATACTATTCACAATGTCTGCACAATAGGTGGAAGCTATTGCTTGAATTGCTCACTAAGGAAGCTAGCTATCTAAATGAGTGACAGAATGGTAGAACTATATACAGCTTCCTCCCCTAGGTACCCTCGTACCTAGATCATCTGGCTCATTGGTGATCTGGATGAGCCGCTCATTACGCTCATCATTGATCGCACTGAGCTTGCTCATGATGCTAAGCAATGAGCCGTCCGCTCATGGTGCTAAGCAATGAGCCATCCGCTCATAGTGCCAAGCAATGAGCCGTCTGGGGCCCGCACTGCGTCCCGCTCCCAATTAGTGCCTCGTGCCTGGCTGCAGCCCCGCCGGCCTACATATATGGCTAGTTCATGACATTATAGAATATACATTTCTAGAGCTATTTAGGCCAGAAAAAAAATACTAGATATAGATAAGAGACTCAAGAATATGAATATAGATGTAGGTTATATATATAATTAATAGTATTAATGGAAATAGCTATTAAAGTTATCTATCATTAATGTTATAGCTTATATTAAAAAAGAAAGAAGAAGATAGCTATGGCTATGGCACTATAGAAGATATGCAAATTTCAGGGAGGATGGGCTAGGGCACTAAGCCAATTATAGCTAGCCTACTGCACATTGCACGTACCGAGCATTCAATGCAGATACGGAAGGTATAGGCGCAGTGGTATGCAGACCACTTTTGAGTTTCTGAGCAAACTCAGCTGTCGGCTTTCGTAGGGAGGAGGAGGAGGAGGAGCTCCACACAGTGTCCACCAATGACCGCCGTCCACGCTTGGCGAAGGTTTGGCGACAGCAAGCATCGGCTACGGATTACATACGGTGGCTTACTTTGAGGCGGTGCTGTTCCACCTACTGTGGCGTACTCCCCGGCAGTACGCCACAGATGTTGAGACTTACCGCCATGCCGTCTTTCGTGCGGAGTGCGCCACAGACGGTGGGTCTTGCGTCCAATGCCAGAAAGGGCGTTGCAGTGCTGTAGTTATGGTCTTCCACCGTTACATAAGATCTATTGGCGTCGGTGAAGATGGTGAGCGCCTGCAGGTTGTCGCATGCCTGCGGCCCGCAGGATTGATTGGGAGACGGTCTCTTGGGGTTGTTGTGTCGAGACCTTACTTACACACGCGCGAAGCTCCGAAGGCTGCATCCTCAAGCCCACATCTTCTTGAACACGTCCTTGAACTCCTCCTCAACCTTCCGAAACGCCTTGTACACCTTGACCAGCGACTGGTCATCCCCGTCACGGCCCCAGCTCGGCACGTTCTCCGTCGAGGTCTCCGTGTCCTCTCCCTCGTCCTCCGACACCTCGTCCTCCCACGAATCCGCGACAACCTTCTTCTTCTTCTTCACCGCCTTCTCCACCTCCACCTCGCTCTCCTCCACCCCGACCTCCCCCTCGTCCCACCCCTCCTCCAACCCCTCCTCCTCCTCCCCTCCCACCTCACCAGGCCTCAAAAACCCCTCCAAACTCGCCCCGACCGTCGCCAGCACCAGCTCAAACTCCCGTAGCACAAACCACACCTCCGCCCCGCCCACCCCATTCTCCCGCGCCAGCGCCGCCGCATCGCCGTGCTTGAAGAAATCCAGCAGGTACGAGTTCCACGTGCCCCCCACCTCCACCCCGGGCACGACGCTCGCTTCCAGCGGCACCCCCGCCCGCGCCGTCTCGCAGAGCTCCGAGGGGGTGGCGAAGTCGGAGTCGGTGAAGCCTGATAAGGCAACGAAGGGGGAGCGTATGGTGGTTGGGGGTAGGTTGGGGAGAGGGCTGGGGTACGGGGAGGAGGGGAGTGGGTGGTTGGTGAGCGGGAGGGTGGCGTCGGGGGTGGAGGCAAGGTGTTGGGTTGCGTAGGAGTGGACGTAGGCGCGGAAGATGGAAAGGGTTTCCGCGTTATGGGCGGCGAGGATGGCGCGGGCGTGCTCGGGGAGGGACGGGAGCGTGGTTCTTGTAGTGGTGGTGGTGAGGACGGGGCGGCGGACGAAGAGGTGACTGAGGGTAAGAACGAGTTCGATGGAGAGCGCGCGCCAGGCGGCAGCGGTCATGTCCATGGAGAAGGGCGCGCAGAGGGCGTGGAAGTAGCCTTCTTTGAGGAGGGCGTGGAAGGCGAAGGCTGCGGATTCGGTGTAGTAGAGGTGGCCGACCAGGCCGGCGAAGTTGAGGGGGACACCGGTGGCCGAAAGAAGGTGTTGGCGCCGCAGATAGTCGATTGAAAAGCGCAGATGATGTGCGATGGACATCTTGGCTGCGGGCCCACCCATGTAGAGGCGGTTCTGGGTGAGGAGGGACTTGACAGCGTCGGCGGCGAAGTTCGAGTTGTTGGTCCCGTGTAGGAGGATGAAAAGGCGCAGGATCAGGGTGGCCGACGTGGGGAACTGGCCGCGCAGGTCGGGCAGCCTGGCTGACATGATCTCCAGCGCGCGGTGTGGCGGCATGTTGTGAAAGACGACGTTGCCGAGCACGTCAAAACCACGCCGACCTGCGCGGCCGGCGGCTTGCCGGTAGTTCAGAGCCGTGAGGTAAATGGAGTCGCCTGTGAAGACAACCGTTTTGCATGGCATATTGATGCCCATGGCGAGGGTTCCTGTGGCGGCGACGACGGTGAGGAAGCCTTTTCGGAACAGCATCTCGACTCTGGAGAGAGCATCAGTATACATGTTTGTGCAGTCCAGTCAGGGGCAATGGGACTTACACCTGGCGGTACTGGCGATTCATGCCCGCGTGATGCACGCCCACACCACGACGCAGCGCGGCAATGAAGGGCTCCCGAACGCTGTCGGGGTGGATTGTCCGCAGCCGCTCTTCGAGTTCCTCACTCGTGATTTTGGTCGCATCGGCAAAGCTGAACTGGGCGAGCGCCGCGTCTGGATCAAAACTCTCCCATTTGCTCGCCTCGAGATTGGCAGCTTCGCTGTCTAAGTGGGCTTTGCCCTGTCGGTCATCATCATCTCCACGGCGCCCGCGGTGCTTGGAGTTGGCTGCCTTCTTTGCGGACTTGGCTCCAGCGGCCTCGTGGGCCTTTTCCCAGGTCTCAAACTCGGCGAGTTTGGCCTTCCAGGATGCGCTTGTCTCTTGGTAATGGCTCTCCGCCTTGACCAGGACGGCGAAAAGCTGGGTTACCATGACTTCACACTTCGCCCGGTCGTAGTTAAACAAGATGGCCGGCAGCGCGCCGCTCGCCCGGAGATCGGTTACGAGGGAGAAGACCGAAAGGCTCGACACCTCGGGCCACTTTCCAGAGGTTTTCACTGGAGGCTGGCCGCTGCTCGAGCCAGCCTTTGGAGAGTACGAATCGGCCAGGCGCGAGTACCTGTGACCACGCAGCTCCTGTCGTACCGCGTCAAAGGGACCCTTGGTGTCGACCATCCACTCTCCCAGTTGGTCCTTAAGCCGCTTCTCCCATTTGACGACATCAGACTTTTGCATTCTCTCCGGCAAAGCCTTCTCCGGGTCCAAGGTTGGGGAGAGCGGATACTGGGGGTTTTGATGCTTCTTCATGCATTGCCACAGACTCAGGCAATCTCTTGGCTCCAGGCTGGTGTCATTGAGCGTATCTCGGTTCTTGTCCACGATGCTCGCGACGGGATGGACAAACAGGAACGGCGAGGTATTATCACCCCCAGTGGGCTCCGAGTCCAGTCCCGGCAGAGGGAGCCGCTCGACAGGCGCAAGGCCGGTGAACTCTGCCACGGTCGGCGTCGGGTCGTGGATGAACTTGCGCAGGTCCGAGTACCGCGATGAATGCACGATCATCTCGAGCTCGAACCCTTTTGTGTTCTGCGACTGCTCCAGCCAGGCCTTGAACTCGTCCGGGTTCGCGATGGTGGCGGAAAGAGCAATGATGGGGCACGGAGCGAGGAGCAGAAGCTGCTCCCAGACGACGCCGTCGTCTGCCTGGCCGATGCAGTGCACCTCGTCAAAGATAATACGCCTGATGCGGTTGGACCAGTCGTTGGGCCGCTTGGCGTTCACGGGCGCCAGCAACATGATCTGCAGGATTGAGGGTACCGTCACTAGAACCTGGCAGCCTTTGGCGCTGTTGACACGGTAGTCCCTCGTGTGGATGGCCCAGACGGACTTGCCCGCACGGCTGCCGTAGTGCTTGGAGAAACGGGCCTGGACCTCGGCGGCGATCTGGTTGACCAGCGCCTTGGTAGGTGCCACGTAGACAAGGATGTCGTCGTCATTTGCCTGCAGGACTTTCTTCATGGCGTAGAACGAGATGAAGGTTTTGCCCGCCGAGGTCGGTGCCACGGCGAGCACGCTCTTGTTGGCGTCGATGGCGTCCAGGACCTTGCGCTGCCACGCATCGGGATGAAACGATGGGACGCGAGGGTCGGGCGCCGAGTCGAAACTCCGCTCCAGATACGGGCCGCAATGTTCAAGCAGAAACTCGCGGGTGGTGGTGCCCGAGGGCAGCAACTTAGCTTCCTTCAGGGCGAGCGGCCTGAAGGCGATCGGTCGGTCAGCGGAAGACGGAGCGAGTTGAAGCGGGAACCGGAGCTGCAGAGACGCCTCCAGTACCCGAAGCCGAGAAGCGACGTGCTCGGTGAGCGGCAGTTTGCTAGCCTCAGTGTACTTTGACCAGACCAAAGCGAGGAGGGCCAGGCCTGTTCATTCCATCACACATCGTATCAGCTCAAATGTGCCCAAAGCCATCATGGAGTGGACGGGACTCACCAAGACGTTTTGGCGTCAGCGGGTTGCTCTGAATCCGCAACAGCACGTCGCCGATGTACAGAAGCACCTCCGCGCCAATGATTTGCCAGTTAGCAGAGGACAGATTCGAGGCATACTTCTCTGCTCCCAGATACCGCTTAAACAGCGATGGCTGCTTGTCAAACTCCAGGCAATGCTCCTTCCAAGTGGCTGCAACAGACTGTGACTTGACGGCCAGCTTCTCCAGCCGAAGAGCCTGTCCGTGCTCGAGTGCCCTTTGTTTGTTGCTCTTTGGGACTTTCTTCGTCGTCCTCGGCGCCTGCTCCTTGGCCCTGGTCGGGAGCAGTCTGGTAGTGGCCGTCTTCAGCTTCGCCGGCGGGGTTTGAACGACGATGCTCTCTGGGTCGATATTTTTCCCCGAGGCGCCGATCAGACTGGCCGAATAGGCGATCGTGTCGGACATAAACTTCTGATGTCTCTTGGCAGCATAGTATCCTTTGGCTTTCGGCATATGTTTGGGATCGAGCGGTGCCTTGGAGTTGTGCCAATGGGTCAGTTCTTGGAATATCTTGCCTAGTGTCAAGGACTGAGCTAAGACATCGTCTGAGCGGAGTCGCACGTCTGCTAGATAGTTGTCCATGACCGGGTGACTGAAAGGGAGGACCGACGGCGTGGGCCCCGGCTGGTCAGTGGCATCGGCCGTCGCGGCCGTCGCTGCCAGATCCACGGCGAGACCGGACAATGTGTACACATCGACCCGAACACCGCTCACGCAGCTAAGTAGCTGTGCCATCTGGGCGAACTCCTTAGGAACCTCTGGTGGCCAAGGGGTGCCATCAGAGAGGGCCGCGCAGACGTTGAGGTAGAGGCGCCCGTCAAAAAGGTCGAAAGCGTCCCACTTCAAGTTTGCTACGCTTGCGTCAAACCAAGCAGTGAGGCCATCTCGGGCAGCTTCAAAAACCCTAGTGAGAAACGAGGTGCTAGTTGTCGCGAGCGTCTTCGCTGTCCCAGCGGGAAAACTTCGCTGCCCAAGCCCGAGATGACGCAAAAGGACGAGATGAAGAAGGACAGCGGCGGCCTCGCGTTGCTGGGACATTGCGGCGTTGCTGGCTTCTTGGAGGCCGGAAGACAGCACAACGGCGAGTGCACAAATGGAGAGGAACTCCCTCGCTGTCAGCGTTTTGGCGGCGCCTACTTCGGCAACTCTCTTGATCATATCGACCATGGGGAGTGAAGGACCAGTCGGCAGTGTGAACTGGTCTTCTCTCGCGACGAGAGGTCTAATGTTGCCCTTAGGCGTCATCATGGACAGGTAGACCTGTCAGTATTGGACGACTCAGCGGTTAGTGGCTAGAACGACAGAGGAGTGCTGGGATCGGAAGGTAGGCGAACCTTGGAGCTCTTGAACTCGATTCCTTCGATGAACGCGACGCAATATCCAGCAGAAGCCATCAGATGCAACATTTCAAGGGAGGTATTGCAACAAGCGGCACTGCCAATCGGGGATCCATCGGGCGAATTGTCCTTGGACCCAAGGAAGAAGTGCAGGGGATGGGTATCGAGGTAGTCGCAAAACAGGCGGCTCTCGAGGCCAGGAAACACATAGCTGAACCCAGCTGGACTGGGCTCGCCCCCCGAGACGGTTGGGCCAGCGAAGTGCTGGATGAGAACAGCACGTGCAAGACGGTATTTGCTGGCTTTGGCGCTGTATATCCGAATGTTGCCAGGAATGCACACGTCGGCCTCTTTCTCAAACCAAAGGAGGTTGAAGATGCATCTCCGCTCCTTCAGCTTTACGAGAAAGGTCTCAACGGCATGGATGGCGTGCAGGATCTGAAAGCCGTCTAATGAACAAGGGAGTGGAAGCTGTCAGCAGAGCGACGACAAATCGGAGCGGAGAGACGGAGAGACGCACAGTCAAAGTCAACGCGGGAACTCTCCAGACAGTAGGTGAGAAGTGCCTCTCCGTGGATGGCAAACACGCCTCTGCCCGCAAAGTCGCCAACGACGTCGACGCGGATTGGTTGCAATGAGGCCCGCCACTGGCCAAACTGGACCATGTTGGATGTCTGAAGAGGTGGTCGATGGGTGTGATGACAAGGCAAGGTCAGGGAGAGAAATCAAAGTCGGAATGTGGTGGGAGGAGGACGTGTTCCTGGTGTAAAATTTTGAAGAATATGGATGAATCTGGCAGAATGGAAACAGTGGGAAGAAGAAAGGAACGCGTGCGCAAGGCAGACCAGACTGGCCGTTTGTTTTTGTTTGCGGTGGGCCTCATGGCAAACTGATAACTTCGGGCTTTCTCTTCCTCCGATGGCTGCTCAAATCCGTGCGTCTTTGCTGCTGCTGGAAGCCTTCACTCATTTCGTCTCAACTGCCGCGACACGGCGAGAGCTGCGCACTTGGACAACACTCAATCCCCGGCATGCTCTCTACAGAGGTTGAGGGGATTCGTCTTCTGTACTGCCCACCAGCTGCCCTGCTTCCACCTCCAGTTCCCGTATCGTAATATGACTGTATTCCTCCGTTTGTTTTGTTTTGCGATCTCGAGGCTCGGAAGAACCGCCGACTACCCCCATCCCTCCCTTGCCCTCAACCTTACTTGGGCCCTCGACGTGGCAATATACGAAGTTCACGCTGGTGGACGGAGAGATGCAACAAACCTTTTTGAGCAACCTGTAGCATGCGGCTTCACGACAATAGGTCTGGCCCATGCCGACCTCCTCGGGGATACCATTTAAAGCATAACGTGGCACAATAGCGGCATCATGAAGCGCGGGCAGCCGGCATATTCAGTCATTCAAGAAGAACCTGTGGCGAGGGAAGTACTTGAGAAGGAGGCCGCCGAAGTGGACTGTCCGCTCGAGTCACACCTTGGCGCGCTCAGTATAAAAGACCCGGCCGATTGTCAGCACTCGGTTCACTTCCTATATGGGCGGCAGTCTTCTTCATTAGCCAAACCCGTTGCGCGAGGCAAGCGGCGGTGCCAGGTAAGCACCGCGCGTTGAGCTTCCATAAGGTCCTACACAGACGACCGGACGCTTACAGTGATAGTACAGCTTACCGCACGTATACACCCGACCACTGCCACCGTTGGGGACACCTGGCCGCCGACATGGACGATCAACCGCGCGCCGGAGCTGCAAAACGGATGATGCCAGCTCTCTGTCTGGGCACGGCCCACAAGATAGACGAGGACGTGAAGCGCAGACGATTGACGCTCGGAGATTAGTGCTCTCCGGGCCAAGAAAGAACTACCAGGCGCCTCAATTTGCGGGATGTCCAGGTGCTACTGCGAAAGGAAAACCCCGACGGCAGCCGACAGACATTGTACGCCGACATTTTGGCCCACTGGGTTGTCAATCACGCGGCGGCGGCGACTAGCGACCGGCTACTGCCGGAATACGTCGACTGCGATAAGATGTTTCAGGACCTCGTCGCCCGTAGCGCAGAGCACGGCGATGCCGAGGTTCAGACGCAAGTTCTAGCGGCGCACGTGGAGCCGGCGGCCGGCGGTAGTCCTGGGATGGGCAACGGCTATAACAAAGACTCTGATTGCGACGACGGCTTAGGCGATGGCATTGCTTCGGGTCGGTACGACATTGGATCGGCCGGTGATCTGCGGGTTCTCCTTCTCCACCTTGACAAGTGCGTAGCTACCCGATAGGACGGGAGCGCGAGTCTTCCTTTGCTCGAGCTCGTTGTGCGGAATGTCTCCTCGGCCGCAATAGCCGAGATAAGCTCTGTAGCTGATATCAACGATGCTAACAATACCACCGTCCTCGGGCGGGAGGGGGAAGATTATACGACGACCGAGGCGAGCCCTGCAGCTAAGACCAGCCATGCGGACGACAACATTATGGCCGAGCGAGAGGGCCTTGCAGCTGGCATCAGCAATGCAGTCGACGCAGCCATGTCCAAGAAGGCGGGGGAAGATAATGCAATGACTAAGACGAGCTCTACAGCCAAGGCCAGCGATATAGATAACACCATCATGTTCGAGCGAGAGGGTGCAGGCTATCGCCAGAGCGGTGATTGCCCGGATTACTCCAGAGATGAACCGCTTGCGACTCAGCAGGCCGTGCCCCTGCACGCCAAGGCTGCCCACAAGGATATCACGAGGGGTGCCGAGAATGAAGACGGCAACTAGGACAACGACGATAGGGACGGGTACCGCCCTGTAGGCGAACAGGGAGACGCGCCGACGGACTCGGGTGACGACGCGGATGTGCAGTTTCTATTCGAGCGGCGTTCTACCCTCACGGGGCGCGATGAAGCAGAGTCGGGCCCGGACGAAGATGGCCCGGGCAGCGAGGCAGACGATAACGACGCAATCCCCGACGAGATGAACCCGCTACGGGATCTCCGTGCCGTTCTTCATATTGCGGACGATTCGGAGATTTGGGAGAGGACGTGCAGGTTCTTCTGTCACGACAAAGCACGTACGGCATACGACCAGGGCGTCAAGCTGCTCGGAACGACCCTGTGCCTTCACCCTCACCAGATGGAGGCGGTCTACGCGCTGTTGCAGCGGAGCTTTGGCGGGCACTTCAACGGCGGCATCGTGGCGCTCGACACTGGGCTGGGGAAAACCATCGTCAGCCTGGCTGCGGTCGCCGTCATAAGGCTGGTGGAACTCAACCACTACGAGGTTAGACAGGAGTGGAGTACCACCGCGACTGACAACGCAGGAGTCACTATGCATCGCCGGCATAACCCCAGGGTGTCACAGGCCCTTATCCCTCGGGCAACCCATGGAGCATCGAGTGCTGCTGCGTAGCCAACTCATTCAGCTCGGACATCGCCCGGCAGCTAGGACCTGGTCCGTCGCTCGTTTTTACACCGTCTAGCGTTGCCGGCCAGTTCGCCCAGGAGGCCGAGCGGTATTTCGAGCAGGAGGTAGAGCGGCCCGGATCGGACAACGGCCAGTATAGCCGTCAACGGTTTTCGTTCGTAGACACTGTCGACCTAAGCACAGGCTCCACCCTTTCACGAGACATCCAAAGCGACATCTTGACGCATTTCCTAGGTGCACGACCCGTCTACGCTCTACCCAAGAAGGGGCACCAGGCGACGGCGCCTATGCTTGTCCCGGGTTCGGGTTCCAAGATAGGGTATACAGCAAACCAAGCGCAGCGGCTCTTTCTCAGGCACCGGCTCGTGGTCGTAGGTAGCAGCCCGGCATCTCTTTCGTCAAAGGGCGGTAACCGCAACTGCTTTGCCCGGGCCTACGACTTGGCGCAGCAGCAGAGAAAGTCGCTACGGCTGTACATTGCCTCGTAGGCGGTGGCACCTAGGTTCGTCGTCCTAGACGAGTTCCACCTTGTTAAGCGTACCTCGACTGTCGTCTATAAGACACTGCAGCAGCTCCGGAGTCAAGCCGGCCCGTCTAACCGCTTCAAGCTGGGGGCACTAAGCGCAACGCCGATCTCCGTATCGCTATAGCAAAGCCTCAAGGAGGTGCTGTCGCTCATCGTACCGCCTGACGACTTGACCGTGTTCTATACCGCCGCGCAGACGATCGACGCTGCTATAAAGACCGGCCTACCGAGAGACATAGACAAATACCAGGAGGCCATAAATACGTGCTCCGACCTACTCGGGCGAGTCATGACGCTCCGCACGACAACCGACCTCTTCCACAGTCAGGTGCTGCTGCCGCTCCTGCCGCTCCGCCACGAACGAATCCCTTGCAGATCTGCGAGGGCACAGCAGGAGGACTTCAAGCGCAAGATGGGCTTGCTAACGACCGCATGGAGCCAGGAGGCCCGCGCCAAGTTTGAGAAACAAATGCACGTGATCAACACTGCGATGCGGGATCACTTCTTTCAGTTTGCCTGCTTTAACCAGTCGTTCATACGGACACTCTGGCTTGGGTCGTTTCCAGGCATTGTCGACCTGCCCGACAATCTCTTGTCGGACCCAGCCGCATGGCTGAACAGCAATACAATAAAGGGTGCCATCACTACGAAGGAGGGCCGTAACAACCATATTGTCGGCCAATACATCGACGTCATCACCCGCGGCAGCGGAAAAATAGAGCAGCTCCAGCGCTGCCTCGATCGAGCTCTCCATGACGTGGATATAGGCGATACGGGAATTGCCAGCCAAGCGCCGCTGAAGAAGTACGCCTGCGTCTTCGCCTCGCGTCCGGGAGTCGCACTCATCATCGCCGCGTACGCGGACAAGCACTGGGCGAGCCAGTGGGAGGTTGTCCTGGTGCTCTCGGCGGCCACCGCAGACGGGAAGAAGGCCATCGAATGTGCTTTCCGAGACATTCCGATTGGCTGCCCGGCAAAGCCCACGCTCTTCATTGCGACTGTCGGCACCTGCGGCACCGGCCTCGACAGCCTCAAGAAGGCGAACCACGCCATCCTCTTTGACCTGCCGTTCGTCGAGTCCGATTCGAAGCAGGCCTGTGGCCGCGTCTGGAGACGCGGCCAGCGGTTTCCTTGCTACTGGACCGAGCTCTAGGCAGAAGATAGCGAGGCTGAGACCCTGATCAACGAGCGCCACGAGAAGCGGACGGACGCTTTTCGGCGCATTCTGGGTCACCGAGGTGGCGACAGCAGTAAGGCAGAAGGTGGCGGCCAGTGATGGAAGGGGTGTGTGTCAGGGAGTGGGTTCGAGGGATATTCAAGGGCCACTGCGTCGAGGGTCTAGGTAATAGCTACGTCACTTTGAGAAATAAACATTGTCTCGCACTGTCCCTACCAGACACCCACCCCAACTAAGTTACTAGACGGTCGGACCTAAGGTATAGCTGATCGGTATACGCAGGTCCATCAACATGCTCTTTGGGTCAGCGGCAAGATCAGTGATAGGGGCGGCACGCTCTTGGACACGCTGTGCCTCGCATGGGCTGAGTGCAGGCTTAACCAACTGTCGTATGAACCTGAGTGCAGGAGGACAGATAGAGGTGGCTTGGGTTCCTACTATGGACGACCCCGACCAAGGCGAAATGCGCGAGGACGGCGACGGCATCTGCCACTAGAAGCATGTCCTCTAGCTCCGCATGCACAGAGTCCTTTGAACAATCGCCCCATCACGATCTTATTATTTGTACACCTGTAACCTGGTTGCCACCCTACCCTTAGACATCCCCTTCGTGCCCATCTGCGATCGCCGCATTTCCGTTAACCCCCCGCCTTCTTGAGATGGAACATGCAAAGAATGTATTTGTAGCCAGTGTAATTCGTCAAGGCTCGACGGTCACTGCTGTCTCCTGAAACCGTCCTGCACCGGCCCGTTCATCTGGTTCTGGATGATGGTATGATACTGTCTATCTGTCTATCCTGGCGCTCGAACCACTCGCTTATGATGCTTGGCACAGGTAAGCATTCCTTCGACCTGCATCTTAACGCGAATGCCCCTCATCCATTGCGACCTTGGCCGCGCCAGCGATGACTTCGCCAACGACCTCCAACTCGTCGGAAGGCCGGCGACGCCTGCCTCTTCTGAGGGCGAGTGTCAGGCCGAGCTGGTATTCGAGATTTGTCAGTTCCGTACGTGCACATGGCATTGCTGACCCTTCGCAGGTTTGGCTAGACATTTCCACGGTTGAGGAAATCCTCGACCACATCATCAGATCTCGATAAAGTGGCACCGGACTGATTCTCGGCTTCAACTGGCAGGCGAGCCAAGTGGACGATCTTCCTGAGCAGCTAGACGCCCGGCTGATCGAACTCGACCAAACGAAAATCCGACGATTCGAATACGATTACGAAACTGAGACGGTATATCTTGACATTATGAGCGAGTTCCCGTTTCATTATCAGGTTCAAACCGGTCTCCGCGACTAACTCAGGGCTTCTCTTGGGAAGTTGCTTGTCGCCACCGAGGATACCACGATTCGTGACCTGATACGGTCCGCCAAGGAACAAGGCACGGCTTCTATTAAGGACGAGAACAAACTCCGTAAGCAAGCTGATTTTTCGTTCGGTCAGGTCGGTACCCTGCCATCTCTGGTTTGCGAGGTCTCGTAGAGCGAGACACGCCAACATGTGGAGAGGAAGGCGCGCCAATACATCGTTTCGTCGGACGGCAAGATCCGAGCTATTCTCATCCTTGATCTTCAATACCCTGGCATGAAGAAGGCATAGGTAAGCTTGCAGGCAGCGGACGACTCTGCGAGCCACTGGATCTTGCATCACGAACTCTATCATGACGATGACCTCGATCAACAACCTGTGGGGGCAAGTTGATCTTTATCTCTCCGACTTTGTCGGTCTTGCTAGTTTACCAGCAGCCTATTGTCGCCCCTTCACCGCTGAGTTGGCTGCTGGAATCAAGAGGTTTGCCGTCCTTCTGTCTGAGACGACATAATAAATCTAACCCTCCAACAGAAACCCGACGATCAGTCTGACATACGAGCGACTGAGGGCCATCTTTCGCTGGGCTCGCTATCTACACACCCTGAAAGAGTTCTCCCAAGAGGTTGGTGACGAGGAGGAAAGCCCATACGAGGAGATAGAGCGGCGTCTGGCTGAAGAGCGCATGGAGACCGAGCGACGTGTGGCTGAAGCGCGCAACGAGGAGCGCATCGAGGTGGAGCGGCGTTTGGCTGAAGAGCGCATTAAGATGGAGAGACATATCACCGCTGAGATCGAGCGACGTATTACCATGGAGACTGCGCGTCGTGTGGCTGCAGCTCGCTCTGAAGCCGGGTAGCAGTTCGCGAAGCTCTCGTAATCCGGTTGAGAGAATGGATGGATGGATGGATGGATGGATTTCATTTCGCCCGGAGGCACTGAGCCCCTAGTGCCTTGGCACGCTAAATACATACAATTCGGACCGCTTCTCCCATAATCTCGTGCAAGCTTGAGAGAATGGACTGACGTTGGAAAGCAGCGGATGAAGGAACACCACGTGCAGAGGCGGTGAACCCTACCCTTTAGTTGCGATCTAGCCTGGTTGGCGGGACAACTGCCCAAGTGGGTAATAAGTTCAGATCAGCCAATGTCGCGAAATGCTTAAACAACCCATCGGTCGGCTCTTGCCCGTGCTTTTCAATTCCATAATGACGACAAAAGTGCACAAGATGCAACTGCGTCCCGCTGCAAACGAGCCCGAATCTCAGCGAAACAACAGTCCAGGTCATCGGCATTGGTAGCCTGGGCAAGATCTTCAGTTGCGCGTTCGGCCTAATCAACAATGAGCGCTAGGAAGGTTTTGACTGGCTGATGGACCAAATCGACACTATTCGCAGGGGCATTGGCGCCAGCCCTCCCACGATCAGTATTACCAACTACGACCATGCCATGCGGGCGGCTGTTGCCCGGGTCTTTCCGAATGCGAAGCCACAGATCTGCATCTTCCACGTCAACAAGAACGTGGTTTTGCATATCAAGCGCAAGTGGGATAAGCAGGCTGCAGCCGCAGTCGCTACGGCGCAGGCTCACGCCGAATTCGCAAGATGTGTCAGTGAAGGACAGTTCACCGCCTTCCTAATTGGCCTATAACAGTACTAGTCTTCCTACCCACCGCCTGGCGCACCGCCTACCTAAATTAGCCATCCTGACTCTTCTTGCTCACCGCCTGTCGCACCGCCTTCCTGGTTGGCTTATGATTGTAACCTGTCTCCTGCCCACCGCCTCTCACACCGCCTACCAACTTAGCCAGCCGCTTTATTTGTTGCTCACCGCCTAAATACCACCGGTCAGGTAGCCTCGATTGGCTTTGAACACGATTGGCTGAGTCAGACACGTCTAGTCGCGCACCCTCTTACAGACGCGGTTGCCCAGGCACCGCCAAATGCGTCGAATTCAGCATACCTACGCTTGCCCCTTAAACTCGTTGGGCCTCAGAGTCTGCGATACGTCCTGAGGCCTCAGATCAACGCGAAGGGTTGCGGCGCCGCACCGGGCGAACCGGCGCTTGTGTGCCAAACCGGTTGCGGCGACGCCTTGGGAAATATCCAAGGGGCGTCAGAAGCATCCCAATGGACGGATGGGTAAGGCGCTAGCTCCAACGCAGGTGGTAACGCGCGAAGCTAGGTCTGTATGTCGTGGGAAAGGGGGCGGCTGGGAGCGTACTGCCGCAACACAGTTTCGCGACTGCTCCCCTCGCGGGCCTTGCCATCGACCGTCTGTGGCCCCTATTCGACAAATGAAGAGTCAATGCCACCGCGGCACAATAGGCTCAAAACAGCGTCAATGGGCAAAATGTTCCACAACAGGTCGGACGTTGGCTATATAACAGCAGACCCTCTTCCCTCCTGCGCCTCCTCTTTCTTTCTCTGGGATCTTCCTCTTCCCAACGTCTAGTCATTACGGGGCAATGATGATCCACGTCGAGCCTCAGTCCTACGATTATCTCGACGCGATCGCGCACGCGCTCCGCTGTGCGCGGAAAGTGGTGGTCTTGACGGGAGCTGGTATCAGCACCGCCGCAGGAATACCAGTTCGTGGACTGTTTTCCCATGCGTTCGATACCCGAACTCACTTTTCGCAGGATTACCGGTCCAGAGGCGGTCTGTACGCAGAGCACGACACCTTTTGCGCAGCGGCGCTGAGAGATCCGCGGAGGAGGGCAGACAGTTTCAGGTCTGCCCTTCATCTCTACAAGCTTGCCAAGGACAGCAAACCGACCGAGGCGCACACATTCGTGACTCAGCTGCGCAATGTGGGAAAACTCTTGCGATGCTATACCCAAAATGTCGATCAGCTTCACGAACGAGCTGGTCTGTCGACCGGTCTGGTAGAGAACGTGAAGTGTGTTCCTCTGCACGGAACTATCGATAGCTTACGATGCAGCAATTGCTGCAAAACACTCGCATGGACGGAGAAACTGCAGGCTAGAGTCACAGTTGGCCAAGAAATTCCCTGTCCTGGCTGCCTAGATGCCCCCCGACGACCTGGCGCGCCGCCGAGGCGATCAAGCACTATCGGCCGGTTACGGCCTAATATAGTGTATTTGGAAGAAGAGCATCCGCAAGGCGAAGACATCGCGGAACTCATTAATCGCGACGTATCAGCGGGCCCCGACACGGTCCTGATTTTTGGAACAAGCTTCGAGGTTAGCGGACCGTGGGACCTGGTCAAACGGTTCGCCAAGGTGGCCGGTGCAAACGGCGGGAAGGTGATCTATGTCAATCGCACGAAGGCATCGCGGCAAGGATGGAAGCATGTTTTTGACTATTGGGTTGAGTGGGAGTGTGACAGTTGGGTCCAGGACTTGATGAGCAGAGGTCTTGGTCCTCTTCCGACACAGCGGCTTTCTCTTACTCTCGGCGGCCGCGTGGCAAAGCGGCCTCGCGGGAGGCAGAGGAGAAAGGCGGAGGATGAGCCGGGCTCTAGCTTCAGCAATCCTATTCTTTTGAGTTAGATCTAGGGTGCCATGCCAGATCCAGTAACAATCTTTTTTCGCTACATATAAACGATTCACGTTCTTCGAGGTGGCTTTGCTTTGGTACCATTTCGCTTCCTGGGTGAAGCCCTTGACCTAATGTTTACTAACCTTGACTTTTGTTCGGGCATGCTGTTGCTAAACCCATAAACGGGCTGTCTGAATCGGGTATAGCGCCTCTTCTCTACGTCGCGTCCGTATGGGAGACCAAGATTGTTCCGACCTTATCCTCCTTTCTCGGACAGCACCGCCCATGCGACTCCAAGCTCAAAGGGCATAACCCTCCCGACAGACCGACCACGGCGGCCTACGCTGGAGCTGAAGGTGATACCCTTTAACGTACGTGATTGGCTGTGATGGCGGCAAATCGCCCAGCCGCAGCTTTCAGCTTCCACACAGCCGCGCAGTCGTCAATTCTTTGTAAGAAGCCATACGCGGAAAAGGCCTTAGGAAATTGCTAAATGAGCGGGTGAAGAGCATTCTGTATCGTGGCCCAGCCTCGCGCGCCCCTCCCTACGCTGTCTACCAGTTTGTCGAGACCCGACGCCCGAATTGGTAGTCTTGAGACTTACCCTGAGAGGCATGAACGCTCTGGCTAGCCACGGGTGCGGGCAACTGGTCGGAGGCGCAATAACAAAAGATTAAGATAACGAGCCACCTTAGGAACGAAGTGACATTGGCTATCTGAACTACCCAATTGACTCCCGACCCTCTATCCCCGAGGGTCGCGGTATTGGGTTAGCTAAGCGTCTCGCTTAGCGGCGAATATAGCCGCGTGACCCGCTATTCCGACGCTGGATCCGTCTGGACCTCTTTGAGCCTCTCGGCGCCTTCGCAGGATCTCTCCGAGCGGTCTCTTTGAGCCGAGATGACCGTCGCCGCCGACGGGCCCGGTGATGCACGGCAGGTAAGAGGGTGGTCGAAGCATTGCCGTTCGCCGGCTGCCCGGAAGCGGCTCCTTCCGCCGCCTCCTCCCGTTGTATTGGCGATCCTTCTTCCATTAGTTACGGTCAGAGAGGCTGGCTACCACGCACTTGCACGGTTTCTCTCCCGGATCCGGGCTAAAGCCTTGAAGAAATTTTCCGAGAGAGTCTTGTCCCTCCTCAGCTCGTCGGCAACCCTACCGAGCACGTCGAGAGATGGGAATTCATTATCGTCTAAATCATCGCCGGAGACCGGGTCTTGATAAACCTCTCGGGTTGGCATGGCCGCTTGAGTTACGTAGCCTGCTGCTATCGTGGTTGTATAAAACCTGGAGACGAAAACTATCAAGGAAGGACATCTAGACCGCTGGGAGCTGGGAGGAAAGATGTGAAGGAGGAGATCTGCTAGGGACCTTCCAATGGCGCTGTCGGCATATTTAGATCTGTCTGGCCCGCTGGCCTCGGACTCCTACCCGTCTCCGCCAATAGTCCACCGTCGTCAGTACGTATCGTCTGGCTTTAAGATGCTACGCCACCCAAATTGAAGCAAGCCGCCAGACCTCAAGGGTGCAAGAAGGAAACAAATCCCTAATGGACGAGGCAGGCATCCGGCATGGTCTTGCCCTGAAGGCACACTTCCGCGGACACACCATTCCTCCGCCATTTGTCGACACTCCGCGCGAAGCAGCCGGTGATCGCAGGCATTACTAGCCCCCCTTTCCCCCACCTAACACACACACATACATACACACATGGTCGCTGCAGGTCGGCGACCCACCAAGGCCCTTCCCCCTTCCCCCCCCCTCCCTCCCCTTTCTCTTTCCCCCGTTTGGTGACTCCTCAGTAACTGCGCGCGAAGCAGCCGGTGATCGCGGGCGTTACTATCCCCGCCTCCCTTACCACACAAACACACACACATGGTCGCTGCAGGTCGGCGACCTGCCAAGGCCCTCCCCCCAACCCCCCCTTTCTTCGGTGACTCCTCGGTAACTCTTCGCTGCCCCAGCCTAGGCATGGTCGAGGCACGCCGCGCTGACCAACTGTCCTAGAGATAGCGTTCTACTGGTTGAAGCCGCGTCCTCATACCGCCGGTCATCTGCAAGAATCAGGTTTTTCGTCGGGGCCTGCATCAGCAGACCGCCGGCTACTATCGTTACCGTATCATGTTCTTCCCTGGGGCCCGCACGACCGCCCTTCTCTTGGCTTGGTGATCCTTTGTCTCTCAATCAGGGAGCCAGAGCCACACTCCGGAGCCCTGCCCACGCAGTCCCCCCGCGGCGTGAGGACTGCTCTCGCTCTCGCTTTCGTGCGCCTGCTCAATGAATAAGCGTCTAAGGAATACAGAGTCTTGCGTTGAAAACAGGGTACAGCCTTAGATACATAATGGGGAAGGCGAAAACGGCTGGGACACTTGGAGACCGTAACCATCCTGAGTTGCAATGTGTGGATAATCGGCTGGAGTGACGAGGGCGCCTACGGTAGGTGCGCCTCCGTCCGCGACAAGCACGCACGCGGCGCGACTTCGCCATTGGCCAGAGTACGGGAGGAGAAAGGGGGGAGACAGGTGGGAAACAGCCCCCCCCCTGCCTCCCGCCTTCCGAGGAGGGATCTTAGCCGGGCGATGAGGGAGCGCGCGTTGGTAACGGGGGCAGGGCGGCGGCGCATGGTGCACGTCGGTTGCACGTGTGTATACGCTGCGTTTCCCATTGGCCGACCAAAGTAAGACTTGGAACCCGAGATGCAGGAGGAAAATAAAAAGAGGAAGTTGGAAATGAGCAAGCGGGTGAGGGCGCGGTGTATTTATGAAGACCCGGCGACTTGAGTAGTGAAGGGCCGGTACCCAGGCTCGCCGGTCGGGGTACGAGATGGTGGTCCGAGCGCTGGACCTGACCGGCCTGGCCCGGTGGGTCGCGCAGGGGAGAGCGGAGCAATCAGAATTCGGCAGTCCCGACCACGGCACCTGTATTCCAAGGCAACCGGCATGCTGCATCCCAATATTCGTCGTGCCGACCGAAGCATCCTTGATCCACAAAAGACCGATGCTCTTCTTTCAAACAGGCACCTCTACCTCCGGAACCCCTTGATCCTGGCACTCAACCGATACCGATCTAATTGCTTCTCGGCTGTACATGAGTGGTTCAAGAACCACCATTTCGTTGAGGTTAGCGCACCTTTGATCACCCATTCCATACTCTACGAGCCGAATTCCGCCATTCAAGTCTCGAATTTAAGAACGAGCAAGACACTGTTCCTGTCCCAGTGCGCTGGTTTCTACCTCGAAGCTGCTGCACATGCCCACGAACGGGTGTACAACCTCGGGCCCAGCTTCAGAAACGAAAGCAGAACTAACCGTCATCTCATGGAGTACTGGCATGTCAAGGCGGAGCTTTGCTCCGGGAATATGGATGATATCATGGATTTGGTTGAGATCTTCCTGCACGACGTTTTCACGGCCCTGCTCAAGCATACGAAGGACGTCACAGCTCTTCTTGGAACACAGCAGCCAGGAATACAGATCCCCTTCGCGCGCATCACCTACCGAGAGGCTCTCGAGTTGCTCAACAGCAGAGGTCATCAGGTTTCTTTTGGCCAAAATATTTCTAAGCCGGCCGAGGATCTCCTGACCAGCCACTTTGGTGGACCCGTTTGGCTGACGCACAAACCCCGCGGGCTCGAGCCGTTTCCTTACTGCGTGTGCCCTGACGACGAGGAATTGACAATGACGGCAGACTTGATTTCGTCGGGGGGTTTCGGTGAGATATGTGGCGTGGCTGAGAAGTCCTTTTCCAGGCAAGACCTCGAGTTGCGGCTTCAGGAGAAGGGAAAGTCAGAGATGCAGGACATGTATGGGTGGGTGCTACAATCTCGGGACTTTGGCATGGTTCCGCACACGGCGTTTGGTATGGGTTTCGAAAGGATGTTAAGATGGTTTTGTGGCGTAGGCCACGTGAAGGACATGGTCCCCTTCCCCCGAATTTTTGGCCGCGACCCGACTCCGTGAGGGCTAGGAAGGGTGTGCTGGCAGATCATCTGTTGCGTGGGCCCACCTATTGGTGGCCCGAGCTGTCCAGGCAGCCTCACGTCTGCCCTGCATCTCGCATGCAGGTTTTTCCGGCTTAGCACCTGAGAGAGCAAGACATCGAATACCATCAGTTCGTTGCTCTTAGTCCCATCATCTGATGTAATTCGCTCTGTGGCGCGCTTCCTCGGCAGTCCCTTCTGCTCCCCGCCCGCCGGCGGCGGTCGTGCTGGGTTCCAAGGTCCAATTGTTCCAAAAATGAGGACCAGAGGGTGGACTCAACCGAGTTCATGTCATTGGGCTCGCGCGCACGGACCTCCTCGGGGACGAAGGTCGCGTCAGACAGGCCAGGGAATGTAATCAAGCCAGTGGATGTGAGAAGGATGCCTCGTCCAAGTTTTTTCCGTTATCCTTCGCCCAGCGCAGTCGAGCCTCGTTCTGCGCTGCGTACCAATTGACAACGACGCCCCACATCTGTTGTGGAGTGAGCTGCAGGATCCCGGCAGGAAGGGTGGCCTTGGTCACCGGAAAGATGGGCGGGATCAGCTGCTGGGGGGCTCTGACCTGTCCGTCGTCATGCCTCCCTGGGGTGGAGCCAGACGCCTGGGAGGGTTGAGAACGGTCAGGTGAGGCTGAGATCCGTGAGGTCGCCCGAGCAATGGAGGCTTCAACCGAGACGACTGACACCAATGTGCGCTCACTTCCAGTAGGGCCGCGCACTGCCAAAATGGGTAACTCCCGATCGAACGATATCTTGAGCTTGGCGACCAGATCAGCGACGTCAGGAGGGAGTTGCGCCTGTCCTCTGAACTGGATAGGTCCAACCACGGGCTCTAGCCTGGTCTTAGGCTCACAGGACTTCTGGCCAACACGCAGTTGGATCTGGTGTTCATTTGGACCCCATTCCCTGACAAGCGCTGGACGCTTCTGCTTTGGTTCCTTCAGCCGGAGGGCTTTTCGCTGAGGCTCAGGGATCCAGGAGAACGGGACCCAGAGTGTCCGAGGCAAGTTTTTAGTGACATGTCCAGTGGGGTCCATCATAGACATCAACGGGAGCACCGGGAAGTACAAAGACCTCCAGTCTGGCTGACAGACGGTTGAGTGGGCTTCCGGTGTACGGGCAAGGAACCCGTGGCTGTATTGACCTGCAGCAAGGTCCTCCATGGTTGATCCTCGGATGAACGAGGGGAGGGTAAGCCCCAGGATGTGGTTCAGGAGGGGCGTCAGGACAGTCACCAACTCCTCCATGAGGAGGTTTGGCTTGGGAGTAAAGTCCCCGGGGTAGAACCTCCTCGGTCGCACGATTTCTCGGACAAACCGGAAGGGGTGGATATTGAAGACCAGCTGGTAGGTCTGGTGGAACGTCTCGTACAGGTGGGCGCACTGCAGGAATTCGTCAAGCGTGACAAACGGGACGGGGTCGTCATATCCCAGACCTTCCTCCCGTCGAAGGGTGCGATCGCCCAACACCCAGATGTACTGGAGGGTTTTCATGATGACAACCTGAGGGTAGAGGGAGGAGGCACTGAGGGTGCTCAGCGATCCAGGTCTCGATGATCTCTGTGGCCCTGACAGGAATGTCTGCTGCAACCATCTTCAAGACAGGCATGGCGAACTTGACAGTGACTGGGGTCGGTGGTGAGTTGTCAAGTGAAACCTTTTTTCCCGTAGGTGAGTATCCAGTGTGCTGGGACAGCGGCAGCGGGAGGCCAGTGTAGGCAAGGATTGCGTCGCGCTCGTTGTCCCTTTGCCAGGCCTCAATGTGACGCTCAGGGACCCTGTACAGTCCCCAGTAGTATGCCCTTGTGGTGGGCGATCATCCCGTCGCGGAGGAGCTCTTGGTGAGGACAAAGGACCCGGCAAACTTGTGTTGGTCGACCTCGAACAGTTTCAGTCCAGTCGCCTTGCCTCCCAGCGATGCGGGGTCGTATGAGCGACCCCTGTGGCCCTTGGAAGTGGTGTCCTTTTTCGCAAACACCAGGGCCAGTGTAAAGGGACACACCCCCACCCAGAAGGCCTTGCCCTCCTTGATCAGGGTCGAGGCGGCCTTGTCTTGAAGCAGTCTGTACCTGTGACCTCCCAGGTGAGTGATGTTCACTGAGACCAGGTTTGAGGGAAGAGTGTGGGGGATGTCAATCCCCTCTACAGGAAGAGCCATCTTGAAGTCGGTTTCGCCTCGGTTTTCTGAACTTTGATCTGGGGCACGAGCTTCGGGTTAAACCAGGTCTGCAGGAAGGCCCTGAATTAAGGGAATCTCAATTGTCTCACGTCCTCCTCCGAATAACTACCTTCTAGGTGAACCTTTCTAGTGATGTGTGTTGCGGGGGGATGTGGTATTGTGTAATTGGAAAGTTGAAGAAAAGGAAATATAAAGTTTGTGGAAGAAAATGTTGGTTCCAGAGTGATGGTGGCATCGTTCGCATTTCGTTGATGTGACGGCGCAGCGCTGTCACATACCAAGCCACACAAGGCCGGGACCAGATCGAAACTGTGGCGAGGAGGGGACTATCACGGGAGGATGCATTGTGAAGTTGGCGCGCTCACAGGGTAGGAGGCGTACACCGTGCGAGACGATGCGAGCTCGACACGGCAGCGACGGCTGCTAAACGCGCAAGGGCGGTCGTCGCGGCGCGTCGAGAACGGCAGCACCGCAAGCGCTGCCGCCGATACGCGCCTTAGCGCCAACGCGAGTGTGGGCACCGTCTAATTATACAACAGCCAATTAGGGTAGGAGCTAAGACAGTCTCGGCATACTCTCGGAAATAGCATAGGGATGGATAGCGTCGTGGTCATCTGCTTTTTTTCCCGCGACGTAGTTAACCGCAGCAATCTGCTGGAAGAGGAGATAGCGTACTGTGGTAGGCTTCCTGGCGATCTATACGGATAAGAGGTCACCCATGCCACCTTCCAGTTCAAGCGAATTGTGACCAATCGTGGCACAAATCTCAGACCTCGGGTCACCGAATGGTTGGGCAGCGTCGAGCCAGACTCGAACCGAGTGCTTGATTGGCTGTTTATGTCATATTGGAGCTAACGGTCTGCGGCACAGCCGGCTTCGCCGTTCTCTTGAACCGGACAGCGCTAACAGAGGCGAAGAGGCACCCGTTTTCGTATCCCGAAACGCCCTGTTTTTTGAGCCCTCTTGCCCCAAAACATAACTTTGTAAGGGCTAGATTAGTAGCTAGGTCGGTGACTAGCGAATCCCGGGTGTTGTCTGTTCTTTTTTGGGGACTACTTCTTAGCGTTCCGCGTGCTTAGCGGGGTCTTCCCGCCCTTGCAGCGGCCTAGCGGCGCAGGAGCCCCACTGTGGGGCGCGGCGCATCAATCCGATCCGCGATCTTCATCGGACCGACCTGCTGACATGATCGAGAACGACTACGTCCGTACATCTGATCGTTTTCGGGAACGACCCCCTGCATACTGAGAGAAACGGAGCTCTCACAACATCTACAAAGGATCGATGACATCCGCGACGATACTCCAAGCCCTGGGGGCAGGGGTTGAAGACTCGACAGGAACAGGCGCGGGACGGGGCGCGCCGCGTCGGGCCGACGCTCTCCAAAGCGGAGAGCATGGTAGAAAAGGCATACTTGCTCCTTGGCTGGTCGCTCCACCCACGGGCCTTGGTGCGTAGAATCAGGATCAGAAGACCGTGTCGCTGATGCTCCCGGTCCGTGGTGCGCTGGGTTCACGGGTTCCGTTGAACGACTTTGCGTCGTTCGTCTCGCAAATGGAGGGGAAGTACTTTCCTGCCATTCGTCAAGAGCACCGCCACGGCTTTCTTTTGGACGGCCGACAGCCAAACAGGCAGTTGCTCTCCACTATTTCCATCTGCACCCGCCCAATTGGCTGCAGCCGCATCACGCACAAGAGGCACTAGCCGTTTTCGCTTTCCTTTAGCCGCGCGCTTACGAGACGCCGTAGGTGAGGTCAACGTACCCTCCCGGTTACGCACCCCACTGACGTCAGTGCGACCGTCTGACAGAGACCTCGGCTTACTCCGTCTGAAGCAGTGAACAGCGCTGTGGCCAACTACCTCTACACGCTTATTTACTACCTTTTTATCCTTGACGCCCGTCCTGGTTTGGAGACTCCTTTCTGCATCGATGCGTCAAGCCAACTGCTACCCCTTGCGCCTCTTATCTTTGTCGCAAGAGACCTTGGCTGTTGCTTTCGCGATCCAGTTGATGAAGAAGGCGCCCGATCTTGTGAGGTCTTCCGGGGAGATCGTCAGCAGGCACCGCTGGTAGGATGCAGATATGCAGCAGCAGTCTTAGAAGGGTTTTGGCGAGCCGCAATTCGATCGCTCCGTCGAAGCTGGACGACAGCCCCGAGCCCGTTCCTGGAGGTCCACAATAGCGTCTGAGCAGTGCGGTCCTTCGCATCGGTGCCGGTGCCCTTTTCAGGCACCGGCGGGATCACCCTAGGTTGAGACTGCTCTCTGGATTGTGGCGGAGCTTCCTGAGAAATCTCGCTGATCTGCACTGCGCCATGGGAAGCGGAGTCTGGGCAGTCATGTCGGATCCGCTTCGACCGTCGTGCGTAGGCCGCGATATCGTGCTGGCCGCGTTTCGGTGGCTGTCTCGCCTGCGTAGAGGAACTCATACCATCCGCGAGCGCACTCGGTTCACCTCTCATCCGCTTCGTAGGCCTCCAGCCATCCATGTCTTGGTCATCCTGATGAGGTCTGCTTCGCTTCCCGCAACGCCTAGCATGTGACACGCCTTCGGCTACCTTGGGTTGGTTCAACTCGGCTTCGATCAGGGGCACCTGCTCAAGAATCCACTGTAGCAAAAGACGCTGGCGTTGTAGATTCCTTTTCTCCTCTTGGTAGTCCCACGTTCCTCGGATGAACTCTGTGATGAGATCGCTTCGCCGCTTGATCGTCTTAAGCGCGTCCTTTGCCTGGACGAGTCTGGAGTGGGCTGCTGCTAATCTCTGTGTACGCTCTTGCTTGGTGAACCTTGAGCGCCTGGTCTTAGCTCTCACCGTCTCTGACAAGGCTGCTTTGGCGGCCGCTTCGGCGGATGCTACAGCTTTCCAGGTCTGGTCTCTCTCTCCTTGGCGTCGAAACGCGGATTCGGTTGTGCGCAAAGTCTCGTCCGTCTCCCCCGGCCGCAACACCCCGGAGTCCACCAGCTGCTTCCAGGCTTCGTCGTACTTCTGCCGCAGACTGTTGATGGAACGCTCGTACCGATCGTGCCACGAGTACTCGTAATTGAGGTATTCGATCCACGTCGTCAACTTGTCTTGGCGTGTTGGGTCTTTGTCGAGCTGGAAATTCCGCGTGAAATCGTGTTTTGCTAGGCGGCGCTTGGCCTCGGCGATATATTCGGGAAACCCACCCCGGCCGTTGCCCTCCCGCAGAAACAAAAAGTTCTCCCGGTAGCGCCAGTACTCCTCCCTATCAAAGTCGACCCTGAGTGTCTGTCGATATTCGTCTTCCGTCATCCCCGGCCACGTACATCCGGCCTTCAGAAGTCGCCGCTTCTCCTCCTCGACAAATGCCGAAAATCCCGCCTCGCCGTCGTCCGCGCCCTTCTCCTCCTGCATCTTCCTGAACTTCGCCCGAAGCCTTTCAAGATGAAGTCTCTCCGCCAACTCCTCGTCTTGCCGTCTGGATCTGCTCATGTTGGCTTCGCTCTCAGCTTCTTTACGCAACTCCTTCCCGGAGAACGCAGCAAACTCCTCTTCCTTGTTGTATATATCTCGGTTATATTTCTGCCAACTGCGGAAAGCCTTCCACCTCGTCAATTGCTTCCGGAACACCCTACCGTCGTCTATGGTTGCATCTGGGTAATCCTGCCATGGCAGCAGCATCGGGCGATGGCCTTCGGGGTCGTCGAGCACCTCCTCCAGAGAACTAATGTGATAGAGCGGCCGGCCGCCGTCACTGACCAGCTCGTGGTACGCTGCCGTCTCGGATTGCCTTGTCTCCGCGGCCACGTCCTCAAAAGGGGTAGGGGATCTTTCGTAGCGCGGTGATCGAGAAGCGGGTGGCGGTAACGCGTCTTGGTTGTCAGAGATTTCGCGTAGTCGTGCGGCAACTCCGTCAAAGTCGACCGGGCGGGACTGCGTCTCGTCATTGGCCTTCAGCGCTCCGTCCCTACGTTGCCGTTAGTAGCTGGAGAAGAGAGCAAGACGCCGAGACGGTATAGAAATCACTTCAATCGCCGAGCCAGCTGTTCGCGCTGCTCCTTGGCCAGATTCTCCCAGCCGTCGACCTCTCCAAGATCAAACCCGCCATCAGCATGGCGATTTTGCTTCATGTACTGCACGAGTTCCGTGTCGCTGAAGTTAAGAATATCGTTAACCGTCAACCTGGGGGTCATTGGATTGGAGGATGCCATTTCGGCGTCGCGCAATGCAGGTGGGAATGGCGTGAATGCTGCTATGGGAACTGGGCGCACGGCAGTTTTGAACAAAGTGGAAGTGGTGGTCTGTGCGCATTCCACACGCTCCTTCGACTGACCTGCCTGCCGACTGCCTCTCACTTGCCCACCACCCCTCCATTGTCCAGACCAATGCCCTGCTTATTGCCTGTATAACATCATGTGTATATTAGGCAACAACAGCAACTCTAACCAACCACATTCAGCCGTGAAACTTCAGAGTTGACACACGACCTCAGGCAGACCAATCAAGTAAACGTTTCAACCGCCGGCTACGTGGCGTGCATGACCAGAATCATTGGCTGCGATGCCACGGTGCCGACACTCTGGGGCGTCCTGCGCCGGCGGAGGACTCGGTCGAAAAGACGCGAATGGAGCAACGCACCTATGACATTCCCGCCGTTCCTTTTTCCTTCATCTCCACTTCATAGTAAACACACATGCATCTCGCGGCATCTCAGCATGGCAGATACAGATCTCATCGCATGCCTGTATCCCTTTGTGGATGAGGATGTTGACGGTCGGGAGGCGAAGAAAGTGATCAAAGAAAACGAGAACCGACGCGTCCCTGCGCGGCTGACCGAAACCGAGCAGCCGCAGCTCAGTCGCTGTTCGAGGGAGTCGACGCCGCTCGAACAGCCGCGCCAGAAGGTGCCGGCGTACTTTCACCACCCGGGCCTCGAATTTCGGTTCAGCCGCGGCCCGCAAACCTCTCACGGCTTCGTGTTCGGGCGGGACAAAAATTCCGACGTCGTCCTCAACTGCGGCATACAGTCTCTCAGCGCCCACCACTTCGCCCTGACGTTCGACGACCACTACCGCCCGATCATAAAGGATCTGGGCTCATTCAATGGAACCGAAGTCACGTACGACAAGCAAGGCAAAGGACGGCGCAGAAATTTCGTCTGGATCATCGGCGGGCACGACATCCCTCGAGAGAAGAAGGCAATCGTCATTACTATCAGCCCGAACCTCAAGTTCCAGATCGTCGTCGCTCACCACGACATTACTTCACAACAATATATCGACAACGTCAACCGGTTCCGCCAGGGGACGGCTGACGCGGAAAATCTGCTCGGCCGGCTCGAGGTTCGGAGCCGTCCGCAAACCGAGCGTGCCAGTGGAGCGCACACGCCCGGCACTGGTCCCATCGTCCTAAGGAAGAAGCTCGGCGAAGGCACCTTTGGGGTTGTGACGCATCTCTGGAATGTTAGCACCGCAGACGAATGCGCCCTTAAGGAGCCATCAGGGCAGGCTATCCGAGAGAGAAGGGTTGAGGTTGATGCCTGGAGAAAGGAAGCTCGCATTATGGGGCGTGTCTCGCATGTAAGCAGCCTACCCCTCTGGAGCTGCTGTTCTAATATCTTTGCTAGGAGCATATCGTGGCATTCATTGACTCTGATTTCACTTCGCTACCTCGACTGCGTTTTGAGTACGTCCAGGGCGGGACGCTGCGCGACTATACAGATCTCTCCACGGGCGAATGCCTACAGATCCTGCGTCAGTGCCTGTCGGCACTCGTGTACCTCCACGGACACAGGCCGCCAATCGTTCATCGGGACATCAAACCGAGCAATATCCTTGTGCAACATCGACATGCTGATGACATCCATGTGAAACTTGGAGACTTCGGTCTCTCAAGAGAAGGTCCCGATCCGACAACCATGTGCGGCTCCTGGCTATACGCTGCCCCTGAGGTGTTGGAGGAAATGGACAACAGAAAGGCAGCTCATTACGACAGAAGGAGTTACACTCTGGCCGTCGACATCTGGTCTCTTGGTGTGGCAGTCTTTGAATGCGCCTGCCATCTTCCATGCCGCACAGCCACGGGGCTCCTTTGGTGCAACGAGATTGTTAAGAAACTCCGGCAAGATCTCAGTCGCAATCCCGATGGTCTGAAACAGTTCTTGTGGGACGCGATGGTGATCCTGCAGCCGGAGATGCGATGGACGGCCCAAGCCTGCTACAACCAAGTTCTGCTCCTTGCTAATTCGGCCCAAGATCGCTGTCTGACCCCGACCCCATCTACTTATGCACAAGGGCATCAACAACCAGTGAGCCAGGGCTCCGTTGAGGACCAGCAAACCGTGCTTCTTCAAGATACAGATACGATGACTACGATGACTGCAACCTCGCAGAGCCGTTCCGTAGAAGACGATTCGGCTGGGATTAGAAGGCATATCAGGTCAAATGGCCCGGGGCCCGAAAGCATTATAGCACCATCCACCGGGAAGAGGGCAAAGGATTCCTCGTCATCCAGCGGTAGATATACAAAGCGGCAAGCTGTGAGCAGTCACCCAGCACTGCCCGAGTCGCCGCGGCGTTGTTCCGAGGTGTGGGACGCGCTCCATCCGCTTGGTGGTGGATCCTCTCTCGCTGCAATCCTCAGACAAGAGGTGTCCAATTCGCACGCCTCGACCATTCGAACCTCTACGCCGTGGAGCTTACAGGATCTAGCGGACAACAGCCCAATTGGGGTTCAGCTGTCGGAAGTCTCCTTACCGGACCTTGATCCGTATCTCGCAGGGGGAGATGCTTTTGTGTTAGCTGGCACCCAAGTTGCCGCAGTTGCTCCAACCGACAGCGAGCAGGAAATGGCTGCGAAACTACTCCTTGAAATCGCTGGTGGCGTCAGGTATTGAAGGGAACGTGAGCGCTCCTGTCGTGATCGATTCTGCACGGCCAGTGACTGCTCGCTGAGTGGTGATAGTAAAGTATGGTAGTTATCTGAATTGGAAAGACTGATTCTTCCTCTTATTACCACATACGGCATCATTCGGATCACGAGCTGGCGCTAGTTCGCACCTCAAGGGCCACGGCACGGTCGTTTTTACGGCCCTCCGACGCGGGCTGCAGCGGTCCGCCGAGCCGACGTCCTCCTGGCGCTAATTATCGGGCACGCCCATGACGCGCGGCCTGATGGACCTAACCAGGGTGGTCGACCACCGCCCAGCGAAGGCTGGACCACCCGGCTCCGCCCGCCCACCCGCCGACTGAGACCCCAAGCGGCTCCAGGACCTCGTGCGCGAGTATGCCCGGTCACTCGCAAGGGTTACCAACGCGCCCTCCGGCAACCTAGCGGTCGAAAGGCCAGCAGCCGACCCTTATGTGACGATACGCCATCGAAAGCGTCGAGAAGCTCCGATAGCGACAGCAGGTGCCCTGCGCCACCGCCATCGAGCGGGAGTGAGGGCAGTGAACAGCCCCGGGTGTCAGACGTGGTGCCAACACGGGAGTCTAGTGTGGTAGAGACTTCTTGATTCCGAAGATCCATACTGGAAGAACGGTGGGTTATTGCGTATAGGCTGCTCGAGACGAAACAGCTACTAGAAATATTTGTCCCCTGCAGTGTTGGCTTCGCCCCAAGCGCGTAGAAAAATCCTGGTACTCAAGGGCGTAAGCGTAACCCGGAGGGACCCTCGAAGCCAATCTGCAAAGGGCAGCTGCCTATTTGGATGTCCCTGGTCCGGCTCGCCCTGTGCTGCTGCGAGTGGACCAGCAGTGTGCGTCGAACCCCGCTAAGCAGCTCCCGTGCAGCGGGAAAGGGGTGGTTGGGGGACGGCAAGATTCTGTCTCACAGCCACCTCCCGCCGCATAAGTGGCCCCAGTTACAAGATTCGTTGGCCTTGCGGAGCTGCGTGAGGCATCGAAAGTAAGCGCAGACGTGCCGTTGGCAAGACAGCTGCGTCTATCCCGAGCGCTCTGATGGTAGCGGCCAGGTCAGCTCCTACGGAAGGCTGCGAGCGGAGAGGCCTTCCCCAGCATGCCATGCGAGAGCGCATATCACCTGACATTTGTTTACTTTCCCCTACGGACAGCCAAGGGGTGAGCGAGGAATTAGTTGAGTCCGATAAGCATAACTAAGCGCAACCGATCACATTCTCGCGTGGCGATATACCCAAGCGTCAGTTTACCAGGCAGTCGCGCCCGTCATCTATCTATGGTTGTCACGTCCCGTGACAGAATCTCAGCCGTTGATTCCACGTCTGCGGCAGCCTCAGCGACTTTCTAAGTTTTCTTTTCCTGATGAATAACGACAGGCCACTTTGCAGTAGCATTTGCATTAGTGAAGGCAGCGCAACGGCGGTCTCAACTTCTACTACTATACCTTTTTCCGTTCCTTCGTCATTGGATCCCTAGAGCGAGCAGGGTCGTTTCTTGGTGGCCTTATAGATGCAGCCCAGTAGCCTGGCGTAGGTTCGACTCGGCCATTCGGTCTAGCCGACTCTTGCATTTCATTTCCTTGATGAAGAATAACAGGCCGCTTCGCAGCGTCTGCGCTAACGTCAGTAATAAGATAACAACAGCATTATAGGGTCACTATAGTTAAACTACTCTTTGTTCTTTCCTTCGTTGGATCCATAGGAAGGCAGCAAGATGAGATATGGGCCCCTCAAAGAAATAGGGCATAGAGTAGAAGAAAGGTAAATAATGAACGGCTTCCTTCAAAATTCCAGGATGCATGTAGGACAGCTTATATTTGAATCCACAGAACAGTCGGCTGATTCACACATGACAAGTCTCTTTGGTAGCAAGGGGCAACTGCGCGACGCAAAGACCGGAAGCTGACCATCTGCAAAACCGGACACGCGGGCAGGGGAAATGGTACTATCCAACTTGAACAGCAGAGCGGAAGTTGTGGGATCTGTCTGCTAGCCTTGTAACCCGTAAGGCCCGGGAGTCTTCAGATCCAGTTCCATCTCATCCGCTAGGTTCACCCCAAAGCGTCTGTTTCCTTGTTCCAATCGCAGCCACTTGCCCTCCTCTCGGCGATATGGCACTCAAGCCAAACCAGGCGTTCCTTTCTCTCCATAGGCCAGAGTTCGAGAGGCATCGTTGATGATGTCGGTCCGATGCCACCCTTTCGGACGCTCAGAACACGCATCCTCGCGCTTCAATTCCACACCACATACCCAACATGCAGTGCCGCGGTACTTGCACTGTGCTGGCAGGTGAATTCGGTGTACATTATCACACATCCACGGCCATGCGGGCAGCCACAGCGCATCCATAGCCTATCGTTGCGAGAATGAAGGCGTCGTATGCGTATAGCCTTGTGTCTTTGTCTGGCATATTGCAAGCCACGAGAATCCATTGGCCGTGGGCGTGTTGAGTCCCCCACGCCAACACGTTGGCCGTTCCGGCGCGTATGACTCACGAATCATACAATAACCTTACAGCAACAAGCGGATGACGTGTTTCCGCGTCTATCACCTCGGGGCGAGAGTGCGCGTCAGGCGCCTAATCGGCTTGCCGATATCCTGGCGGTGCTGCCAGTCAGACGCGTCGCGTACGCGGGGTCCCTCACATTAGATGCGTCACGTTCAGCCTTGTTGTCGCTTCGAACCTGAACGGAGAGCTCCAAGTCTTCCTCATCTCCTGTTTTACCTCCAACATATCCTTACAAGTTTCTTACAGATTGCAACTGTAAGTTATGAAAAGCTGGCAAAGACGTAGGATGCGCGAGGCTGTATTATGAGCTGCCTCTACGTGAATCAGGCGCTTAATCGCCGACTTTATCTCTCCAATTACGCTACTTGTGTGGATAGCCGGATGGCGCGTACTTATGCCGTAAAGAGGGAAGTATCTTAGACGTCTGTGCTGGGTCTTGGGACCACGGGAGACTAGGGGTATCCGCGACGGTCGTGAGAACGCGACTCCAAGCGAGTAGTTGACGCAATACCAACCCTATACAGTTTTGTCAACGACTGATTCAAACCATCCACAAGGTCTGCGCAGAAGGTCTGTTCGTTCTACCAGACACTTTTCTCAGCCTCCTTTATACTCTGCTCGCTCCCTTAGAAGAGAGCAAGGTGAATAGAGCGCAGGACCCTCACTAACATGCTGTTCGTGGCCCGGTGGCTGTGTACATAAGGTACATAGACGCGCTCCGCAATACACGCCCAGCCCCAGAGCCCGCTACTATACTCTCACCGAGCAATAATTCATCATGACATGTGAAAACAGGGTTGGAGAGGTACCATGAAAAAAGGGCATAGTGGTCCGCGAAGCTTGTCCTAACACGTATGTTGAAGTCAGACGTCGAACAATGTTGGCTTGGACGCAAGCACAACAAGGCGCTTGTATCCCCGTCCGCTGGCGGACCCAACCTTGACTGGCCTGCCAGTCGTTCCCTTTGTTGCCTAGTGAACACCTCCGCACTCCCTACCTCCTTCCCTCACGCTACCCTATTATCCTGCCAAGCTAAGTGTCACTCTCTGCCGCTTCCTGCCTCCGAGCCGCTCCGCTGCTCGTCGCCGCTCTCTGGTTCGGGTGAAAAAGAGGGTGAATTCGCCGCGACGAAAATTGGTGAGGATGGGAATCGTTGTACGCAATCCGCGGTCCGCTGTCTCTTCCGGCCTGGTTGCTCACTCCGATCTATACCTTGTCTTAGCTTCCATATAAAATAAGGATAGGACTGAGCTTTCTTACCCTCAGACCCGCTGTTTTGTTCACCAGGCATTCCAGTAAGATCTATCGACGCAACCCACGTGCCTTGGGAGCGTGTCGAATTCCGTGCGACAGCATCTTGTAGAGTCTTGGATGCAGCCTCCCGACACATAGCCCATGGTTGGGTGGGTGTCGAATTTTGTGCAGTATTAGGTTGCAGAATCTTCAATGCGGCCTCGAGGGTGTTATATTGCTTCCCCAAGCTCTCGAGCTCACGCTGCTTCTGTGACACAAGGGTGTTCAGTTGGTGGAGTTGGGCCTGCATGCAACACAGTTGATTTCTGATCTTCGACCGGGCATCGGTGTTCTCTTTCATTAACCGCGCAATTTCTTTGCCGCTCATCTCCTGATAGTCGCGGAATGCGTCGTCCTGACGCGGTGTAGTCACCGTCGGGGGGGTAGTCGATATCACTGTTAGAGTCGCCATCATGTCGCGGTTGATTCTGTATGCTTAGTCCACTGAAGATTAGAGGACGGCACTGCTATTTATGTCATCGCCCTCGCGCGCATTAGAGTAATGTGCTGGACTGACCGTGGTTGCCAGAGCGGGGGCCAACAGGCTGTTGTGTTGGCTCGCGATGCGCCGAGTACAGTACTAGTGTACCGTGCTCTCCGCACCACTCATCACTGACCCTTCACACTCTCATACTACTCTACCGCGACACCCCTTAGGGAGTCTCCCTGCCTCGAGATGGCATGCGGCATGATGCGCTCCAAGATGTCGTGGACGTCGGAAAACCCAGCCATCTCGCTTCATACCCGCTCCTCAACCCCCCTTCCGCGTCGGTAACCTGATTGATGTATTGGGAAGTCGTCAATATTAGGGGGTAATACCACCTCTTTGGACAACCTCCGACTCAAGCCAGGCAGGAGGCGGGTCGGTGAGATCTCCTGTGTCGAGATCGTCGGTGTGGTTCCCTGTTGGTTCCTGCGTGTGCGGCGCTGTTTCAGCGGCTCACGACAGGGTCGAGGTGTAAGCCGCTATCATTCCCATGACGCACATCGCCGACATGACTAGGGTGCTTTGCGGATCTCGAGAAAGCGACGAATGTAGTGGGGATCTGCCCGCATCAGATGCTCTTCCCCCACCTTGGCCCCCTCTCTCTCGGCGAGTTGACCCTCGGCATTCCTCCATCGCCCTTGTTCTCAAACCTAGATCTTCCCCTTTTCGCTCATCTCCATTGATCGGCATAAATACTAGAGATAAACGTAAACCGCACCACGCCGACCGCGGTCGTATTATGGCGGCGACGCTGCTCCCACTAGATGCTCCAAGTCGCGACTTATGAGTGACATTATAGATCATGGTCCGAGCCGGAGGTCCAGTCACTCAATGGTAGGCGAATGGCCTGAGATATCTCCGAGGAAAATAGTTTGTATTTGGAATATTGACGAACTATAGCAGTTTACGTCCGGCGTTAACCGAGAAAATCCATCTCAAACGGAAACCCGGCGGTGTAGACTCTCCACTATTTCCCTCCATTGCTGCAACTCGCCGTCGGTGACGTGAGTTCCACGGTGCCGGAGGTCAATGGTGCATAAAACTTCACGTAAGTGACGCTTGGGAGCGGCCTATATGTCAGCCACATCGCGTTATCGAATTCGGTGCGTCTTACCTGGCACTGGGCGCCCATTGTGGCTATACAAGCCTCGTGCGCGCGGAGTAACACCTCGCACAACTCGGGGAGCTTCGGCGGCATTTTGGACTGATGATTGGAGGCCAATAGGACGAGTGGCCACGAGCCTCGGGAAAGAAATATGCCAAAGAAGAATGGCATGAACTCCAGCCGGCGATCCTCCTCGAGGATGTCCTCGAGGGCCTTGACCGCGTAGCCGCCCTGCGTAAGAAGACGGTCGGCATCCAACTTTTCATCAATCAGCAGTATCCGTAATACGTATACCATGTACGTGCCGTATTTGACAGCAAGCGAAGATTGTCTTTCCGTCCTGACTATAACGTCGCGCGCATTGGCTTTTACACTCTCCTCATACTCATCCAGGCGAATAGTGATGCTCCTCGTTTGATCGTCGATAGACTTGCTAATAGGATCGCGTCGCCCAGTCGATCGGAGGTCCAATATGTCGCCGAGAATAGCCGTGAGCGGCAGGAGGAACCCGTAAATATCATGTCCGGTGTATTGGAACGATATTCCTCTGATTTGAGGATGCCGGAGAACGCTAGACTGGTAGTCTGCCTCGTCTGTAGGCTGAAAAAGGTCGGTGACGAAGTGCCAACGTTGTTGATCCCCAAAAAGCGCGAGACATGTATTAACCATGTAGAGGAGCCACCAGACGCGCCGCCCTTCCTCGCGCTCTTCCGTTAGAACCGAGGATTCAAGTTCGCGTTCGAGTTCGAGGTGCCGCGCTAGGTCATCGGCCATCCTCCACGAGTCATTGCTCATCTCTGGGTTAACATCATGATCCACAGTAGCCAAGTGGATGTAAGCGATTACATCGTCCAGGGTACCGTCAGAAAGGGTGGTGATGAAGGATTGGGTCAACACCCTCAGTCTTATGCAAACTAAGGAGTTGCATTCCTGCCGAAGGCGTATAATAGAACGCGACTTGACGGTTTCAGCGGCAACCAACAGCATGCTTGCCAGAAGAATCGGTTTGCACTGACGGGGCGGAATATCTTGCAGAAACGACGGCTTTCGGAGTATAGAGCTCAGAACAAACGGTGACAAGGGCTGCATCGGGGCCGCTGGCTGCGTTTCGAAATAGAGTTCCAAGAGGTCGCAGGCCAGTTTATGGTCGAGAACATTGGTAAGATGCGGGAGTAGAGGCTCAAGAACCGGGTATCGCAGCCGCATGTCGCTCACTTGCGATCCAGGGGTGGCCACGAATCCCACTCCTGGGGCACTCGACCCACTGTCCGCCGGGCGCCGCAAGGAGACCTCATTATCCGGTCGGTGAGAGTTGGTAACGTGGTTATCGCCGGTAGTCCCGAGTTTCTGGTTCTGGGTGATTCCTGCCTCGCTCTGTAGTGTCACGGACAAGGCGCGCGCTGTGTACCTGGGAGCAGCAGGGTCCACTACCTGCGTATAGTCCGCTGTATGCGTATCGTCTGACGCATCGGGTCCTGGGCCGACTGTGTGTGCCGGGCCGCCGCGAGGTTCGATATGCAGCATCTCGCCAAATGCTGCAGGTGTGTTTCCTTTGTCAGGTGTAGTATTAGCTTGCGTACTAAACGCGCTATGTCCAGAGTCTTCTGCTGGTTAGAGAGTATCTCTGCTCTGCAAGGCATATCGGACGTACCGGAGCCAAAGGCTATATTACCAGCAGGCCCGCGGTGATTGCGAGCAAAGCCGGCTGGTGGTTCTGAATTCAATCGATGGCGGGGCAACTTGACACCGGTGCGTGTGCACAATTTGCGTTGTTCTGGCACTGTCAATGCCTACACATATGGTACCTTGAGAAAAGAAAACCAACTTACTCGTACAACGGCTGCAAGGTTGGCCATCACATCCGGCCTTCCGCTTGCGGCAATAGTCACACGCCGTAGCCCGGGCCATTGTGGAGTGTCCCCCGAGGCGAGATGAGTGTGCTGGGCATGGAAAGGTAAGAAGTCGAGGAGAGCTCGACGGCAGAAATAGGTAGGCTTTCCCATGTTTAGCCCTAAGTAAGCTAGTGCTTAAGTATTCTGGCCCTTTGTTTTCAACACGTAATGACTTTCCGGCAGCGGCAGCTCAGGGTGCGTTCTACCAGGAGGCATAGAACCCCCTGCGTCCTACCTCTTTGCTTGTGCAACCCACTGGTACAAGACCTCTCTGCCACTCCAATGGGATCCGTAAACACACGGATGAAACGAAAAGATGTAGTCCTGGCCGAACCATATCCGTAAGTGGATGGGCTTACCGTGCCAAGGTTTTACCACAGAGGTCTCGGCGCGTCGGGGGATCGGATGCTCATTAGCAACCATATCGAACTTCCAGGTAAGTCCTCTGCCTGGGCACATTACAACCAGTTGTTTCACCTCGAGCAAGCTACCCCCTGGAAGCTGCCAGGTTCTCGGCAAGGATAGATTGACCGGCGGACAAGAACCAGTCACCGTCGTCACCTGTCGGGCGAGACGTGGAGGAGTGTAAGTCAGAACGCGGAATTTGTAGGACATCGCGAGGAGCTGGATTGTTCTGTGAGCTACGATACGTGTTGACCTAACTGCACGCATCGTTATTGGCGGCCGGCTTCGAGTGTCCGTCTTCTTTCGACTACGTCTCCGCCAACAGCCGGTCATGGCACATGGTGTACAGCGGTCGGCTGGTATTCGAAGTGGGGCTTGCGCAAGAGGGTCAGGTCTCAGGGCGATTACTACATGCTGTTCGAGAATAGCAGGGCGTTTTGCTGCATTGAGATGTCACTATAGATGATAGATTCATACTTGGAGCATTCTCAGCCACGCTTGGAGATGGGTATAGGTCACTGGATCTTTTGAATCTGTCCGTGGCTGCGCGTGAGGGATCGAACTGGGTGCCTCCACTTTCCTTGTCCCTTCCGCCGCTGGAATGCATCACACTCGTAACATGATGACGGAGGCTGGCTGAGCTCACCAAGACCGCAGGCCCATATCGGAGCAACGAGACTGTCCGGTTGCGGGAAGGGGGGTGGTGGTGGGTGGGGTTGCCGTGGAATAGTACATCTGGAGCCAGGTAGCATATCGAGGTGCCTGTGCAGACAGACTAGCAAGCGCCCGGTCAAACTGCACCCTCAGCGTTGTGTTCCGGAATCCCTTGCTTACTTCTGCAGGTGGAAGGGCGGTTGGAGGAGGTATCGGAATACACAAATCGAACGGTGGAGAGGCCGCCTGATTGGTGGGCGTTGTTTTATATCGAACAGGTTGTAGTCAGTGAGCCACGGGCCTCCTGGCACCGGCCGGGATGGCTCGCGTTGCCACCGCGTCTTATTCCGTGTCGAACACGTCGTGTGTCCTGGCCCCTTCGTTCTTTGCTGCGGTGCACTGCGTCACCAGATTCGAGCAGACGGCGACAAGGAAACAGCGGGGCGGCGAAGCGGCTAGGATTGCAAACTTGAGGCTTACGAGCGGGATAAGTACTTGCACATACTGTTTACTGCCCCGGAACAGCAACATTCACCACACCTCCATCACACGAAGCAGCCCGAAGATATCCAAGTGTGAGTCCAGCTATCGGTTTTCAGCGACGCAGAGATGACTCTGCAAAGTCGGCTTTTACAAGATTGTGCCGAGACGTAAGTCGTTCACTCAGACCGTCCGAGCGCTCAATCTCCTCCCAGAATCCTTCCTTCCGCAGTAATTTCGGGCCCCACCACCACCGAGCATCTCAACAGCAACAGCAGAGCTGCAACAAAGCGTGATGGTCAGCCCACAAGGGCACTACGATCTATGCTCAAGCAATCGATGAGGAAGACTCGTACAGCCCGAAAAGAGGCGCCAATCCCAGTGCCATTCAATGCATCAGTCCATGGGTCGGTACTTGTTGGAAGCGTATCCCGAGCCAGCGCCCTGAACTTTAGCAGCTGAGCGCAGCCTATTATCGCAAACTGATCGTCAGCACTCCACGTCAGCATTGTACCTCCGGCCAGCGTTTATGAGCACACCAAACTCGAAGGAAATATGATTCCTTACTAGGAATGCTTTTGGTCTAGGTTTGGTAGTCACTCACATCCTGTCGCTTCCACCGACGGCACGGTTGGTGCCCGGGGTCTCGCCGGTAATCTGCTTCCTCGGCCTGCGATGAAAGGTCTGCTGAGCGCCCTTGCGACCGGCCTGCTGGGCGTCCTTAGGATCCTGCGCGGCCTGGTTAGCCGTGTTGCCCGCAGCTTGCTGGATGGACTGCGCGTTCTTCTGGTACTTGTACACAGTCCAGTCGAAAACATAATCGTACTGGAAGCCCTCGCGGACAAAGAGATTACGGAAGATCTTGCGGAGATAGCTATAGTCGGGCTTGTCGTCGAAGCGGAGAGACCGAGTATAGTTCAGATAAATGGCGAACTCGTTGGGGAAGCCGCGGCAGAGGACGTCGGTGGGCGTTGTCATCTTCTTTTCCAGGATGCGGTCATACTTCTGCTTCTTGGTAGCAGCCTTTAGGCCCTGCCAGGGGAGCGAGCCGCGGCAGAAGTATAGCATGACGTAGCCAAGAGACTCCATGTCGTCACGGCGGGACTGCTCAATACCAAGATGAGTGTTGATCGAAGCATAGCGAGCCGTTCCAGTCAAGTTCTTATTCTTTCTATAGGGAATGTAGAAGTGGGTCTTAGGGTCGCGGTACTTCTTGGCTAGACCGAAGTCGATGACAGTGACCTTGTTACCGCGCTTGCCAATACCCATGAGGAAGTTGTCGGGCTTGATGTCGCGGTGGATAAAGGACTTGGCGTGGATGTACTCGATCCGGGAGATGAGCTGATCGGCGAGCAGCAGCACAGTCTTCAGCGAAAACTTGCGGTTGCAGAAGTTGAACAGATCTTCCAGACTTGGGCCGAGGAGGTCAAGGACCATGGAGTTGCACTCGGTGCCGAACCAACGAACGAATGGGATGCCAACGCCGCCAGCGAGCGACTTATATACGCGTGCCTCGTCCTCAAGATGCGGGTCCTTCGCCTTGACGCTCTCGAGCTTGATGGCAATCTTCTCGCCAGAGATGATGTTAGTGCCCAAGTAGATGTCGCCGAACGAGCTAGAACCGATCTTGCGACCGATCCGGGACTTGTTCCCCACGCGAAGGTCCTGCTATCTGTTAGCAGAGCACTCCTGATTTGAGTTCAACAATAAAGCTCAGGCTCGCCATAGCGCCCACGTTGATCGGTCGCCGTCGACTAACGATCAAAATCCGTCGACAACGTAGCGTAGACCAGCCAAGCCTCTGCCAAACACAACTTGATTGCTCAGGGTTCGTACCGCTGTCGTCATCTTCACGCCTTCTGGGCGGGAGCGTTACTCCTCAATCGTGACGGTCGTAAGTGACGTTGCGAGCGACCGATGCGGGATTCACGGAAATATCAGCCTCAGCTCCAATCGAAATGGTAGGCAAATGTGAGGAGAGCAAATTTGTAACATCATTCAGCGTAACGGTCAAGGCGAGCCAAGATTAAATAGTCAGGACTGGCTTGGGAGCCTCTGGTTCGCGCACCATCATTCTTCGGCGGCAACAGACAGAAGTCTGACTATCTCACAGCCTGAAGGTTTGCTTATGCAATGTTGGCTGCAGCTCCTCGTTATCACTGCGGAACGCAGTAGAGCAGGGCGCGAGGCTGCTCGGCAACCGTGCTCGCTCCTGACTCATCACCGAACAATCACGTCCAGTCGCGCGCTTTGGCGTCGCAGGCTCAGGCAGTAGTATGGTTACAGTCGTGGCCTTTCGGACACCCCTGGACTACCCAATCGTTCCTTCCGAGAATTGTCATGAGCGGCAGTAGATGCGCATAAATGCTGTGGCCGGTACACTCGAATGCCGGTCCTCGGATCCTGAGTCCCTGACAGGCCTTGAAATCGCCGTTCTGATACTCTCCGTCATCCATAGGCTGAAGGACATCATAGTCCCACAAAACCGGTGACCGTCTCTCGTAAAGCGCGAAAACACGGTCAACCATATAGAGCAGCCACCAGACCCGGCGTCTCTCCTCTCGCATCTCCTCCGCTAGTGCGTCAGGGGCATCTTCGCTGCCATCCATGCTCTGGCGTGTAGGGGAGGTGCTACGAGGTAGCTCGCGTCCTAGTCCGATCTCCTGAGCTAGTACACAGGCAGTGCCGAACCACCATCTGCCGATGCGATCATCCTGTTCTACAGCGCCCAAGTGTATGCAAGCAGCGACGTCGTCCAGATATCCCATAGGATAAGTCGTCTGGATGGTTGACAAAGCCAGCCCCTTCAACAGTAAGTAAGCCTGGCCACGATCAACCTGCCAAGTCCGTAGAAGACCTGACGCCTCGCTTGTTTGAGCCGCTACCAACAGCATACTTGATAACAACACGAGTCGGTATTGGCGAGGCGGGGTAGCTTGAAAGAACGATTCTCGCCGGAAGATGAATCCCAAGATATAGGGCGATAGTGGGTGCGCCGGCGCTTGCTGCTGGGTTTTGAAGTACAGCTCCAACAAATCACAGGCCAGTGTCGAACTGATTTAAAGTCAGATGGCTGCCGCGTCGCGCGTATCTTTCCTACACTTCGTGGTCTCTCTGCATGCGTAGAAAGCACTCTTTGACGCTGCACGACGACTCTCGCGCCGGCGGCGGAGTTGGCGGGCGAGGAGAGACATGGGACCGGGGAGTCTCTCGCTCCTGTATCGGGTGGTTACAACCGAGCCACCCACAGGGAGGGCTTGGCGACTGGCGAGGGGCATGCTGTTGGCTGTCGGGAGGGGCGTGAAAAGTACGCGGTCTCGCGGCCCTGGCAATTCACAGGAGCCTTTCGGACCGTGGCGACGGCCGTGGCAGAAGCTGAAGCGAGCATTCCCCCCACACGAAGCCGACACGCCCGGGCGGCAGCCAGACTATGGATCAACATCCACACATTGCCTGGGTGCTCAGCGTAATGCCGTATGCAATAGACGATGTGTATCCTCGTGTACTACTTTTCCCAGCCTCCTATTGCCTTATAGCGGATGGTTAGGATCGATCCCATATCAAAACAACGGTGATTTGAGCTAGAGATTGGGCAATATTTCTAACTATCGATCTGTCGGAAGTGAGGAAAGAGGGAAAAATCGCACATAGCGGCGATCCTGTAGCGTGGCCTATCGTAGGCTTATATGGTCCCATCATCCACTGACTCGCTTAGTCCTGAGCCTCACATAAAAATAGGGCCCGCTACACGCCAGTAAGGAGTATAGCGATAAGATGATAGCGATCGCGGTGAGAATGAGCGGGTGCACAGGGGTCTGCACTGAGCCCGAGAGGCTATTTCTGTCTCTCATGTTCACCCCAGTTGTTGTGGAGATTATAGCAGCGAACGCCTGCTGTAAGCTCGGCGACGCTTGGGAGTAGGCCAGGGCGTCCTGCGCCAGGCTGGCCTGGGTCGCCGCCCAATGGGGCGGTTTGCACTAGAGAAGCGGGGCCTGGTATGTATCCGTAGTCGGGCGGCTGGTCGGATAATCAGGGTACGGAGGGCGGTCGTCGAGGGAGGCTTTCGCCGCGGAAGGGTAGGGGTTGGTCGCTGGTTGGGATTAGAGGTGGGAGTAAGCGGTTGCGCGGCGAGGGCAGGCATGGAGGGAGGCTTTCGCCGCGGGAGCTTTGGGGCTGGCCGCTAGTCGGGATTGCAGTATAGCGGGGTGACAGGCTGGCGAAGTCGTGGGATTGGGAGTGAGCGTGTAGCGTCGGCGGGACTCCTCGCGGGCCTTGGGATACGTTCGTGGCTATGTTCCGCGAGAACGGAACTACGCCCGCGCGTATCGCCATGTCAGCTTCACCTAGCTGCCAGTGCATCGCTTCAGCGGCGCGCCAGGGCACCTGCAACTCTTTTGCTACCCTTTGCCACATGTCCTGTTTTAATCTATCTCATGTGTTAGGAACGGGAAAGGAGATCTCGGAAGGAAGTTCTTTACCTCTCGTACAACCTCGCCAGCTTGTTCTTGCGTTCTTCATCCCACTCGCTGCGGCGTTCCAAGTAGTTCTGGTAATGCAGCCGGCAGCTAATCACAGACCGGCCCGGAAGGTGCTTCGAGATGTCGTCCCATTTCATGCCACTTCCCCGGAGCTCGATGATCAGAGCATCCTCCTCGGCCGACCACTTGCTCTGCTTCCTCGCCGGTGTCTGGAGCGTGTGCGGCGACATGCTGCGCTTCGCAACACTGCTCCCAGGACGCAAAGTTGTCCTTGAACTTGGTGTTCGCCCGGAAACACTGAACGCGCTATTAAATCCGGCTCAACCAACAACACCGAGACGGGGAGACAATGGGCTAGTTCCTACGGTAAAGCAAGCTGACGGCAGGCGCTTGGGGGTGCCTTTACCGCTGCAATTGCTGGGGCTATGGTGGATAGTAGTTGCTGGGTGGGAGACGCGGAAGACTTATGTGAGCCCTCTGGAAGCGAGGCGATGTCCACCATGACGGTGTCCCGCTGGCTGAAGGGTGCTTGCTGGCTATCGGAACTCGATGAAGACAAGAGACGTAAAATACGGATGCTCACCCCGAGATGGTGGATATTGACCGGAGTGGCACATGGACCAGGATTGGCATGAAAACGAGGTCTGCCGGGGTCGGCGGGTTTAATATCGCGGTGGGACGATCACAAGGTTGAGGTCGCTACTTCACTTCACGCCTCGCGGGTTTGCTGCTATTCAGCATAGCTGCCACCGTCTCATCATCGCACGCTGCAGTCCCGAGGAAGCAGGCGGACGTCCTCGGTACTGCTCTGCGGAGGGGCCAAGTAGGGCGGAGTTCCCTAGCCAATCCCTAGCCTAAGCTCGCAACGTCATGAGATTCCTTTGTGTTGACGATTGGTTGAGGTAGCAGACCTAAAGGAGGGAGAGGGGTGATGCCGCATACCCAGCTCAGCCCAACGAGGCTGCCTAAGGGGGTGTCACGGAACAGTACCTCTAGTGCCCATATGACACATCGAGGCATCTGTCTAACCAAGGGTTACCCTGCCTCTCGGCCGCGGCAGGAGTCGTGGTGGTAGTTTCATCCGGATCGGATCTGCCACCCTCCTGGTTGCTGCTATCCGCCTTCTCCTCCTCCTTCTCGTCCCCTTAGTCACAGCTATTGCCCCATCGGTAGCCTGCCGCAGAACAATTGCCTTGCGGACCTGACCGTAAACCAGCGCCGCCAAATCTGAGCTGATGACCTCGTCCATAAAGCCATGCCTAATCACAAGGCGATAACACCCCGGCACGGCACCGAAGCGCGAGATGTGGTACCTCTCTTCGGCGGGAACGGTAGGCACTCCACGGGATGCAGATGAAAAAGGACAGCCACCTCGGGCACAGCCACAAATTTGCTAACAAAACGAATCAACACTGCGGGTGTCAGCACGCCAAACTTGTCGAAGAAAATGCCGACCCCCCGAATGACGCTGAGCGAGTCGCCGCCCCAGGGCTCGGTCAGGCGCAACTGCCGGCCCCCATCGCCGCCCTTGCGGACGAGGTGGTGCGGCTTGAAGCGGTCCTCGGACTCGGTGCGCCACGGGTTCTCCTTGCCGATGCGTCAGAGCAGGAAGAGCCCGGCCAGGATGGCCGACAGGGTCAAGGTAAACCACGCGCCGTCGCGGACCTTGTTGAGTGAGGAGGAGAGGTACAGCCCGTCGACGTAGCGAGCTCTTAGCCGCTAAGTTGCAGACTTTGTGCTTCGCCAACGACTCAGATGTACCCAGCAACTAATAGACGCGCCAGGAGCAGCCTCCCGCCTTGGATGTGGTTCGCCTGGCATACGTAGCTACCGCTCATTCACTTGTCCCCTGGACGCGTAACACAGGGCGCGTGCCATTGGCTCGTAGTTGCCAGCCAGACGAGCCGAGTGATTTGATCCAGTTGATGGCATCCGTGACTCCCGTCGGCGATCAACGCAGCCAACCCCCAAACATTCTGCATACAAACCGCTCGGAGTCAGAAAGAGTGGCAGCCGCCTCCAATCATTCATCCATCAACCGCAGGCACGCTTGCATAGCTCTGTTGCCAATTCACACCGTCCACTCGGCGAGGCTCAGTTCCCCGGTATTCAGCATTTGATGCTCGTACCCACTTCATAGGCGCGCTCCCCAGACACAGAGATTACAGAGGAGAGGTGGCTTCTGCCAACTGCCATTCGAAGAGCCGGTTTTACCGAGGGATATGTTGGCCCAGCCGCCCTCCCGGGCGGGGGACTGGATCGCCGGGGAAGGATATGCGTACTCAGTTTGACAAGACGGGGCGGCAACCTATCCCGCCCTAACCTTTTGCTGCAGCCTGCTTGGGATGAAACGCGGGACCGCTCTCGAGTCACGGTGGCCAATCGGTCTGTAATGCTATGCACGAGGGAGCCTAACTACTGTCCTATGAGATTGTCTGTCCGCGAAGCTGTAGCTGCAATGGCTGCCTCGCGGTGTGTATCACGTTATCCTTGGGCCAGCGTCGCGCCTGGGACGTGCCATCAACGTGTCGCAGGTTCTATTCCACTCCCATCCCCTCCCATCCACTTCCATCCGCTCCCATCCACTCCCATACTCCCATCATCTCCCATCATCTCTAGCACACCATCTACACATCCACCCTAGAACCTTTCTCGCAACAAGTTTCTCGGCACTGATCTCGCTCGCAAGATCGGCGCCGGAGGCTTTGGCCTTGTCTATTCTGGTACGGGCTGTCCCTCGCTGCTCTGGTCGTTGCTGACCGGGTAGGGACCGATATCCAATCGGGCGAGGAGGTCGCTATAAAGCTCACATACGTTGGAGACAACCCCGATACGCACACGCACCAACTGTTCCGCGGCCTATCGTTAGCCCTCGTAAGGAGGGAATGATTGGGCCGTACTACGTCTCCGACTTTGTCAGGGTGGCTGGCATCGATGTCGCGGATCCCCTGCACGGTCAGCATTGGTGCCGGCGGTTAGACAGCACTGTAGGGGCCAGCATCATGTCTTCTGGAGGGGGTGGGTATATCGGGTAACTGAACATGGAAGGAAACAAAGACCGTTTCTGCTCATCGTAGTATGATGGCTGGAAGAGATACCCGTTGTTCCCATGCGTAGAGGGCGTATACTGCCCCTGCACGGTCGGCTTTACTATCACGAACGGTGACTGTCTCTTCCCCGTGGGTGTCTGTCTGGTCTTTTCTCATCGCCGAATGACGAACTCGCCCTCCAGCCGCTTGCCTGTTGCGAGACGATTAGCCACCAGCGCCTCCCCCCACTCTCCCGAAGCTACTTACGGCTCTGTATCTTCCTACGCTGAGCACGATCTACTTTCAATGCGAGGCAAACCGCGATGGCAACGCGGAGCGTCTCCGCCGCGCAGGAGGACTATGCTTCATTGGCTACTGCGTGCTAGAGACAAAACACCGTTCACCTCACTCCAACCACGTCAGTCGCAGGAGATCTCCATCGTATCAAGCTCGGGTATGTACACGGAATGGTAACCCGCCTCGGTACTGCATCGGGATGATTGGTCTTGAAAGCATGTCCCTTCCGGACTAGGGGCAGTCATCATTGTTGTATACTTCCACAACCTAAACTGAGGAGGTTGGACTTAGGTACCATCCGAAAGCCGATAGTGCCTAAGGCGGCCGTTGCTCGCTAACACGCTGTTCGTGTATATAGACGCGCTCCGCACTACGCAACCTTCCCCACACACTCTATATACCAGACCGTAGTTACTGTAAAGGATATGGCCAAGGTATCATTGATCGTCTCTCGCATATGCGTCCCATTCTTCTTTATACGTCAGTTACCGTATGTATAACCCAATTGAAAACGTCTATGCGAACACGACCGTCGCCTGGATCAAGCGGAAACGATTAAGAGTTGAGGTTCGCTCAGCCCTACGACTGTTGCGAAATAAGACCACGATGGCGAGCTTGCACCACTTCTCCGTACACGATCGCTCCGGCACCAGTCCTTGCTCGATACCTGCTAGTGGAGTTATATCCCAGCCCTCTCAAGATAGCCAAAGCGCGCTCGTTCCCCAGACCTCTATGATGCCTGATTGCGACCCGCCGACTCATGTCGTCAGCTCCCAGGGCTGGAGGGGTATCCTGCCGAGCCCCCACGGGAGGTCTGCTGTGCCAGCGGCCGGGTCGGCCGAGGCAAAAGAACAAAGTCCCCAAAAGGATGCCGAAAGACAATTCTCCTGCAACACATGCTCGAGGACATATCGACATGCGAAGCACATGAAGCGCCACCTCCGAAGACGTAAGTCATGTTTGTTTGCTGTCGGGTACGTAGGTTAACCTTCTCTCGCAGATACCGGCGAGCGCCCATACAAGTGCGAGATCTGCCACAAAACGTTTTCGCGTAGCGACGTTCTCAAGCGCCACTGTATCAAATGTTCTAGTCGCCGCTACAACCCGACAAACGCAGTTTACTTGTCTCATCCGCAGGCTGCTGCTGAACACAAGCCTATGGATACCGAGGGCGATGTGAAGACGAAGTGGTTTCATATGGGCAATATGCCTATCGATCCGCAGCTGTTTGATAGAAGCCCCGGATATTGTTAGGGAGGTAACAGCGGGGGCTCGTCCACGATCAGCATGATCATGTTTTTCCAACGCAGCTTTTCTTCTTCCGAGACGTTCTTTGTCTTCGCTGCCCTGTCCTCGAATCCAATGTTCGTCGCCGAGTGGAGCGTCGGACCGAGGACCATCATTATCACGTGAATCAACAGGATAGTCATCAAACCCAGCCGACGCCCAAGCATCTTGTGGAAAAGTCCTTTCGATTGGTTGTGTGGAAGTAGAGAGCTGCATGCCGGGGGATCTTGCCAGCGGGGCTGCGAAACTGTAGGTGATGCGGTGATACGGAGACGGGTCGGCCCAATCTTGCACAACCGTGAGCGGAGTTGGTAGAAAACGCCCCAATTCATGGACGGCATTATGCGGCTAAGTGGGGAATTAAAAAGGCGAAATCGTCCAAAATCGACGTCCATCCAAATTGGCCACATTAGAAGCAATGACAACCGATCATTGTCCAAAAAGGTGGTTGGGGGATGCTGTGCCTAAGGCTTCCTGACGCCCCTGACTCATGTGCGATTGATCTACGCTGGGAGGGCAAAACAACAAGAGGCGCGTATCTTAGTGTGAGCAAACCGGTATGCGGATTAAAGGGGCATCTTCCCCGCTTGTCATTTTGAGCATGGTCCACGGCCTCGAGCCTGGGCGAAATCCTGGCATAACGTGGTGGCATTACAGTGTCGCACAGTGTAACCGTAGTTTCGGTAACCAATCAAAACATATTTTGGAATCTCCGTCTGAATGGCTGGAAATTAAATCTGCCAAGAACAAAGGGCTTAAACTAAGTGGACGTGGTCACGCCCTTAACAGGCAGGGGTACGGAGCAAGGTGCTGCGGCCTGAGTTCCCCAATGGGGAGCTGGAGGGGCTGGCAGAATTTGCCACCATCCACGCATTGGAAAGAGGATAATTGCGACCGGAGGCAGAGTGCGAAAGGTCATGCTGGGGCCTGGGTACTGCTCCGGCACCGCAAGAAAGAGCGGAAAACTTAGCACTTCAGTGTGTCCGGGGTTGGCGGTTGTACAGGTCATGAGGGGTTACACCCCATGGCTAGATCGCAGGAGAGCAACCTCACATGACCCACTTATCACCAACTACTTCTGTCGCCAGGATCACTCGTAACTCATCAAATCAAAGGGCTGCAATGGCTCCTTCTAAGTCACTAAGAAACCAATCAAGCAATATGCCATGCGCTTGCAGCCGGCTTTGCTGTTGATGCGCATCATGTGAGCCCGACTTGATTGCTGCCTCTACATTCACGAATCACAATCTTCATAGTACCAAGGTGGCTAGGTGGAAAGGAGGCATGGCGCTAAGGGCCTTGGTACCCAACTAATCTGTACTGTGTACATCTATTCATTCCTCTTAACCCGAACGCGCCAAATTCTGTGCTGGCCGCATAGCGGTCTCAAGAGTCACGTACTCTCACTTGCAACTCGGACCGGAGACCACGCCTCAATTGCTCTCAATTGCTGCCATTTCACCCCTGCAGACGCCATTCCTGTCCGATGCGTGAACGGCACTGCTGAATTGTTTTCATAGCACAGAAAGATGGCCGCCCAAGAGCGATCGGAATCAACGGATGCCGTGCTGGACGGCCTCCTCCAGCAGCTGACCAGCGATTTCGAAAAATTTACATCGCACATTGCCGATCGACAGTGTACCGAACGATCAGCATTTGAGCAGCAAATGTCCACCCTTCGGAACGAGAAAGAAACGCGACAAGGACAGAGAAAAGCCATACAGGAAAAGATAAAGAGCCTTCAGGAGGAGCTGCAGGACCTCGACCGCCAGGATGATATGGACAACAACAAAGCGATACAATTGCAGAGCGAATACAATGCCGTGAAAAGGAGGTGGGAACAGACCCAACAGGAATGGAAAGCCCGACTATCGGCGGCGGTTCCGCCCATGGTACGCATACACCTGCGGTATCTTGCTGCCTTGTCGTCGGCCTAACACATGCATTCTACACAGGAACGGATCCCACCCAGCTCCTCGCCCGAAGTTCACGGCGCCAACGGCCCGCAAGATTCCCCTGCTACGCCGAGTCGCGCGCAGGGCGAGATAGAGTCGCACAGTCAGGTACGACAAGACCTGCGAATCGGGACCTCCCGTGCCGCTGAGTCCCTATCTTTAGCACCTAGCAAGCCTGGAGTACTAAGGCATCCGGAGCCGGTGCTCGCCGCCACCGTACGTAACTTCAATGCCTTATGAACCTCCACAGCTGATATCCGCCTCGCAGAACCAACAGAGCTCTGACGGCGTGCCCAATGTTCGGCGCACTCAGAGGAAGCGAGATTCCAACGAGCGCGACGGCGGCGATCGACGGCCTGCCAATCACCCACGGAAGAAAGCTAGGAATGACGAGAGGGCCATTGACTTTAACGACGTTTATCAAAACGGGAACGCCGAGCATAAGCACGCCATCATTGAGTACCCATCGGGCAGCGACAGATGGTACATTCTTCGCTGCGACCTGCACTGTCATTTCGGGAGCAATCCGCTTCAGGGGGCAATGGAATACTTGAATGGGAAGCGCCACGGTAACCTCCCCAAAAATAGCGCCACTGCCATTGAGAAACTCGGCATTCGTGTTCGAGATTGCGATGCACGGAAGGCGAGACGCAACAATCTTGCGTTCAACCTTGCTTTGGATGCCGGATATCAACCATTCAGAGTCAAGCCGGCCCATCTGAGTCGCCCTGAGACGGGCGAGCAGCCGGGATCGGCACCCAATAAAGTCAGCCATGATCACCGGCCTACCATAAAAAAGCAGGGGAGATTTGAGGGGATTACCAACCCGGCCGTGGGTGAGCTCTACCGGGTACTGTATGAAAGTGCTTATCACGCCGTCCTCATGCTGCCCACTGGAAGTTTCGAGTCGGTGGGGATGGTTGGCAGCATTGCCGAGACGGGGCTCGCTGGTTACATACCTAGATGCTACCGTTCTGACAGGCAATCAAAAACGATCCACGGGTGGGCGGACGACTACAAAGACGACGGACCCCTCATTCACCGGCGGAAGTTCCCCGTGATGTATCTCGACGGTCTGGACGTACCCCTGGATGGAGAGTTTGGAATCCCCGAAGGGAATCTGTTCTCGTGGGTACCCGCCAGGGATTTGAGGCGCTTTAGCTTAGACGACCCCGAATGCCGGAGCGTTTGTGGTTTCGGAGCTGCCCGGTCTTTCCGTTGGAGGATGGAGAAAATGGCGGACGCACAGCGTCACGGGAGCCACGGTCTGTTGCTCGTACGAACCGAGAAGTCTATGCCGTCCTGATGCTGACCGGGCAGTGATGAACAGCGGACGCGTCTTTCAGGGCTCGCTACGCTAGTGGTCAACACGTACAGTACAATGTTCGGGCGCAAGACGCGCATGGGCTTACACTACTAGCAACACCTAATCCGCAAGCACAGCTGATTGATGTCCCTCCCATGCCGGAATCGGGCAGTCCATCTGACAACGAGCCTGAAGGATTAGGTTCAGACGATAATGGCGTTGGCAGCCCTGTTGATCGTGACACAGGGAATGGTAGGACCGAGTCTGGCCACGATGGCCATGTTCATACACACCAGCGAGATGAACTTGGAGAAGCCCCGACCGGTCTCAAGCTACGGCCCCGGACATTTCCGAGCACGACTTGCGGCCAGCACTTGCCTAACGCACATCTGGTGACGTCCACTCCCGGAGAGAGTCCAGGATCGTCGGTCTCGGTGGTTCAAGATGCATGCTCGGAAGAAGCACAGCAAGGGTCCAGCAGGCCATTAACGACTCAGGGTGACCCTAGCAGCGCAGCTACAAGGCTACCTCTTCTGGATTTGCCCGGCATCGCTCAAGGAGCACTAGTCGTGGCCGCTCGGGGGCCACCGCTCCGGAGAACGCATGAAAGATCGGGGCGAGACAAACTCTGTTGTCGCTCCATCGCCCCCTTCCCATGTCCGGCTCTCGAACGAACACAGCAACGATCCACGCAGCCCATACACTGTGGAGATGCTTGAGGATGGAAATCGCAATCACATCGGACTTGTGAGCTCCGCCGAGCAAGATCTCTCAACGCAGAATGCCCGCCGGCCGTCGGATGAGAGCGGAACCAGGATAACCGCTCCGTCGCGCGCGCATGCTCCAGATTGGCCCACACGTTTCCAAGCTCACGCACCGACCTCCTTACCGTCGCCTGGTGCATTGTTGACTGGTGTTGGCCGGGAACGATGTAGTGAGCGACATCTTGCCTCTGGAACATCTTTGCCAAGCTTCGACTCCCTCTCTCAGGCGCCACTGCAGCCCTTCGGGGGTCCACTTCCCAAAATCAACCTCCCCCGCCTCCTTCCCAAGACGAACGGCTATGATCATAACAGTAAAAGCAACCTGGCCGGCCGTGACGGCCTGTATTCTTGTCCGGTTTGCGGTCGAGGGTTCAATCGCGTGGTTATCATGGAGAGGCATCTAAGGGTGCATGGTATCAGACCACCACCACCGAGGGAGGGAGAGGGAAGACTGGCAGTGGTTTGATACGCACACACACACACACAATTTATTCCGCCCGGCGGGCTTAACCCGAAAGGGCAACTACCACTCGTGATACAGCCGCATGCAAAACCAGTTTAACCCCTAATGCACCAAAGAAAAGTTCTGAGCACGGGTTACAGATCCACTTCTGGCGCTGACACAGTGCGACCCCTTCGTTTCGCTAGACAGACCTGATCGACCTGATTTGCAGCCGAAAATGGCTGCGGGGAATCCGGACACGTGGAAATGTAGAGCCTCACCGTCTCCGTCCATCAGCTGCAAGCTGCTCTGAGAGCGCACAAAATGGTAGAAGAGAGAGCATGAGCCAGATTGAGCATTGCACGGGCTTTAAGGAGACTAGGACATATCTTGGGAAATGTATGGTTAAATTGGTATTAGTTGCCCTTTCGGGTTAAGCCCGCCGGGCGGAATAAATAGTGTGTCTAGTATGGAGGTTCCAGAACATTCCACATCGCCACCGAATGCGTTTATATTCACCGTAGCGCCTTGGACCATCAAAAGGCAAAAGAAAGACTTAAAATGGCAAATGATCACGGGAGAATGTAAGAAGGAAGACTCGTCCTGACGGGCATCCGATAGCCACTGTCGACGTCGCTTTATTCACATGCGACACTCCCGGCCGGTATGTCGGTGGCAGCCACAACACCTTCCTCGAGAACCAAGTGACCCACGCATTGTCCGCGCTAAACCCAAGGAGCCAATCACCGCGTTGTGAAAGGGGGCCAGGTTCTGCCCTCAATACAGGTGCCGGCGTGGCCGTCGCCGGCAAAACTGTTAACGACCATGACGTGCTGTTCAGTGTGAAAGTGCCTACGTCTGTATGGAGAGAGGAACAGGTTCTGTCAAAGGTGAGGTGCCCGATAACCCTGTCGGTCTTGAGCGTCGCCGTACAGGCACCTGTTGCTGCGTCCCAGAGCTTGATGGTCGTATCGTTCGATGCCGATGCGAGGATCTTTGAGTCGTGGGAGAACGTGACCGAAGTGACCCAGTCGCTATGCTCCTTGAGCGTCGCCGTACGGCCAACCGTTGCTGTGTCCCAAAGCTTGATAGTCGTGTCGTCCGATGCCGATGCGAGGATTTTTGAGTCGTGGGAGAACGCGATCGAACAGACTGACTCGTTATGCTCCTTGAGTGTCGCCGTACAGGCACCCGTTGCCGTGTCCCAGAGCTTGACGGTCTTGTCGTCCGATGCCGATGCGAGGATCTTTGAGTCGTGGGAGAACGTGACCGAAGTGACCCAGTCGCTATGCTCCTTGAGTGTCGCCGTACAGGCATCCGTTGCTATGTCCCAGAGCTTGATGGTCGTATCGTTTGATGCCGATGCAAGGATCTTTGAGTCGTGGGAGAACGTGACCGAAGTGACCCAGTCGCTATGCTCCTTGAGTGTCGCTGTACAGGTGCCCGTTGCCGAGTCCCAGAGCTTGATGGTCTTGTCGTCCGATGCCGATGCGAGGATCTTTGAGTCGTGGGAGAACGTGATCGAACAGACTGACTCGCTATGCCCCTCGAGCGCTTTTCTATGTGCATCCCAATCTAAATCAACTTCCGGCGGTAAAACAAGCCAGGTGGGAAATTGATCCCGGAATATCCTTCGGACGACGCTTTGCTCTGGCGCGAATACGATCGCCGAACAGTAGATCTGAAGAGGCGATATATCAATAATAGAGCAATGACTTAGAATAACCCGCCTAGTATCAAAAAGGAAAGCTAAGAGCTTGCCGCTTCCTTCTGACTAAGAAAGCGAAGTCAGTATGTCATCCCATGAAATACTTGGCAACGTACATCGAGTAAGCCCAGCAAATCGTCCACCATACCGATACTCTCCGAAACCCACCCTAGAAGACCCAGCGCTTCGAGCCAGTGCAGGAGATGACAGGCCAAAAAACGATGAACGAGGTCGCCATCCCGTACCAGGCACCTGCTCTCCTTCCAGTGGTACACCCAATACCGACAGGCGTACTGGACGTCAGGTGGCAGATTGGTGTCAATGCTCTTCTGGTCAATCTCTGACCGGCGCATCCCAGGCAGACGGAGCCCACAGACATCTTTCTTGAGTCTATCTTCTGTCGATAGCAGCTCTAGACACCGGACTGCCAGACGCTCATGGGTTTTTTGTTCGTCAACCCAGAACGGGTACTTCTCTTGTTCATCGGTCTTATCAGAATTGACGAGGAAGTCGCGGAAAGACAGGTGGAACATCCTGACGGGAGACTCAGGGGAGGTCGGTACGTTAAGGATAGAATGAAGTGGCTCGAGCCGGCGAACCACGACGTTCTCGGGAACACTAAGGAGACGGGCCAAAGATCGTTTCGAGAGAGGTTCGGCGAGGAGTACAAGCGAGCCTACGACTGTACGAAACTCATTGACAAGGGATCTCTTCGTCACTTGTGAACCCGTAAGCAAGTGGTCAAGGACCGGGCAGTAAGTCGCATCTAGCTTGTCGACCTCGGATTGCTGCGTCCTTGACTGAGATTCCAAGACTTTTGCCAGTTGCCCAGCGGGATCGCGCCATGCCGGATCTTGGATGAAACGACAAATGGTGGCTGCAAAGATAAAGAGAGGGACGGCCATCTGGACCAAAGCGTCGACCACTCCAAACCCCGGCCAATCTGGTGGAAGTTGTCCCTCGTTGGGGGATAGAGCGTTATAGTCATCTCGAATTTCTGCAAATCTGAATCGTAGAAATGCTGCTATATCGTGTTCGATGATTGGCTTTGGGATCTCGTGCAAGACCAGGTCCTGGTATTTTCCTTTGATATCGGTGAAGCCGAGTCGAACTGGCAGCTCGGGCCTGCTCGTCACGAAAGCTTTCAGCCGCACCAAGGTCAGCGGCTTTGCCTTCGACAAGAGGCCAATAATAAGTCGAATGTCCTTATCTCTGTCGCACTCGTCAAGAGCATCGATGACGAGTACAATAGTCCTTGATTTGTTTAGGTCGCCTTTCAGCTTCCCAAGCGGCTCCAAAACAAGCTTGTCGAACTGCTCTTCCAGGGGCTTCTCTGTGACGTGTGGGTCGGCATTGATGGCAGCTCTGATGTGTGCTGCCACAGCAGGCTCCTTAACGACAAGCTGAGAGGCAATGGTTGGGAACAGCAGCGCCGCGTTACCCCGGTCGCGCTCGCCTCTCTTGAAGAAGAAACTAGCACCAAGAACTCCATTGTCGGCGAACGACTGGGAGACTGTGCGTGATATGGTGGACTTCCCAGTCCCTGCCATGCCGTTCAGCCAGAAGATGCATTCGCCCTTTGGGTCGTCCGCCCATGACATTATCTCCCGCCGGAGGTCAACTCTGGTATCGGGGTGACATCGCGCATCGTGCTCATCAGCATGGGAGTCAAAGGCAGCATCCTTTGCAATGGGGAGCTTGGAAAGGACGGCATCGCGGATTGTCTGTGAACTCGAGCGTATCTCGTCAAGGACACCACTATTGATAGTTAGAGACCTTCGGATTCGAAATTGAGGGGTAGAACATACGTTATCTTCGCGCTGATCCACCGTTTAAAATCATCAACGGAGTTGTCTCCCTCCGGCGGAATCTCCAGTGCTTTCGTAAGACCTTGTGGGGAAGTGGTGTCGAAGTAGGCGCCTCTTATCAAACTGTCGTGGAACCTAGAACCGTCTTTGACAACGGAACTTGCCGCCCGATGTTCGAGAATGTCGCTTGCCGGCACCAACTCATCATTGTTGCCCACCCTGGCGGAGCATGTCCCCAGTTTCTCCTTCATATACATCAGGCAGAGTGTATAGCAGAGAGAGATACCGTGAGACATATCCATCACAATCTCATCTTGGCGAGTATGAGGCCCGGAGGAAAACTTGTACAACAGAGGATGCGCAATTCGGTTGTACAGGCTCTCTGCGATAGTCGTGAGCTGTATCTCGAACATGACGTTGCAGAACTGAGAGAGGGTTCCACAATTCCCGTCTTCCAGGCTGAGACGGTAATTGCGGGTTTGGTAGGCACCAAACCATGTTTTCCAGAATCGACCGACTTCACGATCAGGACGGAAGATAGCTGGCTCCCTCTCCTCCCGAAAACCCTTCTTGATGAAACCTACGGCTCGCTCCATGTCGTCGGGGAATTCCAGCACAATCCTGAGCCCGACAAGGTCATGAATCTCATGGAAGATGTCGGAGAGACTCTTGAATTGGTTTTGCTCTCCGCGTGCCTTTTCGCGCCGATCGAGTGACTTCTGGATGGAATCCACCGTCTTGATTCTGCCAGTGACTTGGCCAGCAATACCTTCATGCTTGAGGGCATTTTCGCAAAATTCCTTCAATCCTCTCATCATGACTTTGTATTCACTCTGTAACGCAGGCCAGATGTCGTGGAAGAAAGCGCCTCTGAAATCTGGATTGATCGACGCACGAATCATCTGATCGCGTTTCGTCCACAATGGCTGATTTGGAACATCGCCGTCGCATGCTCTGGCTGGAGCTAGCGAGTGTGAATCCATGGTATGCAGCCGGCGTGGTGGGTGTTTTCACCAATCAACCGAACAAGGTGCCGATCGTGGCCGTGATGAAGCTGGCATAACCGCCTGCACAGACGGTGGAAAATTGAGGTGAAGCAGAAAATATGACTGGAGGGTGCGAATAGCCGAGTTGAAGTTGTGATAGGGTTATTTCTCAAAAGACGATGCGCTTGTGAGTGAGCATCATCAACAGAGGGCTGGGCCAAAGGTGATGAGAAGCCAATTGTTCCGGGAGAGACGACGTCCGGCGGGCGGTTGCGTTGGGCGTCAAGCGGCTCTTGCGGTTCCGTATGCCTATTAGTTTATATGATCCAATCACAGTGTAGCAGGACGAACTTGGGGGCTGTGCTAGGTTTTCATTGCCGCGCTTCGCGACACCAATGGCCGGCCTGGAAGAGGCACTTTGCGAGGCGGCCACGGATGGGCAGAGAACCCAGCAGCAACCTCACGTGGCACAGCAATCTCACGTGGCGCAGGAGATAGATGAGGTGCATAAATATCTCAAGCTGCACCTGTAATTGGCTACATATACATCGCACTGCATAAGGCGGTTCAACAAGGCATACTAGCATCTACAGCGGGCATCGAAAGTTCTCAGCAGAGCGCAATCCGAAGTTTCAGAGATTCACACTCTTAGGTTAAGTTGTAATACATAGGGATCCGCAAATGTTGAGCTGATTCTTGTATTCATTCCTTCCCTCTCCTTTAGATTGCTATTATCAACCGGCCCACGAGTATGAACCACGACAAAGGATCATACAGAAATTTTGTCCAGTCTCGATGCCAAACCAATCCTTGCGTCACTGGATTAGCCGAATATTTGAGATGTAGACCTGGGGCTGCAAGTACCATTGTTACTCTCGACTACCCTCGGAGCGGACAATCGGCACCAAATCCTCGAACGGTAGCCCAGGTGGATTTGGCCGAGCTAATCGATACCACCCCTACAACCGCTGGGCGGATTCTGCTCGTCGAGAACATCCAACCTCATCTGATCAGTCTTCTCGGCGAGATCTTGGATGTGGATCCAATCTTCTTTGCCGGCCATGTCACCACCGACTTCCAAGACATTGAGAAAGCACCTCTTCCTCCTTCTCTTGCGTTCTTTCCCTCCCAGATCGCTGAGAAGGGCTACCTCCATCTCCACTATCAGCAGGTGCTAGACCTGAGAAGCTCAGGCGCGTTCAAATCTTCTTCGTACAGCCTGAAATCGGACTCCAACGTTCCTCGGAATGTCCGGCGTCTACCCCATCTATCGGGCCGACAGCTTGCTCTTGCCCGAGCGTGCTGTTCCATTCTGGTGAAAAAGATCAAGGACTCGTGGATTTGTAAGTCCTACTCGGATATATTCACTATAGTATTGACGACGTTTCTGACATCCATAGGCCTGGTCCTCGTCGATCCCCCTATAAAGATGGTAGTTGAGACTTTGGGATCGGGCGGTCGAAAGTCACATCCAAGTATGCTTTTGCATGGAGGCTTTGAAGACTTTGGGCATTCGACGTCTTTCGCATCCTTCGGATCTGTCTCGAGTGACCGCCTACCTGACAAGAAGTCGATGCTCAGCGACCTGCTCCACTACTTCCGCCACCAACCTCCTGGGTTCATGGTAGCCAAGCCTCGCACCTTAAGCCTTGGCTACTACCCAATACGTATCGTTTTAGCTGAGTGGATCCTCTACATACATGTGACGAGTCGCTACTTTAAGTATTACGAATATTCTCTACACGACATCGAGAACCGACTACACGATGGCGACATCATTGACCTCCAGCGTTGGCGGCGGCGGTATCTGCAAAGCCGGCACAAACTGATCCTTCTCTCCGAGTTCATCGACTACTGGTTGCAACAGGAAGCCGACAAACAGCCGTGGGTTTCAGTGCAGAAGGATATCAAGCATATGTTATCACAGCTGGAGCAATATAGCCGCTCGCTCGAGCACATGGTCCCGATGGCAACGTCGATGGTGCAGCTGCTCGACTCGCGGCGCTCGATGCTAGAGGCTGCCAACGTTAGCCGACTCACTTTCATCGCGGTGGTGTTTGTGCCGCTGTCTTGGGTCGCAAGCCTTTTCAGCATGTGCAGATGATTACTCTCCAGGACACAGGAATTTCTGGGTGTATTTTGCTACTGCACTGCCAGTACTGTTTCTGGTATTGCTTTTATCAGCTGTGCAATGGGGCCAGCTAGAACGAAAGCTGAAGAGGGTCGGGGCAGTTTTGAGGTGGCAAGCAGAGAGACGGAGGACTGAAGTAGTGTTAGCGTAGTCGCGCGGACCGTCAGCAGTTCTATAATATGTCAATTAGTTATGTAGTTACTTTAAGTTTGTTGAAGAAAGATGTTGTAACAGGTGGGAGCATTGCGCGAGGCACCTTTGGGATCTCAAAGAGCGGGATATAGGATTTGTCTAGCGACTAACTAGACCATTACTCTTCATTGCGATCTTGAGCCACATCGACGCTATCGCTGGTCGATGTCGATACCGCTGGGAATCAGCGATCGCTAGGAAAGAAAATTCGCCGTATGAAGCGCGACGAACACGCGCGAGGACATGTCTCATTCGTTCCGGGATAAGCGACGCTATACCAGACAAGGTCGTAGTCGGCTGATGACATTAATCTGATTCCGCAGGCGGCCGAAGATGCATCAATCCGCCCTTGGCGGTGGTTTTAGAAGCTTCGACGAGTCTCAACCCCTCACCATCGCTGGCTGCCAGATCCAAAGGCGGTTGAGCCTCCAGAAGATCTTCGAATATGGGTAAGTATTGCCTCTGACCTCCGATATAACGCTGACACTCTTTAAAGACTTGCCTTTAGACCAGTTTAACATAGACGATTGGCTGATTGACAATGCGTTTGCCACACAAAGCGACCGACCATCCGCCCGAGATCATGCAGTGGTGGACTGCCAATACATCTCCTTTCCTACCCGTGCTCTAGGGACATGCATTCTCCGGCCCCACTCTGCCGCCACAGTGCCTAATCGAGGAGGCCGTTGCTCTGGGTGATGGGTATGGTATGTTGTCGGTCTGATTTGTCGACATTTCGAGTCAAAGGGTAGTCATTGTGTCCTTGTCCAAGCTTGCCGAAGCAACGGGGAAAGGGCGCCCGGTGTTCAACCCGGACAGACACAATCACAAACCAGATATTATCACAGTATCCTACTCCTATACACTCTACAGCCTCCACGAGCTGAAAATATAGAGCCAAATCACAAGCTGACCAGCCCAATATCAAGAAGCGGATGGCGCTTCCGACACTATCTTTTGCAATTATCCCACCTATTATACTGATTCTTGCACCCGGCCACGGTGTACTCCCCATTTTCTCCTCCCTTGCCGAGCCTATGCACGTCCTGCCGGCGTTGCTTGAGGTGGCTGGAGGCTGCGAAACCCCTTGGCGGTGAGCAAAGGGGTCAGGGATGATGAGGCCGCAGGTTTCACAGAAACTGGACGGCCATTGCTCGGGGCATGGACTGCTGCTAGGGTAGGTTGGTGTTGAATTCCGGAGCTACAGTATAGGTACCGCTGTCAGGCGCTGCTTGGGTGTTCGGCAAACGAAGGTTGTTGTGCGACAGTTGTGTTTGTTGTAGGGTACTCGGGAACACAGTGGAAATAGGATATCTTATGATCAGTGCAAGGAGCAGCGAGTGATTAACAAGCTACCGTGTGCGGAGCGTAGACAGGAGAGGTGCTTTGAGTGTTGGGTTGGATTGATAGACTGAGGCTATATTTTTGCTCGGGATTGCGGGTCGGGTTAAGGTCAGGCGAGGCGTTGGCGCGGAGTCGGTCGGCAGACAGGTTTGCGGATCGGAACCGCCGTGGCGGAGTGGGGCCCGAGAATCCATGACCCAACGGCCGGGAGCCGGAGCGAGAGCACGACTGACGGTACTTCTGAGCCGGGCGACTTGCAATGGTAATATTTCTTTACCATTCCCGCTCACTCTTAAATACAGCAAATAAAAGTAATCACATATTAGATAATATAAATGTTTCTAAAGGAACAGCCACTTTCTATTGCACCTTCCTTCCGACCATATAGCAGCCCGCGCTATATAGCTGCTAGCACAGGTCTATTCCCTTACCCAGACTTCAGAATTATTCCCGTCCAGGTGATGAATCAACTAAGCAGATAAAAGGCAGTTCCAGCTTCAGTTGCTAACGCTCCCCACCTCCTTTTCTCTTCATCACTTGTCTTTGTCTACCACCTCCTTCTAGCGGTATAAGCGAGCGAGATGGCAGATCGTAGAATGGTGGGCCGATAGTGGCCCGAAGACGCAGACCGACCCGGAGTCGTGCATCCACGCCGTCCAATGGACCATCCGACTGGCAAGCACATTCTTACAAATGAGCTGCCGGACCCCCGGGCGCCGAGAACAGCACGGCAAGTATAAGAAACGCCTTCCCTCCCCTTCTCCCCCAACTTACCTACAATCACAGGGCTTGTTTCCTTCCCTAAAAACAGAGAAAGGAAAGAGCATTTCAACCGGCACAGCAATTTCCAGCTACTCGTTGCATCGCTTTAGTCTGTTAGTGAAACCTAATGGATATCATGATTCCGAGACTCGACTTTTCCCGCTCAACGGGATCCTGGGCTGTTTTTCACACGCTCCTCTGGTATGGCTTTTCTGCTCGAGGATGCCAGCGTGCCTCGGTCTCCGCATGCCGCGTAATCTTTTGACTCGGTCTGCGGCTTTCCAGGTTGGCTAATGCTCTTCCAGGCTTTATCGTTATATGCGGCTTCTTATTCACTGCGTCAGCCATTGGCGTTACAAGTCCAAAGTGCCAAACTGGGAAAAGCCAAGGTACACGTCCCGAGATGTCACAGTGATTATACCGACTATCCACAACCGCCCCAAGGAGCTGCGTCCCTCCCTCGAGAGCATCCTGGCCTGCAAGCCGGCCAAGCTGATTCTCGTGACTACGTGGAACAAGCATGAGGCACTGAGCCGAGTAGCTACGACGCTGCGAATACCGGATGCTGCGTCTCCCGTCGAGATCGACGTGCTGCACGTTGACAAGGCAAACAAACGTTTACAAGTCTGCAAGGCGCTGGAGGATGACCACGTCAAGACGGCCATCACGGTCATGGCTGACGACGACGTAGAGTGGCCGTCCACCCTGATGCCGTGGCTGCTCGCACCGTTCGAGGACGACCGGATGGGCGGAGTCGGAACGTGTCAAAGGGTAAAGCGCGTCGTCGACGGGGATCTTACGACTCGCATCTTCAATTGGCTCGGGGCCGCGTACATCGAGCGACGCAACTTCGAGATCTCGGCAACGCACAACATCGACGGCGGCACGTCCTGCATGTCTGGGCGCACGGGCGCCTATCGCACCGAGATCCTGAGGAGCTATGACTTCTTGAAGAACTTCAAGAACGAGAAATGGGGAAGGTACATCCTCAATGCCGACGACGACAATTTTGTGACACGATGGCTAGTGGCCCACCAGTGGAAGACCTGGATACAGTACGAGCGCGCGTGCGAAATTGAGACGACGCTCGAGAATAGCAAGAAGTTTCTCTACCAGTGCTTGCGCTAGGCAAGGAGCAACTGGAGGAGCAACTGGACCAGTCTGGTGCGCGACAGATACGTGCTGACGTATGTCACGCCGGCTTTTCCTCCCCATACAATAAGCGATCCTCACGCTAACTGTTTTCAAACATTGCAGTCAACAGCCGTAGTGCACCTACACGCTGCATATGGCGACTTTCACCTCGCTGGCCTTCGTGGTCGACCCGCTTCTGCTCTTCTCGTGCTGGTGGGCTACAGAAAACTGGGAGCCCAGAAACCGGTGCATCCTGCTCGGGGCGGAGATCGCATTCATGTTCGGCTTTACCAAAGTAGTGAAACTGGTCGGCCTGTTCCGCAGGAATCCGGGTGACATCATGTTCCTACCGGTGTCCATCCTGTTCGGCTACTTCCACGGCCTGATCAAGCTCTATGCGCTTTTTACACTGAATGAAGTAAGTCACGAGCGCCCTTCCAGACCCGCCCCACATACAGGCTATAATGGATAGTTCTGACTTCGAAGTACAGACGTCCTGGGGAAGCCGCGAGGACGGCGATGAACACAACACTTTCCGTCTGCAGAAGAAGCCTGCCTGCAGCTAGAGCACGGCGATGGTGTTCGGACAAGGTTTGCACAGAGCGATGGAGAGCCGCCCGGGTCTATAATCGCCGCCGAGCCTCGGGCAGTGCGAGACTAGATGGGACTGCCAAGAAACTCGCAATAGCACTGTTTCTTCACTATTCAAGCCTGCTTCTAAACACACGAAGAGAAATAATTAGTACAGACCATATCGATCCCAAGCATCGTTATTCCAAAATAGGTATTCGGCCTTTGGAATAACAGGTAAATATTGCGAAAACCTGATAAACCGGAACAGTCGGCCAGATTTCGCAGCCGTCAAAGGTCACTAGGGGCCAGCAGGAGCTTCCCGTTTCCACCTCCTTGATGAGCGGTGCGAGTAGGCAGCTCTCTCCTCTGGTGGACCTGGGATTAGACCATGGTGCTGAGAACTCCCAGGGACCGACTCGCAACTTACCGGGCTGCTTTATGCCATGACGGAGAAGCGCTACTTCACGGGCCAAGTTCACGTCGGCCCACATGCTTTTGCGGCGGCAGCGGACGCGGAGGGGGAACACATGGCTCAGTCGCGATAATGGAAGACGCTTTCGATCCGTGTTCTGCATTTCCATGATCGGATGAGTGGACGTCTGCCGGAGAATGTTAGCTATAAGAAGCCTTGCGATGCTAGGCGGACGGCGGGGCAGACGCAGCCGGGGAGGCTGCATGACGACCCCGGAAGACCTCCTTCCGCCACTTTTTCCGCGATTTCGGCTTGTCTGTATTTAGCAGATATAGCTTCGACAAGGATTTTTGTCTACTATAATGTGAAGTCGACAGCTTTCTTGAGCTCCTAAGGGCCCGCCTCCCCTCTAGTCTTGAGTGCATGCTGACGTTTCTTTACGTACCCTGCTCAATGGTAGCTGTGCTCTATGCGACAGTACCTGTGCTCCAAGACTGCTGGATCGTGATTTTCGGCGATGTCGGGCGTTATCAGATGGCGGTCGATGGCAACGATATTCAGGACCGGGAGGGTTGGGCCGCCGTTAGCCGGGACCGGTACTCTAGGGCCTCCGAAAAAGCTCCAACGATAGACTGTCTCTTCTACCACCTCGCCATCTTAAGCCGCACTAACACGTTACAACAGCTGTGCTATATTTTGAAGTCGCTCTATGTGGATGTGCCGTTCGGATCAGCGCGACAAAGTATCCTTACCTTTCTTAAACCTATCATGTCGCCCGCCAAGATTCGACCAGCAGGCCAGAGCTCAACTTTGGACTATTAACACAGTGTAACACTGTCCATAGTGCTTGCCTGGCGCTCGCTAGGCCTTTATAAGCGGCCAACCCCTCTTTCTGGAGGTCCCGGCCACAATTATCTTCCTAACCCTCCCGCCCTTTCCTTAACGCCTTTAAATCTCCTCCTATCTGCTACTCCTACAGCCGCTCTCCAACCTACTCGCCCCATAAAATGGACGAGGACAAATGGCAACAGATGATGGCAAGCGTCGGTCAAGAGACGGCTGCGAGCGGCCGTATAATCCTTGCTATCGTTACTGAGATGCAACTCACCGGCCTAGATTTCGACTCTACCTCGTTCAAACTGCCGTCCAAAATTGCGGCGCTGATTCTGGAGTGGGAAGCTACCTTTCTGCGCCAAAAAACCATCGTTCAGACCTTTATGAGGCCCTCACAGTCAACCGGACCGTCTCCTCCTCCCTCCCAAGCTGGACCGGTCACTGCTCAGCCAACCCCTGCTCAGGCGGAGATCCCCGAGCTCAATAACGACCAGTTAGCCCTCTGGTCCAAATTGTTAAATTCAGAGATGGATAATGGGGTTGTGTACCCTCGCAACCCTCCGGCATCTTCGACCACCCTGCGCGCCTGCCTGGCACAAGAGTGAGTCTTTCTGTCCTGTTCCCAACGGAGATCTGGCGGCGCGGTTGGCAGGACACTCCTTCCTTGGAATGAGTGGTCGTGGGTTCAAATCCCACTCATCGCTTTGCCAACAATCACATGGGAGTCGCGAGTCGCTATTGTGATTGCTATCGGTAGTTTTTGTAACCGTGTTGACCCTTCTTTTCTTAGTTTATCCGCCGAGCCCGGGTCTTCTTTGTCGATGCTAGCGCTCGTGGGCGGTCAGGGCGTCGGGGGAACTCCTGGAGCTTCTCGGGGCATTGTAAGCGTCCAGCGCTCTTAGTCAGTCCTTCACTATATAGAGCAGTTTCTTAAGTTTAGCTGGATCGTTTCTTTATCTACTACCACGTAGCAGATCTGTTGTCGATCTCCGTAAGGGAACTGAGTGCAGGTATATCTTCGTGCAGTACAGATGGGGTGGCAGGCTGGCGACCCTTGTTGGAAGTGCCACCGGTCTGCGATGACGGAAGCGAGCATTATTATAATACGTGAGCGGGGCGTGAGGACTGCGCGCTGGTCCGCGGTGACGGAGACAAAGCCATGGGAGCGCGACCCATGGAGTCGGGCCGAATACACCATGAGGAGCTCTCCGTACATGCGGCTAGCTATGGTCCTCCAGGACATCCATCTCCTCCTGTAACAAGTGCCCCTCCTTTAAAGAAAAGACGACGTCCTCGTCGTCACCAAACATCATACACATACAATCAGTCTCCCGTGAACTCCGTGCCCCAATGTTCCGAGTCCTTGTCCCCATCACTTCTTCCGTCCGATCTGCGCAGCCCAGTCAATGATATTCGTGCGCGGGGGCGCCGGCGCAGGCATCGTGCGCGCCCGCGTGGCAGGCCGCTCATTTTCGGCAGCTGCATTCGCTCCCGTTCCTCCCCTGGTGGTGCGCGTGCCCGTGGCTGGAGTCTCCGCCTCACGCGGTCTCTTCCTGGTGGCCGTGGACTGAGAGCCCTGGTTAGCCGCGGCGGCGGGCTGGCTGATTGCGGTACGTCTGGCCGCAGGAGTTGCGGGGGGGGGCGAGGTCTTGACCTCCTTCGTTTCCTTCTGCTGGGTCTTGACGTCCTTCAGCTCCTTCTGCAGTGCCGCAACCTTGGTGACGAGTTCGGCAATCTTGGCATCCCGGTCTTTCTCGGCGTTGACCAAGCGCTCCACCTCCTTCTTGAGCACCTCGTGACGATCCAGGGCTTCCGCATTGCCCCGATCCTGCCTGTCAGCCACGGCCTTGAGGGCCGTGAGCACTTCATCCTGGGTGACCCTCTGGGCCATGGCTTCATTAAGTTGAGCAACTTGCGCGCGCAGTTCCTCGAGCTCGCGTGCCTGCTTGGCGCGATCGACGTCCTTAGCTCCAACCGGGGCAGCATGGTTGATTTGGCCATAGTGGAGGATCCCGAGTTCCGCGAGGTAGGTGTCGATGATACCGCTGCAGGTGCCATTCGGAGCGCAGTATCGATAGGCAAGAATCTCTGCCGGGTCCGGCAGACCCTGTACGACGCCAGTCTCAACCTTTTGGATAAGCGTGCCCTTGAGCCGGTCTCTGAGCCGGCGACCAGCGGCATTGTGCCCCCAGGTCCGATTCGGATCCTTGGAGACGTCGTCGTTGAACTGCTTGACGAACGCCGCGATCTTCCAGAGGATTGACCTATCCTCGAGGTGGCGGCACTCCCACCTTGCTCGGGCGAGTGACAGCTCGATGGGCGCGATGACCTTCTTGTGCACCCAGGGCTCGTCAGGGATGGCATGCAGCGCACCGCTTTGCACCATCTTATCCGACTTAAACGGGTCGTATTCGGTCCCCACGAGGCCCTCGCAGGGCACCACGGGTTTACCTCTTTTACCCTCAAAGCCTTCTACCTTTTTGGCGGCGGGTTCAGTCTCGGGTTCAGGCTCGGCCTCAACCTCGAAGTCGTTGCCCGATTCAGACTCGGGGTCAGAGAGGTCGGCGTCGTGAAATGCGAGGCTCAGGCTGTCATCGTGGTCGTCGTCGCTCATGTTTGCTTCGGTGGAGGGTTCCTTGGCCTGGGTGACCGGGCCAGCGTCAGGGCTCTCTGGAATGACGTTCTTTCCGAGCGGCGTGACCGGTGTGGGCGTGCTGCCATGGATTGGCTCGAACTGACTCGTCTCAAATTGCCGCATCTTGGGGCGATCAGACGCCGAGGCCTGGACAGGCTGGGCCAATGAAAGACGTGAAGTCGAGGAAAATCTCGCGATGGCCTTGCCAACTGCCTTTTGCACTAGCTGCAGGGGGGTGCTCCAGGTCCGTCGCTTCTCTACTTTCTCCTGGTTGGGCAGGCGCTTAAACTCCTCGTAATCGCGGGCCTCCAATTCTCGCCACTCTCCGCTGACCGCTCCAAGCGAAAAGGTAATCGGGTAGTGGCCCCCGATGTCCTCACTCATGTTCTGATCCTTCCATCGTCCCGAATGCCCACCGTGCGGGTTGATGAAAGCGTGGTACTCATGGGCATAGGCACCGACTGTGATGTACTGGGGGTTCACCCCGATGTACGCCATGGCTTCCTCTTCGTCAACGGCAATGTTTGTTCCAGCGAGCACGGTGTATGCGAAGCCTTGACGTTGCTCCTTGCTCTTAATAAAGGCATATTCTACCTCGAGACGTGGAATCCGTACGCCACTGCTCCGCAGTTCTTCGTCAGACCAGACGAAACGCTTCCAGTTGTCAGCTCGGATCGTTTCCCCGCGGTGTCGGTTGTCGTCACACCACTGCTGTAACCGAAAATCGAAGAGGGCTTCCGGGAGATGAGGGGAGTTCCGGACTTGTCTGACCATCGCGTGGGGTGTCTTAATGGAGACCCCTTCGGTCAGCTTCCAGGTTATGTCCCCGGTAGCAGGGCTCAGTTTCACGAGCGGCTGTTCCGTCTTCCCGAAGATGTCTTCGTAGGTACCGAAGCGCGTGAAGACCAACTCGTCGCGCTCCCAGTGGTTGCGCGTGTCGTAAACGGTGTTGGCGTCGCTAACCTCCCGCTGGAGAGCCATGCTGCTAGTATGGACCGAATCATTGATCGGGCTGAGGTCGACGATGTCTTGCTCCTCATCGTCGTCAGAGATCTCAATCGGAGTGGCCAACTCCTTCTTCTTCTCGCCTCGCGCCGGCTTTTCGTTGCCAGGCGTGGTAGGTTTCGCCTTACGCTTTGGACCTTGACGAGCGCCGGGCATGTTTTTTCTTGCTCGCCGGGAAAATAACACTTGTGACAGGATGACGGGTATGTTTCCGAATAGAAGAAATAAGTAGAGACAAGGAAAAATTATCACAGGGCTCAGAAACAGGTGTTGTGGGCTTGAAGTTGGGTTTGACGACCGGCTGTGGAAGAAATGATGTCGTAGAAAGGGAAGAAATGGTGGAAGCCACCGAAATTTTGAATAGAATTTGTAGGCAGAGTCGGTCCTGGCCCGTGACCGTTTGGCAGGTGCGCAAAATGATCAGTATTACACCCTCTTTCTCATGCCGGGAAGGTTTCTGGGGTCATGGGCATGCTTAGCCTTAGCAACGAACGTGATGAACGCAGGGAGGCGCGCGGTAACGAGGGTAGGAAAGGTAATGGAAACAGTTGCAATGGAGAAAACAGGCGATAGGTAAGGAAAACATATAAACTGCCCTTCTTTGTGGAAAAGACCTAATCGTCCCCGATTCTTAAGTGTTGAATTGGCAGATGGCGTGGCCGTCATTCGACATCGATTTTCTGGAACTCGCCCAAATCCTTCCTGACCGGCAAGTCGATTCGGATCTGGTTCTCGAGCTTCGGGATTTCCTTGATGGCCTCGTATTCTTTGCGCTTGATGCCCTTCTCCTTATACTCCTTGTTTCAGTCGATAGGGTGTTTCTTTTCGTACTCCTCGACCATTTCTCGGGCGCCGTCAACAAGGTAAACTCTCTGGACCCACTGGTTGTGCATGTCCTCCCAGCCGAGGTACTTGACAAGGTACTCAACAGCGGGTTTCTTGTTTCTCTAGCGAATGCGGCGGTCAACAATCCTCTCGAGCTCCCATTGCTCTTCATCGTTCACTATGACCGGCGGCGGGGGCGGCGTCACGCGTTCGAAGGGGTCCGGTTCTTGGGGCACCTTGTAGAGCTGGGCGGCCGAAACGACCGGCCAAACCTTCCAGGATTTCGGAAAGTCCAGTTTGTATGCGAGGTTATAGACCTTCCGGACGATCTTGAAGGGACCAGCCCGCTGGGACGACCATTTCCGGCTGGGCTTGCCGGGCAGGTGGTACCCCTTGTGCAGGCGGAGGTACACCATGTCGAGCTCTCCGCCTATGCGGCTGGCTATGGTCCTTTCGGACATCTCCTCCTGTAACACTGACGGTGAAAGGACCTGTCCATCGGGGAGCAGTTCAAAGCATGCTCAGGTCGCAGGTTCGACTAATTGTCGTTTTCTGAGTGGATTTTCACTGCCCCCGTCTCGCCGGGGCAGCAGCCGCGTAACAGTTCGTCGCATGCTCAGGCCGAAGACGGGATTTTGGGTCGTCCCAGGTCAGGGGTTGTGTCGTGGATTTCTTCAGGACATCCTGGTAGGTTGTCACGGGAGCCGTCGTCGCAGGCTAGGCTCGATGGCTCTGGTGGGCAACTGACTGTATTGCAGGAATACTGAACTTGCAGGAGGAAAGGAATCCTCGAGGCTGCAAGATGCGAAGAAGTCTAAATACAGGATGTGGGGCACATGCCCAGATGTGGAAGGTGGGGCACCAACCTGGTCGACCAATCATGCATGCACCCACCGGAAGCCGGGCATATGGCTAAGCAATGGCCTGTGCCATGGTACGTACGGTGGGTTCCACTGTCACACTTCCCTGAGATCTGGCAGTCGGTCATCCACCTGGTCACCTGACTGTGGGCCTTAGGCCAGCATGGATTTAACCTGGGTTCGAGACTGGACAGCACTCTGGACAGCTCCCACTACTTCCTCGCCCTAGAGCCATTTACCATACACACTGACCACAGGCCACTCACCTGGTTCCTCGACGTATACCATGCGGAGGGCATCTATGCCCGATGGCTGACTGAGCTCAGAACACTCACCCAACAAGAGGGCTTGCTGAAATCTGGCGACAACGTTCTGACCTCCTTGTTCTGCTGGAGCCGAGCATGCTCCGTGGCCATCTCAGCGAGCCATTGCTGTTATTTGCTCAGCTATCCATACCGCGATATCCGCCGGTAATTCTTCGAGGGCTTGCATCTCCTTGTGATGACCTGTCAAATCGATTAGACTTCGTTCGAGATGGGGATCATCTCCAACTAACCGGACGCCAAGGGTTGTTCCTGGGAGCGATGAACATTGGTACAAGTGGGTGCCATGTTAATTAGGCTGTAGCAATACTGGCAAGCAAGCTAGCATGAAGCCTTAGTATATACTTGAAGCTGCTGTTTCACAGATCAGGTTCTGCTTGTGCTGCTATGCTCGCTGCCATGCTTGTCCGGGTTGCGCCACCATGCTTGTCCGGTGCGCCGCCATGCTTGCCGTGGTTGCGCCGTTTACTATAATTGCCTAACCTACATAGGCCGTGCCGCCCGAGCTGTGCCGCCCGAGTTGTGCGGCCGAGGTGCCGCCCGAGCTAACTACCTATGCCAAGCCGGAGAACCCGCCAAGCCGGCAACTCGCCCCGACCTCTGCCGTAGAATCGGAGTGATTTAGCGTTGGTCCGAATTTGCTTTCGGTCTAATGGCGATGGCTTAAGCGCTATTCTTAGAAGGTAGGTATTGCTAAATATGTATTAGAAATGTAATTATTTCGAATGTCTGACCATGGCGTAGAGGCGACATTGCGCCGCATAAAGCTTGCTATTTAATAGTATAGACTTTTTATCGTTTAAGATCTATAGTATGCGCAATGTTCTCTCCTAAAATGGACGAGAATACAAGCATTGATGATCAGAGGATAGCCATGGCACAACTCCTTCATAACGAATTCGTTCAACACAAGACCCTTGATGACTTTGCCTTGAGTTGTGCCAGTATCTGGGATAGCTGGGTCCAAATTCTTTCTCAAACTACTCTCCCCTCTACGATATCAAGCCAAGACTCACGCTTTATTCTCGCATTCTAGACGATCGAACGAACGATTTCTACGACAGATGGCGTGATCCAGTGGCTGGCATACGCCCGGTTAGTACATCTCTTCGCCTTCTTAAAAGAGATAATCGCAAGGGAACGAAGAAGTGGGATGTTTCAGCGGAAACGAGGCGTTGGTGCCGATAGCATTGCTATCAACATCTACCAAGACGCGCTGGAAGGCCAGGTTCAACGACGCAAGATCGTCGAACGCCGTCGGATCGGTAAAAGATGGTGACTACTTTCTAAGCTGTCTTCCCTCCTGCTTCTTGTTTACTCGACTTAAACTCAAAGAATCGTGTAAGTCTTAATTTCTTTAAGCGAAGGGATAATACCAGCTAATCGTTTTAGTCATGATTTAAGGGTTAGCAACTCAAGTTTGGAGCTGGTTGGCGATCAAGTCAGTAGAAGCTATCCGCCATAGTTTATTCGGCTATGTGTTCGACTTGCTCAGGGAGCAGAATAGGCAGCTATTACTGGCATTTGTAACTTGGAACAACTCTGGAATATTGTATGGCGCGAAGAAAATTTTGGATTGTAGAGTTCTTGATAGTCGCATCAGGGGTGTTTTGCTACGGACAGGGGAAGATTCGTTGACACTGCTAAACCAATCTGCTTGCTACGTCTTTCGGCCGGATGCGTCGTTCTTAAGTTGCTACACGATGTTGGTTTCTAGGTAATGGTGTAGATTACAAGGGAAACGGAAACAAATATAGATATTACAAACCACCTACCCATCCTCCTAGATTAAAAACAAAATAACTGACAAAGATCGAGTCCATACGCTCAGGCGTCCATTGTGCGGCCAGCTCATGCTGTCGCTAGCCGGGTTGCGCATGCCGTAGAAGGAGAGGCTGCGGTGCACCCCCGGCTGTTGAGTGATCAGGGTCGCTATCGGAGATGGCTGTTGGTGCAGCTTCTGAGCCTACACACCTAACGCGCCCTCAACTCCCTCCGGATGTGTGTTACTTTGTGCCTGGCGAGGTGTGGTAGCGAACGGAACCCCTTGCGGCACTCCGGGCATATAATATAAAAGTAAGTGTGCTAGCATGGAATCGTTGGTGTTTCTTACGGTCACACGGCCGGGAAAACGTCTTAGCAGATCCGGGGGCGCCGCAATGGTAACGTTTCTGCTTCGCCTGTTGCAAGAAATAGGCCCATTCTGCTAAGTGGTTCTCCTATAAGCAAATAGATCTCTAGGCACAGGGAGGTCTCTACGCCGGAGGAGACATCAAGTGAGCAATCTGGTAAAACGGCTGGTGCCAGAAGACGCCTCAATACGGATATAGCACAGTGAATGTGGTTTCCTGCTCATTTCCTGCGCCATGGACCTCGAACTGCATCCCGGAGCCCATCAGTCGCATTCTGACCGGCACCGACTGCAACTGGCCCAGGATATCAGGGCGTTCACACTTGATTCGGCACTCCTGCCGGGCTTCTTCATTGGAAGGTGCAGACTGAGGCGAGCGGTAGATCACTGCGCAAGGCCTGTTCTGGATCGTGAAAATGAATGCGTTGCGGGGAAGCGTGAAGGTGGCAGAGAAGTCGACGTCTTGGCCCTGGAGCGTTCGGGGTGCAGAAGATCAGTGAACTGTCCATACTAATAGCTGCTTGAAGAATGCGGATTAAATGGGGGGAAGGGCGCGGCCGAGGCGGGACCAACCTTTGTGACGAACCAGGTGATGGCGTTCCAGGCCCCGTTAGGAACGGAATAGCCGTAGCTATATCGGGCAACCCGCGAGCGGATATGAATGGTGGGGGGGACATTGGTGACCTGTGGAAGGTTGAATTGGTCCGCTTCATGTTGGTTCATGGCGACGAAATTTCCGAGGGCACCGTGCATCGCTGCGCCATGCTTGACTGCAATCATCCTGCAAAATGACACCAGCTAAGTTACTATCCGTGAAACCACTTTGATAGGGCCCAGAAGACATACCCATCTCGCCCAGTAAATGCGACATTGTTACGACCTAAATTACGGCGGAGCTCCGATTGCAGAAATTCGCTGCGGCCAAAGCCGCCGACAACCACAATGAGCTGGAGAAGAAGGTAGTGATTGAGTCAGCTATACCAGGTGGACTGTAGTATAGCGCCAGGGGGGGGGGGGGGGGGGGGGGGGAGGCGAACAGGGAGACCTACATCGGGCCCTCTACCGGTCTTCTCCTCCACCCCGTCCATTTACGTCCGAAGAAGTCTGACGATGCTGTCAGTGCAGGTGTTGAGAGCGCGTAGAACATCTCGTCTAGGTATAGTCTAGTTAGCTTGCCTCGGAGCAGGTCAAGACCTCTGAAGCTTGAAAAGGATGCCTACCCGGAAAGCACGACTTGCCGTCCGAGGCGGCCACCGACGTATGTGATGTCCAACCGGTGGCACCAGCCCGCTCTCCTCATAGTATTGCCCTGGATTCTAGACACTCTGGCCCAGGCCGCCTCAATTTCATTATCAAGGTCAGCGAGGTCAAGGTCTGCATTGTCACGGTAGTCCTCTTGGACGCGCGACTTGATCAGTGCTACCAAGGCGCTCTTCATAAACATATCGCCCAATAGTTGCCCCTCTCCGGACACAATCTCCCTGACGGTCAGGGTTTCGAGTGAGGTGATCTTATACGAAATCACATCCTGCGGATACTTGGATTAGCAAGAGGCGGCATAGAAAGGGGGCTAGTACCAGGGTTCCCCCTACCACTGTACCGCCACCGCAGTCGCAGATCACAATAGTCTGCCCATCCTGCAGATTATAGCTCGGAGCAAGTCGAGGAAACGTGGCGATAGCAGCAGCTTCGGGTTCGGCAATGAAGTCGAGTGGTGCCGGAGGCCTATCGCCTAACTCGAGAAGCCCCGAGTGCTGGATGGCCTCTTCCATACGCGAGCGAGTACCCACACGCCAGACAGCAGGGATACCAAAGACAAAGCGGACGTCTACATCACTAAGGCTCAGGCCCTTGCGTCTCAAGATGCGGGAAAGAGAGTCGGCCGCAGAGGCCCACAAGCGGCGCAGGTACTCTGCCACGACGTCGACGCCGGTCTTACTCGCTATCTCAATCTTCCCAAGGGCATCCCGGACGAATGCAAGCTGCTCTGGTGTTTGGCGATAGCTCTGAAGTAGATCGTCGGCGTGGAGAAGCTGAAGCTTGAACAGCGTGAATTTGTCTTCGCCTGCTGCGATGTCGTTACCCCAGTTGCCATTGACGCCCAACGCGGACGGCACCAGATTCTTGCGTTTGTTGCCGAACAGGATTTCGACGGCCGACGACACCGCTTCATTTGGGCCCAACAGGCAGTACGAAACCCCGCTCGTGCTGGAAGAGGCGCCGTGTTAGACGCCGCCCTTTGCGTCTCGGGATCATGATGCCAGGGGAAATCTCGCAAGCGCGAGCGAAGGGCAAGATCAAGACTCACCACACGCCGAAATCGATGCCGATAGAGAGCCTGTACGGCGTCGTCATGTTGCCTGGCAGCGGACTGCTGAATGCTGATAGAGTGGCAGTCAGTCGCTTGTCGTCGTGGAATCTGAACAAGGGCTTGAGTAACAGAGTGAGAAGCCTGAGAGGTAACCTGCTTGAGATTTTCCAACGATCCAATCCCGGCCGTCAACCTTTATGGATCAGCTCCAATGTTAGATGTCATTTCCACTTGCTCGCGGATTTGCACGGTGTCTGCAGGCCGGCGGTGAGGCATCTTGCTGTGAGACACATTGCAAATCCTACCGCTCTCTGTATCTGACGACTGCACTTGAAGCCCTTAAAACAAATGATTATGCGTTTGCAAAATGACTGCTAGCCCGCGGTGAAGCGTCCTGTAAGAGCTGAGAGACATATTGCAAAGCCTGCCGCTCTCTGTAAGGTAAGTTATCTGATAACTGCATCTGAAGCCCCTGAACGATCTGATTGTGCGTTTGCAAAAGGTGACACTAGCCGGCGGTGAAGCATCCGACATGAGACACATTGCAAAGCCTGGCAGCCCAGGCTCTCTAAATCTTACGGCTGCATCTGAAAGTTACCCAATATGCCAACCAAGCCAGCCGTTGCCCTTTGTCCAGTTTAGGGAGAAGCGGATGCCGGAAGCAGCCAAGCACACTAATATTAGCCAATTGAATCTTTGTCTCGTTTGCCCACTCCACGCCACACGCATACCTACCAAGTTACTACGCAACAGCCCGTGTCCGGGGCTCCGGGCATTCCAGGCGGCCGATCCAATTGTCTTGCCGCAACACCTGGGCAGCGGCAGACTCAACGCTCTGGTGTTTCCGCTTCCGGCGGCTTAGCCCCGGCTGAGGGAGAAAGAAAAAGATACCCCTCTTTGACGGGGTTTCACTTGCGCCCAACCCCCCGGGCGTGACCCCGACCTGGTGGTTTTGTTTGAAATATGAGCTGATAATCCTTCAAAATGGCAGCGCAGAGGCCACGGCAGAGACGCATGCACTCGGATTCTCCTCAACGACTCATCATATTACCGGTACCCTCGCTAAAACATGACATCCAAAGAGGAGGACGCTTCGGCTGGCAAAGCACGTTCGGCCTCGCCCGTCGGAGGCGGCGCTGGCAGTCAAACACGAGAGACTTCGCTGTCCAGTGCGGGCTGGGCCCCCTTGGGCACGGTCTGGGCCAAAGCACGTTCGGCCTCGGCCATCGGAGGCGGCGATGGCAGTCAAACACAAGAGACTTTGCGGAGCAGGCTGGCCCGCATCCCCTGTGACCCCTGGAACGTGGTCTATGCCAGTCCGACATGCCCCGCTGTGTGTTGCAAGTCCGGCGAGGGCTGGGTCCGATTCCATCTGGATCTCGACGAGTACCGGGGTGAGCCATCCGAGGAGTTCTTGGATGACTGTAAGCAACAATTCGTTATCATTAACCCGCCCCTTTATCCTAAGCCTTTCTGTTCCTGGATCCTGACGTGATGTTTGTTGCTAGGGGCTTTGTTTCCCTTGCGAGGTTCCGTTCCCGAAGTTGCCATGGATATGGTGAGGCGCGGCCTTGCGGCCTGGGATACGTTGCATCCTACAGTCCGAGAGAGGATGAGCCGTTGGTCTCCCCTCGCCAGGCAGCTCTGGGACTCGCCTTTCCCTGACCATCAAGAGGCCATGGTCCGGGCTTGGATCTGGCATTATCTTGATGACAACATCTTCTCGTTCTCGGGGGACGCACAAGGCGACGAACTTGTCCCCTGCGCATCTCCAGTTTGGGAGCATGTTCGAGCGCTTCGTCGGGCCCTGGATGGTGAGGACCTCTCCCTCGTGCCCTCTTCGCAAGCCCCAAACCATGCTGACACGACATATCCCAGGATTGCGTACCGGCGAAAAGGAGTCAATGTTCCCAGAAACACTATGCCGCCAGTTCCATATGCTGAGGCGCCTCATAGAATCCCTAGTGGTGGACGGACTGGGGCTGAAGGAATATGTTACGGCCGCCGATTTTATTCCTCACTTCAAGAAGTCGCTCAGGCTCCTCGTCGACGACGGACATGCCAAGATTCCGGATCGGGATCACGACGTGAATTGGGATCTTAGGTGCGAGGACCCCGACGATGAGGAGCATGAAGTGTGCGACATGATCAAAGACATGCTCTACCACGCGTTGGAGCTGAGGTTTTTTATCCACGGCATGATTCCCAGCTACACGATTAGGTTCATTCCAATTGGCAGCAATAGTCTCTGGGGGTTTCCGGTCGACCGTGACTGGATGAGTGTGGTAGGGACACCGGAAATCTCTCAGCTCCCGCCCGGTGAGCGGCCTGTCCGTGTAGTGCAGCTTGTCAGCGATCCGATGCTGGTAATCAGCGGCGAGGATTGGGAAGGCTACGAGAAGGACTTCAAGCGCTGGCCCCAACAAATAATGCGAGTTTTCGCGCCATGGTGTCGTGACGGAGAGGTTCTAGCAGATTATATTGGCCGTGAGGACGAGGAGAAGCGTCTATGGCCCATCTTGGAGGAAAACGGGCAGGAGCGGATGGTCAAGAGATTGCAGGAAGAAGAGGAGCAGATGGAGGAAGTCGAGCAGGAGAAGAGACCGAAAAGGGCCCAGGAGATTGTTGGGCGGGTTACCAGGTCCATGTCAGCAAAGGGTGCTGAAAGGGTGAAGAGACCGAAAAGGGCCCAAGAGATTGTTGGGCGGGTCACCAGGTCCATGTCGGCAAAGGGTGCTGAAAGGGTGAAGAGGACGGAGTAGATCGGGTCCTTGGCGATCACACCCGCTGCCCGGCTGTGGCATACCGGTAGCGGTACAGGTGAACTGGTCGAGGTTGCTTCGCGTCAAATCGTCGCTGATAGTCCGTAGGGTGGCAACGGCGAGAGCGCAGCTAGGATCAAGAGGCAATGGCTCTCAACTGCTAGAAACGGGTAGCCCAGCCGGGCAACTGTTAATGGAAGCGGCGGCGGCCAACCCCTGAGAGATGGGGAGAGTGTGTGGGGCTTGTGTTGGTGATAGCATCATTATATTGCAGACGAAGTATTGGTAGGCCGTCAGGTACTGTAGGTTCGGTTGGAACCAGGTGATTGCCTTAATACAACATTTACCATGCGTATGACGCATTGGCCTCGCCATCATCTCTCCCAATCAACGTCCTCGCCTGTAATGCCTTCATTGATGGCTTGGTGGGACCACTGGGTGTGGTGGATCTGAGGCTTGCGATGTGTTTTGCCCGGTTGCGACACAGGACGGGCCAGTACCTCGTCACTGGATATTGGAAGTTAGTGGTCGACTTGCCCCACCGACTAACCAGAGCTGGAAAAACCACTGCACGGCCCAGGAACAAGTCAAGATACCGTCAAGCACATACACTTTTCTACTGCAGCCAAAGTACCTAATACCCAATTCTCCTCCTTTCATTTGCAATGACCTGTCTTAAGCCGTCGTCGGGGTATTGGGTGAGCCAACTGCCGTAAGAATTCTGTTCGAACCGCATCCCAAACCTCCTGAACAGCCCTGCGAAGCTGTGCCCGGGTTAACCGTTGAACATCATAGCGTTCCTCGATCCAGTTTTTCATCCAAAACCACACATTTTCTATAGGACCGAAGTCTGGGCTCCGTGCCAGCCACACAATGCACCCAATCCCATGGACTGTCAGCAACGCCCTGGTTACGCGAGCTGCGTGGGGTGCTGCATTATCTACAACCTACTCGATCGGCAGCCTGTCACTAAACGTGGAATCCTTCGCGCGGGTCCTGTACGGTCGGTCACACTCCCCGACAGCCACGGCGACTATAATTATAGCACTAGAAGTATTGTCACGAACCAACCATATAGGCCAGCCAGGTGGGGCTGTGCAGCCGACAGGAACGCCAATCGGGACACACGGAATGTCGCGGACGATTCATGAGGGCGCCAAGGGACGACAGCGCCCAGGAGCGACCATATGGACGCCCAGGGACGCTGGCGAGCACGAGCGTCCACAGAAAATAGTTAGTATATAGTCACTCGTTCTGGAGGACTCTGGGAAAACAAGCCAGTATATAGTCATTCGTTCTGGAGGACTCTGGGAGTTCGCCAGTGAGAAATACAAGCAGTTCACCTTACCTACTATTGAGGCAATTGCTTGTGCAATTGTTGTGAACCTTTTGGCTTCACCGAGACCTACAGCCCGACCAGCGATACCTTCGACAGAAGAACCCTTTCAGAGGCAGGACTGCCTGGGTTTCGTCACACGTTGCTCACTCCCTTTGACTTTGTCACGGTTCAGATCGAAGGTACCAATCCGACGCCATGAGTCGCGCCAGCTCCAACGTCAGCATAGGCTCTGCACCCACGGACGACACTGCCAGCATTGTTGCCACGCTCCAAGCTAAGATCGCTGAGCTGGAGAAGGAGGCGGCCGTCCATCAGAGCCTCATCAATGAAGTCTATAGTAAGCTCGATGACGCCGAGAGAGCTAAACTCAAGATCGAAGCACCCGACAAGTTTTATGGGGAATAGGAGGACCTCTCGCGGTTCTTCACGGAGATGTCCTCCTACATCGAGCACTACGATGTTCGTTTCCCTGACGAAGATACCAAGACCCGGTACGCAGCCTCTCGACTCGGGGGCCGAGCCGCCCGATGGTTCGAGCCCACCCTCAAGGATTACGTTAAGAACGAAGCCAAGAAGCAGCAGTCGTTCACGTAGCGGGTGTTTGGCGACTACGAGGAGTTTGAGAAGGAACTCACTAGGGTGTTCGGGGACCAAGACGAGACGACCCACGCTTAGGATCGGCTCGCACGCCTACGGCAGACGAAGTCGGCATCAATATACGCGACCCTGTTCCGACAAGACGCTATTAGGGCCGGTATCAACGAGGTGCGCCTGATGCAGTTGTTCTATAATGGCCTCAAGGAGGATGTGAAGGACGAGCTGTATAAGGAAGACCGACCTGCGACTCTCGATGAATATATCGCTAGAGCAGTATGGATCGACGACCGATTGTATGCTAGAAAGCAGCAACGGAAAGGCTATGGACGACTCATCATCGGGGGACAATACAATGGTGGTCGCAACTAGGCTAACCACGGCAAAAAGCGCCAGTACCCCAGCACGGCGTATGGCACCCATGCAGGACCTATGGACGTGGATGCCACCCAACGCGAAACAAAGAAGGGATCGAAAGACAAATCCCAGATCACCTGTTTCAACTGCGGCAAAAAGGGGCACTTCAAGCGGGAGTGTCGCAGCCAGAAAAAGGACTGGAGACCAGTATCCGGCAAGGAAAATGCTACGATCGAGTCAACTACGAAGGTGCGAATCACCGAGGTTGCTGTAGCAAGCTATATATAGAGCGACTACGACGACGATATCGAACGATACCTGGCTATAGGAGGGTCGGATGACACCTCTTAGTTAGAAGGATCAGACCAGCACGATACGTTCAAGGAACCTGTCGCTGGTTACGACATCGCCACTGAAGCCGCACGACAACTCGCAGAATCATGGGGGCTCCAGTTGACCCAGGACGAAGACGGGCGATGGAGAACGCGCCAATCGGCTGACGAACCAGCTGGACCCAACCCTGTGTTTCTCGCGCAACAAGTCATGGAGCTAGAAGAAGGACAAGCCGAGCTCCGAACCACTATCCGAAACCTAGGGGCAGAAAAAGCCCGGCTGATGAACCAGTTGGAATTCGTCAAAACTAAGCTGAGGAGAATGGAAGAAGAAGGGTACGAAAACTCTTGGGACGGACTAGAAGAATACCTTGACAATGGGAAACCCGACGAAGTCCGGAACCCGGAATGGGAATACTAGTTGGCCCTACGACAAGCACGGGAACGCAACAAGGAAGAGCCAACGTGGCGGAAGTTTTGGAACAAGCACCCTACTACTAGCAGAGGCCTCAAGACATATGAGGTGGAGCAACAGGGATATGGGGAGGTATTCTAGTACGAGAAAGGAGACGCTGTTCGACTGCACCCTTGGTTCCAGTGTATCGCGCATGGATGCCGGTACCACTTCCGGTCGAAGTTCGACAACGATCACTGGCCTATACGCCCAGTTGACAAGGACGCCAAACCACAGCCAGTATGGTGGCTTTGGGACGCAGGACGAAACGAGGACTCGCGCCTGTGGGAAATCAGGAACACCTACGACGGCGTCATCTACGCAGTGCCCAAGAGAGCATGGCCGGAAGCCTGCGTACGGGCTACAGTAGATGGCATGTGCGAAAGCCCAGACTGCATCATGCATATGGGGCAGAAACTCAGGGAAGCCCATCGCAATGGACTGTGGACCCAACGGACGAAACTAGAAGAACTCCCGCAGCTTGACGCGCTGGACGCTGGTCAAGAAGAACTGGAGGGGGACGCCCCTCACGAAGAACATCAGGAGTCGGGGAAAGGGCCAGGGCCCTCCGAGGGGCCCGAAACCCACTAAGTCCACAACGACGACGAAGGACTCGCAGGTGCAGGAGGAACCATGCGAAGAAGAGAGTCCACGACCTCCCAGCAAGCCTGACAGAGGTAGCTGCAACTCAGAACGACAAGCCTGATGACCGGATTTTGGGTCACAGCGCAGTGGAAAGGACACCAGACATTGGCATTGGTAAAGCCCTGCTCGGCCAGACAGCTGAAAAAGCGCTGCCAGCAACCCAACGTCGTATCGTCGCAAAAGTGGCTTTGCTTCAGATATCGTAGGAACATGTCCTCATATCGTGAATAGTTCTTGAACTCTGTCGTCGGGCTAGAAATCGAGTAGTTGTTGCAGAACTCCATCCAGACTCGTCGTACATTGCAAGGCAGCTCATCCACAGGTGACTGCGGCTGGTAGGGAATCGGTCCGTGGTAGAACAGCCACCTCCTCGGGTCGTCCTCCTGATGCTTCATCGCGACTGTGCGTGCGTGTAGGGGAACTCCCAGACCAGCAGTAGAAGCGTGCTGTTAGCGGTCGTAGGGGAAAGAGAACCTGGAACGTACAAGTCCTTGGTCACAACCTTTATACCCGTGCGGCTGCTGCCTGCAACGCATTACGCACGGACGCGGACATCCCAATTCAGTGCCCCCGGAAAATGCCTTACCAATGCACTGCCCTCCCTACCTGAAAAACGTGGAGGCCCGGCGTGGCCCCACAGTGTAGCAGGGCACGGACCAACTGAGAGTTTGGATTTTCTAACTCGCAGTCGGTCCGTGCACAACATAAAGCCTCTGCGGCAGCAGTGCATTGGCTCTGTCCCGAGACGGCCGCTTGCAGGTACGCTCGGTGGCCGCGTGTCAAGACAGCCCATGAGAAGGCTGGGGAAGAAGGCGAAGGATGAGCCCGGTTCGAGTTTCAACAATCCTATTGTCTTGACTTGAGAGGGCCTGTCGTAGAGCATGCGTCGGGGTTTCCGGCACCGCATCCGTGGCGGGAACCGCGCCTCGCCTGGAGGGACGAGGCAGACCCAGAATGCCCAGGTCTTCGGAGTCAATGGTGCAAAGCCTGTCGCCACGACGACGAGGAATAGAACGCGGCTGGCACCTGACGGATTCATTGCCTCGGCCGCCGGAATCTGACGTCCGCAACGTGGCTCCGCTGTGCCCCGCTTGCGGACTCTGCCGGGGCCGTGGGGCCGCTCAATCATCTCCGCACGCCGTGTCGGGCTGTAACTTCGTCACAACTGCGTGCAACGCGGCTTCCTGGCCTGGTGCGTAGTGCGAACCGGAGAACCGACACGACAAAGCAACGAAGGCTTTGCATATGGCAAGCCAACGCAGTCGAGTCCGTGGCCAATGGTGCAGCTCGTGAGTTGGCGCTGCATACGCAAGAGGCGCATCAGCCTACAGCTGGTAGCCCTCAACCCCGCACTTTGGTCAATGAGCATAAAGGAGACGACAGGCCCACTGATCTCGGCTTTGCTCTTCAATCCTCCGCTACAGTGGCCGCACTACGCAGACGATTCTACGAGCCTATTGTTCATACATCTGCCCGCCGCCCAATTGACAATATGGCAAAAGAGAAAAAGTCGGCCACCGGTGCAGACCGTTTCCCTGAGGAAGTCGACATGCGACCCGAATCATCGTAAGTGTGTTCTAGCGGGCTACACCACGTTTTACGCTAACAAAATATCAGCCCGTATACAGCCGACATCGTCAGCTTGCTGTTAAAGGACGGGACAGCACTCAACATTCCAAGTCCCCTTCTTCGCAGGTGCCCAAAGCTGCCCTGTACCTCTATATGGAGCACAACCCCGCGGCTCGAGATTACTCAGGAAGTTGGACATGTTCTTGCCCATTACCTCTTCACCGACACCTACCAGTGCCTCAAACCAAAAGGGCTGTCTCCTCATGAAGAGGCCGCTGCGGAGTTTACGACAAGTATCCAGGTCTACGCCTTGGCTCGAGAATATGAGCTGTCCTCGCTCGAGGAACTTGCCAAACTCGAGATTGAGAGGCTTGGAAACGGACTACCCTTCTCTGTGGTCCTTGAGATTGTGCGGGATGCATATCCAGAGCCCAGCGCAGACGACGTATGGTTCAGCGGCTATTTGAAGTCAGGCCTCGAGTCGCTTCTGCGCAATCGATCAGAGCTATCAGATTATGGTATACCGAATGCTAAGCGCAAAACGATATCGGTGGCCGACTTGCTCTTCAAAAACCTGGTCGAGTTGGTCCGCGACCACAAGATTTTACCTCGGGGCCTCAACGCTCCTCCGCAAGCCGAGGCGCTCGAAGAGTCTGCTTTCGTGATGCCAGTGCCTGCGCTCGGATCACCAGGCCTACCGGAGACATGTGAGCAGGACCTGCCGGGAGAAGTTGAACCGAAACTATGCGAGGCCGAGACTGAGCCAGAGCCAGGCCTCGAATCTGACAAGAATAGGGATGATGATTTCTGGGGCCGGTTTGCCATTAGGACACAGGTATACGAGCCCGAGCCCGAGGAACCAGCAATCGAGCCCGGGCCCGAGGGACCAGTATTGGAGCCCGAAACCGAAAAGAACGAGGATGACCCCTGGGCGCTCCCCATCTCCAAGAAGAGCAAGGGAAAGAAGGCAAAGAAGAAGGCACAGACGTCTCAGCTCGACACCGAGCCTGAGTCTAAGCACGAACCCGAGCCTGTCAAGGAACCAGCAACGGAGCCCGAACCCGAAAAGAATGAGGAGGATGACTTCGGGGGCTCCGGTGTCTCTAGGAAGCATAAGAAGAAGAAGAAGGGGAAGATGTTTAAGCCCGAACCCGAGCCTGGGAAAGAGGATGGCTGGTCCCTCTGCGAGTCTGATGGCAAGGAGATCAAAGCGTGGACTGTTTGTGAGCGTCGGTCAGAGCATGTACTTGGGAATGGCTGGGAGGCATGCTGTAGCTGCCAAGACTTTATACGTCAGCTTTCTCGGCAACTCCCTTCGGGCAGAGCTAGAGATTAGTGTACTTGGAACAGCTGGTTTGGATTCAGGGGACTTCCTTGAAGGGAATATGTTAGAAAATGGTGTACGGAGGGCGTAATTGGGTGCCTTTACAATATTTCTCTCGCTGTTTAGTCCCTTTGCTCACAATATATTTCTCCTTCCTTATCCTTTTCAACGCATTTAGTCCTAAGGACCCTACTCTAGAGAAGTCCTCTTCGGCCTCCGGGCTTGTCTAGGGAGCATTGGCGCAGGGACGACGAAACTGAGCCAATACAGCAGGAACAGTAGACTTCCTGAGCCCGAAAGAATATACGACGAGGGGGATGACAGCCCAGTTATGCAGAAGATGAGGCGGGCTGCTGAAGAACCGATTCGCGTAGGGTTGTTGCTTTGGCTTTGTTGACAGCGGGTAGCATGTTTTAAGGAGGTTGTCCTATGGTCCGCCGCGACACATACCGCAGCGACGTGGTTGGGATCGTCGGTAATACTAGAGAGGAACGCGAGCACGGTCGCTAAGCTGCGTTCTCTATCGAAGGATATAACATAGCCTCGCCGGTGTACAGGCAGGCGATCGGCGGGATTGGCAGACGGCAAAACCGAAATGGGATGGAGAAGCGAGAGGAGCGCGATGTTTTCGGCGGTCGAAATCGCGGGAGATCTGAGCGGACTGGCTAGAAACGAAGTGTCCTGGGACCAAATACGTCTTAGGAATAGAGTATCCTAGGACCTGATGCGTCCTAAGACAGCTAGTTAGTCCCGGGATCAAATACGTCCTAGGAATAGAGTGCTCTAAGACCAAATATGTCTTAGGAATAGAGTGTCTTAGGACCAAATACGTCCTAGGAATAGCGTATCCTAGGACTGGACACGTCCTAAGACAGCTAGTTAGTCCCAGGACCAAATACGTCCTAAGACGGCTAGCTAGCCCTAGGACTAACTATGTCCTAGGGACAGAATGCCCTAGGACTACATACTGCTCATTCTAAGTCATCATTGACATTTAAATTACCCGCTGGAAGCATGGGAACACTGTTCAGACCTAAAGATAGAGGGAACGCCAGCAAGAACCGGCTCTGTCACGGATCAGTAGCTGCAGGCCAGGCTCAATGGCTCTGGTAGGCAACTGACTGTATTGTAAGAATACTGAGCTTGCAGGAGGAAAAGGAATCCTCTGGAGACTGCAAGATGCGAAGGAGTCTAAATACAGGAAGTGGGGCTTTGTGCCATGGAAGGTGGGACATGGGCCCCACCACTGATAAGATAAGGCCAACACAGGACGGTGGGTTCCACCGTTTACAGGCTCCCTCTTTGTGGGGAGGCGGTCTAGCCGTTGGCTGTAAACTTCCTTACAATCTCTTCTATATTTGCTGTCTCTATAAAGTACAGTACCAGGGCTGTTTCAACAGTCGTGTTCAGTTTTTCCCTATAGATGTCGTATATAGAATAAGAATCTCCCTCCTCCCTACTTCTCTGTAGACTTCAAGTCGGGCTTTCAAGCCTCCTCAGTCTCATCCCCAGTAACTATAACTGGCTGGGGATACATCGTTTCCTTTTATTATTAGCAGCTGTTGCATCATAAGGGGCACACTACATACCAAATCACCCGGCTAGATGGGCACGACATCCCTCTCTGAACGGAAGACGAAGTCTCTTCGTGTCCTCGGGATAGATATCGAGAAATAGATCCTAGCGCCGTAGGCCTGATGAAGAGCATAACCAGTTTTGGCTAGGGTCTGCCATCGCTTCCGGAAATTTTCGCCGCTTCTGTCCCTTTTCCGTGGTTGCTTATATAGTGAGTGCTTTTTACATCCAGAGCCTTCTAGCATTTCTTGCGCAGATTGGTCCATAGTTAGTATCGGTTTCTCTAAGTGTTTGTAAAAGAGAGGTGCCTGCTTGCGGCAGGTCTCATTCGAACATCGAGCACTATAAGTTAATACTAACTGCAGGCCGTTAACGATCCGAGGTTTGGGTTTCTGATCCCGGATCCAAGATCTCGGCTTTCAGCACCCAGATTCCTGGTGCACAGAGATAAGATGATTAGGCGCCCCTTTAACCCCTGAAATAGACTCCACATGCAGGGAAGCAGGAAGTGACAGCTTAAGTAGCCAACACAGAGGAAGCCAGATGTGGCCGCAATTAGCAAGGCGCAGTGAGTTCCGTTTTAGGCGGTGGACTTTTGTTAACAGCCACTGCAGCCCAAAATGGACTCAAGGAAGCCAAAAGTGACTGAAAATAACAGTGGGGCTAGAAGAGGGAGCAGGGGTCTCTGGTTGACCAGGAGTAGGCAAGCAGGGGTCTCTGGTTGGCTAGGAGTAGACAAGCAGAGGTTTGTGGTTGACTGACCAAGAGTGGGCAAGCAGGGGTATGTGGTTGACCAAAATAAGGGGGGAGGGGTAGATGGAGAGAGGAAAACTTCTTTTCTGTTGCCAGATTCCCATATACGAGATATTATATCCCGATAACGTAGCAAACTACTAACCTACCGTGAGCCAATCATCGCTGTGTCTAAAGCGCGCGCTTTGTGCAGTCGCAGATTTGGATAAAAGTGACCGTTGCTACTATATTTAGAGAATCTCTCCAACCTGTATTAAAGTGGGGTTATGATATCATCTTGTTACATCCAGGGGATCGAGATCTGAGATCCGGAATGTTGTGCTCAGCTACCGGCCCGGCTTTCGGCCGCCGGCGGAAGAATTGTAGCATACCGCCGTGAATGGAAACGTGTCTCGGTCCGCTAGATCGTGATCCACTGCTCTATGGGGTTGAGCGCAAGGATTCAAGTTCCGGATCCCCGCTCTGCAACCCAACCTTTACCCAATTCAGAGCGAGCTGAAACGGCCCCTAGCCACGTGACCTCATCTGCTGAAGATCCCTGTGGACCTCCCTTCGCGGCAGCACTTCGCCAGATTTCTCGGTGTTGTCCTGCAAACAGGGAGCTGTCTCTACTGTAATATTAGGTTGCAGAGACACAGATGGACAGCCCTGAGCCGTTGCTAGAGTGACTCCATCATTGCCGTCTCCCGAAGCCCTCCTATAAATGCGCTGTCCGGAGCAATGGAAATGGGTGAAACCCGCAAACAGAGTCCCGGACACTGCCTGGAATCCATAGACAGGATCCCGAGGCAGAAAACATGGGGTAATAGGATACTAGATGGAAGAAAACGTGCCGACGACGCAAATATCCTCCGCACCATTAATTCCGACAAACTGGTACAGGACCGCTGCCGGGCTGCTCATAGGGGTCATAAACGACAGCACCCACTGCTAAAACGCTGTTTAAATGCGACGCTTTGGGCTGCTCTAATACGTTCACTGAGAAAGTTAGATAGTTATCAGCTATACCTTAGGTCCGACCGTCTAATAACTTAGTTGGGGTGGGTGTCTGGGAGGGACAGTGCGAGCCAATGTTTATTTCTCAAAGTGACGTAGCTACTACCTAGACCCTCGACGCAGTGGCCCTTGATATCCCTCGAGCCCACTTCCTGACACACACCCCCTCCATCACTGGCCGCCACCTTCTGCCTTACTGCTGTTGCCACCTCGATGACCCAGAATGCGCCGAAAAGCGTCCGTCCGCTTCTCGTGGCGCTCGTTGATCAGTGTCTCAGCCTCGCTGTCTTCTGCCCAGAGCTCGGTCCAGTAGCAAGGAAACCGCTGGCCGGGTCTCCAGACACGGCCACAGGCCTGCTTCGAATCGGACTCGACGAACGGCAGGTCGAAGAGGATGGCGTGGTTCGCCTTCTTGAGGCTGTCGAGACCGGTGCCGCAGGTGCCGACAGTGGCAATGAAGAGCGTAGGCTTTGCCGGGCAGCCAATCGGAATGTCTCGGAAAGCACCCTCGATGGCCTTCTTTCCGTCTACGGTAGCCGCCGAGAGCACCAGGACAACTTCCCACTGGCTCGACCAGTGCTTGTCCGCGTACGCGGCGATGATGAGTGCGACTCCCGGACGCGAGGCGAAGACGCAGGCGTGCTTCTTCAGCGGCACTGGGCCGGCAATTCCCGTATCGCCTATATCCATGTCATGGAGAGCTCGATCGAGGCAGCGCTGGAGCTGCTCCATTTTTCCGCTGCCGCGGGTGATGACGTCGATGTATTGGCCGACAACGTGGTTGTCACGGCCCTCCTTCGTAGTGATGGCACGGTTTATCGTGTTGCTGTTCAACCATGCGGCTGGGTCCGACGAGATATCGTTGGGCAGGTCGACGATACCCGGAAACGACCCGAGCCAGAGCGTCCGCATGAACGACTGGTTGAAGCGGGCGAACTGAAAGAAGCGATCCCGCATCGCCGCGTTAGTTGCGGGCGTTTGTTTCTCAAGCGTGGCGCGGGCCTCCTGGCTCCATGCGGTCGTCAGCAAGCCCATCTTGCGCTTGAAATCCTCCTGCTGTGCCCTCGCAGATCTGCAGGGGACCCGTTCGTGGCGGAGCGGCGGGAGCGGCAGCAGCACCTGACCGTGGAAGAGGTCGGTTGTCGTGCGGAGCGTCATGACTCGCCCGAGCAGGTCGGAGCACGTATTCATTGCCTCCTGGTATCTGTCCATGTCTCTCGGTAGGCCGGCCTTCGTAGCAGCGTCGATCGTCTGCGCGGCGGTACAGAACGCAGTCAAGTCGTCGGGCGATACGATGAGTGACAGTACCTCCTTCAGGCTTTGCTGTAGCGATACAGAGATCGGCGTTGCGCTTAGTGCTGCCAGCTTGAAGCGGTTAGATGGGCCGGCTTGGCTCCGGAGCTGCTGCAATGTCTGGTAGACGACAGTCGAGGTATGCTTAACAAGGTGGAACTCGTCTAGGACGACGAACCTAGGCGCCACCGCCCATGAGGCAAGGTATAGTCGTAGCGACTTTCTCTGCTGCTGCGCTAAGTTGTAGGCCCGGGCAAAGTAGTTGCGGCTACCGCCCTTTGACGAGAGCGATGCCGGGCTGCTACCTACGACCACGAGCCGGTGCTTGAGAAAAAGCCGCTGCGCTTGGTTTGCTGTATACCCCATCTCGGAACCCGAACCCGGGACAAGCATAGGCGCCATCCCGTGGTACCCCTTCTTGGGTAGAGCGTAAACCGGTCGTGCACCTAGGAAATGCGTCAAGATGTCGCTTTGGATGTCTCGTGAAAGGGTGGAGCCTGTGCTTAGGTCGATAGTATCTACGAACGAAAACCGTTGACGGCTATGCTGGCCGTTATCCGATCCAGGCCGCTCTATCTCCTGCTCCAAATACCGCTTGGCCTCCTTGGCGAACTGGCCGGCAACGCTAGACGGCGTGAAAACGAGCGACGGACCGGGTCCCAGCTGCCGGGCGATGTCCGAGCTGAATGAGTCGGCTACGCAGCAGCACTCGATGCTCCATGGGTTGCCCGAGGGACAAGGGCCTGTGACGCCCTGGGGGTTATGCCGGCGATGCATAGTGACTCGCGCGTTGTCGGCCGCGGTGGTGCTCCACTCCTGTCTAACCTCGTAGTGGTTGAGTTCCACCAGCCTTATGACGGCGACCGCAGCCAGGCTGACGATGGTTTTTCCCAGCCCAGTGTCGAGCGCCACGATGCCGCCGTTGAAGTGCCCGCCAAAGCTCCGCTGCAACAGCGCGTAGACCGCCTCCATCTGGTGAGGGTGAAGGCACAGGGTCGTTCCGAGCAGCTTGACGCCCTGGTCGTATGCCGTATGTGCTTTGTCGTGACAGAAGAACCTGCACGTCCTCTCCCAAATCTCCGAATCGTCCGCAACATGAAGAACGGCACGGAGATCCCGTAGCGGGTTCATCTCGTCGGGGATTGCGTCGTTATCGTCTGCCTCGCTGCCCGGGCCATCTTCGTCCGGGCCCGACTCTGCTTCATCGCGCCCTTTGAGGGTAGAACGCCGCTCGAATAGAAACTGCACATCCGCGTCGTCACCCGAGTCCGTCGGCGCGTCTTCCTGTTCGCCTTCAGGGCGGTACCCGTCCCTATCGTCGTTGTCCTGGTTGCCGTCTTCATTCTCGGCACCCCTCGTGATATCCTTGTGGGCAGCCTTGGCGTGCATGGGCACGACCTGTTGAGTCGCAAGCGGTTCATCTCTGGAGCAATCCGGGCAATCATCGCTCTGGCGATAGCCTGCACCCTCCCGCTCGAACATGGTGTTATCCATATCGCTGGCCTTGGCTGTAGAGCTCGTCTTAGTCATTGCATTATCTTTCCCAGCCTTCTTGGACATGGCTGCGTCGACTGCATTGCTGATGCCAGCTGCAAGGCCCTCTCGCTCAGCTATAATGTTGTCGTCCGCATGGCTGGTCTTAGCTGCAGGGCTCGCCTCGGTCGTCATATAATCTTCCCCCTCCCGCCCGAGTACGGTGGTATTGTTAGCATCGTTGATATCAGCTACAGAGCTTGGCTCGGCTGTTGCGGCCGAGGAGACATTCCGCACAACGAGCTCGAGCAAGGGAAGACTCGCGCTCCCGTCCTATCGGGTAGCTGCGCACTTGTCGAGGTGGAGAAGGAGAACCCGCAGATCACCGGCCGATCCAATGTCGTACCGACCCGAGGCAATGCCGTCGCCTAAGCCGTCGTCGCAGTCAGAGTCTTCGTCATAGCCATTGCCCATCCCAGGACTACCGCCGGCCGCCGGCTCCACGTGCGCCGCCAGAACGTGCGTCTGAACCTCGGCATCGCCGTGCGCTGCGCTGCGGGCGACGAGGTCCTGAAACATCTTATCGCAGTCGACGTATTCCGGCAGTAGCCGGTCGCTAGTCGCCGCCGCCGCGTGATTGACAACCCAGTGGGCCAAAATGTCGGCGAACAATGTCTGTCGGCTGCCGTCGGGGTTTTCCTTTCGCAGTAGCACCTGGACATCCCGCAAATTGAGGCGCCTGGTAGTTCTTTCTTGGCCCGGAGAGCACTAATCTCCGAGCGTTAATCGTCTGCGCTTCACGTCCTCGTCTATCTTGTGGGCCGTGCCCAGACAGAGAGCTGGCATCATCCGTTTTGCAGCTCCGGCGCGCGGTTGATCGTCCATGTCGGCGGCCAGGTGTCCCCAACGGTGGCAGTGGTCGGGTGTATACGTGCGGTAAGCTGTACTATCACTGTAAGCGTCCGGTCGTCTGTGTAGGACCTTATGGAAGCTCAACGCGCGGTGCTTACCTGGCGGCGCCGTTTGCCTCGCGCAACAGGTTGGCTAATGAAGAAGACTGCCGCCCATATAGGAAGTGAACCGAGTGCTGACAATCGGCCGGGTCTTTTATACTGAGCGCGCCAAGGTGTGACTACTATTCGAGTCGGTTAGTATGTCGTACAATTGCAATCCTGAGGGGAAGATTGCGGAATGATGCTTGTGCCTCGGCTTACCTAGTTCCCGACCCTCTTGCACCAGACCCTGTGCAACACGCTACGCGCTTAGCGGGTAACAGCGGTATGGATCTCAGAAAAACGAAAACAGACCTCAACACGGCGATTGAATGGAAGGTGGCAGAGTCAAAGTCGAGGCTGAGTTGAGGGGTTCCGTATGGTCGGTGGTCGGTGTCGCGTATCACACGCATTGGCCACTTCTGGGGATGCCGATGCAATGGAAGAGTGGAGTCTGTTGCAACGTGATTTAAAACGTGACGTTTTTGGCATGGGGTTTCTTTTCCGGGGTGGGGCAAAGAAGCTTTCGTTCCTCAAGGCGCAAGGCACTTCTACCCCACCTTCCAACAATGGAAGGAGCTCCATATATCAATGGGGCCTATTCGGAAGGCATCGGCCCCGACCTGCGCACGAACCACCATCGCACGGCAATGTGGGGCACCGGCAGCATGGGCTCCTGGTCCGCATTCAAGCCGGTCCTGAGGGCCCGACGACTCCGAGCGCTCTAACCACTACCCTAACCCTCGTAGTGCCAAACTCCGGCTGCACTAACACATTGCGATCCTGCAGCAAGCAATCACAGCTCCCAAGACCCCCTGCGCTGGCCCTAGCCCGCACCAACGGCATTGTCTAGCTCCCCAACGCATGGCACCGCAGTCCCCTCTTGATTGGCTGCCACCTTCCCAGTAAGCCAAGACTTGTCTAAAGCTACTGTAGGTGAGAAGCTGGGTTGGCCGTTTAGGAGGCCTAGCGAGTCAGGTACTTATGTCACTAGGTAGACTCTGCCGAGCGGGAGAAAAGAGCGACCCGCTTTTCAACCGGGCCCCTCTGCTCCTCTCCTCTGCTCCTCGTTCTCCTCTGCTCCTCTTCCTCTCTCCTCCTCGGCGCATCTTGACCAAGATGGCATTTGCATTGACCTAGCTCAATTTTTCGCCCTTTCTCGATAGCAAGGTCGCTGAAAACGTTCCGGCTCGCGCGATAGGTTGGTGAAGTTTGTGCGAAGGCATTATTGGCGCGTTGCGGCCCGCTAACTAGGCAGGTCTTGCTAGATTAATCAAGCAACTGCCCTTCGCTCGAGATAGGGGAAGGCGGCGACGTCGGCAAACATCCCCTGCAATGACGGGACTTCCGACAGGTGCGGCAGGATACACCAACATTCTGACACCTGTCCGGAGCGCGATTATCACGACAGACGATGATCGTATTGAGCGCCCGGTCGCGCCGATGGGGACGAGCCGTAGGGGAAGCACTCGGACTCTGACAGCACTACCACTGGAGATTCTCCAGAACATCATTCAGCTTCTCATACCCACCAATCAAGTCCTTACAGTTCGCTACCCATACCCTAAGCCCTGGAAAGGTCCACGCACCTACGGTGCAAAAAGCCTGATGTTGAGCTGCCGAACCAACTATCACGCAACGATCCCCATATTATACGGCTGGAATACGTTCTGCTTTGATCAGGACCCATACAACAGCCTTCCTCTTTTTCTCCAGAATCTTCAAGAATCCACATTTCTCTCTCTTCGTCGGGTGCAAATCCGCTGCTCGGACACCGACAATCTAATACACGGGCTTGATCTCCTGGTTGGGTGTGTTTCGCTTGAGAGCTTGGAGATTGTTACTTTCAGGTGGCCAATCGCCAAATATCATAAATCTGTGCTTGAATGTTTTCGCCTTAAGAGCTTCAGAGTCGGCCATATTGAGCATAAACGTGGCGAGTGGTTGCAGGGCTTGCCCGACCTAATCATGAGCGATATGAATCGGACAACCAACCAGCGGCAGCGAGTTGAGATGTCAAGGCAAGCAAAGGTATGTCTTCTCTTGCCTATCTGCTTATTCTATACTCACCTCGGGTTTTAGCTCGAGAAATGGGGACTTCATTTTTATAAGTTACGGAACGGGGAAAAACCAATGCTGGCACCGCCGCGGAAACGTCGTCGACGGTACTGAGACGCCTGCACAGCTGATTCCTACCGATAGAAGGCAGCACCTGATCGACGTCTCTTAACTCGCCCAAGAGTAAGGCGTAGCCGTCGTGACCCCGAGTCGCATACGAAGGACGGCCAATCCGTTCCGGTATCCCGCGGTAAACTCGACTGCGCGACTCTGAAGGGGAGAGGAGACATAGGAATTCTGCGAGAATGTGGCAGAGACGTAGCTGGCTTGTGTATATATCTACGCTGTTTTGTGTGACGTCTTTTCGGTAGTACTACCATTGTGTTGTATTTTGTATCAGATAGGTATCTCGTGCTTTCGGGACTGTGTTCACTAGTACTCCGGAGCTTAAGACCACATTCGGCCTGGTATGTCTGTGTTTTCTGCCCAATGCACCCGCACTAGTTATTCTCTCCTCATACTTGGTGATGACGTGACTGGTAGCGTCGCCGACATCCCACGGGCTCGAAGTGTACCCGTACTCGACCAGACGCTCGGTCGGTCCAATGTCCAAGTGTTTGTGCAGCAAGACGACGCCGAGCCGCTCCTGGACGTCGTGGTCCAAGAAGAGTTGCCGAATTGGGCCAGAAACGTTGGATTCGCTATCCAACTAGCGGACTCGAAGTAAAGGAATAAAACAGTGTCTTTTGTTTGGCGTTTGTACAGGTATGTTGCTAAGGCAGGTCCCTGTCATCGACGGTAGCGCCGGTATACCGATCTTCCTCGCAATCACACTCATTACAAGAATCCAGATCCACTTCATGTCCTGCTATATCTTTCCAATCATTGAAGGTTTCCGAAAACTTCAAAACACTGCTCTCCAAGGTCACCATCCTTTTCTCCGTTCTTTTCTCGGCGTTGGCTTGACTTGACATGATCCGTTCCATCTTCTCAAGCAACTTATGCTGGTTTTCGATCATCCACTGCATCGAAATTTCCAAAGCAAGGAGCCGTCTGAGCAGGGTTTCGTGATCCGCAGCCGGCATTTGAGCCTGCGTTTGCGCTATCGGAAAGGAAAGCAGATGCCCCTCATAAGTGGCAGCAACTGCAGGGTTCTTGCTAACCGCTGTTGGCGCGCTCGTGTAGGCAGGAGACTGGGTCGGCCAATGGGTGCCGGGTGCATTGTAGTTGAGATTTCGGAATGCTTCGAAGCCTGGATACTGCGACATTTTGGTAGGCTTGTGGATTCTATGCTTCGAGTGCTTTGGGAACAGAGGGATGTCCGATTGCTCCTATATATGCTTCAGGCGTTTAATCTCGGCACCTTTACGCAAGCGCTCTGACGAACTTCGCTTATATGCCGAAATTCCTTTTTTATCCCACCTTTCAAACTTCTGGTTCTGTGATAGGACCGAGGAAAGTGCGTGTTGGTTATTGGCGGCAAGATATGTGCGGAACAGGGATGTTGAGCTGCCGAGGGAGTCACGATTGACATGAGTACGGTGCGAGCCTGTAGTTGAGACTCGAGGAAGATCCCGATGTCTCCGCTCTGGGCTGATATTTCGAGTTTCACTGCGCTGTCGAAATAGTTCCCGAAAATAGAAGAGAAGCGGGAAGTGCAGAGGAGCTTGACGCTCGAGCCCAGCGACCGAACCGCAGAGATGAAGCGGAGAGCATCTTCCTCGGATTCAGTACACTCGTCCAGGGCATCAACAACGACATGGAATGTGGCCAGGGGCGCTGTCAGGGCTCGAAGTGTCGCGGTGACCTGGGCTAGAGTCGGGCGGGTGCCGTGCTTCTTGTGTCCCTGATGCAGTGAAAGCACTTCAGCAGGTAAGGCTTTGGTTGTACGGCGTTGTACAACCTGCTGGAGCATGCTCGAGAGTAACGCAGCTGGGGCCTGCTCTTGCCTCCGACTGTAGTCGCAGTAGATGTAAGCCCAGACATTGCCAGGAGCCGCGTTCTGCCGCTCCAGGTGATCGATCACTAGTGACCTATTCGGCATTGGTCTAAGTCAGCATCCTTCTCGGGGCCAGAGCAATAACGGTCGGGATACCGACATCAGACATGTCTTGCCGGCTCCGGCTATGGCGTGGAATATCAGCACGCGCTAATGCCAAGTACTCGCAAGGCAGCAATGGGATGGACATACATATTCCCGGGCACCAAAGCACTTCCACGTCGCCATAAAGCCATCGCTTGAAGCTCGGGTGGCCAAGGAACCAAGTGCCCGTCCCCGACTGAACGTTCTCGAGAATGCCGAGCTGCCGGGGGCGATAGGTCTGGGGGCTAAGTCAGAGGATTATATTCTCTGCCTCGTTGTCCAGGGATCTTGATCTGGCGTTCTCAATTCCGTGACGAATATCGTCGAGTTTAAGATGGGATAACTTCGCAAGCTCACTGCAATCGCGGAGTAGGTGAACAGAGGGTCGCTGCGCACAGGCAGCTAATTCGCAATCAATTGAGGGTAACAGCAAATGGTGATGATGTCGTCTGAGTGTCCTGCAGCCAAGCTAATGAAATGTGATGAGCACCCGGGCCTCCAACTCCAGTATCTGGGCCGAGTTCAACTGGTACAGTATAATCCGCGGCCGCCTCTTTGCCCATTTAAAATAAGACCTTTATTACTGTAGCAATACATAAAGGGTCCACACCCTCTGACCGTTACGGTGCCAAATTGACTTCTAGTTTTGAGGAACTTCTCGAAAGTGCCAGAAATTAGCATAGGAAGCTATAAATTAACCGGTTCTCCCACACCCTTCCTGCGGCACGCTATGAAAAGAAAAAATAGAGAAAGTGCAAGGAGCCAGAACGTCAAAAGTAAAAGAGCACAACTACTGAATCAGATTGCTGTCTGTGAAGATGAAGAACAAGATACGGCCTGAAGAACAGCCGATTGACACAGCCGTTCCAGATATAGCAGAAGATGATGGCCGATACTCAGGCGGCAGCCATAGCAGGTTTTCTCCTTTATACGTAATCCAGGTACCGTTGCTGCTCAAGCCGTATCCAATAGCGGCTGGTGATGAACGATCAGTAGAGGTAGGGTCAAAGGCCGTACAGATTCCGACGGTTTTCAAGTCGAATGTGCCAAGGTCGGTATGTACAAGGTCGGGGTTATATTCATGGAACTGGAGACTGTCGATGCGACCGATCTCGAGCGTCGCCACGCACTGGCCGGTCGCCGGATCCCAGATCTTGACGGTCTCGTCGTATGACGCCGACGCCAGCCGGCTCGCATCGGGCGACCAGGCCACGGAGTAGACCGAGTAGCGATGGCCCTCGAGCGTCGCCACGCACTGGCCGGTCGTCGGATCCCAGATCTTGACGGTCTTGTCGTATGACGCCGACGCCAGCCGGCGCGCATCGGGCGACCAGGCTACGGAGTTGACCGAGTAGCGATGGCCCTCGAGCGTCGCCACGCACTGGCCGGTCGTCGGATCCCAGATCTTGACGGTCTCGTCGCCGGACGCCGACGCCAGCCGGCGCGCATCGGGCGACCAGGCTACAGAGTAGACCCAGTCGCGATGGCCCTCGAGCGTCGCCACGCACTGGCCGGTCGTCGGATCCCAGATCTTGACGGTCTCGTCGTATGACGCCGACGCCAGCCGGCTCGCATCGGGCGACCAGGCCACGGAGTTGACCGAGCCGCGATGGCCCTCGAGCGTCGCCACGCACTGGCCGGTCGTCGGATCCCAGATCTTGACGGTCTCGTCGTATGACGCCGACGCCAGCCGGCGCGCATCGGGCGACCAGGCCACGGAGTTGACCGAGCCGCGATGGCCCTCGAGCGTCGCCACGCACTGGCCGGTCGCCGGATCCCAGATCTTGACGGTCTCGTCGTATGACGCCGACGCCAGCCGGCTCGCATCGGGCGACCAGGCTACGGAGTTGACCCAGCCGCGATGGCCCTCGAGCGTCGCCACGCACTGGCCGGTCGTCGGATCCCAGATCTTGACGGTCTCGTCGCCGGACGCCGACGCCAGCCGGCGCGCATCGGGCGACCAGGCTACAGAGTTGACCGAGTCGCGATGGCCCTCGAGCGTCGCCACGCACTGGCCGGTCGTCGGATCCCAGATCTTGACGGTCTCGTCGCTTGACGCCGACGCCAGCCGGCGCGCATCGGGCGACCAGGCTACAGAGTTGACCCAGTTGCGATGGCCTTCGAGCGTCGCCACGCACTGGCCGGTCGTCGGATCCCAGATCTTGACGGTCTTGTCGTATGACACCGACGCCAGCCGGCGCGCATCGGGCGACCAGGCCACAGAGTTGATCGAGTTGCGATGGCCCTCGAGCGTCGCCATGCACTGGCCGGTCGTCGGATCCCAGATCTTGACGGTCTCGTCGCCGGACGCCGACGCCAGCCGGCTCGCATCGGGCGACCAGGCTACGGAGTTGACCGAGTTGCGATGGCCTTCGAGCGTCGCCACGCACTGGCCGGTCGTCGGATCCCAGATCTTGACGGTCTCGTCGCTGGACGCCGACGCCAGCCGGCGCGCATCGGGCGACCAGGCCACGGAGTTGACCGAGCCGCTATGGCCCTCGAGCGTCGCCACGCACTGGCCGGTCGTCGGATCCCAGATCTTGACGGTCTTGTCGTATGACGCCGACGCCAGCCGCCTCGCGTCGTGCGACCAGGCCACAGACCTGACATTGTTGCTATGGCCCTCAAGTGTTTGTAGACATGCACTCCAATTGTCCGCCATGGCCGGTTTTCGGATGATCCATTTAGGCTCCTCATTTTTGAACTGATTCTTCGTTATGCTACGGGCCGGGCTGAATACAAGTGCTGAAGCATACACCTGCAGAGGGCTGTTCTCAATTGCCCGCTTGTGGTAGAGGACAAACCGACATGCATCTCGGACTCGACGGAGGAGAAGTGATGCCTCTTTTCCTGCCTAACAAAAAGTTAGTGTAGCCTCTATGTCGCACCACTGATAGCTTACCTCGAGCAAACCCCCAAGGCCTAGCATTGAAGCGACTCCTTCTGATATGCTCTTTTGAAGGCTAAGCGCCTCGAGCCAGTGAAGATACTTCTCACGCAAAAAGGTATCGATCGATCCGCCTTCCTGGAGGTCACTCTTCGCGTTCTTCTTAGGATCACAATCACGCAGATGGTTAATCCAGTATACGCACGAGTATCGAACTGCGGCTAGCGGATCTGAACCGGGTGGTTTGACTTTGTCGATAGAAACTCCAGGAGCGCCAAGGTTGTAGATGTCGCGTCGCAATGTTTTCTGCATAACTCGAAGCGATCGCGAGAATATAGTACGGTGTACTTCTTCTCTCCCAGATGGAAAGATCTCATCGCGTGCCTGTTTGAGCAAGAAGTCCTTGGCGGATTGATGGACAAAAGATATCGTGCGTTCTCGAAGTGTCAGAAAAGAGCCGCAAAGCCCTACAATCTCTGCTAGAGCTTTGCCATTGCCAGAGACACGGTTGGGCGTGTCCACGAGTGCCGGTAGTTCGTCCAATGTGATAGGTCGGTACACGACTGAGACGACAGCCAGTATTCTTTGAAGTAGCTTAGCGTGTCTCGAGTTGTAGATCTGGTCCATCATCCGTCTGTAGAGTGCATCGAGTCCAGGTGGAAATGTTGTCAACATTTCCTCTGCTTCCCATCCCGAGATGTTGGCGAGCTGTTGGCAGACCAAAGCCACCCAGAGGAAGGTGCCATGTGCGTTCGTAGACAAGTAGCGTTCGATAGCGCTCCTTGTATCGTTGTCGTATTCATTTCGCTTCGCCAACCCATCCACCTTGAACCGGACGTATGCAGTAACAGCCGCGGAGACGGACGCTTCATTCAACTCAAGCGACAGCCTGACTTTCTGCGCTGCGGCGTCAAGATCCTTCTCGATGCTCGGCCAGTTGCGACTGGATACGACCCACTTGACACTCGAGTAAGCCGCCGACGTCTGGACTACAAGGTCAAGAAGCAGCTCCCGACCTTGAGTACACTCGTCAAGCGCATCGATGATCAGGTAGGTGCGAGGCAGGCTTGGGTCCTCCAGAATGCCGGTAAAGATCTCCGACAAGCCTACCCACGCATTCACATCCCTGAAGAGTGGAGTCCCTGCAGGATCGTACTTCTTCTGTACGTGAGAGATAAGCGATGGCTGTTGGTCCACAAGAAGGTAGATCAGGCCGCGCAGGACAGCCGCGGCATTGTTGATGTTCGCATCGATGGCCTGGCAGAAGAAGAATGAGAGAAGGCCGGAGTCACAGGTGGCCTTCAGCTCGTTGATGATACCGCACAGCAGCATAGTCTTGCCCTTGCCGGGATCGCCCTTGATCCAGAGCAGCCGGCTCTGTCCATCGTCGCGCCATTGTCGGAAATCGGCGTTGTTGAGGACCCAGCGATATGAGTCTGCTAGCAAGCCGCCTTTGGTCTGCTCGATGCGCGTCTTGTCGTGCCGCGGGTCTGTACGGCGCAGGTCGGCCGGACAGCGATCTTCCGCTTGATTGTAGACCCGTTCGCCCCTTGAAGCCTTATTGATCTCCTCTCGCAGCCGTCTGAATGCATTGTTTTCCCCTTCGCCATAGATGAGCGGCATGTGGATGTCGAAAATGCCCAGTAGCGAGTATGCCTTGTCTTCCTTGCGTGTGGTGTTGCGCTTCTCTATCCATGCCATTCGCTCGGAGACGCTGAACTGAGATAGAGGGCTACCTCGAAGGGCTCCGACAGGGATTCCCGTTGTATCGTAAATATCTTGCTCTAGAGATCTCCTGTTCCCTAGACGTACGCCTTCTTTCGAGAAGAATTCGACAGACGATGGAGCGATGAGCTCTTGAAGGGTCCATCCGCGGGTAAACCATTTGCTGCTTCGAAAAGCAACCTCCCAACTGGAGTTGTCGTCAGCGCTGAGGGAGGGGATCGAGACATCTGCGAGATAAACATAACATTTCGCCGCATCACGGTACCAGCGAAACATGGAATTGATAGCTTCCTGGAGCTCCGTGTTGTCCGGCTTGTTGATGCAGCATGTGTCTACCCAAAAGAACTGCAAACCGTCACGCCATGCTTGATCTCCACAAAATCGGATCTTGTTATAGCCGACTTTGTTTTCGCCTATACCATCCATCAGATCCTGAAAGCTGATCTCCTCCTCCTCCGTACCCCAGGTGTGCGAAAGTATCGCATATCGGGGAACGTTGCTGGTAAAGAACTTGGTCAGGCGGATATCGCCGGCGGCGTTGCGTTCGAGAAGACGCATCGTTCAGGAATGCCGGGCTCCGGGCTCTCTCCGCAGTTTCGCTGAGAGACAGCTATATATTGGTGTTGAGCAGAAGAGGCGGGCGGGATGCGCGACAGAGGAGATTGGTAGTCATGGGATCTGCGGGCACGTATAGGTTAGAAGACGGTACTGCTATAGCTACGATTATAGGATATATAGGGATTGGCTATTACAAACAACTTCTAAGAGATGTGGAAGACGCTGGAGGTGTCTCCTGAAGTAGGTTGAGAGCCTTGAGATCTCGAAGAGGGGCCAATGGCGGATTTGGAGAAAGCCTCCTTGCTGTCCTAGACAAAACCGCCGGCGGCTACGGAGAGCTGCAAGCGGACGATCAATGTCGTGCAAACCATGGGGCTTGATTGTTGTATGGAAGTTCAAAGGTAGTTGATACCGTCTTTGGCAACCTTTGGGCTCGGTCTTCTCATTTGGATCAGCAACCCCGCATGTTGGGTTGTTCTGAGTGTGGCACGCGAGCCCGGCTACACAAACTCGGCTGTGCGAAGCCGGCAGGCTTCTCATTGGTGGCGTTTCCCGTAACTTTGCAACAGTGATATTGCAGCTATGCATTTTCCAGCTGGAGGCATGGAATAGATTTGATATGAGCGCGACGTAGTGGGTAATCGAAATGACGCCCTGTGATGATTAAGGAAAATTATACCTTCACTAGTTAAATAGACAGTGGAAGGAGGAATTGCCAGGTTAGCACTGGATAGCTGCGTACCGTAGGCGGGATCAAATATTAGCGGATGAAATGCGGGTGAAGCTGCAGCAGTTACGCGGATGTTACCTTGTGCTTCTGAATTTCTCCAAGGTAGTCCCGGTTTGTGCTTGGAAATCTTTCAGATTCTAAGGAAGTCATAATTCCAGTAAATGCTAGATAGAAGAATGTATGAATTTAAACAGATGATCAAGACCGACCTGACTATATGACAAGTACCGCGTCAGCAAGGTACAAGAGAGTTTCCATGGCGATAACCCGCAACGCTAAAAATGGGTTATAGACCGTTGCGCTAAGAATTCAGCAAGATGTTTGGAGCGGAAGGCGATTTCGCTAGAGACTGTACCGCCGGACACAAGCTGTATGCTGTTGGACAAAGTTGTGGAAACCGAAGCTCTTGGGAGGCAAGGGCAGTAAGCAAGGCGGTGAGCAAGGTGGTAAGCAAGGGTGGTGAGCAAAGGCGGTGAGCAGATTAGTAAGCAAGGCGGTAAACAAGGCGGTGAATAAGGGCGGTAAGTAGATTAGTAAGCAAAGCGGTGAGCAAGGTGGTAAGCAAGGGTAGTGAGCAAAGGCGGTGAGTAGATTAGTAAGAAGGCGGTGAGCAAGGCGGTGAGCAAGGCGGTGAGAAGGCGGTCTAGACAAGGTGGTGAAGAATCCGGTAAGCAAGGCTAATGAGCTAGATGCGGTCAAATTAGGTAAGGTGCAAGCTGTATATCTCACCACCTTCCTAAACAGTCATTATGTTCCACGGACTGCTTAATTTGTAATGGCTCTAGAAGTCTATTGCAACTAACTGGTGATAAACTCTCTGAGTATACTAAACTTGAGAAAAGGAGAAAGAAAGCTGGTAGGGGCTGTAGGTCCTGGTTGTTTGGCTAGATTGATAAGAGAGCCGGTGGAAAAGAAATGTCTGATAGTTAACTGGGCGTAGAAAGAGAGCAAAGGGCTTCTATGAAGGCATGGTGCAAAGCAACAACCTGGACCCGCGGCTTTGATTGACCGCCTTGGACTGCTGCGCTTCAGCAGGAACTCTCCCAAGCCCTACTCGCAACGGCCGAAGCACGCCCAGGATGACCATGTCTGCGGCGTACCACGCAAGCACCCCCCATGAGAAGCACTCGGGTCCGTGCGGGCCGCGAACATTTGCCATTCCTCCACCTAAGTTCAGCCCGAGATTCTCATTGACCTGGTGCGGACAATCCCTTCCGCTGATGGAACTCCCGTAGTATCTCAGGACATCTGTTGAAATGCCTAGCCGGTTCCCAACTATCGTGCTCGTGCCCGTACCCTTCCCACCTGACAAGGTATTCTATCTGCTTTCCCCGTTGTCGTGAGTCCAGGATGTCCTCGACCTCAAAATAATTGTCTTGGACTACGGCCATAGGAACGACTCTTGAAGGGTGTATACGCCCTGTTGAGGACGTTCTCTCCGCTGCTGACTTGCGCCGCGGGATTCCAGGCGTGCGCTGCTTTTGTTCACGATTTGCCGAAGCATCCCACTGTAGCTGGAACGTCGTGACGCCCTTCACTATAACGCGCCTGAGAACTGCACCGTCAAGTGGCCACTCCTCGACCTTCGCGACGGGTGCCTTTGTCTCATCTTTCGAAGTGGACGTCCCTGAAGATGGTGGGATGAAAAGGCCGCGCTGACTTCGGCGGTGCTTTGAGGGTTGAGCCCGTGGCGGCTGTAAGCCGGCGCAATACAGACGTGTCTGCGGCCTGGACGCCGTTTCATGAGTTGTAGGAGTCGAAGGGCTCATCCTGCGGCGTTTGCGCGGTAGTTGGGTGGCGGCGTCATCCCGAGCCTGCTCTGTAGCGCCGTTCTCGATAGGACCGCTGTCCTCTCCATCGATACCGCAATGCCGACGACGATCGATATTGTGCTGAAGGTTGGCCCGGTCTTGGCTGGCGGATAAAGGTATGGGTGGCTCGGCATTGGGCAGGTTACAGCCCCATTCGTTTTCGCTCTCATTGTCTGACAGTCTGCGTATGCTTGTCTGACATTCCTGCCCTTGTGGTGGCACGACAGAACCCTTTTCATTGGTCTGCTCTCGTCTGTGGTCCGGAAGCGGAGGATGACAGTGTTTTGGGTCGCTCGTTCGATTGCTGCCGCCGTAGTGATCATTGTGCTGTGAGAAGCAGCTGCTATCGGCTCCCTGCTGCGTTTCGGGTCCACAGCTGGAGGAGGGATTGCGTGAAATGTTGGACTGATGGAGTTTTGCAGCCTTATGTGCGCTTTCCCGGGCACGGCTGGCCTGCAGGCGCCGTCGTATCGCCTGAACTGAATACGGGAACCTCCTATCCCACTCGTCATTCGGAAGGCTCAGGGTGCCATCTCGATTAGACGTCATTCTGCATACCTCTGTGGAGGGGCGAGGATCAGGCCGCAATCCAAGACCATGCCCTTGGGCCACATTCCCAGCAGGGGATGCGGGGACTCTCCCGGGAACAGCCCGAACAGACCAAGCCTTGTCATAAACAGTGCTGTCAGAAGGGAGTGCCTGCCCTGGCTCACTGCCGGCGTAGCTCGCCGAACCTGAGGTGTCCTTCGCATGTAAAGAGTTCGGGTTACGTGCCTCATGCTGTTGAGTTGATGCAAACTTCCTGTCTAGACCGAGTGCACCGGTGGCCGATGACTTTTTCGTATCTTCGGCACTGACACCGGGTGGGGCGTCGACATTCTTGTCTGCTCGGGTGTCAGCGTGATTGGTTTTCCCCCCCGTGATGGTAAGTTAGGCACATACCAACCAATGGCGGGACGGTAACGTTGGGACGACCGTCGTGGGGGACGCGACAAACTGGGAACGTATGCCTAGAATCGCTATGAGGAGGGTAGCGTGCTTCCTGCAGCGGCGGTGGATGTAGAGGAGCTTCAGATGTAGCTGCAGAGGGGTCCGTATTTCGAACCGAGACACTAGGGTTCGCGAACGCTGGGTGGTCAAGACAGACGGTTGCCATCGTGCTGTGAGTGGACGGCGCAGTTGGTTCGCAGGAGTTTTAAGATACTTGAGTAGAAATCGAAGAGAGCAGAAGTCCGCAGACGAGCATCTTGTTTTCCCGGACACGGGGAAATGAGCGAAATATATATGCGTGCGTGGAAGGCCTCCGACCGCAACAGCGCCAAAGTGCTTGTCCCAACGCTCCGCTGCCACCTCTTCCTTCCTCGGTCCTGCCTCCTCGCATGGTAGCCAAGAGAGTCGATCCACCGTTTCCTCAAGTCTTTGCTAATCACGCAACCACCGAGACTGAAAGGAGACGCCCGGAAAGGGGAGGCCTCGCAGACATTGTGTCGCCACGAACCACGACTCCGATCGTAATCCCGCATGGTCCAGGGAGCGGCTAGCCGCTGCGATGCAGGGGCACCATCTCCTCCCCCACCCCCACCATATGTCTCTTCCCCTGGTTATCTCATTAGCTGTCGCATACGGGCAGCCGCCTAGCCCATCGGCTTCCCCGAGTCGTGTCTGCCTCGCCGTCAATTCAAGGCATGGATGAAACCGGCCTACCTCTGAGATCCTTGGAAGAAGCGCAGGGATCGGTGACTCCTTGCAAACGAGCCGAGAAGTAGGCCGGGCAATCCTGTGGTGAGCCCCTTTCTCGCCTTCCCGCCCTCCTCCTCCCCCACCCCCTATGGGTGTATAAGCGTAGCACTTCACGCATTGGCCCGTACGCCTCAGACATCAACCCGCGTTGCCGATCCTTTATGACGCTGTCAAGGCTTGGCACTGCTCGGTATAGTATCCTCCGCAGAGCAAGGAGGGTCAGGAGAAGAGGCAATAATGCAGGACGAAAGACGAAAAATATCTACGTGCCTAGAAAGCCTCCAACCGCAACATTATCGACGTCCTGGTCCTAGTTTTCCACTGCCTCGTTCACCTTACCCTATCCCAGCGGCTAGCCAAGGAAAACGTACTTCTATCGTGCCGCCTCGCATTGTAGCCAAGACCATCCGGTCACCGGGTTCCTCGAACTTTCGCCAATCGCGCGATGGCCGAGGCGGAAAGGAAACGCCCGGAGAAGGGAGGCCCCGAGGAGACATCGTGCCGCCACAGATTACGACCGTAACTTAATGCCGCATGATTCAAGGGGTCGCTGAAGGTTGACCAGGGCGGCTAAGCTGCAGATGAGCTCGCCGCTTCCAACCGTCGTCTCGCTTCTAGAACAACCAGTAAGAAACGACCTCTCTCCGAGCTATCTCGTACGGGCGGCCGCTCTACCTCGTTGTCTTCCTAGGTTCGTGCCTGCCTCGCCTCAGATTCAAACGAACGTACGCCATATGGATGGGACTAGCTTGCGTCCGAGGTCGTCATACGGGTAGCAGTGTTGGCCAATTTCTTTGCATGAACCCCTCGGTCCTTGTTTCCTCTTACGGCAGCCGAGCCCTAGCAGGCCTTGTCTCGTCGAGTATCAGACCAGCATATTGACCTCCCTCGGGATCGCCGTGACTGACGAGGCAGACTTGGAAAGGAGTATCCAGGAGGCAGAGACCGGTGAGGGCATTTCGTGATCGAGCCGCGCCGGTGATTGTCTGCCTCGCGCCCTGAGCCGGTAGCAACGAGCTTTCGACCGTGGTGTGCGCTTCCTGCTTGTACTGCGTGCGGTGGAGGGTCTTCGATTCCCTTGAACCCCATGGCTGTGACGGCGAATCTGATTGGCGACGCCTCGCCAGGCACCGACCTAGACGACAGCATTCATCTGCAGATGACCTGGTTCTCGTAGGCCTCGCCGCCCTGCGGGTCTGGGCTGTTTCTCGTTTTCCCTCCCTGCTTGCCACCTCGCCTCCTATCCCCCGGGGCGTACAGCATGGGCGTGGAGCTTCATTCCCATACGCCTCCGACACCAGCCCGCGTAGCCGACCCTCCATCACGCAGTAAATGTCCGTCACAGGCTGTACCGCCGGTGTGGCACCTCCGTGATGCTACGCGTGAACGATGCTCGAGCCCCTTGATCCTTTCGTATCGTATGCGCTTGCTCTGCGTCGCCGTGGCGAGGCATTTTTCTTGCGGTTTGGGTCGACCCAGAGGTGCCGGAATCCAAGAGGTTGTCGGAATGTATTCAGTCATGGAAGTAGTTACCATTTCGTGTACATTTGGGCAATGCTTTCGGTCTTTCGCAATCCGGTTCTGCTCGAGAAGTGTTCATACTCCAGCCCAATGCAACCAATGGCTCTCGCAGTTTAAACATTCATGGGACCGGGACTTGAGTGACGACAGATTACGTGTCATGGGTAGTTTATACGGGACCAAGGAAGGATCGGGGCGTGTCCAATAGCGGTCCCAGCAGTGGGGTCCGAGCAGTAACCCTGTATGTACGGTTGGCTGTTGGTTTTAGCGGTCCGCAGTCTCAAAGGGCAATTTTAGCCGGGCTCACTCTGGCTCAGTTCCACCAGGCTCACTCTGGCTCAGGTCCACCAGGCTCACCTTTGCTCAGGTTAAAGCAGCCGCAGCTCAGGACAATGCACAACAACGGAAATCGCTGAGGGCAACTTTTGGGGAATGCATTGGTCTGTTGTTACCAAGAATCAGTCAGCACTCGCAGCGATCAGGCAACCACGGCAGCAGTCGGGCCAAGCTATCATACAAGAAATATACGAGACGACTACGGCTCACCCAAAGAGGGAACTCGCTCTACTTCCAATGGGCGCTCGCAGAGAGCGCCTTTGCGCTAGGATCAGACGCCAAAACAGCAGCACAACGGGCTACAAAACAAGGACACGTGCCACGCCTCCAACTGCACCAGGCCAAGGCAACCTTACTAGGGCTAGTGATGGCCAAACAGCAGCGAACCCGAAGGGCTTGGCAAGTTCTCGAAGGCCCTAGACATCGCTCTGCCTGGCAAACACACGCGGGACCTATACGACAAGCTGAAGCGGAAAGAAGCTGGCGTACTATCCCAACTCCGAACAGGAATGGCAAGGCTGAATGGGTTCCTAATTGCGATGCGAAAGGTGGACAGCTCTAAGAGAAGATATGCTACGATGCTTAGTGGCAAGACGTGGGAGGCTCTCATTCTACCTAGGAGGGAAAGCGCCGTCGGACTTAACTCATTGGCCACCAGACATCAAGGCGGTCCGGGCAGCAATTAGATACGCAATGGCAACAGGGAGACTGGCGCTGAACGAGAAGGAAAGACTGGATCAATCGCAGTAGAGGCACTCGAGTAACGACGCTAAACAGCTTTGACCAGCAGATCCCATTTTAGCTGCTGAAGATGGGTTGCTGAATACTTGGAGAACGCGGCATCCAAGTCGATCTGCTACAAACTAAGTCAAGAGGCAAAGGGTGCCGTGAGAAAAAGGGAAAGAGTAGAGGGCTTGTACGAGCTGATGACCGAACTTCAACGAACCGGATGTATAGTAGTTAGCGTGCCAAGGCTCTTTAAGCTCCGTGTCTCCGGGCGAAATAAATCCATTTAACGCGCTATTTATAGAGTGCTAAAATTAGAATAACCCATTTAACGATAGAGTGCTAAGATTAGAATATACTATTTGTAGACCTCCTAGAGCACTAGAGGTAATGCTCTGACTTCTATATAAAGCCTCGACATAGGTAAGATTCTAACCACGTTGGGAAATGTACACTACTTATATTTGCACTTTATTGACTTCTAACATAACCTATCCATAATATCACCTAGTTCCTCTACTACAAAACTAGAACCCTAAGCTATTAAGACAAAGGAGCGATTTTTAGAAGTTGATACAGGCTGTCTAATTTGGGAATCAAAAGCGGTAAGCCCTAAGAGCAATTCTGAGAGCGCAAGCTAGAGCTGGCCCTGACTTACAATCTATGTTTCAGTCCCTATATAGCGTTTGGTCCCCGGGAACCTAAATTAGGGGCCTGAAATCTAGGCGCTAGGCGGTAGGTAGATGTGACGGTGGAACGCACCGACTATAATGATGATATCATTTGTATGCATAATGATTCATCATATAGTAGAAGGCGAATTGGATGTGGCTGATTTGTTTATTTAACTGTTCTAAGGGCTGCGGGATAGGCCTGTGGCTTGTGTGGCTTACGGAATGCACCTGTAGCGAAGAGGTACTTCAGGAACAATACCTAACGAAGGCAGAACTGGCTGTTAGGTTCCGGGCGCGCCCCGTGCCCTGTTGGCGCTAAAGTGGGAATTGGGACGGTCAAGTGGGACGAGGTCACGCAGGGTATGACGACAGCGACGGGTTTTCCGGCACGCCTCTGCAAGGAGGGGCAGACACGATACAACAATGACATCATTAACCTCGTGAAAGACGACCATCGCAGCATCCGGCCGCCCAATTGCCAGTGCGATGCGTGCGGTGCCAAGGGCAATGACGTTCCCATATGATTGGCGTCAAATTTTGGGTGCAGTGCTTGTAGCTGACGATGAAAACCATACTCGCTGCCCTCGGATGAAAAAGTAGGGCGCAGGAGATGTCACGACTGCCTGCGGCCCCCTCTGGACGATCAACGGCCAACAAGCCAGCCGCGCCCGCAACTTCAGCTTCGTTGTATGATGATCGCGCAGAACACAGCTGTCAATCTGTACGTTGTCGCTGACATTTAATAGTCTCTTACTATCGATAGATGTTCTCGCTCAAGCCATGCCTACGAAAGACTGTCCTAAATTGTTCGGAAGGTTGCTTGCGAAGTTCTCCAAGGATCGTCATACAGCCTCTTCGACTCCACCTGCCGCGCAGTGCACGGGTATGTTACCACTCGGCGCTGTATACCTTTCAAAACTGACATTTCTCGCAGAGGTGCAGTCTTCTCAGCAGGGAGACGTAGAACACCGACCGGACGCGTCTTCCATTGTCGCGACAGAGTCATGCACTCCTCCATTCCCATCCCCCGCCGACGCTCAGGCGGCGCGACCGAGCGTAGACGCGGGAACGGCAGTCCGTCACCAGCCAGCTGCAGCGTCGCGAGCGTTGCCTCCACCTCCGCCGGTTGAACTTCCACCCAAGCCGACGGCGACCGAATCCACCGAGCAACAGACCCCTATCATTTCCATCTCTGAGAGACTGTGGAACGCTGCGTACGACAGCCTTACAACGGACCATAGAGATCTTGTGAGGTTGTACGTGGAAACTTTGGAGAGGAGTCTCGGAGACGAGACCCCTGAACACTGTACTACCGACCTTTCGGCCAGACTAGGAAATCCTACCAACCGACAAAAGCATATGAGGGAGTTGGTTGAGAAGGGGCAGGAGAAAATATCCAGAGCCTCGAGGATAACGACTGGAGTTGGCGAGGTCGCCGATTTCATCCTGAAAGCTAAGAAGATGGTCGACCTGGTACTCCAGAGCGTGCCGCAAGCTGCGCCGGCTGCGCTTCCATGGGCGGGTGTTTGCCTTGGGCTTCAAGTAAGAATCGTCCTTCCAAGGTCCTTTCCCTAACCCTGCTAATACACCCAGATTCTCCGGAATCCAGCACAAGCAACAAAATCCAACCTTGCTGGTATTGCCCACGTCATCTCCAGAATGGACTGGTATTGCGCCTTGACCGAACACCTCTTAAAGAAGAACAACATTGCTGCCGGCAACGACTTTCAAGCAGTCTTGCGCCAGCTGGAAGAGAGGATTATCAAGCTTTATAAAGCTCTTCTCCTATACCAGATGAGGAGCGTTTGTTCCTACTATCGTAACCAAGGTCTCGTCTTTCTTCGCGGCATGCTGAGTTTGGACAACTGGGACGGCGATCTGAAATTAGTCACTGACGCGGAGACCGCCGTTGAGCACGATGCTGCGCAGTACTTCCAAGAACAGACGAAAACCTCCCTGGGGAACTCGTCAAGCATGCTGAGGGGATGAAGACACAGCTCGGCAACATCCATCAGACGCTTCAAGATTTCATATCGCTCCAAAAGGATGTCCGTAAGGATGATATGGAAGCAGCATGCCGCAGAGATCTCCGCGTTGTTGATCCGCAGCACGATATGGAGCGGATAGAGAGGGGTAAAGATGAGCTGCTCGACGACGCGTACCAGTGGATCCTACGTACCCCAGAGTATATAGGGTTCACAAACTGGGACGACAGCGAATCTAATTATCCGCCGCGTCGATTGCTCTGGGTAAAAGGACACGCCGGTACGGGGAAGACGATGCTCATGATTGGTCTCATCCGCCAACTCTCTGATCAACCGGTCATTCTCGCGCCAGCGCTTTCCTTTTTCTTCTGCCAGGGCACAGATGCCGCCCTGAACAACGCCACCGCCGTCCTCCGGTCCTTGATCTGGCTTCTTCTTCTTCAGCAGCCATATCTCATATCTCACCTACTTCAGAAGTACAAAGAGTCAGGCGCCGATCTCTTTAGGGATAAAAATGCCTTTTACGCTCTATCCGAGGCGTTTCGGAATATGTTGAGGGATCCTCAGCTGACGCCTGTGTATCTCGCGGTCGACGCTCTTGATGAGTGTGCGCAGGGGCAACCGGGGCGGTCGGACCTCATCCGTCTCATCTCAACCTCTCTCACTCTTTCCCGGAAGGTGAAATGGCTGCTTTCTAGCCGCCCAGAAGTTGACCTTCTCACTGAACTCAGTGACTTAGACACCAACTCCCCGGACGCTTCTAAAACCCTTATCGAGCTGGATCCTCAACGTCTGGCAGATCCTGTTAATGCATATATCGATCACAAGTTCACTATCCTCAGGCGCAGGAAAGGATACAACGACAGCGTTTTGGCCGAGGTGTCTCGTGAAGTCCGCCAACGAGCAGAGAACACTTTCCTCTGGGTGGCTCTCGCCTTTAGAGTTCTCGAAACAATACACGGAGGGTATGCCGTCAAACGTATTACAGAGATGCCTCCTGGCTTGTCGGAGTTGTATAATCATATGATGAACCGGATTGAGGCAGGCCAAATAATCGAACCCCAGGACTGTAAGACAGTCTTGGTGGTTACGTCTCTTGCCTTCCGGCCGCTGTCTATCCCTGAGCTTTCCGTGCTCTCCGACTTGCCACTAGACGTTGCAGAGACGGCTATCGAGATGTGCGGCTCATTTCTCACGATCGCCAAGGGAATAGTCAACTTGATCCACCAGTCGGCTAAAGACTACCTGGAAAAGAATTACGAGTCCAGACTTCAGCCAGCCGGGCCCGCTCAAGGGCATGCCGAGATTGGTAGGCGCTCGATTGATGCGATGTCCTCAATACTGAGGCCAAACCTGTACAACCTCGACCTCGGCTTCAAACCGGAAAATATGGCACCGCCTGATCCAGATCCGCTGGCTCCAGTACGATACTCTTGTGTTTTCTGGGCCGAACATCTTTGCTCACTGGACGACGATAACTCTATCCGCCCGGGTGAACCGATGGACGTCGGCAAAGTGTTTGGCTTTTTGAAGGAGTACTTCCTCCGTTGGCTTGAGAGTTTGTCTCTCCTAGGGAGCCTTTCTAGTGGGCTCCATTCAATCAGAAAACTTCTGCATGTCGCTCAGGTATGTTAAAAGCCCTCTAATGGCGCGAAGTATACTAACATTGCTAGTCATCACCGAATTTAAACTCTCGGCTCATTGAGCTTTTGAAAGACGCGGAGAAGTTTATCTTCAGGTTTAGATCTATCATAGAGCGGGCCCCGTTACAGATATATGGCTCTGCGCTTGTGTTCAGCCCGACTTTGAGCGAGATTAGAAATCGACATTGGAAGGAAAGGCTGTCTTTTATCGAAATGACCGCAGGCATTAAAGAACGCTGGGGCACGCACCGGCAGACGCTCGAGGGGCATAGCGATGTAGTCACGGCAGTGGCGTTCTCGTGGGACAGCAAGATGCTCGCGTCGGCGTCAAACGACGGGACGGTCCGGCTCTGGGACGCGGCGACCGGCGTGTACCGGCAGACGCTCGAGGGGCATCGCGGTATAGTCACGGCAGTGGAGTTCTCGCTGGATAGCAAGACGCTCGCGTCGGCGTCAAGCGACGGGACGGTCCGGCTCTGGGACGCGGCGACCGGCACGTACCGGCAGACACTCGAGGGGCATCGCGGTAAGGTCTGGGCAGTGGCGTTCTCGCGGGACAACAAGATGCTTGCGTCGGCATCAAGCGACGAGACGGTCCGGCTCTGGGACGCGGCGACCGGTACGTACCGGCAGACGCTCGAGGGGCATGACGGTTGGGTTACGGCAGTAGCGTTCTCGTGGGATAGTAAGATGCTCGCGTCGGCGTCAGAAGACGAGACGGTCCGAGTCTGGGATACGGCGACCGGTACGTACCGGCAGACGCTCGAGGGGCATAGCGATTCGGTCTGGGCAGTAGCATTCTCGCCGGACAATAAGATACTCGCGTCGGCATCAAGCGACACAACGGTCCGGCTCTGGGACGCGGCGACCGGCACGTACCGGCAGACACTCGAGGGGCATGATGGTACGGTCTGGGCAATGGCGTTCTCGCCGGACAGTAAGACGTTCGCATCGGCATCAAGCGACGAGACGGTCCGGCTTTGGGACGCGGCGACTGGCACGTACCAGCAGACGCTCGAGGGGCATGGCGGTACGGTTACGGCGGTGGCGTTCTCGCCGGATAGCAAGACGCTCGCGTCGGCGTCAAGCGACGAGACGGTCCGGCTCTGGGACACGACAACCGGCACGTACCGGCAGACGCTCGAGGGGCATAGCGATTCGGTCACGGCAGTAGCATTCTCGCCGGACAATAAGATACTCGCGTCGGCGTCAAGCGATACAACGGTCCGGCTCTGGGACGCGGCGACTGGCGTATACCGGCAGATACTCGAGGGGCATCGCCGTAGGGTTAAAGCAATAGCGTTCTCGCCGGATAACAAGACGCTCGCGTCGGCGTCAGAAGACACAACGGTCCGAGTCTGGGACGCGGCGACCGGCACGTACCGGCAGACGCTCGAGGGGCATAGCGATTCGGTTACAGTAATAGCGTTCTCACCGGATAGCAAGACGCTGGTGTCAGCATCAAGCGACGCGACGGTCCGGCTCTGGGACGCGGCGACCTACGTACACCGGCAGACGCTCGAAGGGCATAGCGATTTAGTCTGGGCAGTGGCGTTCTCACAGGATAGCAAGATGCTCGCATCGGCGTCAAGCGACACAACAGTCCGGCTCTGGGACGTAGCAACCGGCACGTACCGGCAGACGCTCGAGGGGCATCGCCATATGGTCTTAGCAGTAGCGTTCTCGCAGGACAACAAAACGCTCGCGTCGGCATCAAGCGACAAGACGGTCCGGCTCTGGGACGCGGCGACCGGCGTGCACCGGCAGACGCTCGAGGGGCATAACGGTTGGGTTACGGCAGTAGCGTTCTCGCTGGATAACAAGACGCTCGCGTCGGCGTCAGAAGACGCAACGGTCCGGCTCTGGGACGCGGCGACCTACGTACACCGGCAGACGCTCGAGGGGTATTGCGGTACGGTCACGAGAATAGCATTCTCCAGTAATGGTCTCTGGCTCGAGACAAATCGAGGACTGCTCCGCGTTAATGCAAACTCTAAGATTTCAAGCAGTCCTGGGGATGAGAAGCCAGCCAGTGGCTTTCTCTTCGTCGACGACAATTGGGTCACTAGAAACACCAAGCGCATTCTTTGGCTTCCTCCGGACTATCGGGCAACATGTGTGGCGGTTCACGGTCATACACTCATCCTAGGACATTCCTCTGGTCAAGTAACCTTCTTTCATTTTGCTTTCACCGACTAATGGATTTCCGTAAGCAACAGGTGTTGTATAGTAATTAGTACAAATATCTTTGTTTTAAACGCTACGTTATAATAACGTACATTATCAGCGAGCGGGACATATCAGCGAGCGGGACACTCTCCACTACTCTATAACAACTACTCTCAATTGCAATGCAACAACACTAAGAACCAACTACAATTACATCAGAAACAGATGAATCAGACCCTTCTGCACCCTCCTGGCAAGTGCGGGCATTATGGCCAGGCTTGCTGCACATACCACAGCACCGAACCTTCGTACGAACCCCCCAGCACTACTACCATCCAGCTGTGTTTCTTGCATTGCCTCCCCACCTATAGCCCCCTGGCCTACCACCTCCTGTACCTCCTGCACAGTAAGTGATCCTCCAAGCCGTATACGTGTTTTTTTTGGCTCTCTGGCGCTTGCTTAGCGCCTCGTTGGCCTTGCGGAGCGAAGACACCTCTGCCTGAAGGAGGGCCACCTGGTACATTATAGCTATTGTACCCTTGGTAAGCTGGTCTATAGCAGCCAACATCGAAGTCGGGGAGCTATTTTGATGGTTGGCAATGCGAGTCTTGATGAGCGTTGACTGTGAGTTGGCTTCTTGGGGGTTGTATGGTGTCTGGAAGACCCAAGATTGTATAGTGCCTGGCTGTGAGGTTGGGGGTGTTAGTGTACGAAGCTTGATATCTAGCTTTGAAAGTACCCTCTCTGGATCGTACGGTACAAGGCCAGCCCCTATAAAACCGCCCTGGATATTCCTCTTGGTGATAGAGGCAAAGAAGGCCGCGTGAAAGGTACAAAGGAACTCGAGCTTGCTTATATGGTTGATATATACGCGTATCAAGTCCTTGATCTGGCGACTGTACGCCTGCTTCAACGGCCCAAAGCAGCCAATATCAAGTGGCTGGAGGAGGTGGGAGGAATGTGGAGGCATGTAGAGCGTGATAATGTTGTTCTGCTGGTAGTAGAGCTCGAACTTGGTTGAGTGGTGGCTTTCGTGGCCATCGAGGATCAATAACCAGTATTTGCCCTTTGTCCGAGGTGCTGTATGGTAGTCGAAGTGCTTGATCCAATCAAGGCCTACTATATTGGTAGTCCAGCCATTCTCGGTAGTTGCAATGCGCCAGTCGGCTAGGAGGTTGCACTTAGTATACCAGTTGGCAAGGTAGAACTATGCTACTAAGATGATGAACGGAGAGATAGCCCAGCCAAGGGCATTGACGCCTTGGATCACCGTCGTCCATTCGCAGTTGCCAGGCTAGGCTAGCTTCGCCTTGCTACGGCCATCCGAGGTTATAACCACCATGCCCGGGAAGATAATGCCCATTATAAACCCAGTCTTGTCGAAGTTATAGATATTGTCATCTACGATACTGTACTTGGCCTTAATATTCCGTACAAGGGTAAACCACTTGCTAATGACCTTCGGATCCTCGCACTTTGCCCTCTAGTAATCGTATCTTCGCAAATAACATATACGGAGCTCTAGCTGGCGTTTGACAAACCGATATACCCAGAGCTTGCCGACAGGGGGCGTATCGCGTACATATAGCAGTTGGTTGGCCATATCTTCTATACTACATAGTCTCGGCGGAAAAGCTCGTACAAATAGCTCAATAATATATTGAACAATAGCCTCCTCTTCAGATTGGGTAAGCTTCTTCGAATTGGCTGGAAGATCGCGTCGTATAGGCCGGCCGGTACGTCAGTAGCCGAGGGTTGAAACTGGCACGTTATAGAGCTTGGCCGCGGCTCGAAGGCTTAGTTCTATATCATTTTCAAGAGCTTTGAGGGCCAAGGTTACCCTAGCTTCCTTTGAAGTGGAAGACATCTTTAGTTGTAGGAAAAACGCGTTGTTAGAGGTAGATAAGGAAGGACGCGTTGTGCCAAGAACTTAGTGTCCCGCTCGCTGATATGTCTCGCTCGCTGATAATGTACGTTATCTTTATTTTAAACGAAGGGCCCGGGAGAGACGATGGCCTTATGCCATTTAGGTTTCGCTACCTACGTCTTCCTCTGTTGTCACTTTGAGATTTGCCACAGGTATTGCACTTGCAATTATGCAAGGTACAATTAGGAAAACGAAGGCATAGCTCTGTATTGAGCGCGATGAACGGAAAGATAGAGTATGTTTTTGGATGACTGCGTAAAGAAGCTTCATACTTCGGTACCGTAGACTCATCAAGCTGAGATAAAACAGCGAATTCGGGACCAGCACGGGGATAGCTACGTACTGTAACGGGCTAAGCCCGGTGGGGCCCTCGCGTAGAAACTGGTTGTGATATGATAACGTTATGACAATTCGCTGCGGTACATCTGGAGTACTTTTCCTCAATTGTGAAAAGCCACAAGGGCCCGCAAGTGGATCTCGCTACAGGATATTAACTAATTCAAAAAGCGACACCCATTTCGCCTTTTACTGTACCAAGTGATGATTCATTATGCATGTTTCATTACATCATACATGCAAGCTCAGACCTACTCTCGTCCTATATCTAAAGCCTACCTTGCAGTCTCGAGGATTCTTTCCTCCTACAAGTTCAATATTCTTGCAATACAGTCAGTTTACCACTAGAGGCTTGACCCTGACCTTGAATGACAGCCCTCGTGACAGTAGAGTATATAACTACAAATAAGGACTGCCAACCGCGCCGCGCTACTAGCTATATTTTTCGGCAATGACACTCTTAAGCGCTCCCAAGAACCCTTTTTGCGTTGTCGCAGTTGGACGTCAATATATTACTAATCCGCTACGGAGCTGGTGGTATAATGACGATGCTACCTATATCTTCGAAATTCTCTATGACTCGAGCAAGCCAGTCGAGCATCTTACTATATATCTGCGTGAAGGATATACTTTTAACGATATATATAGAGCTGAAATATATAGCTGTATAATAGGTAACAATATAGATAATAGGTATTATATAGGAGACCTATGTCATAGAGACTGTCGTCGCAGTCTAGGCTCAAGGCTCTGGTAGGCAACTGACTGTATTGCAAGAATACTGAACTTGTAGGAGGAAAGAAATCCTCAAAGACTGCAAGGTGCAAAGAAGTCTAAATACAGGATGTGGGGCATGTGCCTAGATGTAGAAGGCGGGGCACCAACCAGATCGACCAATCATGCATGCATGCACCGGAAGCCGGGCACATGACTAAGCAATGGCCTATGCTATGGTACGGTAGGTTCCACCATCACAACGTATATACGACGCGCTCCCTATCAGCAAGCTCTAGGCGTATCCGTTTATCAAACGCCAGCTAGAGCTCCGTACGCGTTATTCGCGAAGATACGATTACCAGAGGGTAAAGTATGAGGATCCGAAGGTCATTGGCAAGTGGTTTGCCCTTGTATGGAATGTTAAGGCCAAGTACGGTATCATAGATGACGATATCTATAATTTCGACGAGACTGGGTTTATAATAGGCATTATCTTCTCAGATATAGTGGTTATAACCTCGGATAGCCGTGGTAAGGCGAAGCTAGCTCAGCCTAGTAACCGCAAATAGGCGACGGTGATCCAAGGCGTTAATATCCTTGGCTAAGCTATCTCTCCATTCATCATCTTAGCGGTGTAGTACTACCTCGCCAACTAGTATACCAAGTATAACCTCCCAGCCGACTAGCGTATTACAACCACCGAGAATAGCTGGACTACTAATACGGTAGGCCTTGATTAGATTAAGCACTTCGACTACTATATAGCGCCTCAGATAAAGGGCAAATATTGATTGTTGATTCTGGATGGCTACAAAAGCCACTACTCAACCAAGTTCGAGCTCTACTGCCAGTAGAACAACATTATCACGCTCTATATTCCTCTTACATCCTCTACCACTTGATGTTGGCTGCTTTGCGCCATTGAAGCAGGCGTATGGTCGCCAGATTGAGGACTTAATACGCGTGTATATTAACTATATGTGACGAAACCACAGGCAGTCCTGCCTCTGAAAGGGTTCGCCGGTCGAAGGTACTGCTGGTCGGACTGTAGGTCTCGGTGAAGCCAAAAGGTTCACAACAATGCAATCCGCAATGTCTGCACAATAGGTAAAGGCTACTGTTTGAATTGCTCACTGGAGAACTCCCAGAGTCCTCCAGAACGAGTGGCTATATAGTATCTACATACTGTTGCTCAGAGTGCTCATGGCCCTTTGCCATGAGCAGCATGATTATCGGGTGCTCGCGATGCTCGCGCCCCTTCACGATGAGCACTTTGAGCACCTGCTCAGAAGGCTTGGCTCGTTCCCCACTGAGCAGCCTTCGTACTTGTGCGCCATTGGCTGCGTCCCCTGCAGTAATGACTGGTCCGAAGCGTCCCGCGCTCCGTGCCGCATGCGCAGCCTGTCCCTGTTGGCTTAATTCGTGACACTATATAAGCAAGCTCGAGTTCCTTTATACCTTTCGCGCGGACTTTTTTACCTCTATTACTAAGAGGAATATATAGAGCGGTTTTATAGGGGCTGGCCTTATACCGTACAATCTAAAGAGGGTACTTTCGAAGCTAGATATCAAGCTTTGTATACCAATACCCCCAACCTCACAGCCAGGCACTGTACAATCTTGGGTCTTCCAGACACCACACAACCCCTGAGAAGCTAACTCACAGTCAACGCTCATTAAGACTCGCATTGCCACCTACCAAAATAGCTCCCCGATTTCGATGTTGGCTGCTATGGACCAGCTGACAAAGAGTACAATGGCTATAATGCACCAGGTGGCTCTCCTGCAGGCAGAGAATGCTTCGCTCCGCAAGGCCAATGAGGCACTAAGCAAGCGCCGAAGAGCCAAAAGAACGCGTGTACAGCTTAGAGGATCACTTGCAGTAGAAGATGCAAAGGATCTACTAGACCAAAAGGCTATGGTTGGGGAGGTGGCATAAGAAATGCAGCCGGATGGTGGTGGTATAGGGGGGGCTTGTACGAAGGTTCGGTGCTGTGGTGTATACGGCAAGCCTGGTCATAATGCCCGCACTTGCCAGGAGGTTGTAGAAGCATCTGATTCAGCCGTTTCTGATGTAATTATAGTTGGTTGATAGTTTTGTTGTTTTGTAATTGAGGACAATGTTTGTAGGGTAGTAGAGAGTAGGTCATCCGCTGATATGGGTCACTCGCTGATAATGTACGTTAAAGGGAAAAAAAAAAAATAACGTGACAATGAAATGTAGCGAATAATGCTGCATAGCGGATGGCAAGTTAGATGATAAGCGCGAAACTAGACGACTCCAAATAAAAGACTCGTCCCGCAGGGCATCCGATAGCCATGCTTCTTGTTGTTATATCGAACACTCCTGGTCGGTATGTCGGCAGCAGCTATACGACATTGCAATAGTCCTAAGTAAACTACGTATTGTCGTTGCTGAACCCGATGCCCGAACGATTGACGTATGCCAAAGAGGGACCAGGCGCTGAAACCTGGCACGCTCGGAGCCATTTGGAAAGTTATACGGGGAGCAAGCACGGGACGCACCTGCAGCCAATCGTTAAGTGCAGCAGCCTGACCAATCGGGAAGGCGCCAGATGCATGTAAGTTGGAACGATGGGAAACGCTTCACGTTCCCAACGGTCTACAAGGAACGGGAAGAACGGGCACCGTTCCTCGCGAACCAGGACTTGGGAGGAAGCTTGTATGTAGATCACACTCTCTACGCCTATGGGCATTCCGGATGCTTCCTCAGTAAGCAATGCGATCTCAAGTTCTGTGCTAGCTTTTAATACGGCTTGATTGCTTGTTGTGTACCTTTTGGCAACACCGAATCTCAACCCCAACCCTTGCTGCATTCTCTCGACGACAGATCGCTCGGCATTTTGGCAGCCCTCCATGAGGCGGATGAGGTTCTTAGTAGTACAACCGGGGTTGTCTCCGCGGTTTCAGAAAGAGTCAAGAAGATAGCGAAATGGTCGAATTGGCCTCGCAATCTGAACCTCATCAAGGTTACCCAACAGCAAAGACCGCCGTCTGCCGCGTCCCCAGTACTTCAGGCCCTGCATCTCAGGTCGTTCAGACACATAGCAGTAAACGAATGGCAACTGCGCGGATGGTAACCACGTCGGACGCGCCTAGTTCCGCTTTCACGGTCGAGCTGACCCGATTCCACCCTGCCCCCCCTGGGCAGGTACTCGCTCGAGGGCCATTGCTGGGCTGGCACTGAAACACCGTCCGCTAAATAGGTGGGATCTCTGCAGTCTTCAGAGGGACTATCAGACGCGATTAGCGCGCACGCTATATGGCAGGTAGTCCACTTACAGCTGTTGCCCATGCGTTGCTTGTGACCTGCAAGGGGAAAGATCGCCGCACCACGATCAAGACGATGTGGAAGAATAAGAGAAGCGCGGATATAATCGCCAGGGACCGATGAACTCTCTGGGAGGCTTTGAGGGAGATGCCAAGAATCGTAGATGCCAGAAAGCTCTGACTCGGCCCAGCGATGACAGGCACGAGGTTGACCAGCGAAAGATCCGCCGCGCGAATGCTCGCCTCTTCGGCAGAGGCCGGTTTAAAGAGGCGGTTAAAAAAGGTTAGATAGGCATTGACGCTTAGGAACAGCGCGACGACGAGGATGGTGCCGAGATGCCATGGTCCGATGCGCTTGTATCGGTGAAGTACGCGTATGTATGAAATGCGAGTGAAGAAAAGGCGCAGACCACGGACAAAGGACCTGACAAACTTCGGGGGGTTCATAAGGATGAGATTAAAACATCCGCCCCCAAAGGCGATAGCGAACTTTTCTGGAACCTCCATGGCGGCTAATAATGCAAAAGCGTTTGCCCGGAGGGCATTGAGCATAATATAGGACAACTAATACCTCTTGGAGGATGGTAGGGAAACGGGAGGCGCCCGGGGACGCAATGTATGACTGCGGAGCCAAAATTAGATACATCTTAGTCACTGCAATTGCCCTCCGAAGTCTGTTCTAAATATGGACAAGAACCTTTCGTCTAAGAATAGCAAAGCGGCCGTCTATATTTAGGGTCACATTAGCTATATAAGCCAAAGCTCCGTCTAGCTACCGACCGCTCTACTCAAAGCAATTGCTCACTTGAAACATCTACCACTACGTATTCATTGACGCACAAGCACCCAAACGTCCGCACTTCTGCCCTAATCAAGCACCATGGCGGTCCTAGCAATTGCTGCCCCTTCTGAGGACATTCTCGGAAAGCCTGGTAGTAGCGACGTAGCTGCTTATAAAGACCTACTATAGGAGGCTCTCGACGTCGCTTTCAAAAAACTCGGCGAGGAATGGACAAGCAGGAGAAATACGAAAAAGGCAGCAGTTAACAAGGCCACGCGGCAAGTCATCGACGAAATCATATCTTGCTCTCCAGATGATTACCGCAAACTCTTGGGCGTTTCCGAGGATGCCTCAGAGAAGGACATTTTATTTGCCTGGAGGAAGCTGGGATGCTCGGTGCAGCCATGGATGCACCGGGATAAGAATGCCTACTAGGCGATGCAGCGTAATAACGGAAAGCTTGTTCTTGTATAGGATGTCCCAACTAACTCAATTTACTTAGGACTCTATAATGCCGCGAGCAAATTAAAGGTTGATATCCTCTCGATTTCAGAGGTTATGAGGTGGGACGGACAGGAAGACTTGAGCAAGTACGATAACGACAGCGAGGACGTCAATGAGATGCTGGAGGAAGCCAACGTTCCCGAACCACCTGACCGAGTAAAGGGGATTTACAACTCGGAAGAAGCAACTGATGTGCTTCGTAAATTAGGATCGAACCCGGACGACGAAATAGTAACGGGTAGGATTGACGCCTTGAATTTTAAAATCATAGAAGGAAACGGAAAGGAAAAGATGCGGGGAATTGAGAGATGGAACTGGATCATTAAACGGTCCTTTTTCTATCCTCAGTACGACGCGGCAAAAAAAATGTACGAGATCATTAGCGGCCCCGAAGACAGTCCAGAGCGTGAGAAGGCAATGGAAACTTTAAACACACTGAAGACCCTAATCGATGCGGAGATCGGAAGGCAACACTATCCATCAGCATGGGGAATACCCACGCCAGGGGATTACCTTGCCGCTAAGGAGGCAATCGAGGCCATTAACAGCTGCGAGCCAGATGAACACGCTAAAATCCTAGGAGTCTCTGAGCGGGCTACCGAGGAAGACGTAATAAACGCCTGGAAAACCCGCGGACGTCTGATAAACCCAGATCGGATGAAGCCGCTGGAGGATGCTTCGAAAGCATTTGAGAGTAAACGCTATCACCATTCCATTTCTCGGAAATTCTACTGACCTGGGTTTTTGATAGGACTCAAAGCCGCCGCCGAGGCCAAGGGTGTAGATGACTATTACATCGGCCTCGTAGAAGAATGGACTGGCGATGCGAATGACGATGGCGAAGGCGAGCGACCCAAGCCAGAGGAGGTGTCTATGCCTACACCCCCGGAATGGGTTACAGATATATATAAGGCAGCGCAAGCGGAGGAGCTGATCGATAGACTCAAGCGCGACGCAGCAGACCCTATGGTTAGAGGGGGATTAGAGTCCTGGAATAATGAAATTCGGAGCCGAAACGACGCGGAGGGAAGATCACAAGATACTTGGATAATTCCGAGTTCCGAGCTTGTACCTCACTACGGGATGTCACAAGCATACTATACCAAGCTCCAGGAGGAGCCGAACGATCAGGAGGCAAAAAACAAGCTAAATTCTCTAAAAAGCCAACTCGATGAAGTGATCAAACGACGTCACCTCCCTACGGAGTGGACTATCCAAACAGCTGAGGAATTCTTAGAAGAATATCGACAGCGGAAAGAAGCTAACTGGGTTGCTGACGATGCTGCTCGGGCGATGTCAGACCTTGAAGTGCGGATCAAAAAATACCTCCACGACAAGGAAGAGCAGAACATGCCACAAGAGGCCGCTTCTGCGCTTGAAAATCAGGCAAAGGCTGAACTTCGCGAAGCTGCTGACGCCGCGGAAGAAGTGCAGGACGCGCGTAGGGAGGTACTCATAAGTCGAGATGCAGCAGTACGTGACGAAAAACTCTCTGCTGCAAAAACAGCTCATGCGAAGGTCAGGACAGCAGCGGCAGCTGTAGAAGGTTTCCTACACGACGCCTGGGAACTTCTTGAAAACGCACGAAAACGAGAGGCCCCAAAGCTCGCCACGGCAGCAAGCCCGCCGGCCCCGCCGAGCACGGCTCCTACACCCGCACAAACCGCACAGGCCCCAAAGCCCGCCGCGGCAGCAAGCCCGTCTACGCCTAGCACGGCAGTGAAGCGACCCTGGGATTACCCGTGGCGCACAGTACCGACAAAAGACAGCGACTGGGAAATTGTCGGTATAGTGCCGACGGGAGGAAAAGATAAGACAGGCAAGAGTAGAAACAATTTTGTCTTATTGGAAAGCATGAGCCGCGGGAAGAATGGGATTCCGTATCAGAAGTTTGAATCTGCATCAAAAGTGGGACTCTGGCTAGTCGGCGGCCACATCAAGCAAGGCAACTGCAAAGACCTGACACGACAAGGGCCCCCTCTGACATATAAGGACCGTGATGATTTCGAGGAACTACTCTGTGTCTCGGACGGAAGGGTTCAGATGCAAAACTTGGACTCACGTTCTCGTGCCCCGTGGACGAGGTGCACGGTAAGACTTAAAGGCGGTATACGCGTTGCTCAAGCGAGCGAGGTGTTGAGAGTCCTGGGCGAGACAGATTATAAGAACAAAGTGGGAAAAAAATGCAAGGAGTTGGGTATCCCGCCGCCATGGAAGAGGGAGCCATTAGCTGTATACAAAAAGACAAATCCAGCTACTTCGGATGATGATGACGACGACGGGCGTATCAAGCACGGTATCCCGGCTGTGGTCTTGCCAGCAAACACGGGAGCCACCATGCCTGGTAATGATACTACATCTCGCTCGCCATCACCTGCTCAAGACGATAAGAGGATGAAGGACGTGGAAGCGAGAATGGAGAAGTTAACCCTAACGGTGACTGCGATGCAGGGAACGATGGAGGTGAAGATGACCGAGATGCAGGGAAAGATGGATGAAGAGGTGACCGGGCTGAAAACAACAATGGCTGAGGCGACGGCAAGGATGAACAAGTTCGAGGAGACGACAACGGAGATAAAGACGAATATAGCCGAGATAAGGGGACTCCTCGCAGCACTCGTAGGCAGCCTCCAGGTACAAGCGGGAACAGTTCCGCAATAATTCCTGAGCCGAGATGATTGGTTCGCTTGTAGCCTGATGGTCTACTTTTTGACTCTTTAGTCTGGATCTATAGAATCATTCTTTAGTCACTACTAGCAACAGTTATACTATATCTATTTGGCTTAGAAGGCGGTGCTGCTAGGGCATCAGATCCTTACTGCGGAACGAGGGCGTCTAACATGGAACTTAAGGCCAAAGTATACCTCTACAAAGCACGGAGGTATTACTAACAAGCGCTCTGAGGAAGAGTGTTCTAAACAGGGAGAAGGAGGTTCCACCTTGTTCGCGAATCTCGACGTTAGTTGCTGTGGAAAAGGCGATGAGGTACAACGGCAGTGACGTACCAGGTGACTCTTCTCGCAGAGGTCTCTTGGAGTTGTGCAAGGCTAACTAAGTGCGTAAGAGGTACTGGAGAACTAAGAACAACACGGGTACAGTTCGAAAGGCTCCCCATATATTCACCGGCCGCCTTTGGAAAGCCCAGTGACGAGGAGCTCCCTGGTGGGAAGGTAGCTGCTACCGTGCGGAAGAGCCCAAGCCTGGGCACGATGGTTGGCTGGAAAGAGCGCCATAACGTAAATACTGTACCTCATTCGCCGCCAAGCCGAACGACTCCTGCTTGGCACATTTCCAGGCCAATCACAGGTTTGTTTACATTCCCCCTTTAGCGTTAAATGGCAAGGAGCTGTTTGGTGACAAAGGGAATCCCGCAAAGCGGAAAATATCGATCAGACCTAGGGGCTGCAGGTTCGTGAAAACAAGTTGGGTCATCTCATGGACTTTGCAGGCCTCGCCGTCGCTAACGGCATCGAGCGTCTAGGCTCCTAGCGACGTGGAATGCTTAAGCTCCTGGGATGTTTACATCTGATTACCATCGCAGTAGCCACTGAGCATATCGCGACAGCCTACAGTAAAGGCAGCCTCCCCCCAGCCGTACGAGCCCCGCACGCGGATATGTCCTGCAAGTCAAGTTACTGATCTGGTGTCGTCCAGCCAATAGCATTGATGCCCTGGATCACTATTGCCCACTCCGATTGCCAGGCTGCTTTGACTTGCCCTGCCACACTGTTCGGAAATGTGACAACTATTGCAGCCCAGATAACATCCATCTGAAACCCAGTCTTGTCAAAGTTGTAGATGTCTGCCTCCTGGATGCCGTACTCAAACCAGCCGCGAATAATCTCTGGATCTTCGCATTGGACCCTATGGTAACCATATTTTCCGTTGTGCGTTGCAAAGCTGGAGGAACGTCGGTCCAGCCTGGACTGGTCACCATTTGGATCCTTAGACTCGTGGGTGGAGGGCGAGGACGACTGTATGACTGATCTGTGATCGAGAAGCTGAGCATAGTGCGACAGAGCGTGTGGTGATGCGATGCTTGTTGGTTCCGATGCCTGGGTGTAAGTCTGCGCCAGCGCGCGAGTATCTGTCGGTTGGCAAACCCCGAGGTAGTTCAAGAAGTGCGGATCCCGCTGGGCGTAAACGGAAATGAGAAGCGGATTTGGCACTCCTGACATCGATTGTAGCACGCTCCACGAGCTTGGAACCGGAGGCGAAACTCGGGCGTAGAAGTATGTTGGCAAAGTGGTCGCATAACACGCTGACTTGGGGGTGTTCTTTATGCACGCGACCACACAGTAACTATAAGTTTATCGACATCCGATTCGCCTTTGGCTGTTGCTTGTCGCCCGCCGGTTGATCCTTCAGCCGTAGTGGTGCTCCAGCCACAGTGTAGTGTGGCATAACCAATGACTTGGACATGCTCTCGAGCCTCCCCCGCATATACTACTAAGTTACCCCTGAATCAACCGTCCTCCGTCCCACTCCTGTTCCATGACGGTCCTGACTGCCGGCAAGCCCTGTAGCAAGCCGTTATGCTCCGCTGTAAGCACCACTGCACGCCTTTTGCTGGCATGAAAGGAGTGCTTTTGGAGGTTCTGGCACTGCCAGACTCTTTAGGCGGTCCCCCAAGGTGCAGCTTCGTGCCGTCTGCTTCTCCTCCTGCTTTTGCATCAAACAAGCACTGGCGCTCACAGCCATCCATGACGATACCCTGACCTAGTGAACAGTTAGAAGAGTCCAAAAATAGACCTCTTAGCTTACAATATCGCCAAGTCCTTCCCGCGCCTCCTCGACTTGGAATGGAGCGGGAGGCAGTGACACACGAGCGTTCGGCAGGTAGATAGACGAGGCGGAGTAAGCCGGTTATCTGCTCCGTATATAGGGTGGCCTAGCCCTCCACCTGCACTTGGCGAGACTCCATCCCTCACCCTGTGTATTAGCTAAGTACCTACCGGCATCATCGGCGTTCATCCACAATGACACCTGCTCCGAAGCCAACTCCGCTCCCTCCTTGCCCCGGGCCGCCACCGAACCGCCCTCTGCCTCCTCTCCCTAAGAAAGAATAAGCGGGAGTCTTGCACGATGCTTATCTCTGGGGACTGGCTCTTATGCGTCTGCGCAAGGCATAAACTTAGATACGGGATAGGAAAGAGGGCTTGTATGCCTTCGCAGTGTGGCACCCGCTTCGTAAGCTAGAGGATCCTGATTTGGACCGTGCTTATATAGGGAAAAAGATCCTTACGTGACAGGTAACTGACGGAAAGAGGATTTAGCAGTGTTTATATCTCTCGAAAACAGAAGACAAAGACAAATCAAATTGCTTCTGTTATAACCCCTTACCTACCACTCCGTATGGCTCGATACACTATAACTGAACACAAGCAGCTACCCTTGCATTAGGCGGCTAGATTGATAGTTTTGATTTCGCCTAGAGGCACTGAGCCTAAAGGAGCTTGGCACGCTAAATACGTCCAATATGAACCGCTTCTCCCATTATCTCGCACAAGTCCTTTGAGTTGGCCTTCCCGCTAAGCTTCTAGTACCTCGTGCCTCTTGCTTGATTATTACAGATCGACTTGGCGGTTGCATTTTCTAAGTGTCCAGCATCCCACCTTTAGCAGCTAAAGTGGGATCTGCTGGCCGAGGCGGGGTGTTGTCGGTGGTGTTGGTGGCGTTCCCATACTGGTGACCGACCCCGTAAGCCTTGTCTTTGCGCGTCGTCTACATCCGATAGCCTTTGAAGAACTTACCCACGCCTTTAGGGAGAGCTCTCCCCTGTCGTTGTTTGGCCACTACCAATCTGATTGTGGTAGACTTGGCCTAAGTCTAGAGCATTTGGAGATTGGGTATGCGACGTTGCCTCGTTGCCGTTTGCGCTGCCGCCTTGGCCTCCGATCCCAACGCAGAATTGGCTTCAGCTGGTTGGTGATAGAAGGGAGGATGGGCGAGGAATCCAGAACTGGGGATAGTCGTGTGGCCCACAGCGGATCCCGCGAGTATGCACGGTCCAACTGAGAGTTGGAGGATCCAACTCTCAGTTGGACCGTGCGCAGAAGCGAGCGGGAGGTGGGTGGCTGAGGTGGGCAACGACATCCGGTCGGGTTCCCGTGCCCCACATCGGGGAAGCGCTATATGTGGAGCAGGAGGTGACCTGTCAATTTGTCTGGTCTCCAGGGCCGCTAACGCGTTTTTGCTGGGGCGGGTATACAAGGTCTTGCTGCGCAACCGATTCCGTAAGTGCTAAAGGCCAGCCACTCGGCGTCTCAGGGAGCCGCGCTGCTAGAATTAAGGTTTCCAAGGTGGTGGACTGCAACGCTGTCCCTTTTACCCCTGGGCTTGTATAGGGGCCACGAAGGAGGCTTCGACAGCCGATTGGCTAGGAGGTAGAAAATGGAACTTTGGTGGGCGGGCGGTTGCGGCCAGTGTTAGGAGGGAGGGCTTTGTCGATGTCGGTGTTACTATAGGATCGTGGGCCTTTAGGGAGACGGCCGCAAGGCATATACACTTTATAAATGTACACGGCAGTCAAATACGGATACAATATGTGCTTAATCATTACCCGGCGGAGCTGAGGCTTTCGCCAGCCGAACTACGGAAGTGTTGGAAGTCAGGGTTTCGGCCTTCATGACATCGTGGCACAGACCATCAGCGTCGTCCGCGGCCCTATATAGACGCATTCGTGGCGGAGTTCGAAGGTTGACAGGCCAACCGACTTTACTCGCACAGCTTGAAATGGACTTTTATACCTCTTTCACATCAGTATTCAGTTCTGATAGCTCAGACATTGGCGTTCTCCAAAACACTGTTGCGACATGGCCGTTTGACCCATCATTTCTATACAGTGCCTTTCTGCCTCTTGACTCAGCAAGCGGCGGTACTGAAAATGCGGGTTTTGAGCCCAGCATGCCACATCCCAGCCCACCATACACCTTTTCCGACCCTACCTATCCTGCCACGATACAGAGTCGCAGCGCCCCTAAGCTCGACATATGCGACTACAGCATGGGACAAGCGCCGTTGCCGGCGCGCTCAGCTGAGGATACACCTCTGTGTAACGAAACAGGACAGACCACACGCCGGCATCGCACTCCCACCGCGGGCAATAGGCACCGCGACCTAACCGCGGCTAAAAGATCCAGAAATCGAGCCGCGGCCGAAAGATACCGCATTAAAAAGCGGGAACAAGTCGCACAGCTTGAAGCTCGATTCCGACATCTCCGCGACACATAGGCTACGTTGCGGGAACGCCGGGACAAACTTCAGGACGAAGTCTTCCGCCTTAAGGCGGAGCTACTACAGCACGCCGAGTGCTGCGAATATAGCGGACTGATCACGGAAAAGTTGATTGGAAAAGGAGTCTGTAGATCCTAGATGTTGACGTCCCTAGTGACTAAGATCTCTCTTCTTGGATATATATTGGCAGACGAACTAGGGTAGACGGATCACAAGTAGCAACAAATCTCGAGGTACAAAGCCCCTCTCTTGCCAGCACGAGCTTCACTGAAACAGACGCCTCTTTTCTCCTGACTGCTTAGCAGATTTATCGGGATAGCAGGCTGAAAGCAGCGGTCTGATAATATATACTAGCGGTTGTACGAGGAATCGAAAAGAGACGGCCTACTGCGCGGCTATAATATGTGACTGGTCACCTAAGATAAGTTGCGGTGACGATAGTTGAGGAGACCTGCGTTATAGACGAGAAGCAGGTCAGGCCAGGCCTCTTTCATAGCATGCATAGAAGTGCAAACGTATAAAAGCGCCCGCCCTTCAGCGCACCCTCTTGGCCGAGTATCGACTATTGTCATGAGGGAATCATGGCTTCCCGCGAGGTTGAGGATTACCCGTCTTGTCCTGACTTATTTCAGATACAATTGGTTGAAGACGCCAACGATAACCGATCGTCGAAATTCTATCTCTTCCCTTTTCTAGCCCCGGAATTGCGTGAAAGAGTCTGGGAATATGCGTCAGCTGGCGTAGCCATCGTCTGCCGCACTTGGAATAATACTAAGTTTGACTTCGCTCTTCGACGTCCCGTTCCTACCGTCTTACACGTATGTCGAGAGGCTCGCTCTTGCGGTATGCGGAGATACCAGAGCGTACGTCAACGAGAGAATGAGGAGGGATCCATCTACTTGGATTGGATAAAAGACGAGGTATACATCCGTCGACCATGCATGTTCCAGATGCCCGCCGAGTTTCTTGAGCAGGCTAACAACCTACTATAGATCTTATAGGGGCGTTCCAGTTTGAGCAGCTTCAGAATCTCCGTCGTTTAAGGATGGATTGGGGTCTACGGCCCTATTGGTGCTCGAGCACACTGGCAGACGGTGTCCACTTTGTTCGGCGATTTCCCAGACTTAAGGTCATTACCCTAGTGGTAAGATTCAAGGAGATGACCGGAGGATCGCCGTCGAAGCTCGCAAAGCTAAGGAACAAACGTCTAAGCCTAGTGGCGTCAATAGTCTTAGCCGAGTTGAGGTTGGAAGTCTGTAGAGACCCTACCTTCCACCCACCTGCAGTCCGGGTGATTTAGGAAAGCAGTACGACATAACTAGGCCTCTGTCGCTTAATTAATTATAGCAATCAGAGATTAGCAGCTCCTGACGCGCTCTTCCGCAATCGTAGGTATAGGCGATCTGACGGGATATACCAGGCGTGATAACCGTCCGACGGATAACGCGGCGTTGTAATTAGCGGTCTGGAACTATATCGATTGCTCCCTAGCTCGGTCCGGTCGGTAGGTATAACTAGGGGTACAGTAGAAGGCCAAGTAGGCAAGGTATATTAGAGCGGTTCCACTTTCTACAAGTCATCTGAACCCTCCTTGGCTTAGCCACGAGTCCGCCTCCCCTTCCCGATCCTTGCACCCCCCAAGGTTGGAGACAAGAACCGCACAGCTAACCTGTCTAGTTTCCTCGCTTAGGCCCCCCTATCTACCCCGCCCAAGCCCGACGTCTTAGGAAGTATATATATCACCTGCCTTTCACCTCAAGCTCGACGTCCATGTCATCCACGATACCTTGGCAAACGTTGTTGGCAACTGACCAGGCAACCTCCCGAAGTTTGATTTTACCACTCCGTTAGCCAACGCTATATTAAAGGGAATCAGCCTCTACCTATTATACACCACTCACGTACCCTAAATAAACGGAGAAGATTCGGAGCAGTGCTAGGTTCCACATATCATCAGCCATCATGCGCGTCGCGGACAGTCTACCGCTTGTCTTAGCTGCCGCGGCCGCCCAAGCTTCCTCTCAGGCCTCTCCTTGCACTATCGCAACCCCGACCAGCACAGGCACGCAGAGGAGGTGGGACACTGGCGTATATGATATCCGCACTTCCGTCCTGCAAGACCCTATGCTAACTATAATAAATAGAAGCTAGGTGACGCTATAGCAGTAACTAATAATCCCCCTGGAGTCGTATATAGGGCAACACTGCCCGACTCGGCGTTCTTCGACCCTGCCTACCCCAATGGCGGCAACATCCAGGGCGAAGTCATCGCTGTCGCGAACCCCCTTGGCATAGGTGTGGTCTTTAGTGTGAAGCTTAGCAATCTGCCGAGGACCGGTGGGCCGTTCTATAAGTAGAGATACTTGGCATCCCCTTATAGATATCCGCTCACCCCGGCCCTAAGCCTACCATATCCACGTCGGCCCGGTCCCCGAGAATGGAAACTGCACGGAGACCCTCGACCATCTTGACCCCTTCATCCGCGGCGAGACCCCGGCGTGCAACGCCGCTGTGCCTGCAACCTGCCAAGTGGGCGATCTGAGCGGCAAGCACGGCGCCATCCCTGCCGACCAGGACTCCTGGGAGACCTCGTATGTCGAACTGTACGCCTCGACTCTCGAGGGTATCGGCGCTTTCTTCGGCAACCGCAGCATCGCGATCCACTATCCCAACAAGACGCGGATTACCTGCGCTAGCTTCGTCAAGGTTGAGGGCAGCGCTAGCTTGCCCGTGTCCGTCCTAGAGTCCACGGCCACGGAAAGCCCCACGTGCGACAGCAGTAGCGCGATTCCTGCCACGACGGAATCAACCATACGGGGCGAAATTGCCGGTGCCTTGATCCTTGGCCCAGAGTTGTGTTCATCCTCTTGGGGCATACAGGCATAGTTACTAGCTTACTAGGTAGTCTTGTGCGCGGTTAACCCTAGATAGGAGGTATTGGCATGGTCGAGGATAAGGCATGGTCGGTAAATAAGACACCAACTATGTATAACGGGATATGTTGTCGCCTAGACTAGCTATCATTCTACGTCAGATATTGGAGACTCAAACTCCGAGAGTGAGCCGCGGGTACGGACTTACCACAGGGTAACATAAGAGAGCGATTATATGCGCAGGAAGAATTGCATGGAATATAGTCATTCTTGCCTTCTTAAAGCATCGCAGGAATATTCAGACCGTTGACTAAGCTATTGTAAACGTTTTGTAGCTTCACCCAGTTTTATCCTATTGTCAGCAGCTTTAGCAACCCTTTTCAGACTTGAGTCCCGAGATTCGTCGCAGCCCATATCTGATGCTTAGGAACCTCGGTATTAAGCTATTTCTATGCAAAGAAAGCCAGAGCTTGAGAGTCTGCTGCTCGAACAGGTACTTGGTGATCTTTCTGCATCAAGCATATAGTAGTCACGAGCTTCACCACTCCACACCCAACTGATTAATCTCACATATGGCCTCCCGAACGGGGAGTCTGTTCTTCGCGCTACCAGACACCAAGATTCATGGGACGGTTTTAGGAGGATACCGCAATCATCTGATAACGGCTTTATAGGTATCTATACAATGAAACTTCGGAAAAAGAAGAGCAAGGAGGATAACAAAGAACAAGGCGCTATAAGGCTAGGTTCTGCGGCGGGAAGAAGGCGAAGTAGGCCGAGAACGAGTTTTCTTTTTTTTATAAACAAAAAAAAAAAAAAAAAACGAATCTGTCTGCGAGACACCGCCAGATAGATTAGCGCCCTGCCCGCTTCCTTAGTAAGCCAATAGGCCCCGTCAAAGAAGTTCGGGCGAAGTGCGTAATAACGAAATCGGCTGTCATTGCACTATGGGAGATGGGAAGTTCGGGGTATAGCCTGGGAGCGGGCGATGGATGGAGAATGGGCTAGTTAGCAGTGTAAAATTTAGACTTTTAGGACTCCTATGTTTAGTGCAACCTGCTAAGACGAACGTTATATAGCCTACGAGCACTGCCATTAGCTATAAATACTACGTGCTTTTTATAGCTTGCCTTAGGTAACTGGCGACAATTCTATCTTTAATATAACTAGGATTGCATAAGAGTATAAAGGACTAATCGACGTAAGCACGAAGACCAGATAGCATCGCTATAGAAGTCGTCTATTTCGTTCAATATCGCAATGTCTATGCCTAATCTAGCCTTTGCCCATAGTACTAGGGATGTTGTATATAACGTACGTGACTCCTATTAAGTTCGAAAATCGTACTTACGCTTTACAGGGCAAGCTATATCCCGAGCCCGTCAACAGCGTTAGAGATGGTACGCAGCAAGTCGCACTAGCTACCTTGCCTCCTCAAGTGTTGCTACAAGCTCCACAGACGAGAGAGAGACGGAGCCTAGACTTCTCCAACACGCTATCGGACTTCGCCGAAGCACTAAAGCGTCTATACGAACTCCAGCAACTCACCTCGTACTGGAAGGACATACACGATCGTCTCTATAACGATTATAGGAAAGCCATGGTTAATAATTCCCAGATGAGTATGGAGATTAGGAAGCGGGATGATATGATCGTCCAATTGCAGGCAGAAATCCGGGAGCTACAGGCGGCGGCGGCGCCAACCCCCATCACGGTAGCCCAGCAAGGGGAAGGGGAATTTGCCAGTCCCCCCTCCGCATTTCTATCGCATTGGATCAGCTCTCGCAGCGAGCCAGTCGACCAACAAGAAGAAACAGACTTGGATGACTTAAGCTTAGCTACGATGTAGGATTAGTTAGTGCTTGTCAATGGAAACGCGAAGACTGTATATTATCATTTCAAGTGTCATTGATCCCGGCATTATAATTCTACGCAAACGCAGGAGTGGGGTCAATAAATCGGTAGTGACGCCATATAAGGGCTTAGGTATATATATTCTAAAAGATGGCATCGTATGTATAAAATCAAGGGCTGGTCCTCCTCGCTCCCACCGGCCGGTCATAACTGCCTACTTTAGCCCTTCACCACTAGGGCACTACAGCAGTGGCCGGACACGGTCGATAAAATCCCTCGCCATAGGACGCTGAAACAGACAGTACTACGACAAAATGCTAGGACTGCAGAACTGGACGCGGAGCGTCCTGCTTCCATCAACGGAGGCATCTCCACCGGCCTGTTACACGCTATAGTATAGTGGCCCCATTAGCTGTGTATGCCCTAAGCTACTCGTTGGTCATAGCTAGCAGCGTCCTCTAACCCATCGCGAAGTGCAATATACTCAGCGGATTATTCCCGGATGGGGTGCTCTTTCCTACCACGTCTGACGGGGATGTGGTCTCCGAATTCCAGATGGTCCATCTAGACCGCTGGTCCAAGACGTCGATCCTCTCGCCCAGCTGCATATTTCTGCCGTCTTATGTAGAGGACGTTTCAGCGGCGGTAAAAGCGCTCTCCGCGGGAAACTGCCAGTTCGCCATCAAGTCCGGCGGGCACAACCCCACTCCCGGAGCTAACGACATCAACGACGGCGTGTCTATCGACCTGCGGTATCTGAACCAGACCACCCTGGCGCCGGACCGCAGTTTCGTCAGCTTGGGCGCCGGCGGCAACTGGGTTAACGCCTACCACGCCTTCGCGAACCACGGCGTTGGTTTCCCCGGCGGCCTATGCGGCACCACGGGCGTCGGCGGTGTTACCATCGGCGGCGGCCAGTCTCCCTTCAGCGCTAAGGTGGGCTGGGCTGTCGACAACGTGCTAAACTTTCAGCTGGTGCTAGCCGACGGCAAGATCGTCAACGCTAACGCGACGCATAACAGCGATCTATTCCGCGCCCAGAAAGGCGGCGGCTCCAACTTTGGCGTCGTAACGCGGATCGACATGGCGGCATTCGATCATTCCAACCAGCTGTGGGGTGGCGAGATCGTGGTCCAAGCGACACCAGCCACGACGCAGACGGCGCTCGAAGCAACTAGCAACTATACAAGGCAGAACAACGCGAACGTGGATGCGATGCTGCAGACCGCCTTCTTCTACTATAGTAACGGCACCGCCGTCATTGACTTTGTGCTGGCGGCGACCGATAACGCGACAAACCCCGAGATCTTCCACCCTTTTACGGGAATGTCGCCGCAGATGGCAAGCACAGTGTCATCGCGGACGCTGACGAGCTTTGTTAGGGAGATCATCCCGACCCAGCCCCGGGGATACCGGTTGGTTTCCACGCATTACTCTACAGCGTTTAGCGGATTTTCCTAATAGCACCTCCTAGCAATCTCTGGGCGACAGTGACTTTTAAGAACAATCTCGCTACTCTGCAGACCGTGCAGCGAATCACCGACCATATCTACATAGAGGCGGGTGCCACGGTACCCGACATGGACTGGATCTTGCTCTACAGCCCGCAGCCCAAAGCAATCGACCTGCACGGTCTCCGCAACGGGGGCAACGTCCTAGGACGGCAGCATACGCGGGACGACCAGATTGGTGAGGACATTCGTTTCGGTTGGCATGTATGGTACCGCTGACGGCTGCCGGCAGTCGCCTGCATCAGTCCCCGATGGCTGGACGCGGCGTATGACCGGGACATGTACGCCCTCGCTGCAAAATGGGTGGGCATGGTCACGAAGGCTACCAGACTTCTGGGGACGCACGAGGAGTTCCTCTACCTCAATCTCGCAGCGCAATTCCAGGACCCCATCAGGGCCTACGGCGAGGACAACGTCCGATTCATCCGGCACGTCGCTGAGAAGTACGACCCGGCCGGCGTGTTCCAGCGGCTGGCGCCGGGCGGGTTCAAAATCAGCCGAGTCGGCGGGTTTCGACCTCAGACGGTCCCGGGACGGGCGGTCTAAGCCGGGAAAATATGTTAACGTTACAAGCTTAAGGCCTAGGACTTTTCCACCATAGGTTGCAGCGGCCACGGACCGTTCTTCGATGTCCTTCTTCCTTTCAGTTCCACTTAAACCACAGGCATTACCATCCCTAGTTTGCCAGCTTTCTCGTTCCGAGAGCAGGAGGCGATCCGAGGATCTATGTAACCACCCCATCGGCACTGCGTAGCACCGATGTGCTAGCCTGATACGCTGTCTCCCGCACTTCGTGCTTTGAAGTCACTGTCCTCCACGCCCTTGAACCCCGAATGTATGTTACTGTTTATGGGGTTGACTTGTTTTATGTTGTGGGGTATTACCAACAGGCCTTGCGACAGTAGCTTAGCGAGGAGCGCGCGTTCTGATGGAGGAGAGTCTACAGGTGGAAGCTACGGGCGATACGGGGACGTAGCCCGTACCCGGGTAAGCCATATCTCCTATGCTCATACCAAGGCAGAATGGTATTTTGCCCCCGGGCCAAGTCGATGCGTAACTCTACTCTCCGTTCACCGGTTCGTTCGAAACCAAAATACACTCACTGTCAGTGGGATCATATCACGACAGCAACTTACTCAAGAAGTGTGTTGCCTTAAAACTTTACGTACGCAAGCGTCCACGTTGGTACTGTAAGTCTAGAACTATATAGTTCATCGCCCAGGTATGTATAGCCTTTTGGCGGGGACTAGCGGCGCTTCTGCTTGCGGCGCCAGCTGGTGGCTCGCCAGCGCCTGCACGTGCCTAGAATCAGCCTCACCAGCCAAAATTGTGGAACCTCCCCTTTTGCATCTCGAAGCCAATCATCAAGTCTTGCGTGACCGCGCCCCGCCCAAATCACGGGTTTTCTATTGCAGATCGAGTAAGCTCCTTATAGATCGCCACTACTACGCTATAGCCCATCCGCATCCATGGCATCAACGCCGAACGCATTCCAGGCGCCCCCACCCCCCACCCAACCCTCTCATCCCAATCCACCCGCGGGACTGGGGTATGTTTTCTCGCATAGCAGCGTAATGGGGCTCTCTGTCGATGCCGGGTTCGCTGGCTCTGTGGCCCGTTGACTATAGGTCGGTGGTCATCGGGGAGACTTTTCTCCCTCCCATCCTAATTGTTTACCTATATATCCGCCGTGGATCTCGCTCTCCCACCAGACAAGCCATTGTTCACAGTGAACACTCGAAAAGATGACAGCCTCTTTAGAAGAAACCGCGGTCAGCTACAAGGAGCTGGCCGATCTCGAGGATAACTTTTCTGAGATTGAGAAGGGAATCAGTAAGTCTTGAACTCTTTCAAACCAATCGATTGCAGAGGGACACTAATGGCCGCGTACAGTCCGCCAGCATTACTTGCGCTCCAAGCCGCTCTACTCCAAGCGCGCCGAGCTGGTCGCCAAAATCCCCAACTTTTGGCCGCTCGTCTTCAAGCAGGCGCCTATGGACATTGACGAGTATATTCAGCCTTCCGACTCGGCGCTACTGCTACACTCGCTCAGGTCGCTCTCCGTAACCCGCTTCGAACTCGACGAGGACGAGCAGAAGGGCGACCCGCGTAGTGTCGCTATCCGTTTCGAGTTCGCCGAGAACGAGCACTTTGAGGACAAGGTGCTAGAGAAGAAGTTCTGGTGGCGCCAGAGCAAGGACGGCTTCGCCGGCCTGGTCAGCGAGCCCGTGGAGATAGCGTGGAAGAAGAGCAAGGATCTAACGAATGGCCTGCTGAGCCTTGTAAAGGCGGTCTATAACGAGCAGCAGACGAAGGTTGCGAGGAACGTGGCGTTGACCGCCCTCAAAAAGAAGATCGAAGGCACCGACATTAGCGGTGTCAGCTTTTTCGCCTGGTTTGGCTACGTTGGTAAGCACGTGTCCGCTGAGGAAAGCAAGAGGGTGATTGAGGAGGAAGAGGAGCGGAGGAGGAGGGCAGCTGACGAGGAGGCTGCTGGGAATGGGGATGAGGACAACAATACGGCCGAGGACTACGCATACGCGCAAGATGAGGACTTGGAAATCTTCCCCGGGGGGGATGCGATCGCCATGGTCATTGTGAATCATTTGTGGCCCGATGCGATTAAGTACTATTTCAGTGAGTTTCAGCTCTCCTGCTCTACAGACCGTTGATTGCTAACAAGGTAGCATCTATATCCGAGGGCTCGCTGAGCGACTTCGGTCTCGACTCGGGCGAGGATGAGAATTAGTAGAGCCCGCAATTCCGGAGTATGGTGACTGCGAGATGCGTACTGAGCTACACCCAACTAAGGACTATACCGTCTATATGGCAACTTATATCCCCATTAAAAATCTACGCTACAGAATTGATGACGCTACCAAGCACATCTCCGCCGGAACCAAGTTATAGTAGTGGAGTTGCTGTAGGATCCAATGACTCCCTCGGATAACTATCTGAAAGGACCTAGAAAGCGGAGCGAATAGTTCCTTCTCGGCTTCTTCTCTATCTATTTGATCAACCCTAGCCCCACAGTGCTCCTCACAATCTCCGCTTAGAGGGAAACAAGGCGCTCCTGATACAGGACAGGGGGGCTCGACTACGCAGCTCACCGTCGGAGCAGAGCGTCGACGCTATCGAAGCAGACCTCTACTTTGCGCCGGGCTGAATATCTGCGCGGATGGGGGCGAGGAAGTAGTCCAGCTCGAGGTAGAGATCTTCGTCACTAATACCCAAGTCCCAGTCGAGAAGCGACAATAGCTGGCTCTCCATCACGTTGACTTCAGTTTTACTGAAGCCAAAGCTGTAGGCTTGTGTCCGGATGACACTATACGCGGCCCAATCCGCGTTCTTGAGACTCTTGTCGTTGAGGTACTTCGCCGCGAGGATGAGCGAGGCCAGGAAAATGCGGTGGGTCTGGCGCAAACCCTTCGCCATAGGCTGGACGCGGGGTTTCAGACGACGCAGATACACCAAGGAGGACATCAGCGTTGGTACTGGCACGTTGGACGAAACCACTAGCTGCATGATGAACCTCTCGATCGTAGGCAGACCCCTACCAACCCGTCCTGCTACTGTTGGGAGAGTCTCGTCTGCACCGGCAAGGACACCGTGTCCGGTCAGACCGGTGGCGGCCTTTGCCAGGTACCTGATCATTTCCTCGTCGACGGGCTGGGCGACAAAACGCTCCAGAGCTGCAGCGTTGAGCTCAGCCGGGCTGAGCTTCGGTAGTGAGTCCATCATCGGAGCTTGTTGAAACCTCAGAGATGAGACCTCTTTTTGGCTGTTCGGATTTAGAGTGGTTGGGTCTTTTCTCTTTTGCTATTATCAGCGATCTTTTTGAGAGACTTAGATAGTAGAATCTTTTAAGCCTCTATCTCGCTTCTGTTTGGCTGCCCGAGACAGCGCCCAGCGGGGTTCGCGAGTACTTGGCCCATGGCTCTTAGTTGAGTGAGAAATGCCTAAGTGCAGGTTTTAAACATCGTTGATGGTCTCGTAGGTGAATGAACAGGTAGCGGGATATGTATAGTTGAAGTTTCAAGTTGGCAACTAGTTTGGGTACTGCGGTTGATGGCTAGATAGAGCTTCAGCTTATATAGCCATATGAAGATAAATCTAGGATCATTTTGTACAATCAGAAGCTAGTTTATGATATATTTAGAACAGCAGAATTTGGGAGCCAATCTGGCCCACCTTGATTATTTCTATTTTTGGCTCCGTAGTCGGATATTTCTCCCTATACAACTCGTTTTCCTATTACTTGTAATAGGAACAGGTACAAGTAGTACTATACTCCGTAACCTCAAGACAGGCGTTTTCTCATTTCTGCCCCCTATGGACCGGATCACAGATAATTACGCTGTCGCCCTTGGCGGCGTCTGTTTTGCTCTGGTACTCGCTAACTATCGCCGGGCTGTCAGGTGGTGTGTCCTCGCTAGCTACCGCCGGACTGTCAGGTGGTGTGTCCGTGGTCTCCGTCTTCTCTCGACTCTTAGGTGGTGTGTCCGTGGTCCGCGTCTTCTCTTGACCAGGTTGTTCTCGTATATACGCGTGCTTTCCCGATTCAAGCGCATCGGGCCGTGGCACCTCTATACTATCCTCATCATCGCATTATTTCTGGGCGTTAATGTCTATCTAACATTCTTTAACGGCTTGTTTAAGCCGGTCTTCGTCGAAGAGGCGAGCATCCGGGCCGCGAACCTCTCGCTAATCAACCTTGTGCCTGTTATTGCGGGGCCGAGCCAGAGCTTTCTAGCCTCTACGTTTTTCGGCGTCTCCCTCAAGACCTTTCAGAAAGTCCACCGCTCCCTGGCGGTCGTCTCCACGCTTCTATTACTCGTCCATGTCATCGCTGCGATCGTGGCGCGGCGAGGATTTTCGCTGCAGGTAGTGAGGAACGTGTGGACTCTGGCTGTGAGTAAATGGCCTGCTTTGCAGCTTATGCTTTAGATAACCTCTAATCGTTTGCTAAAGGCCGTGGTATGGCTGGTGGCTCTGATATTCTTATCCCTTCCATGGCTCCGGGGACCATACGAGCTGTTCGCCCGCACGCACCAATTGCTGTCAGTCGCCCTGCCATTTCTGATCTGGCAACATTTAACCCCTGAGGTAAACGTCTACTTCTTCATTTTCTTGGGATCGTTCCCCCTCATGCTACTAGCCCAGCTAGGCAACGTGTTCTATAGAAACGCTATTGTGCTTCGTACAAGAAAGAGTGAGCATACAAATGCCGTCGAGGAGTCGAAAATTAGTGAGAAGGCAGACCCCGATATAGTGATGGCGACAATCACCAATCTCAAGGACGTTGTTCAGACGCGCCTAAAACAAACCGCTTATGAGAAGAGCTTAGACGAGCGGATTCTAGACCGTGATATTATCCAAATAGAGCTAGCCCTTCCGCGCCCTATACGAATTCAAGAGGGACAGTACATTGGCCTATGGATCCCTGCCGTCAGTAGGTTGTCGTTCCTCCAGGTCCACCCCTTTATGGTTACGTCGTGGTCGGATGGGTGTTCCAACCGATTAAGTGTTCTGGTGGACCCTCGTCGCGGCTGGACCAAGAAATTACTCCGCTATACGAGACTCAAACCCAATGGCGAGCCCTGCCGAGCTCTGTTCACAGGGCCATACGGACTTAGCGTGCCTACCCGCAAATACGGAATCGTACTCCTAGTGGCCGCCGGTCTCGGCATAGTGTCACATATACCTTACCTGAAGCGGCTTATACACGATTACAACGCACGCCGGACACAGACGCGCCGAATCTGCCTCGTGTGGCTAGTGAAAACTCTCGGTAAGTCTACGGGATTGCTGTCGGAATCCTTCTGCTTACGCCATAGACTTGCCATACCTCTTCCAGGACATGTTGAACGAAGCCCTAGCCGAAGATGCGTTGGACGACGGTCGGGTAAGATGCTCTGCGGAGCTGTAGGAGTGTATCGGAGCTAAGACGATTTAGATACTGGGTATCACTATCTACGTCGAATCGGGCGGCGCAGAGCATCGGTTCGGCAAACGTACTATAGTGCACAGCGGCTTTCCTAACTTAGAAGCAATCTTCAAGAACGAGAGAACCGAGGAAAACATCAAGAGGGCACAGAAAGAAGAAGATGCCAAAGAAGAAATGCTGGTCTTAGGTAGCCGAAGCAGCGTGTAGCCGGGGCCATGAAGCATGCTAACTCCGTTTAGTATCGGCGACCGAAGGTCTGCGAGTTGAGCTGCGGAAGATCTCTCAACGATACGTACGTGATGGGGTTGACGTCGTTGAGCTAGAATATCAGCCAGACTCGGATACATAGAGATGGGCAAGCCGTCTGCAGCTTATATAACAAGGCGGTGGACGCCTGAGGTAAGCTAGACATGTAACGGCCATAGGGCTGCGAGGCTACAGTAGGTTAACTAGTTCATTAGTAATAGTCTATAAGTGTTTGTTTGCTTCTGAATAAGTTTACCGTATGTTTTTATAGTGTAAAGGATCCGCATTCAGTGCCGTCCCAGATAGATAACACATCGTTAGCTATGTTTTGGAACGCCTCCTGTATCGAGCTGATCCTTGCGGGCACTCGGTAACCCTTGGCCAACCCTAGGAGGCCGCCCTGTTGGGAAAGACATCGGATAGCTGTCCGGCCAGTCGAAACAGGCTAATGGAGCGGCGTAATTTGCTCGGCCATTCGACAGTATGGAAGCGCGTCAAGCCCAAGAATGCGAAGCGAACCAAGCAATGGTAAGGCGCGCAAGAGAGCCTTGACTCCCTCCGCGTGGGCCCCGCGGACACTCCGCGACCACCGCGGCCCATTCGGAAACCGCCTCCCGAAGATCAATCCCCTTGGGACTTACCCCCCTCGTCGGGGCAGATGAAAAAACCAACCCTCCTAGATCCCCTCCTCAAAGAGCCGTCCGTAGCCAATGCAACACCTTGCCTACGACCGTTACAGTTGTTGAGGATCAGTACTCCGTTATGTCAGGTGAATGCCGAATGCGAAGGGAGTTCCACCGCGAGCAGTGAGCAGAAAAATGGCAGACACCGGGCTACGTATCAATGACGTATTAGAGAAGCACCAACCCAGTATGCTTTCGGTCCTCCCCTTTATTAATTACAGACAAAGTTACCGAAATGACGTCAATATGCTCAATACCTGCACGAGCCGTGGATGCGTTAGTGTAAAATCGATGAGGCGACATTCCTATACTGGTAGAGACTGAAATTAGTGTCCATATTTCCGATGTTGAAATATTGTCCGCACAGACCAGTGCGAGGGCCAGTTGTAGCTTACACAGTGCACGGCAACCCACTTTTGTACAGTGACTAGTGAGCTGCAAAACTGGCTGCAGCTGAGACATCGCGGCAAAATGGCCCCTCGCTGATAACATATTGTCGTAACTTATTCTTATAACAGAGCATCTTATATGGCCTACGTGTATACTACTCGTTCGACTGCATATTTGCGGCTTTTACTCGATCGCTGACACGTGAGTTGGGGTCGAATTCGTCAGGCAGCGGGATCATGCACAATTCTTATGGGAGGGGCCTAAGGAATCGCAGCATTCTACATCAATCGACCAAACTTCGGATCGTCGTCCTTCGAACTTTTGTCTGTACAAATTCTATAATATTTTAACTGACTCGCCATATCCGTACTTGCAATGTCTAGTACGTCGCCTGCTGCAGTCGTCGGCTGCCTCCTCGACGTGTCCGATTCGATGCGCGAGGCCCTCGAGGCCGGCCGTTCCGATGAGCGGGCAATTGAACGCCTCCGTGCCGTGCTTCGCGCAGCCTTGAAGCTCGCTCAGGCAGAGCAGCGGCATGATCCCAACGCCCTCGTCTTCGTGGGCGTTTTTGGGTTGGATACAAACAATGGGTGCCCCCCCGTAGCGGATCTTTGCGGAGCCGCCGATGCGCTCCTTCGGAACCCCGGCAATCACGGGTCAGGCCATGATCTTCTCATAAAGCGGGCCAGCGAGGAAAACGTGTCACACATCACGAAGTATATTCGAGAGAAGCTTACTGACGACGAGGCGCGTATCGTCGACGCGCACCTGGGGCGACATCCGGAGCGGGTCAAGGAATTCGTCGACGCGATCCCGCCTGAGCAGACGGTAGAGAACGCAAAAACAGCGAGTCGAGGGTTCGGGGTTATCACAGGCGCAGCCGTTGGCGCGGCTCTTGCCGCTGGTGTGGCTACCGGTGGAGCAGGCCCTGTACTCCTGGGTGCTGCCAGTGCTGCCAGTGCTATCGGTGGTGGGGCTGTCGGGAACAAAGTCGCGGACAAGATTGAAGACAACGCGGTCGAGAGGTCGGAAGCGATGCATCTTGCGCGCCGCATCTGCGCGGAATGGTTGCAAGACTTCACCACGCTTGTACCGCGACCAGTTGACGACGTCATTCGTTTGCTGAAGCAACTGCAGAAGCGCTCGGAAGTGGACGAAAGCAGCAAGAATGGGAACACGGGTGATTCCACTTTGCTCGACACACTTCGCCGGTATATGTATGGTTGCACGCCGATGCGAGACGCGTTGAGCCGGTCGTTGATGGTATTTAATGAGCATCTCGGCGCCGAACACCGCGTCCTCGTTCTTGTGTCGGACGGCCTCTCCACCGACGGCGATCCGTTACCGCTTGCGCTCGACCTGCAGCAGGCAAAAGTGAGCATAGCGACAGTTTACCTCGCCAGCAATAAAACAGAAGCTCCTCGCCGCTTGTACTACCAACCGGCTGACAGTTGGGATCCCGGCCAACGTATTCTCTTTGGCATGGCGGCTAGAGTGGCCGGCGTTACGCATCCGATCCCGGTACTCACCTCTGTGGGTTGGGAAGTTCCCTCAGCTGGCGAGGTCGCGTTACATGCCACAGTGTCCAGCTCCGCAGCCCTCGATGAGTTCTGCTCGCTGCTACTGTCGGCACGTTTTGGTTCCGCAGACGCATTGCTAGACGTCATTGGCCGCATCAGTCACGACTCATATATCAATGATGAACACATCCTCAGATGCAAAGATCCCTCTGACCAGGGTCAGTCAGCCACCTGCTACGCACATGCCACCGCCGCCGTAGTCCATATGGCACTCCTTCGCATCGTCGGTCGTGAAGATGGCTACCCCAGCATCGAAGAAGTCCGGAAACGGATTGAAGACGAGTTCCCGTCTAAGCCAGGCGGACGCAGCACCGTGGAGGTATTGACGGCAGCTACTACCTGGTACCCGCCCCTCCGATTCCGCATGGTAGACGAGGATGGTGCGCGCCAGGCAGTGCTACGCAGGCGTCCGGTGCTTACAACGTTTCATCTCTCAAAGTCCGGCTGGGATGTGTTCGCCGAGCACTTCAGGGAGCGATCCTCTCCTCCTGAAGAGCCATTACCTGCACTCAGACGTGCTCAGATGGCAGCGCACCGCTCACTGCACAGCGACGGTGGCCACGCTGTCGTGTTGACTACTTGCAATCCTGACTCGCTCACTTTCCTCAACTCGTGGGGTAACAAGTGGGGCAACAAGGGCAGCTTCAGCGTCGAGGACCATACCGTATTGGAGCTAGATGGCACATCCGGGAAGTATCCGGTGAACTTCTACGACGTGTACTGGTTGGAGAGCGAGTTGACCGTGACGGAGCGCCAAGCATACAACGCTAAAGTGGATGAGGAATTGCGCTGCCGCGCCGCCCAGTATCCGAGCATCCTTGAGCTCGAGGCGCGCTGTCCCCACTGCCACGACAACGTACCTCTCGCCAATTTCAGGGGCAGCATCCGCCAAGTGCAGTGCCCGCAGTGTAATCAGTACTCCACGCCCCAGCCGGGGCATTTGATGAAGGCACTATACGCTCGCGAAGGCATCAGCGATGTTTAGTGACTTTTGGTAGGAAATGGTCAGGCAAAGGAGTCCCAGTCAGCCAGCTGCAGGAGTTGCAATACCTGCTGGCCCACGATCATGAGTGGTCTCTCTACTTTGCAGTCGATCGTCTCGAAAAGATCGAGGTCTTTGGCCCTATGCAGATTGGTATGACTGACAACCTTCCAAACATCTACCAGCTGCTTACCGTGCTTGGCTTCCTCGGGGCTTGGATCGATACCACCTTTCGCACCTGGGTCGTCAATGCCTTTTGCCCCCAGATATAATTGGCCACTGCCTTAAATTCAGGCTGTCACCAGGTTGCAAACTCAACTCTTCTTCCCCATCCTCTTCCCGGTTGCTGGGAGGTGGGGGTATTGCAGACCAATGAGGGAGGGCGGCGAGAGGGGCTCTAGCTTGCGAGGTCGTCGTAGCTTTCGATTGTATGACTGCCAGTCTCACCAAGTGACTTCAAGTACGTTGATCATTTTTGGCTCGAGGGCAATGGTGGTGGAGAATGGAGGGCGAGTTCCCGATTTAGGAGAGTGAGGATTATGTATATAACCATATACCCTATTAACTGGGCATTCTTTGTCAGCCGTCGGTGAGCCTTTGTAGTTGCGGGTACCCTTTTTGAAGCCGGAAACGGTTAGTGCATTTTGTACACAATGCAGCCAGTTTTGCGGCAGACTAACGTACATGATAAGCGAATGACACAGACAAGCGAATGACACACAAAATCGAACCTTCGCAACCAAATCTCTATCTGTCCCACCACAATAGCTCAAAACAATTGAAACTACAGTCACTAGCGAAATCGGCTTCCGCTTTTCTTTCACACATCTTTCTGGCGCACGGACCGTTTATGCATTTAACCAGCCACACCGTGTGCCCTCGCACGCGCTTGTGTACCAGGCAGATATACTGTACGGTAATGCAACAACGCAGGATTACGATGGCCGTCAGCCAACCTGGACTGTCAGCCAGAAATGGCTGCGGCAAGAAATGGCCGTCATCACGATGACCGTGGTCAAACAATAAGCCAAATCCGGCTCCATTGCAATTCCATCAACGGCTAATACATAAGAGAGGGCAGGGCTGGTTCCTTGATTAAGTGCCGGATTGCGGTGGTTCCGGTTGCTGCTGCTCGACTGCCCGTCCGTCTGTCAGGTCGTCTGCCTGTCGCCGCATTTCGGACGATGCGGGTACGGTCTCCGTGTCGGTATTTGTCAGGGGCGTTCTAAGGTGGGGTATCCTTGATCCAGCCGCCACGCAGGAGCGCCGTTGCTTTTCCATCTTCAGCGCCTAAATCAGGGCACACTCACTATTGGCCAATTTAGCCGCCCGATCGTGCTATTTTTGACGCGCCGCTAATAGTCATGTGACCCTTTTGACTCATTCAGTCGAGGTGAGGACTTCCACTCCAGCGTAACAGCTCCTGCCCCGGTGTCTTGCTGCATCCCGCAGTGCGCTCTCTGCGAGAACGATCTGTACAGCATTCCGCAGCATGGCGCCCAATCTTTCGCTCTCTCAGCATCATCAGATCCAAGACATGATCCTGAGTAATTCGCTGACCGGTGTTCAGATTGCCGGCGTAGCTGGCTGTAGCACGCGCTCCGTCCGCACGATCCGAACCAACCTTCGATGCTTTGGAACAACTAAAGCGCCGGCGAACGGGATTGGACGTCCTAAGAGTATCACGCCGCCTATGTTAGGCGCATTATGCGACCGGTTGATCGAGAAGCCGCACATGTACCAGGACGAGATGGTTGTGTTCCTCTGGGACGAGTTCGAGATCTTGGTAACAACGCACAGCATCGGCAGAGCTCTGAAAGGAGTGGGTTGGTCCAAAAAAGCCGCACGCCGCGTTGCGCAAGAACGAAACGCGGATCTAAGAGACATCTACCTCCACAATCTCTCCGAGTTTCGCTCTTACCATCTGGTCTACATTGATGAGTCTGGTTGTGACAGGAGGGTTGGATTCAGGCGTACTGGATGGTCTCCCTTGGGAGTATCGCCGGTACAAATTGCTCGATTCCACCGTGGCCGAAGATACCAAATTCTCCCAGCATACGCGCAGGACGGTATTGTTCTCGCTCAGGTGTTCCAAGGCTCCACAGACAGTACCTTGTTCGAGCAATTTATTGAGCAGCTGCTGCCCCGTTGCGGGAAATGGCCCGAACCGAAATCGGTTCTTATAATGGACAACGCTTCATTCCATCGCTCTAATAGAATTGACCAGCTTTGTGCTGCCGCCGGAGTGAAACTTCTCTATCTACCTCCTTACTCACCAGACTTAAACCCAATCGAGGAGTTCTTTGCGGAGCTGAAGGCATTCATTAAGCGTAACTGGCAGCTTTATGGGGATCTTCCACATCAAAGCTTTGGAGCATTCCTGGAGTGGTGTGTTGACACCGTGGGAGCAAGGGAGTCAAGCGCAGCAGGACATTTTCGCAACGCCGGGCTTTGCATTGAAGAACCGTAGTACACATATCGTACAGTTCATAGACTACCTTATCTTTAAACAAACACTTGCATCTAGACTAGAGGCTTTGTTGCTGAGCCCACGTACCAATGTCACTAACAAACCGCCGAGCAATGCCTCTCTTCACGCCGTTGTCAATATAAAACGCAGCATCTTGATCCTTATAAACCTGCTCAAGGTCCAGACCATCGGCCAGTGTCAAATCACAAGCCTTCCAGTACTCCATCTTCAAAGCTTCATCACCAACCTGCGAGCATTGCCAATCGCAATACCGCTTGACTGCGATATCACGCAGCCCCGGTATTTCAAGCCGAGTGGAATGATCACATGATACTAGCCCTGTGGATTCGGGTGTTGCCGGCACCGAACTCAGCATTGAGGCCTGAGGGGCTGTGGGCATGACGTTGGTGATGTTAATGGGCGGAAAGTTGGCGTGGGAGGCCCCTTGCTTCCTTTGCCGCTCCGTATACTGCGCCTCCTCAGCATACAGTTGTTCGCGGATTTCATGTGGCATATCGTCGTGGGTTTGTAAACTGCATCCTTGTTCTACGCATTTGATGAGGTTTCTCAGGTGGTGGGTCTTCAGCTTGTAGTGCCTCTTTCCAATGGAGTCACGCCAGCAGTAAGGTCCTAGGTGGCAGGGTGGCCCGGGGCATCGCATCAGATTATACACTTCACGCCAGATGGGCGGATGGCCTGAGACTTCTTCAGCATCAAGCTGCATGGCTCGCTCGGAGAGCATCTGCTCAGAGGTGGACGAAAACACTCGTTTGGTACCCTGCCGCGCTGTCGCGTTCCGTGATCGGCTCGTCTCGACGTATTTGAACGACATCTGGATTCTGAGCTTCTTCCCGGCACGAAACAGCATACTCCATGCCTGGAGCTGCCTCTCCAGGATGGGCCACTCGATGTCCAGTTCGTCAAACCGCTTGACGAGGTCCCGCTCTGAGCGATCCGTGACGGATAGCACAACATTGGTTTCTTCGGCCTTGTATGCTTTATTCGGTGGGAGCTTTTTATCGAGAAGCTTCTCGAGCTTGGGCTGCAGAAATGTATCCCAAAAAGCGTGAGGCACAAGAACCAGGTCCTGCTCGGTGTCTTTCGCGGCCATTCTATTATTGACTGTCAACTTCCATTCGATTGAATAGTGGATACAGGTAGGTGGATGTTCGTCGTATGCCAAGGCTGCATGCCAGTCAGCCAGCTGTACAAATGACAGCGCCCGATCGCGTCGCGCTGTGCTTTGGCTAGCCAAGGCGACATCGTCGACATCGACGTCCGTTGACGGAGAGGTCCCGGACGATAAACGGTCCGTCGGGGTGTCAGTCGTGTAATTGGCGAGCGAATCGGGAGGCTCGGACGGCGGCCAAACGACAAAGTCGTCAAATGCGAAAGAGTTTGGATGTGTCATGGCTGCTTGCTCAGGCAGGGCAATCGGTAGGACGCAATGACCTAGGTTCTGTGACATTGTGAACTATTGCTCGCCTTTGCATGACGACTGGGAGTTGGGTTTACCTTGTAGTATTATCCACAGACGACGTTGCTTGCCGCTAGTGCCAGGACGTACGTGATGGAAAGAAACCGGATCGATCGCGGGTTGCGACGAAGCGGACAAATGAGTGGGTGGGCCTTGGGTTTGTCGAACACGTTCAGCATCCATGCGGCCACGTGAGGAGTCAGTCGCTTCTGAATTTAGCTTGCACCAGAATTCATGCTTGGTGGCAACCCAAGGCCCTGGACGGCCCTTGTGCGCATTCAGACTTGGCGGACCCCACACGATCCGGGATCAAGCAATCTAATCGGCTCCATGGCGGAATGCGGCGACTCCCTTCCGCAAAGGGAAAGCCGAAAGCTGCCATCTTGTGAACGATGGCACTCTCGCGTCGATGAGCTGGTGGTTCGTCGACAATGGGTGGCTTGAAGCGGCCTCGGCGAACCCCGCAATGCGCCAGCCCCGCGCCATTGGGTCGAGGCAGTGCGTCGGCCCGCGGTTGGGCAGCTCGACGCCCCTCTCTCCAAACCTTGCGATCTTCGGACAGAATACTGTAACCACGATTCTCCGTCGCTTTTCCGAACGAATTCCTCAACTCGTACCATACATCAATCGTCCTGTGGTTTGGCGACACGATGGAGGGGCTCGGGGCCGCCGCAAGCATCATCGCGGTCGTCGAGCTGGCCGCCAAGGTCGGCTCTCTCTGTCTCGAATACTCGTCCGCCGTCAAGAGCGCCAGGTCCGACATCGAGCGCCTGAAAAAACATACCGACAGCCTGAAGACAACCGCTGAAGGCGCGCAAAAGCTTCTCCAGGGTCCACATGGAGCTCGGCTCGGGACTTCGCAGAAGCTGCGCGAAACCCTTAACAACACCCACTCGCAGCTTGGTGATGTCGCTACGAAGCTGGAAGCGAAGTTGCATACGGGTCGTACAGCATCGGCAATGAGACGCGTGGGGCTGCGAGCTTTAAAATGGCCGTTCGAGAGCAAGGACGTGGACAAGATCATTGCGAACCTTCAACGAGATCAGGACGCCTTTACGGCCGCCCTTCAGATCGATCAAGCGTATGCGCAGACTATTAAACATGGCGTCAATCCGCAGCTAACCTCGATGTATAGGGCGGAAATCCTCGATATCGGCCGTAAGATCGACCTAACAATGTTCCCGGTCGCAAGCGGCGCAGCCTTCGACTCGCACGCCGAGGAGCACAACGCACGATGCCACCCCGACACCCGAACCGAGCTCCTTCGCCAGATCCAGGAGTGGGCAAACGATCCTCAAGCCGAGAGCATATTCTGGCTGAATGGCATGGCAGGGACGGGGAAATCCACCATCTCTCGAACCGTGGCCACCTCGTTCGCCAAAGACGGCCTGCTTGGCGCGAGCTTCTTCTTCAAGAGGGGAGAAAGCGACCGTGGCAAAGCTAGCTTGCTTTTCCCTACTATTGCTAGTCAGCTTGTGCGCCAAATCCCTGCCCTAGAGCCTTCCGTCAGAAAGGCCATCGATGCCGACGTTCCCAAGAAGGCACTGAGAGACCAGCTCGAAAAGCTCATCCTCCAGCCTCTTGGCAGCATTCACCGCACCACGGCAGTTGTAATTGTCATTGACGCTCTCGACGAATGTGATGGAGACAAAGATGTAAAGACCATCATCTCCCTGCTCGCGCAAGCAAATGTGGTATGCTCCGTACGTTTGAGGGTCTTCATCACCAGTCGGCCTGAGCTGCCTATTCGCCTCGGTTTTAAGAACGTCCAGGGAAAGTATCAGGGCCTAGCTCTACACCAAATCCCAGAACCCGTCGTGGAACAGGACATATCGACATTTTTGGGGTATGAGCTCGCGCGAATCAGGGATGAATACAACGGACAAGCTCTCCAGTACTCCAAACTACCACTGGGTTGGCCCGGCCAAGATGTCATTCGGACTCTCGCTCAGATGGCCGTTCCATTGTTCATTTTTGCCGCGACCGTTTGTCGATTTGTTGAGGATAAGGCATGGTTTAATCCCGGCGATCAGCTAAAGAAAGTCCTGCAGTACCAGGCGACAACGTTCGATTCCGAGCTCGACAAGCTCGACGCGACATATCTCCCCATCCTCGACCAGCTTACCGTAGGACGAACTGATCTACAGAGGAGCCGCATATTAGCTCAGTTCCAGGATGTCGTTGGCCCTATTGTTCTCCTCTCTCAGCCCCTCTCAGTATTATCGCTTGCACGGCTTCTCAACATCCCCCCTACGACTATACATGGAACGCTCAACTCTCTCCACTCCGTCCTAGATATCCGCTCGGAGGACGATGCCCCAGTTAGGCTTTTTCATCTGTCCTTCCGCGACTTCCTCGTTGACCCGGCCAAGCGTACTACGAATGAGTTTTGGATCGACGAGGTAAAATATCACAAGACGCTTGCGGAAAAATGTATCCAAGTTATGGGCCAACACCTGAAACGAGATATTTGCGGTTTAAGGGTGCCGGGAATACTGCGGTCAGAGGTCGGCCAGCAGACTATCAACGCCCACCTACCGCCTGAAGTTCAGTACGCCTGTCGGTACTGGGTCCACCACCTAAAAGAAAGCAAACATAGTATAGAGGACGACGGTCTAGTCCACACCTTCCTGACAAGCCATCTCCTCCACTGGCTTGAGGCTTTGTCTCTCCTGGGAAGACTCTCAGATGGGGTATTGTTGATAAGAACGCTTCTGAACGCTACCCAGGTCAGTTAATAGCACCGTTATAATGCTGTAAAGAGACTAATTGTTGCTAGCTACAGCCGGACACAGCCTCTAATTTTGTTGAATTCCTAAAGGATGCAGAAAAGTTTATTCGCAGTCATGGAACGATTATGGAACGGGCTCCATTACAGATATACGGTTCTGCACTTGTCTTCAGTCCAACCTTAAGTGAGGTCAGAAAGCAGCAGTGGAAGAGGAGGCTGTCATTTATCAAATCGGCCGCAGGTGTCAAAACCCACTGGGGTACGCACCAACAGACGCTCGAGGGTCATAGCTATGCCGTCAACGCGGTAGCGTTCTCACCGGATGGGAAAACACTCGCGTCAGGTTCGGACGATAACACTATCCGGCTCTGGGATGCGGCGACAGGTACACACCAACAGACGCTCAAGGGGCATAGCGATTCCGTCATCGCGATAGCGTTCTCACCGGATGGGAAAACGCTCGCGTCAGGTTCGGACGATAACACTATCCGGCTCTGGGATGCGGCGACAGGTACGCACCAACAGACGCTCAAGGGGCATAGCGGTTCCGTCAGGGCGGTGGCGTTCTCACCGGATGGGAAAACGCTCGCGTCAGGTTCGTGGGATCGCACTATCCGGCTCTGGGATGCGGCGACAGGTACGCACCAACAGACGCTCAAGGGGCATAGCGATTACGTCTGGGCGGTGGTGTTCTCGCTGGATGGGAAAACGCTCAAGACAAACCATGGCCTCTTAAGTATCAACTCAGGCTCGGATGCTTCCCAAAACCAGAGTGATATTCTCTGGGTCGATGGCGAATGGATCACCAAAGGTGGAAAGTATCTTCTCTGGCTTCCTCCCGATTACCGGGCATCGTGCACATCAGTGTACGATCATACACTGGTCATGGGACATGCCTCTGGGCAAGTGACGTTCTTGCAGATTGTTTCCGCTTAGTAATGCAGTAACTAGTGTTATATATATCTGATATCTTTGCTGAAATGAAGGGTCTGGGAAAAATGCTTGCTTTATACTACTTAGTTCTCGCCACTCATGTAAATGTTGACAAATACACCTTGCCACTCTGCGGGATATCAGACGATTTGAGGCGGTATGCCGGGACTACACACCCACCGAGCCCTGTAGTGGACACCTTATGCTGCACTTATGCCCGGCGGTGTTGATAATATTTTGAGGCAGCTATACGTAATTCTGTGAGACCTTACCCGTATCCGCAATGGCAAGGCACTTGGTGAAAGAACCAGCCCTGTCCTCTCTTATGTTTAACCGTTGGTGGAATCTGCAATGGAGCCGGATTCGCCTTATCATTTGACGGCCGTCATCGTAAGGATAGCCATTTCTTGCGGCAGCTACTTCTGGCTGACGGTCCAGGTCGGCTGACGGTCATCATAATACTGTGTTGTTGCACTATGGTATATATCCTGCCGGGTACACAAGCGCGTGCGAGGGCACACGGTGTGGATGGTTAGATGCATAAATGGTCCGTGCGCTAGACAGATGTGTGAGAGAAAAGCGGAAGCCGATTTCGCTAGTGACTGTACTTAGTCTCATCTTCTTCAGATGTTTCCACAACTATCTGACAGGTGCGCGCATTGTGGCCGGGCTCCCCGCAGTTGCCACAACGCCGCGCGCGCGTCTCGGTCCTCGGCTTCCGACCACTACCCGCCTGCGTTTCCTCCTTGATCTGCACCTCCACCTCTCTCTGGCCCTGCAAATCCTGTGCATCCTGTACACTAAGTGATCTTCCTTGCCGAAGACGTTGTTTCTTTGCCCTCCGGCGCTTGCTTAGCGTCTCATTTGCTGCTCGAAGGCTCTGGTTCTCTGCCTTCAACAATGCCAACTGATGCATTATCTTGGACGTCCCTTTCGCAAGGACATCAACAGCTCTTAGAATCTCAGTCGGCGAACTATTCTGATGCCGGGCAATTCGATTTCTGATGAGATTGGTCTGTGAGAAGGCTTCAGTCGGGTTGTTTGGCGTTTTAGAGACCCAGGTGTGGGCACTGCTGGGCCGAGAGTTCGAGGGTGATGGCGTCTTAAGCCGGATGTCGAGCTGGGAGATCACCTTGTCGGGGTCAAAAGGAACAAGTCCGGCGCCTCGGAAACCTCCTTGAATGTTTTCGCGTGTTATCGCCGCCTGGTAAGCTGCGAAGAAGGCGGGAAAGAAGTCCTCCTTAGTGATGTGGGTTATACTGGCCCGCATCATCTCCTCAACCTGCTTTCCGTATACCACTTTAAGTGGGCTGAAACACCCAATATCAGCTGGCTGGAGGATGTGAGATGAGTGGGGAGGCATGCAGAGAGTAATAATGTTATTCTCCTTGCAGTAGACCTCGAAGTCGGTCGAGTGGTGGCTGTCATGGCCGTCGAGGATGAGGAGGCGATAAACCCCGGCTGTTCGAGCTCTAGTATGCTTATCGAAGTGTTGAATCCATTCAAGGCCTCTCTCATTGGTCGTCCAACCATTCTCAGATGTCGCGATAACCCAGTCCTTTGGCAATGGGCTGTTCTCGTACCAAGAGGAGAGGTGATATTTGCCCTGGACGATGATGAATGGTGGGACCGCCCAGCCAGTTGCATTGATGCCCTGGATCACTGTTGCCCATTCCCGATTGCCAGGCTGCTTCGACTTTGCCCTGCCACGCCGTTCGGAGCTTGTGACAACCATTGCGGTTGAGATAACACCCATCTGAAACCCGGTCTCGTCAAAGTTGTAGATGTCTGCCTCCTGGATGCCGTACTTCGCGATTGTGTTCCGCACAAGTGCGAACCAGCCATGAATGGTTTCTGGATCTTCGCATTTGGCCCTCTGGTAATCGTATTGCCGATTAAAACGCGTAGTGAGTTATGGTTGCCGTTTGACGAAGTTGTAAGCCCAACGCGTCCCGACGCGTCCCGCGTCGCGTTCGGCAAGTAGTCGGTTGGCTATATCTTCTATACCAGACAAGCGGGGAGGAAATCCTTTCGCATCTAGGTCGAGGATGTATTGAACAATTGTTGATTCTTCCAAATCAGTCAACTTCCGCGAGTTAGCTAGAATATCGCGTCGTGATTTCATGCCGCGTTTGCGACGACTTATTTTTTGGTGATCTATATTGTAGATCTTGCCAGCAGCTCGAGCGCTTAGATTCGGGTCATTTTGCATCGCCTGAATGGCTAAGATCAACTGGGCATCATCGTTTTTGTGATGCATGTTTGTGTTGTACTGTAAAGAGAATCAAGGAAGAAGCTGGGAGATACGTGAGTCCGATGTCGTGTGTCATTCGCTTGTCTGTGTCATTCGCTTATCATGTACGTTAGTCACTCTTCAAAGTGAGCTGCTGCGCACTGTGTGAGTCACAATCACCTCTGAGATTGTGCCTGTGCGGACAATCTTTCAACACTGAAAATTTGGACACTGATTTCGGTCTCTACTATATGCCGTTAAATACTAACTGTGCTGTTCCTCCCATATTAACTAGACAGTTCATTCATTAGGTTATAATACTGCAATGGTCGTTGGTCGTTGTCTAAAGTATACCTCTGCTCTAGCGTCCTGCTCACTGCGGAGACCGGGGGCTTCGATTGTCTCAACACCGTATACCGCACCGAGATCTAAAGAGGAGAATCGCGTAGAGGTCAAGGTCACTTGTGAAAAGCCGGAACTCACGATGGAGCGCTCCGACAACCCTCACGTGCACCACCATCAGATGCAGAGGCTGACACCTCGCAGACCACGGCGGGAGTGCAACGATAAGCTTTTGGGGCTACGGAAGTGCCCGAGGGATATATCTAGCAGGGCGTTCCGCAGTGGCCTGCTAATTGGAGTTGGCGCCATCTTCGCGGTTCAGGGACTGATCTACGGCTCCGAGAGCCTCCGTGACCCGGACTTTGCAGAACAGACGAGCTATCTAACGCCTGTACGGAGGATATTTCCTTGCGCTCCTCCTCTTTGTCCTGTTTACGCTAGACTGCAAAATATAGACAAAGTATAAGGTCGACTATTTCTTCATCTTTGAGTTTAACTAGAGTAACCTTTTAGGCTGGAACCAGCTCGCTGAGTTCCTCAGCTTCTTTTTCGCTATTTTTGGAATTCTCATTCGGCTCAACTTCTTAAAGTTCGGGGCCTGGGAAGAGATGTATATTCATTATCCAGTCGTCCTCCTCTGTATAACCCTCGTCATTCTCTTTTTGCCCGCACGAGTCTTGCACTACAGGTCTAGGAGGTGGTTCTTATACTCACACGTACGCGTCTATTGCTTGCGATGAACTATAATTACTCTTAGATCTACTAACCTTAACTCGGTATAGGTTACTTGTATCGGGATTATAGCCAGTCGAGTTCCGGGATGTCTTTCTTAGGGAAGCCTGGTGTTCGCTAACATATACGACCAGTGTAAGTCACTATCTTCCTTCTAATCAATACCTTGCATCATACTGATCTATTACAGAATATCGAGCTTCTTTTTTGTTTATACACCTCTTCTTGGCATGATGCAGACTATTGCAATTCATCACATTCACGGCTTCTTGAATTCTTCGCTCTTCCGCCGACATTGCGCGCTATACAATGCATTAGAAGTTGTTACGACACACGGAATATATTTCCGCACCTCTTTAATTTCGGGAAATATACAATGACCCTTTTATCAGCTGTCAGCCTGAGTCTCTACCGTATCGAGGACTTACAGACTAAACTGAGCTTTTTTGTTACATTCGCTGCTATGAACGCAGTATGTTGCTGCAATTACCCCACGCTTGTCAGACTTGTAACTGTAACTAACAACGTATCTAGCTATCTAGGACGTCTTTGTTGACTTCTCCCTCGTCCGAGGAAGGCCCAGCCAAAAACTCCTCCGTGACATCACGGCGCTCCGCCCAATCTGGATCTACTATGTTACTATGCTAGCCGACCCCATCCTACGCTTCTCCTGGGTCTTTTACGGAATCTTTACCCACAACACCCAGTACGGCATTCTTGTCTCCTTCATAGTCTCACTCTGCGAAGTCGTCCGTCGAGGCCTATGGGCGCTTCTCCGTGTCGAGAACGAGCATTGTACCAGCATAATCCAGGTGCAAATTCTCGCGAGATGCTCCGGCCCATCTCCCAGGAGCGGCTCTTGGCCAAGGCCAAGGACATTTGCACAAGTCTTGTGATACTCAAGAGCAAGCGAAATAGACAACCACCAGAGTTCGCAAAACGGCTTTGCCACCGAGCCCAACAACCATTGATGGCGGGCTTCGATTGCTCTATATTGCACCTCGCTCTACGAGCACCAGGACTTCTTTCTTGCTTGCCAGCAACCTTCGGCAAGCTCGAGCTTCGAAAGCACTGTCTCTCAACCAGCTTGGATTGTGTGCTTGCATTTATTTGCAAGGCCTACTGAATGATAACCATACTATACGGGATTGTTCCCGAGTTGAGGATACGTAGACCTAGTGCCTGGGCGATCACGGCCGATACTAACAAAGTCTGTACGCGGCTTGAACTCTTGGGGGATCGTTGCCGACTGCCGTATTTGCCCAATACAGACAGTGGTCCTGTGCGAGAAGCAGAAGAAATTAGTCCTCTCTGACATAAAAGAATACCTCGGCCCGAAGACAGCACGCTCGTCTCGAATCGAGCTGACAGGAAGGTTCATGCACGAGACGCATGGGTCCCACGGACGTGGGGCGCCCGGAGCCGGTCATTATAAACAACAGTAAACCAATCAGGAGGGGCTGGAAGTGCTAGTGTGGTCAAGATATGGGACCAATTGAGCACACTGGGCAACAAAGACTTATCAAGCAACGTTACATAAACTCTTGCCAGGTGAGTGACCCTAGGTCTACTCTGGAGATCTAGAAAGCAAGCAATACAAGCGCTTCCTCATAAGAGGATCGAGGCAGGTTACTGCAACTGAGAAAGGCCGGACCAATGTCTCAACGCACGTTGTGATCATTACATATCAGGAAAGTACCGGTCAACGTCAGTGACAGAGTGAGTCTGCCGAAATGGCGCCCGGACACGGCAATGGAGCATCCAGACCACAATCTTCGACTGGTCTAAAGAACCGTATGCAGCCGACCCGCATCCAGCCTACCCGCGCCGCAAAGAGGAAAACTGCCGAACGGGTCCAACCGTGCAAGAAAAAGGCACCGACACCAGCCCCAATCCAAACACAGGTCACGGAAACCGCCAACTCCAACCCAGAAACAGAAGGTGGCTACGCCCCGGCCGCGTACGACTGGGGCCAGCCTCTCAGCCATAACTGGAACCCGGCGCAGGACCAGGCCGAACGCTCGTCTTTGGGCTTGAGTAGTACACGTAACGCCCAACCCCAGCCCCAAGGGCCGCCACTCCAACCGCAAATCCAGACTCGCGGCCTTAGCTCTCCGGCCACCGCATCTACGCCGGCCCCGGATGAGGACGTGCAGCCGCGTAGGACTCGGGCGGGAAATGCGGTGCGTAGGCGCGAGGAGATGAGCAGGAGGGCGGCGATCGCGGGGTACGCGACTGAGGCAAAAATGGAGATTAGTCCCACGTTGGGGCAGTGGCGTACATGGGCTCCGGTTTCGGGGGAGACCTGCCAGTGAAAGTTTCACCACGTGCGTTCCTGCTACGTATGTAAAGGCACGTCACATTGCCGTTGGTTTCCTTAGTCAGTCGAGGACGGCCAAATAACTGTCTTCTTCAGTCGTTCGGCGGCGGATGCTACAAATTTGCGACTCATGAAAACCGGATCGCAGAAGATAGGATATCGGGGGGTAGTGCTTTCGTAAGATGACAGCACCCTATGGCAGACCCTCGTGCAGTCAGCTCAAAAGCTTGAGAAACATGCCTGCAGCCTTGTCCGACCACACGACTAAAAAGCACTATTGTGCATTTCTCTCCGCAAATCAAAGATATAGGCCAAACATGCCGTAAGAAAGCGTGTGGCGGCTTTGGCTGTGTCGTGCGGGAGAAAGTGAAATTTCACTCGTCAGGGTCAGAATGGGCCTGGAAGCTCCTCAACTGGCAGCGACGTATGGTTGCAGCCGGCCACCCAGTCACTAGTTAATTATTGTTCCGTCTCCTAACTAGGGGATGAGTCGAAACCTCTGGCTTCGGCCCCCACTTTCGGCGCGTTGATAAAAAATAAGATACACCTATAAACCGTGAGCTATCCACCTATGTTGTCCCTGGGGCCTTCAACCCTTAGCTCCCGAAATTTTGCACCGCCTATTCCATCCCTGCTACCTACGGCCAGGCTAACGTGGACGAGTCGCGATGGTCCCAAGCTTCCGTCTGTGGCTTCCAGTCTCACTGTAGGCATACGGAGCTGACGGTGTTCTCTAGTTACGAGACTGCTCAACCGTCTACATAGGCAACCAGAGAACCACGAGAAGAAGTGTGCACTCTGACCCCTCGAAACCACACATGCCCCCCGTACGGCACTGACACGCCGTGATTGAGGTCCAAGTACCGGTTCGGGCGCATTCTAGGCGCCGGCATATATGGCACTGTCTGGGAGGCGGAAGGCCCTAGTGGCCTGGTTGCCGTCAAAGTCGTACCGAAAGAGGAGCTGGAGATACTCCAGCGTCTTAAGCACCCGCACATCGTCAAGCTTATCGACTGGTTCAAATCAAAAGTGGATTGCAGCATTCATATCTCGAGTACGGACTTCTAAGGCTAATATAGTCGATGTATAGAACGAATACTATATCGTCACAGAGCTCGCGACTGGAGGAGAGCTGTTCGATAGAATCTGCCTGCGGGGACAGTTCACCGAGAAGGACGCATCTCAGACGGTCAAGCAGATCCTAAGCGCGGTCAACTACCTGCACCAGAACAACGTAGTCCACCGCGGTGAGGATTCCGAGCCTCTCTGTCCGGCGTACTCTCTGATAGTCATCATACAGACCTTAAGCCGGAGAACCTCCTCTACCTCACGGCGGACAAAGATTCAGATCTGGTCGTAGCCGACTTCGGCATCGCGAAGACGCTCGGCAGCGAGGACGAGGTCCTCACAACTATGGCCGGATCGTTCGGCTATACAGCGCCCGAAGTGCTGCTTAACTATGGCCACGGCAAACCCGTTGATATATGGTCACTAGGCATCATCACTTATACACTGCTCTGTGGCTACTTACCCTTCCGCTCCAAACACGTCCAAGACCTAATCGAGGAGTGCTGTACCTGCCGCGTGGTGTTCCACGAAAAGCATTGGAAGGATGTCAGCGACGATGCCAAGGACTTTATCCTGAAACTACTGCGGCCGAAACCCCAAGACCGATTGACCAGCGAGGTGAGGCGGCTATCCGCCCCTTGTTGTTACCACATATGGCAACGCGCCCGTTAACATGCCCTCCCCCTCCAGCAAGCCCTCGCCCACACCTGGCTGCGCGGCGAGACCGCGATGGAGCACAACCTACTGCCTGAGGTGCGCGCTTAGCACATGCGTGCTCGACTGCGCCACGGCATCGAAATGGTCAAGCTGGCCAGCCACATCGCTGCTCTCAAACAGTAAGGGTGCCGTCTTCCACGAAGCGTTCCCGGCCAAGTTACGTGAGATGAAGGAGCTGGAGCAGACGCTCAAGGAAGACGGAGCTGCCCAAGAAGGCTCAACGGAAGGAATAAGGTCCTACCGGGGATAAAAAGACCATCTGCCATAGAAGCTCGATGCCTGGCCAAGATTCTACCCATAGTAACTAGAAGTTAAAACCCTTGCTTTCTAATGTGAGATCCCGGCTCTGTTGCACACAGTCTAACTTGGCTGCTGCTATTTTCCCGCGGCACTCATGGATCCACTGCAAGATTACCTAGGTTCTGCTTGGGCTGCTGTTAAGTCACATGGGCAGCACTCGTGCTGCTGCAAAATTACCTAGGCTTGGCTTGGACTGCTGTTAAATCGCACGGGCTGTTATTCTCCTGCAGCATTCGTGGGCCCGCTGCAAGATTACCTAGGTTCTGCTTGGGCTGCTGTTAAGTCACATGGGCAGCATCCGTGCTGCTGCAAAATTGCCTAGGTTCCGCTTGCATGCCTGCTAAGTCACACGGGCTGTTATTTTTCCGCAGCATTTGTGCCGCTGCAAAGTTACCCAAGTTCTGATTGGACTGCGGTTAAGTCACAGCCCATGTTCCTTTTCCTGAGCAGTCGTGGATCAGCTGTAAGAGTACCGAGGTTCCCATTGGACTGCTGTAAAGTCGCATGGGTTGTTTTTGCTCCGCAGCACTCTGGAGTCTGCTGCAAGATTACCTTAAGTTCTGCTTGGACTGCTGTAAAATCACATGGGCAGCACTCGTGCCGCTGCAAAATTACCTAGGTTTTCTTGACTGCCCAAAACCACGCATAGCCTTATTCCGGATGTGCTCTAGATGCAACTTTACATAGGTTTTGCGTGGACCTGCGGAGTCATAATCCGTATAGAGCCACGTGGTGCAGATTACCCAGCCCTACGAGTGCACACACAGGAATGGGTGCCAGACGTGAATGGCAGGAGTAATCTGCACAGAGTGGCTCCCATGTGACTCTGCTAAGTTGCATCTGAACCATGACGGCGGTCTTGCGACGTGTTGCCGACGTGAATGTGGGGGCGCCGTCTGGGCAGTGCGCAGCACCCCAATGGAGCACTGTCATGCTTCCTGATTGTATTTGGCTAAGCAAACATTGTCGTGGGATCCCAAAACTGCCAATCCAGAACATAGGGAGGCCGCGGACTGACACCGAGGTCCCAAAAACAAGGAGCCCTGTCAGGCCCGGGGGTAGAAATTCGAGCTTGCCTACGCTTTGGGGGGAAGGGAATATTTGGGTCATTTTGGTGCCTTTGACACTAAAAATAATATGCGTGAGCTTTCGCTTAATAGTGAGGCTCCGTATATGCAGCTTTTATAGCACCCAATTCTAATTATACTACGTATTAGAGGGCGCCGAATCCAGCCCTAGGAAGCTCTTATACAGGGGCCATCGAGTATCGCTAAACCTAGGCTTTGTCAACCCGAGCCGAGCTAGATTACATTATCGTCTCATATCCACAATGACCTCGGAGCGAAGCAAACGCCTTACGCATCTCGATTTCTATGGGCTTCTTACGGGTAAAAAACCCGCGGGACTCGGGGCACCCGGGACTAACGCCTCAGTTGCTGTGAAAAGAGAATCGATATGGGAGCATTACGAGTGGATGTATAAACTACGCCTGGGAATCGATCATCGGGCTATAGTAGCGGAGAAGAAGGTCCCTTCAAAGCACGCCACAGTTTATTCTATTAAGCAGTTTGCAGCTTCCGATGTAAAGACAGGGCAGGATACGTTCCTGGACATGTTTCAAAACATTCGGCACCACAGCTTTGTACCTACCCATGAGATATTCTGGACAGACAACATCTGCTTTGTCGTCTTGGAATATATGCCCTGCTCGCTATACGAGGTTCGCGCTAACGACCACCTGACTGAACCACGACTTGCCGCAATAGTCGGACAGGCAAGTGCGCCGTGCCTTATAGGAGTTCCATACCTGACATCACTCTCTCATAGGTCCTCGACGGTCTTTCTTACTTGGAACAGTGGGGACTGGAACACGGCTCTCTGACGTGCTCTAACATCTTCTTAGGCTACGATGGCATTGTAAAGATCGGTAAGAAGACTCGCCAATGAGGTATGACGACAGCTAATGCACGGGTCAGGTGGTCAAGAGAAATGCCGAAAGCACCTTGGGCAATCGGCTCGCGATGACGTCAGGTCGCTAGGCCCAATCGTAAGAGATCTGATAACTGGGGACTGCGAGGATGACGAAACAGTCCTGGAGGGTTGGTCCAAGTCGTTGGATTTTGAACGGGAGGTCGCGCGCGCGACTTCGACGGCCGACGTCTTACAGGTATGGCAGAGTCATACAGTGAGATCATTCTCTTCTAACCCGCAGTCGCCTAGCATCCCCTCTTACAATTCGAATGGAGAGAAGTGAGTCTGGTCGGGTTGGTGAATTTCAGTATTGCGAAGGTCCGCAGGGGTTGCAGGGCTATGACGGAGGACCCGTTTTATAATTAGCAGTCCATTTCAAGCTTTCGCTGGGGATAAACATAACCCCTGTCTATGTATTAAAGGATGCCACATTCGGCCATAACCATTCCTGGCTCCCGGTTAGAGTATCAAGTCGTCCTACCCTATTACCTTCTCTTCAAGCCTCCACCAAAAGCCATGCGGGCGAGCAGCGAGGAAAAGGCACAATGGCGAGACAAGTGTCGCAGAAAGTTAGCAGGCCACATCAGTAAGTGAGATTGCGTTTCACCTAGGCGTTACTAAATTGGAAACCCAGTGGAGCGTGTCGGCATTGCCATCGAGCCATCTCAAGTTCGATTGATCACTGGCAGGGACGACCAATACCGTTGGCGGGTGCATCCGCCCGTGGGCCATCTCTTCTCGAAGCAGCTTAGTGAACACGACGTTGGAGCGTTTAAAGCTCTCTGCCAGGGACTCGGAAAAACGTTCGACGCCGTGCCTCGAAATGAGGAAATGAGCATCACACCATCCATCGAAGGTGGGCCAGTCCGCGTAAGTTGATCGGGAAAACAGCCGGTTCTACTTCTAACGAACAGTAAGCTCTCTAGTAGTAGTGCGCAGACATCTCTCAGTTCTCGCATCGACGAACTTCAAGAGCTGAACGCCGAATTAGCCAGTCAAATCTCTGAGCTCCAGGAACGCGTTGCGTCCGCGATGGTTACCAAAGAGAGATTGGAGGGTGAGATAGAACTTGTCAATGAAACGAACCGCCTATTGAGGCAGGAGATACAAAAGAAGGCGCTTGAAATAGCCTATTTCCGGGACGCAAGCTACAGATATGCCGAGGGTATCAGGAAGATGATACCCATCATCGAAGGGCTAAAGAATACAGCTACTTTTACAGCAGATGGATGCTTCTAACGCGTCTTGGTTTTGCAGGGGCTGAACGGCGTTGTGGCGAAGCGCCCTACATCCCAGACCGGAAGGGCAGCCTAGAAAACGTAGCGAGAGCGGTCAAAAGCAGCGAGAGACAGGTAGATCGTACATAGAGGTGGAAGCGAACCGCTCCTGAGAGTGTGCATAGTTATTGTACGGATATGATTGAAGTACTGCTTAGCGTGGGTGTTCTAGGTCAATACCGGGATCTGGCCGTAGATTCCGCCGGCTCCTGCGCAGATGCAGAGACATACCCGTAAATGGGCGAGCGCCATTATCATGCTAGGGACGCTATACCGGCAAAACGTGTTCCGGATATTTCGTGAGGTGCTGGTTTCTGCGTCAGCCCTGCTGAGCATAAGTCTGCAGCCAACACAAAAGCCGTCGCTGCGGATGCCCCTGCCGTAGAGGCTGGTGGCCCGGGGCGACGTCCACGCATACCGTCCCGTTGCAAGGATGAAACTGCCGTGCAAGACTCTTCTCGTGGAGGAGGGCAGGCCGCTCGGCATGAGCAGAGCAAGCTGCTCTTCGACTCTGTGTTGGTTGGTGTAGATGCCACGAATATAACCAAAGTCTTTAAGATATAGCGCACTTCATAGGGTTAATAGGGAGGCAATCCCACAAGCCGCTTCCGGGACTCGTCGGGGTCCATACTGATAACAGCCACCCACGACCATGGGCCGATTTCTGCGGACTTGGAGTGCCATGTCGTGCAGGTTAGGGACCACAAAGGCAAGAGCAACCTAAAGAAGCACGAGGGGACTGCAGGTTGAAACTAAACTGCCTATCTGAGCATGGTGGGGGTGGTGCTGCCCAGCAACCTGTTAAAGCTCTACAGCCGTTGCATGCCACTCAATAAGGCCACCTTCGCCCGACCGCGAGAGAGACCGCCTTTGCGTGCTGTTATACCGGGTAGACCCTTCCCATTCTCTGTTGATTCCCCGGTAAGTACGAGGGACAGGGTAATATAAGAATACGACTCACGCACCGATGCTTGCTTGGGCGAGATGAAGAGAGCAGAAGCTGTCGTCAAGACGGTTGGCTGTTGGCCCTCTCCTGTCGGCAGGGTCTCAATGTGGCCCTCAACCCACGCTTTTCTGCCCTCAACCTTGACGGTTGTGGCGCGAAGCACCAGGTACTGGTTGGCTACGGCGGGCTGCATGTAGTTGATCTCCAGCTTCGCTGTCATGCCCACGTTGAAGGGCAGCGCTGGGAAGCAGCACTTCGCAAGGCCTTCATCCCAGCATAGTAGCCAGGAAACCGCCGTGGATTATTCCCAGGTGGCCGCACAGATCTGTCCCGATGTGGGCTATCTGCACATAGCTCTTGCCGCCCCGTTCGGTCCAGCTGAACGGCGGAATAGTTATCCTGCCAGGCCCCATGAGCGGGCCGCCCGTCAGGTTCTGCCTCCGCCACGCCGGCGGTATTTTCTCGTGGTCGCGCGACTCTGTGAAGTTCGGGTCCGACCTGAGAGAACGAGTAAGCGGATGAGAGTTGATATAGTCCTCCTTAGCTTTCGAGTCGTCCTCTCGGGGCACAAGCGAGTTACAGGCGCTCAGGGTTGACAAGATCGCTGTCGCCGACTCGTACTTTCGCGCCGCAGCCATGATGGGAAGAGGGTTATATACTCGGCAAAAACCACGCTGATCCGCCCCGAGGCGGCGTCTGGACCGAAGCCAGGCAACGAAACACTAGCTATCGTGATGGACGGCGTTAAGCGGAGCGTGTGGGAGTCGCCAACATGGCGTAGATAGCGGATGGGAAACCGGACTCTTATTATAATCTGAAAGTGGATCTTCACGTATCTCAATAGATTTCACAGAGACTAGTAAATTCCTGTTACGTAGTTATGACCGAACCAAAATGTAACGATAGCACGAAATAATGCTGGCTAGCGGAGACCATTGGGGGACTGGCAATAGAACCTAACGTTACGGTACTGGAGACGCCAGGGATGAGTGCTGAAAGGAACAGGTGCCGGAGAGAGACGCGGGCACGCTGGAACCCCCTCCTTCTGCCGGCCCCAGCTCTCATCAAGTCGGAGTATTACAGACACGTCAATTAGATATACTTGGAGAGGTATCCCCCTTTAAGGCTCGCAACGTATCGCTTTTAATGAGACTCACTGCATATTACCTATCAACGCGACAGTATCCCCTTTGACCGAAAAGACGGGGCACTCGCTACATCGTCGCGTCCCAAATGCCCTATCCATAGAACGAAATCCTACCCAAGACCTTTAGTTGCAGCAGATCTAACTAATTTTAGATATTACGAGGCAGGGGCTCGAAACGGGACTAGATGACTATTTGCGGAAATCCCGCTGTTGGCCGGAACACCAGCGAGGCGAAGCGCAGCGATATAAGTCCTTCTATCGCAACAGGAAATTGTTTAAGCAGATACCAGGCAAGATGCAGCGGTCAAATTGCATCGAAAGAGAGCGCAGAGTAGCGGTGGAGAGAAGCACCAAGTATTGGGGTACTGTTAGTGTCGACATCGACATCCTAGAGTTTCCCAATGAGGAAGAGGAAGAAAATATTGACAAGCTGGTCGAGCTATTCCAAAATGATTACAGAGGACTGAATCCGCGATACCGCATTCCCGCAAAGATTGACAAGCATCAACTGGATGCTGCCTTAGCATTGTCGGGACTCACCTTCCAGAAACTGAAAGAGGCTCCGGACCGCATCCGTGGCTATCCCGAGCTGAAGTTTCCGGCCGGCTTCCGCTTGAAATGTTGCCAAGGACTTCATCGATCCCGAGCGGCGGCGCGAATCTTACCGCCAGGAGAGAGATGCTGGTCGATCGACTTGTACGATTCAGGTACGACACTGAATAGCAACGATGCTAAGATCCAAGTGCTGATCACTGCCACTAGATATCGACCCCGACTTGGACGCAGAGCTGAGAGAAGGGTACTCAGCAGAAAAGGAACCCAATGACGGTGTAGTATATTACAGAATTCGCACGTACCAGGGACATCATGGGCCGGCAAATCCCTTTCTCGAGAGCCGGTGGTGGGCTCTTCTAAAGTACAATTCGAAACAAAAGAAGAAAAACCTTAAGGGAATACTCGACGATCCGTATTACAAAGCCGCCTTTGATATCCAAATGGATATTCTAGCTCTTGGCGACGGCATGGAGCTCGGCGTAATTCACAAAATGTTCACCATGCGGTGTGACGAGGTAAGTCCCGACCCCCACACCTTAAAGCCAACATTAACACCTGGGAGTTGGCCCTGAAGTATCTGGGGCATATCAAGAAGGTCTGGAAGGATGAGATCTGTGAGAAGAATCCGGAGACGATGCAGAAGATCGACCGGTCGACAGTAAAAGCTTTACAGCACACTGCTCCAGGGTGCTGCAAGAAAGACAGAGAAGACCTGTGGAAAAAACTACAGAGCGGAGAGATTTTCTCGGCCTTTGCGGAGCAAGAACGACAGATCATATGGGATCGAGTCCTTTCAGCCAGCACCACCCGGCTGATCCCTTCCTTGTTCACATTTTTTGAGGACCTCAACTATCTAGAGGGTCCCCTGCAAAGCCTGAAGAGATTAGTGCCACTCTCTCGGAAGGAGACAATCTCGGCCGCCCTGTTGCGAGCTTACAAGGATATAAATCAGGAGCCCGATCAGGTCAAGATACAGGAGTCCGAATCCATAATGACGTTTGTTCCCGGAACTAAGGCCAATTGAGCAGAACTCGGGGTACGACAGGCATGGATGTGCGCTATGCGAAATTTCACGGATATCCCTCCCCTACGGAAAAAGAAAGAAAGTGTCCGACGGGCAAACCCAACATACAAGGAGAGCCCTAAGGCCGTGCATGACATGGCTGCTCTCCTCTTTCGGCTGGGATTTGAGTCTGACCAAATCCTCGACTCGATACATCAGTCCGCGGACAGCGTTATCGCGCATAACGCACTGCTGGAGGCCAGACCTCCTGATCATTTCACCTATGATGCCTTTGCTCAATGCAAGATTCAGATGATGGACCTTTTCATAACAGCCAGAGAGCTGCCGACAGAAAACGTAATCTCGGCGGCAGAGTTGGACAACTTTGTGGGGACTCCCACAAGATATGGAAAGCCCTCCGAGGCTGAGCGGAAGCAAACCAAGCCACTGCTGTTCGCGAACAGACTGCACAGGCGGATAGAAGAGTTTGATGCCATGACACCTTTTCTAATACGCAAATCGGTGTATCTCACATTCTTCGGCATGCCGGAATTCGATCACGCTAACATCATACCTGGGCGGAGGGAGAGGTTGGAGATCAGACAAACTGGGCAGAGACACACATATCTAGCCGAGGACGAACATCTACAAGATAGAAAGAGGCAGCTGGAAGAAGCATGGCAGATATTTGAAACTGAGAAGAAAAGGCACTCTCAGGAACTAAAGGAGAAGAAGAAGCAGCTTATCGAGCAAACCAACCGGGCGTGTAAGGAACGAGTGGAAATTTTGGACTTAAAGTTCAATGACCAAGTGCAGGAAGCGTATGCACTTCTAAAGAAAGAGGCTGACAAGTACAAAGAAAAGCAAGACCTGCTTTTTAAGAAACGGCTTGGCGAGCATGTTGAAAAAGAGAAATTGCTTACGAAACAGCAGCGGAAGCTCGAAGAAGACAATAAAACACTTAAAGAGGTGATAAAACAGAAGTCGGATGAGGTCCAGCGGATTGCACAGGAGCAACTACAAAAAGAGAGGACAGAGCAACAGGGAATCCGCCTACGCCAAGAAGGAGAGATCAGGGAGCTCAAGGAGAAGCTCCGACGACTAGAAGAAGGGACGGAGAAGCAGCGGGAAGCTGAACAACAATTGAAAACACAGGCCCAACAACTCCTGGATGAAAATAAAAGGCTAGATCAACAAGTTGAACGGCTCCAAGTGGAAAATGAGAAGAGTCAGCGCAATAACGAGCGACAACTGCTTGAGAAAGAGGCCGGTAGGAAAGCGGAGAGCGAAAGGCTCCAACAGAAATGCCGATCGCTCAAGGAACAGCTCAAAAGGGAGAAGGAGAGGAGCGAAGTTAAATTGCGGCAACAACAAGCCGATGGAGACAAGGCAGAATACCGCCGACAAGAAGAAATCAAAGGACTCCAAGAGAAGTGCCTAGCCCTCGAGGAACAGCTCGGAAAAGAGAAAGAGAGAGAGGATGCTGAACACGGCCTCCGAGAAGAGAAGGAGGAGCTCCAACGAGCCAAAGAAGAATGGGAACGGGAGAGGACAAGGGATCAAGAAATATGCCTACAACAAAAAGGAGAAATCAGCGAACTCAAGGAGAAGCTCCAAGAACTTGAAGGAGAAAAGGAAAAGCAGGAGCAAACTACAAAAGAGTTGGAGCAACAGGTTAACCAACTCTCCAATGATAAGCAAAGGCTAAGTAACGAAGTTCAACAGTTACAATTAGAGAAGGAAAAAAGCCAGGGTAACGCTGAGCAACTAGAGGCACTACAACGCAAAGATCAGATCTCCCAGAGAGACTTATCAGCGCTCCAAGACCAATACAAGGCGCTAAGGAAACAGCTCGAGGAGATAGATAGCTCTAAGTCCGAGGCCCAGGTACACCAGAAGAATATGGGGAAACTACAACATGAGTACGATGAACTCAAACAGCAATACGAGCTTCTAGAGGAGATCCAACAAACTAAACAAGAAGAGTCGGAACAATTAAAAGAAGAAGTTAAGGAACTTAAGAAAAGACTCCAACAACTTGAACGAGAGAAAGAGAAGCAGGTGCAACCTGTACAACAATTCGAGCAACAAGAGAAGATGGGGCTGGTGGAACAGAGAGAGACAGAGGCGTCTGAAAAGGAGAGGCAGGTTGAAGAGAAGATGAGTCAGCTGCGAGACAATATGCAAAAGATGGCACAGGAGAGGAACGAGCTGAATGAGAAGGAACAGAGGATTCTTAAAGAGAAAGCGGAAGCAGAAGAGGCAAACGAACAGATCCGACGCGAGTTTGTGGAATTGCTACGAGAAAGGAACGTGTTTACCTTTTCTGGGATATCTGGGGACACGAATGGAAGTACGCCGCCCGGTGCTAACTCTGGGGCAAATGGTACGATTCTTCCGCGAGAACCCGAACGTCGTGAGAGCGTTGAAAGAGAGAAGCGGCGGCGATTGGATAAATCAGGAACTGTCGAAACAAAGCGGAGTCAGAATAGCAGAGAGGATGAACCGCAACCAAACGAGAAGACGCCGAGGCTAGATACAACGCAGATCGATGAACTACCGGAAGATCAACCTACTTCCTTGAAATCTGGAAAGTGGCGTAAACGCATTCTCGATGATAAATGGCGGAAGCGAATGGAAGCGAAAAACCAGGATGCTATGATCGACGAGGGAGAAGACAGTATGGAGACCAATGGACTTTCTCCAATCACCTTCAGGTTTGAGGAGGAAGGCGAAACACGCGAGCAAATAGTCCTTGGTGCAGAGGTGGAGCGCACAGCCCGGCAATGTCTTAAGCGCGGATACGGAATCTACGATAAACAAGGTTATGCACTTATCCCTCAGCTTTGTTATGAGTATGTTACAATGGACAGGACAAAGACTATAGTGGTGTGCCGAAGGCCAGAAACAGATCAACGACCCAAAAAGCGAAAGCGAACGGGGGGCTTGACCGGCATGGTGGGGACCATACAAGAAACTAAAGAAGATGTTCAAATTGCGTTGCTAAATAGGTAGCTCTACCACGAGGTCAATCACGGGCGACATTACCCCCACTAATTATCACCGAGCCATTATAACTTCGTCGCTTCAATCGCCTAGCTTAATTAGCACCAGTCATTATATACTAGAAAGAAGCTCCGAATCAAAACTAAGATCTAATGGTAAGTTAGTGCAATTGATAAGCTATGTAAACTTAACAGAGCTTCACAATGCTACAGTATATAGATCGACTCTATTAACTAACGTAACGTATCTTATAAGCGAGCGGGACATATAAGCGAGCGGGACACTAAGTTCTTGGCACGACGCGTCCTTCTTTATCCACCTCCAACAACGCGTTTTTCCTACAACTAAAGATGTCTTCCGCTTCAAAGGAAGCTAGGGTAACCTTGGCCCTCAAAGCTCTTGAAAATGATACGAAACTAAGCCTCCGAGCCGCGGCCAAGCTCTATAACGTGCCAGTTTCAACCCTCGGCTACTGATGTACCGGCCGGCCTATACGACGCGATCTTCCAGCCAACTTACGGAAGCTTACCGATCTAGAAGAGAAGGCTATAGTCCAGTATATAACTGAGCTATCTGAGCGAGCTTTTCCACCAAGGCTACGTGGTGTGGAAGATATGGCCAACCAACTGCTACGCGTACGCAATGCGCCCCCTGTCGGCAAGCTCTGGGCTCATAACTTCGTTAAACGCCAGCCTGCTCTCCGTATGCGTTGGTCACGTCGATACGACTACCAGAGGGCCAAGTGCGAGGACCCAGAGGTTATTGGCGAGTGGTTCGCGCTCGTACAGAATGTCAAGGCCAAGTACGGCATTGTGGATGACGATATCTATAACTTCGACGAGACTGGGTTTATGATGGGTATCATCTTCCCAGGCATGGTAGTTACGACCTTTGATGGCCGTAGCAAGGCAAAGCTGGCCCAGCCTGGTAACCGCGAGTGGGCTACGGTAATCCAGGGAGTCAATGCCCTCGGCTGGGCTATCCCACCCTTCATCATCTTGGCCGCGCAATACCACCTCGCCAACTGGTATTAAGAGTGCAACCTCCTGGCCGACTAGCGTATCGCGACCACCGAGAACGGCTGGACCACTAATGCCGTAGGCCTCGATTGGATCAAGCACTTTGACTTCCATATAGCACCCCGTACAAAGGGCAAATATCAGTTATTGATCATCGACGGCCACGAGAGCCACCACTCGACCGAATTCGAGCTCTATTGCCAGGAGCATTATATCATCACACTCTATATGCCTCCGCATTCCTCCCACCTCCTCCAGCCACTCGATGTTGGCTGCTTTGGGCCGCTAAAGCAGGCGTACGGTCGCCAGGTCGAGGACTTGATACGCATGCATATCAACCACATAAGCAAGCTCGAGTTCCTCTATGCCTTCCGCGAGGCCTTCTTCGCCTCTATGACGGAGAAGAATATACAGGGTGGCTTTATAGGTGCTGGCCTTATACCGTACGATCCAGAGAGGGTACTTTCTAAGCTGGATATCAAGCTTTGTACACCAACACCCCTAACCTCACGGCCTAGCACTATACAGTCTTGGGTCTTCCAGACACCACACAACTCCCGGGAAGCCAATGCACAGTCCACACTCATCAAGACTTGTATTACCAACCATCAAAATAGCTCCCTAACCTCGATGTTGGCTGCTGTAGACCAGTTGGCCAAGGGTACAATGGCTATAATGTACCAGATGGCTCTTCTTCGCGCCGAGGTCTCTTCGCTCCGTAAGGCCAACGAGGCACTCAGCAAGCGCCGGAGAGCCAAAAGAACACGCGTACAGCTTGGAGGATCGCTTGCGGTACAAGATGCAAAGGATCTACTGGACCAGAAGGCCGTGGTTGGGGAGATGGTGCAAGAAAAGGAGCCGGATAGTGGTGGTGCAGGGGGGGCTTGTACGAAGGTTCGGTGCTATGGTGTGTGCGGCAAGCCTGGCCATAATGCCCGTACGTGCCAGGAGGTTGTAGAAGGGTCTGATTCAGCTGTTTCTGATGTAATTGTAGTTGGTTAATGGTCTTATTATATTGCAATTGAGGATGGTTGTTATAGAGTAGTGGAGAGTGTCCCGCTCGCTTATATGTCCCGCTCGCTTATAAGATACGTTACATGATAAGCGAGCGACGCAGATAAGCGAGCGACGCACTTTCAGTGCGACGCGCCTCCTCTAAACTTTTCCACCAAATACCACCGCAACAAGCCATGCGTAGCCCCTCAAAAGAAGCAGGCTTCTTTTAGCCCTCGAAGCTATCAAACAGAGCGAGAATCTCAGTATCCGGGCGGTAGCCAAGCTATACAACGTTCCAGAAGCAACGATTCGCCACCGGCGCAAGGGACGTGCTGCAAGACGCGATGTTCTAGCCAACTCGCGTAAGCTCACGGATCTAGAAGAGAAGTCAATAGTTCAGTATATAACTGAGCTATCTACACGCGCATTCCCACCTAGATTAAGTGGTATGGAAGATATGGCCAACCACCTACTACGCGAACGCGACGCGCCCCCTGTCGGCAAACGCTGGGCTCACAACTTTGTCAAACGCCAGCTAGAGCTCCGTACGCGGTATACACGCAAGTACGACTACCAGAGGGCTAAATGCGAGGATCTACAGGTCATCAGCGAGTGGTTTGCACTTGTGTGGAATACTAGGGCTAAATATGGGATTGTCGATGACGATGTCTACAACTTTGATGAGACTGGGTTTATGATGGGTGTTATCTTCGCGGGTATGGTGGTTACGACCTCGGATGGGCATGGCAAGGCAAAACTAGCTTAGCCTAGTAATCGGGAGTGGGCGACTGTGATCCAGGGAGTCAACGCCCTTGGCTGGGTTATCCCTCCGTTCATCATCCTAGCCGCACAGTACCACCAGAGTAACTGGTACCGGGAGTGCAATCTACCACTTACCTGGCGCATTGCAACCACCGATAATGGCTGGACTACCAATGTAGTAGGTCTGGATTGGATCAAGCACTTCGATTACCATACGGCACCTCGAACAAAGGGCATATACCGGTTGTTGATCCTCGACGGCCACGAGAGCCACCACTCAACCGAATTCGAGCTCTACTGCAAGGAGAACAACATCGTCACACTCTGCATGCCTCCACACTCTTCCCATAGGCTCCAGCCTCTCGATGTTGGCTGCTTTGGGCCATTCAAGCAGGTATACGGTCGCCAGATCGAGGGCTTAATGCGCATGCATATCAACCACATCAGCAAGCTTGAGTTCCTCTGTGCCTTCCGAGAAGCCTTCTTTGCTTCTATGACAGAGAAGAACGCATAGGGTGGCTTTGCAGGGACTGGCCTTGTGCCATACGACCCAGAGCGGGTGCTTTCTAAGCTAGATATAAAGCTTCGTACGCCAACACCCCCAACCTCACGGCCCAGCACTGCGCAACCCTGGGTCTTCTAGACACCACATAACCCACGAGAAGCCGACGCATAGTCAACGCTCATCAAGACTCGCATTGCGAACCATCAAAATAGCTCCCCAACTTCAATGTTGGATGCTGTAGACCAGCTTGCCAAGGGTACGATGGCTGTAATGCACCAGGTGGCCCTCCTTCGGTCAGAGGTCTCTTCGCTTCGCAAGGCCAATGAGGCACTAAGCAAGCGCCGGCGTGCCAAGAAAACACGTGTGCAGCTTGGAGGTTCACTTACTGTGCAAGATGCAAAGGATCTACTAGATCAGAACGCCGTAGGTGGGGAGGCAGTGCAGGAAACGCAGCCGGATGGTAGCGGTTCAGGGGGGGCTCGTACGAAGGTTCAATGCTGTGGGGTATGCGGCAGGCCTGGCCATAATGCTCGCACTTGCCAGGAGGCTGTAGAATCATCTGATTCATCTATTTCTGATGTAATTGTAGTTGGTTGCTAGCGTTGTTGTATTATAATTGAGGATAGTTGCTGTAGGGTGGTAGAAAGTGCGTCGCTCGCTTATCTGCGTCGCTCGCTTATCATGTACGTTATTATTATTTTTTTTTCTTTTTTTTTTTTTGCAGTTGACCCACCGTTGCACACAATCGCATCATCGTTCAATTGTACCCCGAGCATCCTCAAGATGGTCGGCTCAGGGTTAGGGGTGATTGCCTGTTTCGGTGTAACCACGGGCAAACGCGGCAGTCCACCAGTGGCGTCTAGGTGCTTGGAGTGGACCACGCGGCAAACATTGGCTCGCTGCCGTTGTTTTGACTCGCTCAACAAGGAGCCTCGCCCGGCACCGAATCCCTTGGAATCCCAACCCAACAAAGATTCCATCATCATCGCCCGTATCGCAGGGCCTTAACATCTGGGTCGCGATGGAGGAGGAGATTGCGAGACTGCGACAGGCTCTTGAAAATGAGCGGCGCCTCCGCGAAGAAGCCGAGAGCCGTGCGTCGGAGGAGCAACGCCGACGCGAAGAAGCGGAAAAGATCGTGGCGCCATTGCAACTGGAGCCTTATCTTGAGGCTTGTCACGCTCTCAATCTTGCCATCAAGGTAGTCACCGACCGCTCCTTGACCACACAAGGCGACACCACCAATCCTGCCGGTCGAGTATACCCCCGGCGAATCGTTCCGTGGGATGACTTTCCCGCAAGACAGGAGGACATCTGGAATCGGCTGCTCGATCTGTCCTTTGCCTCCCGGCATACGTTCCCATCCCAACACTAGCTGGACTATGTGCGATCTCTCATTACACCCATCAGCAGCGAACACGGCCTCCGGTACTACGAGCACGATACCGTAGAGAATGCGGTGAAAAGGCTAGTTGATACGGTGTACGAGAACCCGGTCCTTCGAGCCAGCGTGGGCCTGTATGGAACCGTGACGTTTGAGAGTCACACCAGTCTCGGCCCCATCGATGGCGGTCTCTCCGAACCTTCCGACTCCGCGCCCCCCTCCGGGACCAGTACTAAGGAGGCCGCGCTCGTACCGCCTGCAGCGGACTGCAAACGCCTCCATGTTGCGAAAGGGAAGGGCAAGGGCAAAGGCAACCGGGCGGACCAGTTCTGCATCTATAGAACATTCGATGGTGCAAACGTACCAGCGACAGCGATCGAGTACAAGGCGCCATACAAGCTCAGCCAGGACGAGTTGGTGACGGGTCTAGTGTCTGAGATCCAACCGGAGCGAGATGTGATTAACAAAGACGGTGACGACTTTGCATTCGCAGCTAAGGCGCTTGCTACTGCCGTCGTCACCCAACTCTTCTCCTATATGGTCGGGAGGGGCATTCAGTACGGCTACGTCTGTATAGGGCAGGCCTTCGTCTTTCTGCATATCCCCGATGACCCGGCCATGGTCTACTACTACGTATTTGTGCCCAATTAAGACGTTCTCGATGACGACGAGAACAGCCTTTACCGTACGGCCGTCGCATAAGTCTTCCCCTTCATCGTCTAAGCGTTCCGTGCGTCGCCTCCTCTGTTGGCTTGGTACGACGCTGCTGCGGGCCTTGATACCTGGGCCGTAGAGTACGATGACATGCTGAGCAGAATCCCCCCTTCTGTCCGCAAAGATAAGTGTCGCGTTTCCCTATACAAGCCCCAGCGTTGGCAGGGATTTACGCGCTCGCCAATTCGGCCCGTTCGCATTGCGCCCAGATCGACACCTAAGTCCATCCTCGAGATGATGACGACAAAGAAGATGCTCCTCCTTCTCCTAGTGCGGACCGGCTAAATCGCCTAGGAAGGAAGGCTACGACGTCTGGCACCGGTTCCGGCAACAGACGGGGCCAGCGTGGCAGAGGGGGAGGCCGGCAGGGCGGGGCAATGCAACAAAGGATACAAGACCAGCCGTACTGCACGCATAAATGCCTCCTAGGGGTGGTATCAGGAGGGCCATTAGACTAGGCCTGCCCTAACGCTAGTAAACACGGATCAAGATACATTAGCGAGGCGGATTTCCTGCATTCCCTTCAAGCTTAGCTGGCCAAAGACCGCGGCCCTGATGCGGACTCTACCCTGATGTACCTGTCTGGGTCTGTCGGGTCGCTCTTCAAACTTCGACTGTCGGCTTACGGATATACGCTTGTTGCCAAAGGCGTGGAGACTGGACACCTCGACCGTTTGTCGTATGAAAAGGACGTGTACAACCAGTTGCAACATATACAGGGAAACTACGTCCCTGTGTGTCTTGGCCTGATACATCTGGTTCTGCCATACTACTATGATGGCGGTGTATTCGAGCACTTCCTGCTGGTTAGGTAGGCCGGGCGGCCCTTGTCTAGGTCCATCGATGGGACCAACAAGACAACCGCCATAGATTTGGCAACTAAGGCCTATTCCGAACTTCATCAGCTGCAAGTCCTCCACGTTGATGTAGAGCTTCGCAACCTGTTATACGACGTACACAGCGGGGCTCTTATGGCTATCGATTTTGAGCGGGCAGAGTTACGCGGTCGCCAACCTCTTGGCTTGATCAGCCCAAACGGCCAAGGTCGGAAGAGGAAGCCCGGTTGGTTGGCGCAGAAGCAAGGAAAAGACGAAGACGACTTCACGGAGGAGTTTCAATCTGTCGTCGAGCGCGTTTCGCTGCGTTTTGGTGATAATGTGCTAAGCGGCCTGAGACAATCTGGGAGTAGCCGGGACCAGCATGCTAGGGGTTCATCTCTAATGCGCTTAGCCAAAATGCCTCGCCATGCAGTCTAGCAGTAAGAATGGGATTCCTCATGGCTTGGGAGTCATAGCAATCCACTTCACATACACTTGGCCACACTGAAAACCCTAGCCGTTAGTTCCCGCTTGTTCCGAGAGGTGCTCTTATACCCACGACCAAGTTGTGTATCGCTAGCCCTCGCCTATCAACACTGGCGCGAGCTCTTGAGAAGACAGAAATGCCATTCATATATGGCGGAAACAAGCCTTCTCGTACCGGCACATTATGGCACCCAGAGTGCGGGCCATTTCACCATCACCCGACGGCGTCCTAGGCACTCGCTATCACGTGAGATTGTTTACTTACCCCTGAACTCAACCGCAGGCTCCGAAGTGCCTGAGAAATCGAGTACCCCGCGTAAACGATCACTGGTTCAGGTCAAGAGATGGTTGAGCAACGTTGCGACCAGCCCTCATGAGTCTCTTCCAAACCATGGTCATGATGGGATGGGTGACACAGAAGCAGAGGGGGATGAAAGAACCGAGGGGCTGGTCTCGTTGATTGAGGATTACTTGGCCCCGGCCAACCCTCCCTTCGTCCTGGGTTTAACGGACCAAGGCGACACGGATATCAACCCAGATCCAGCATACTGTTTGCAACCTTAACATCAGAGCTCCAGGCCTCCACCCGCGAACTCTCCCGTATCGCCTGCCGGTCCCGCCAGAATGCGCCGGAACTCCTCGTCTCTCTTCTCGTGCCGGGTGAGGTGCAACTCTGAGGTGAGGGAAACAGGAGGAGCAGCCTCTCCGTCTCTGAGAGAACCAGATTGTGGCTTCTCTGGGGCGAGAGTGTCGCTGTCGTACGCTTCGGCATTCGGCTTTTGATCGCTGGGTTGGCTGGGAGTTCCGGCCGCCGGGTCCGCACCGATGCCGAATGCTCTGTCAACTTTAGGAGGTTGCGGTTGCAGGGGAGGACGGCCGCCTGTGGCGCCAGCCGCGTCGCCAACGGCGCCACCCGAGATGGAGTTGCCCTCGAACGTTTCACGCGAATAGCGACAGGTTAGAATCCAGTCGCCGAATTCGTCGTCCCGATCCAGGCCGAGCTGACATGCGCTATTGAGAGCCCGGCGGAAAAGCGGCGACTCGCTGGCTTCCACGCATCTCTGGTTGATGCCACGGGGACCGATGTTTACATGAAGCACCCAGCCGTGGGGATCCGCGGCCGCGTCGGGTTGGGCGGCAGAACTGGTGGCTATCAGGCCGTCTACCGTGGCCTCCAGAGCGCCTTGATGACGGCGTCGACGTCGATGCACTCTGGCACCAGGTCCTCGGCTTCGTTGTGCCTCGCCCGGCTGGGCCAGGTCGGCAGGAGACCGAGAAACCGCTGATGTCCGGAGGGCAGGTCCAACACGATCGCAACGTTCCTGAGGCAAATCGCGCGCCCGTCGTCACGAAGCGGGCTAGGATTCGGGGAGGTATACTCGTAGCGGGAGCGCTTCTCCGGTGGGCTCGTATGTACGAGGAATGCATTGTGGCCAGCGCTGCTCGTCTCCGATACGGTGCGCTTTCTCGAACAGCCAACCCCCAGGCTCTACTCGGTAGGACGGATGTCGGAGGCGGCAGGCGGGGCTGTCAGGCGCCTAGAAGTCAGCCTGGAGAACCTGGGCTTGCCCAATTTACAAACGCAAAGGGGTAAGTAAGAAGTGGATGTCTCGACTTACCCGTTGTTCTACGCTCGTCTACTCTGAAAACACGATATACAGCGTATAATAGTTCGTAGGCGGTGGTCGGTTCGGGGCGCTCTGGAGCATGCTCCCCGTACAGCTCCTAGTGCCCAGGGGCACTAGGAACAATGACGTAGCTAGAGTGTGGCTCCTACGCTATTTCCAAGACGCCCTCAAGCTCTTTAGTTGTCAGTTACGGAAAGAAGGCGCGAAAGACATCAACGTAGGTGGTTCCGCTAGGCTCGGGGTCTCGATGAATAACTTCGGCATCTTCGATGGCAACCTCGCCGGTTCTGCCAGACTAGTTTGGTGGGTTCCCCTACGCAGCACGAGAATAAGAAAATCAGCACTACGTACTCTATCAGTTGGGAAGACATACTCCACTGTCCGGGGCAGGCAACGCAGTTTCTGGGCTTTCTACCTCGGGCAGGCTCGCTTTTTCATCGCACGACCTGGAGGTATGGTACCGGACCTGAGGGTCGTTGTAGGGCGGTCTCAGGATCTCGCCTATACCAGAGCTGTCAGGTAAAACTCTCAAGCCGCCGATGGTGGGCCAGAAGCCCGAGTTTGGGTTATCGACGAAACCAGACATGCTAGGGTTGTGTGTGCCGTGACCACACTTCTTTCTACTGGAGGTCAGTCGGAGAACCGGGCTATGCTGTACGGAGCAGGAACCGTGTTATTGTAGGCGGGTAACCGGGCCGAACCAGAGGACGCGCTTGGCTAAAAAGGAGGAGAAAAGTCGTGGTTTGGCCGCGTTACACGTCACTAGTGACCTATAACAGGAAGCGGAGGGTTTTATATAGACACCGTACAAAGCGACGACCTGAACGCTCGGCTTTTATTTGCAAGGCTTAACCTACTGCACTTCTAGCAAGCAGGACGCCCTTCAAAGCGCCGGTCGACTATAGGGTGGGCATCAAGGGCTATATATTCAATATAGTTACTCTATAGGCTATTTGTTCGGCGTCCCCCTATATAAGCGCCTTTATCTCAGTGCCTGAATTAAATCACATTTACAGGGAGTACGACTGACAATGCCCTAAAGTCCACTAACTAAAGCGAAGCTCCCAAGCACAGTGAAGAAGAGTAAGGAGGTTGGACGATACAAGTGGTTCTCTACCAGGGGATGAAGATCATTGTAATCAGCCTTAGAAAGGCCCTCACGGACTATCTCTTTCGGCACATAGTTATATACAAGACAATTTGAACATGCGCACCTTGCGTGTGGAAACAGGACTACCGTGGCCGAGGGCGATCGTTATTGTAAGCTCTGTTCTTCTAATGCATTGTCCTCTCGGTCCCCTGGGCCGGGTGCGGACGTGCCAAGGCTATCGTTGTCTGTAGATATAGAGAAAATGCCGCCAAGCTCCTTGGAGTCGTCGCGCGACCCTTTCGGTCATAGCTCGTGTATAGCGGCTTCTTAGTATAGCTCGGGACTTGCAGGCTAGGTGAAGTACATGAGATCTCAGGCTCCAAAGACCCAGTTGAGAGCCTCGACACCCCATTCTACTAAGCCCCTGGGTGTGATCCTCTCAAGCTGCCGGTCTGTCCATACTCCTCGCAGGGAGTGGATAGCTGTGTCAGCGTTTATGAAGAATAGCTGTGGATGTTGGGAGCCGAGAAAACGGGCTTGTCGCGATGAGAATGGTGGGGTTGGTCGTACTGGCGAGTGGTGACCGAGTGGTGACCGAGCGTCCACTTGAAGCCGTGGCAGGCAGTTCCCTTGTCGTGCCTTGTCTGCTACTGTCACTAGCGAAATCGCCTTCCGCCCCCTGGCACGCTGCTGAATTCTCAGCGCACGGACTATAAGCCATTTTTGGTACTCATGGGGCCCCTATCGGGGCCCCTTCTTGTACCTCTTCTAGGTGGTACTGTACTTGCCACAGGTCCTGGCTAGCCATCTTGCTTATCGCCCTGCTACTGCCTTCTACCCCTATATCCGCATACCGTTTGAATTCAAACATTCTTCCCCAGCACTCACCGTAGTCAACTTATAGCTCCTCGACCGAGGACCTACTCGCAGGTGTGCAAAGTCAACATCCGCAAGTCGCATCGTTGCAGTGTGGCACGGAGTAGGTGAACAGAGGGTCGCTGCGCACAGGCAGCTAATTAGCAATCAATTGAGGGTAACAGCAAATGGTGATGATGTCGTCTGAGTGTCCTGCAGCCAAGCTAATGAAATGTGATGAGCACCCGGGGCTCCAACTCCAGTATCTGGGCCGAGTTCAACTGGTATAGTATAATCCGCGGCCGCCTCTTTGCCCATTTAAAATAAGACCTTTATTAGCAATATATAAAGGGTCCATACCCCCTGACCGTTACGGTGCCGAATTGACTTCTAGCTTTGAGGAAACTTCTCGAAAGTGCCAGAAATTAGCATAGGAAGCTACAAATTAACCGGTTCTCCCACACCCTTCCTGTGGCACGCTGTGAAAAGAAAAATAGAGAAAGTGCAAGGAGCCAGAACGTCAAAAGTAAAGAGCACCACTACTGAATCAGATTGCTGTCTGTGAAGATGAAGAACAAGATACGGCCTAAAGAACAGCCGATTGACACAGCCGTTCCAGATATAGCAGAAGATGATGGCCGATACTCAGGCGGCAGCCATAGCAGGTTTTCTCCTTTATACGTAATCCAGGTACCGTTGCTGCTCAAGCCGTATCCAATAGCGACTGGTGATGAACGATCAGTAGAGGTAGGGTCAAAGGCCGTACAGATTCCGACGGTTTTCAAGTCGAATATGCCAAGTTCGGTATGTACAAGGTCGGGGTTATATTCATGAAACTGGAGACTGTCGACCTGGCCGCTATGGCCCTCGAGCGTCGACACGCACTGGCCGGTCGCTGGATCCCAGATCTTGACGGTCTCGTCGCCGGACGCCGATGCCAGCCGGCTCACATCGGGCGACCAGGCCACAGAGGTGACCGGGCCGCTATGGCCCTCGAGCGTCACCACGCACTGGCCGGTCGCTGGATCCCAGATCTTGACGGTGTTGTCGCCGGACGCCGACGCCAGCCGGCTCGCATCGGGCGACCAGGCTACAGAGTAGACCGGGCCGCTATGGCCCTCGAGCGTCGACACGCACTGGCCGGTCGCTGGATCCCAGATCTTGACGGTCTCGTCGTAGGACGCCGACGCCAGCCGGCTCGCATCGTGCGACCAGGCTACAGAGTAGACCGGCCCGCGATGGCCCTCGAGCGTCGCCACGCACTGGCCGGTCGTTGGACCCCAGATCTTGACGGTGTTATCGTATGACGCCGACGCCAGCCGGCTCACATCGGGCGACCAGGCTACAGAGTAGACCGGGCCGCTATGGCCCTCGAGCGTCGACACGCACTGGCCGGTCGCTGGATCCCAGATCTTGACGGTCTCGTCGTAGGACGCCGACGCCAGCCGGCTCGCATCGGGCGACCAGGCTACAGAGTAGACCCGGCCGCGATGGCCCTCGAGCGTCGACACGCACTGGCCGGTCGCCGGATCCCAGATCTTGACGGTCTCGTCGTAGGACGCCGACGCCAGCCGGCTCGCATCGGGCGACCAGGCTATAGACATGACCGGCCCGCGATGGCCCTCGAGCGTCGCCACGCACTGGCCGGTCGCTGGATCCCAGATCTTGACGGTGTCGTCGCCGGACGCCGACGCCAGCCGGCTCGCATCGGGCGACCAGGCCACGGAGTAGACCGAGTCGCTATGGCCCCCGAGCGTCGCCACGCACTGGCCAGTCGTTGGATCCCAGATCTTGACGGTCTCGTCGTCGGACGCCGACGCCAGCCGGCTCGCATCGGGCGACCAGGCCACGGAGTAGACCCGGTCGCGATGGCCCTCGAGCGTTTGTAGGCATGCGCCCCAATTGTCTGCTATTGTTGGATTCCGGATGATCCATTTAGGTTCATCATTTTCGAACTGACTCCTGGTTATGCTACGGGCCGGGCTGAATACAAGCGCCGAAGCATACACCTGAAGAGGGCTGTTCTCAACCGCCCACTTGTGGTAGAGGATAAACCGATATGCATCTCGGACTCTATCGATAAGAAGCGATGTGTCTTTTCCTACCTAACCAAAACGTTAGCGTAGCTCCTAATCGTAGCATTGAAAGCTAACCTCAAGCAAACCCTCGAGGCATAGCATTGAAGCTACTCCCTCTGAGATGCTCTTCTGAAGGCTAAGAGCCTCGAGCCAGTGGAGATACTTCTCGCACAGAAAGGTATCGATTGATCCGCCATTCTGGATATCCTTGTTCGCATTCTTCTTGGGATCACAATCACGTAGATGGTCAATCCAATACACGCACGAGTACCGTACTGCGGCTAGCGGATCTGGATTGGGTGGTCTGACTTTGTCGATGGGAAATCCAGGAGCGCCAAGGTTGTAGATGTCGCGTCGCAGTGTTTCCCGCATAACTCGAAGCGATCGCGAGAAGATAGTACGGTGTACTTCTTCTATCCCAGCAGGAAAGATCTCATCGCGTGCCTGCTTAAGTAAGAAGTCTTTGGCGGATTGATGGACGAAAGATATCGTACGTTCGCGCAGTGTCAGGAAAGAGCCGCAAAGCCCTACGATCTCTGCGAGAGCTTCGTGATTATCAAAGACATCGTCAAGCGTATCGACGAGGGCCGTTAGTTCGTCCAATGTGATAGGCCGGTATACGACTGAGACGACGGCAAGTATGTCTTTGCAAAGCGCAGCATCTTCAGACTTGCAGATCTGGTCCATCATCCGTCTGTAGAGTGCATCAAGCCCAGGCGGAAATAACGCCAACTTCTTTTTAACCTTCCATCCCGGGGTAGTGGCGAGTTCCTGGCAGACCAACGCCACCCAGAGAAACGTGTCATTTGCGTGGGAGTGTAAGTAGTCCCGAACCATGTCTTTCGTGCCAGTATCATAGTTCTTCAACTGTGCCAGTTGATCTACCTTGTTTCGGATATATGTGTCGACAGCAGTAGCGATAGACTCGGCGTTGAGCTCGAGGCTCAGCCTAGCTTTGTACGTAGCTGTCTCCAACTGCTCTTCGATCTCGGGCCAATTGCGACTCGACACGATCCACTTTATACGAGGAGATATGGTTGAATTCTTGACGATCAACCGGAGAAGCCGCGACAGGTCTGTCACGCATTCGTCGAGCGCATCAATAATCAAGTAGGCTGTTCCTAAACAGGGGTCTTGCAGAATGTTGGTAAAGACCTCTGACAAAGCAACCCATGCATTCGCGTCTTCAAACAGCGTTTTGCCTGCATGATCGTACTTTGTCCGCACGTAGGAGATGAGCGTGGGTTCTTGGCTGACGAGGAGGTAGATCATACCACGTAGGACGGCCGTAGCGTTATTGATGCGCGAGTCGGTGGCTTGGCACAAAAAGAAAGACAGAAGGCAGGACGGAGATAACGTCTTCAGCTCGTCGATGATGCCGCAGACTAGCATCGTTTTGCCCTTGCCGGGGTCGCCCTTGATCCAAAGTAGCCGGCTGTTTTCGTCGTCGCGCCATCGCTGGAATTCGGCGTTGTCGAGCACCCACCGGTACGAGTCTCGTAATAGGCCGCCCTTTGCGTCTTCAATGCGTATCTTGTCGTGGCGCGGGTCAGTCGAGCGTAGGTCAGCCAGGCAGCGATCTTCTGATTGATCATACGTCTGCTCGCGACTTGAGGCTTTCCTGATCTCCTCTCGCAGCCGTCTAAATGCCTTCTGTTCTCCTTCACCGTAAAGAAGCGGTAGCTGTACGTCGAAGATGCCGAATAGCGAGTACGCTTTATCTTCTTCGCGTGTTGTATTACGCTTCTCGACCCATGCCATCCGGTCGGGGACGCTGAACTCAGATAGAGGGCTACTATGGAGGGCTCTCAAGGGGATCCCCGTCACATCGTGAATATGCTGTTCTAGAGACTTCCTGTCGCCGAGGCGCACGTTCTCCCTTGAGAAGAATTCGACGGATATTGGAGCAATGAGCTCTTGGAGAGTCCATCCGCGGGTGAACCACCTACTCGCCCGAAAAGCTGGTACCCAGATAGACTCATCGCCAACGTCAAGGGAAAGGGTAGACACATCGGCAAGATAGGCGTAGCATTTGGCCGCATTATGGTACCAACGAAACATAGAGTTGATCGCCTCCTGAAGCTCGGTGCTGTTGGACTTGTCGATGCAGCATGTGTCCACCCAGAAGAATTTGAGCCCATCGCGCCCGGCCTGATCGCCGCAAAACCGAATTTTGGCGTAGCCCGCTTTGCTCTTGCCTGTATCGTCTGTCATATCCCTGAAGAGGACCTCCTCGGCACCCCACGTGTGTGAAAGTATCGCATATGGCGGAATCTTGTCGTTGGGAAAATCCTCTGTCAGGCGGATCCCGCCGGTATCGTCACGTTCCAAGAGTCGCATTGCATAAGACCACAGAGCTCAGCTCTCGACAGCTGTTTATACTTGTATTCGGGAGCGGGTAAAGGCGACGGGATGCGCGGGCAGACTTCACCAGCGTTCGCGGGATCTGCGGGCATAAAGTATCAGTCGCTGAACGAGGTCAGTTGATGGCCATCAGAAATGAATCACCTATCGTAAGTATTTATCGAGGTGCGCGGCGCATATCTCGGTGGGTTCGATGAAAGATGTTGAAAGCTCCTCGATGGTGTTATCAGAGGGCCTAGACCAACCCCGCATTGCTGGACGTTTTCTTGGCGCTGGCGCCTGAACGGCTGGCGCCAACTGTGCATATCCTAAGCATCGTCATTAGTAATGTTTAGCTGCTGTGCACCAGAGATATTTCCCCTCTGGAGCGCAAATGCAATAACGCGGGGGTGTGTGTATGTGTAAACCTTTACTGTGGTATGATGGGTAATAAAAACCTCCATGCGGGGTACCCTCGCTGATTCAGGCAATGATACCCGCTTATTTCTACACTAAATATACCAAACCACTAGCTAGTATTTTGTATGCATCCCGTTGGCTGCAATAACAGCTTTGCAGCGCTCTGGCATTGAGGCCAACAGCTGCTTCAAGTAGTCGTCCGGCAATGCCTCCCAAGCCTCCTTAACATATTCGCGAAGCTTGTCATACGAGGGCCTTTCTTCAAGGCCATACCGGTCTTCAATCCAGTCCTTCATCCAATTCCAACAGGACTCGATTGGGTTCAAGTCTGGTGAGAAAAGTGGCTACTCCATCACAACAATGCCTCTCTCCCTGAGATCCTCCTTCGTCTCTGCAGCTATATGCCCTGGAGCACTATCTTGCATCAAGATTAGATCTTCACCAAGCTGTGCCTTACACATCTGTATCCAGCCATAAATGACAGGGACAGTTCGTGCGCGGTACGTCTCAGCGTTGATCTTCCCCCAGTCCTTTTCCCAAAAGAGTCCAGGGCCTTTATTCGCAACACGGCCGTGCAGTTCATCCAGCGACGACTTCCACGAGAAAAGGGAATTGCTCTGCAGCCAAACATGAGTCCGTGTATTTTCAAGTGTCCAATATGCGGGTGGATGATTTGTGATGAAGACGGGTCTGTCTCCTGGATGAACCAGTTTCGCGGTTGTGAGTACTATCGTCCGAGATGAGGCAAATCTCATTGCACCTCGCAGAGCAACAATGGCTGATGATGTGATATTCCAGTGTACTCAGATTCAGAGGAAGGAATTATATTGACCGGAGTCGGCCTTTACGCCGACCCTCAGTCAGGAGCCTTCGTCGCACCCCGGGACTCGAGCGCCCGGTGGGACGACCCTAGCTATGGAAACCCAGGTGAAGATCAGTTCGGGGCGATGTCGCAGGCCGAGGTCAACGGGAGGCACGGCTTCGTCTTCCACGACGCGTGTTGGTCCCTTCTTCAAGAGGCATATCAACCCACCCCGGTCCCTCTTAAGAGATTGCTCGAGGTCCTGGACTCCCTCCCCATGGTATGGGCAGGGGGTAGTGTGGACTGGGGCCACGATTACGGAGGGCTTGCCATTCTCAGGGAGAAAAACTACTATTACCCTTGGGAACATCTACGCTTTGCCGACCGGACATTTCGAGATGGGTGGTTTGACACCTCATACAGCGCCGACCCTCTTGCCATTTCCGAGGTAGAGGAAATCTTGGCCGAAACTGCGCAATCACCGCCCTTTTGGAACGCGCAACTACCCACCCGTGGTCAAGATCCATTCAACAAACTTCCAGAAGAGTTGTGTTTGATCATCGCCACGCATCTTCCAACCTCGGATGTCCTGAACGCCCGCCGCGCGTCGCGCTCTTTCTGTCGTGTGTTCAACAGCCAATCGTTCTGGGCGTCGCGTTTCAGGGGGAAGAGTTCGGAGCGCTCGTGGCTGTTTGAAGCAGCGCGAGACCTTGAACGTACTGGCGGCGTCGGACACAGAGACTGGCGCTGGTTGTATCATCGTACGGCCGACGCGCGCCTCGGCCGAGCGGCCCGAAATCGGAAACGGGTCTGGGGTCTCATCCACCATTTAGCGGATATCTTAGACGCCTGCTGGACCGAGCTCCCCTCGGAGTTACAATCACCCTGGCAACGTCCAGCCCTCTTGGAGGAACCAAGCCCAGGCCCGTCATGGGTACTCACTGCGGGAAATGTAAGAGGTTGGGGACAAGACTTCAGCCCGCTGCAGACGGGTTGTGCGCGCCTCAAGATTCAACGGGTGGCCATCCCGGCGGAGGGCGTCTCGCGCGTAGCCGTCTCGACGATCCGCCTCGGTAGCATCGTGTACATTGCGGGCTTGTCACTCACCGCCACGAATGGGAAAGTCTTGCGGTTAGGTTACGGAACCGAAGGCAGCGGGCATCCTGTGCAAATCTTCGAAGCGGCATTCACCGGTTTCAACGTTGCGGTGGGCCTGGGCGGAATACACGCTCTTCAATGCATTAGCGGCACTAGTACGGCAAGGCAATTGTCTTCTTGGCTCGGGTGCCCTGACGATACGCCCAAGACAGAGCGGCTGAGCGTCATTGGCCAGAATATGGTTTTGGAGTTCGGCTTTGATGTAAGCGAACTCCCCTTGCGTCTTTGCTCCTTCTTTGCTTGCTGATCAGCTTCATCCCGAAATCCAGGGTTTCAGGATGGTCAGTCTAGCAGCTCAACTGCCGACACCACATATGTCGACTGGCCGTAGTCTCAGAAGTTCAGCAATATGGTATCCTGAGGTACCACATGCGAGTCTGGATTTAAATGAAGGTTTCCTGGTAGAGCCTCAAGAATACACGTCGGGTTATAGGCCATTGTTTTGGAGTTGCTTTGGCGGTCCTGGTGGGATTTACCTTTCAAATCTGGTGAAGATTACCATCATCGGGGTCATTGATCGCATAGAGTTCTCCTTTGACATCCAGGAGGTTCCAGCCGAATGCCGCAGTTTTGGACGGATGGGGGATTGGGAGGACGACGAGATTGACGATAATGACGGAGTCGTTGAGTTTCCGATTGATGGACCTGGCGGTGAGGTCCTTGACCGGGTCGAACTCCTCCAAGAGCTTTTCCCGGAGGAATCTGGCGCTGCTGATTGGCTGTGTAAAGAGGGACAACTCACTTGGCTCAAGGTATCTACTGTTCTCTTCACACATCCCTCCCCCTTCCCCCCTCCCCCCACATAATCTTCTCAAGAGCGCGTGGAAGCATCCTTAATGTCTACCCTACTAAGAAGGAGAACAGATATATACGAACCGCGGGCGGATGTGTGAGGTCGGCCTAAAATCCGAATCCCGCAAACGGCATGTCGTGCGAAAGGAACTTTCCGCACCATCAATCACCGGCTTTTACGGTTGTCAGGTGTGTAGATGTTTCCCCGTTGAATTTTTCGTTAACCATTTTCTTCTCATGATCGAAAATGCAGGGACTCATATGTAACTGTGACAGTACCGCCACCTGGGATCTAGTATCATATCACTCGGTGTGATAACTGAGCCGGTTCTGGAAACTGAAAAGTAGGTAGGTAGTCTAGATGTTAACAGGATTGCAAAGACACACAGACAATCCTCCTTTTCCTATCAACAATTGTATGGATACGGTGCCCGCCGTAGACCCTTAGCACCTGCGGGATTGGTAGTACGTTTGAGATGGACATTTGAGGCACGGTTGGATGGCAGAGGTCCATGCCACCAAGCTCAGAAGCGTGCCATAACTCAACTTACTCCATATCACTCTTCGAGAATCGAGTTAATGCCAGCCTCAGACCAGCTGAGTTCATTCAGGTTATTCGCCAACTAGCTAAGGTGCGTTGGTAAGATGCAACCTATCACCAATCCCAAAACCATACATTAGTAACTACCAAAGAACTGCGAGATCTCTCCAACCCCGGTTCCACTTGCACACCTCCCTGAAAGAGCTAAAACCCCAAACCCCCGGCAGCGTAGTCGAGTATGTGAAACAGTTTCATCAACATCAGAGTCATTGTTCAGGGAATGGCGTTTTGATGACGAGCTGTGGCATCGTTGGTGCCGGGATGGGAGACAACATCGTCCCGTCCGGCCGGCAGAACATAAAAGCGAGAGTAGCGGCCCACGGTCACGACACCGTCGATGTGCTCGGCCGCCTGTTTGGTGGTCTTTCGTTGCATGATCATATACTCGGTGAGCTGGCGCTTGGCGTTCGTCCAAACCGCACCCTGGCCCTCGTACTCGACGCGCTTGTTCTCCAGAAGGCACAGCGCTTTTCTCTTGTTGCTGGCGTGGTGAACGTAAGCAATGGTAATGTCGTTGGCCTTCTTGCTCTGCGTAGGAGCTGCGCGTGGCTGGACTTTAACCCCGAAATCCTCGGCGGCAGTGAAGTAGAGGTTGAGGGTTGTGGCCGGCGCACTTGCATGCATTGGTGTACTGATCCCAGTCGGCGCACGCTCCCAAGGTGTAGCCTAGAAGGGACAAGGCGGACGCTGTCCAGCGGGACTTCAACGTTGCGGACCCGTGATAATTAGTTGGTCGAAGTGGTCGTGACAGTGGTGGCGGATTGCTGCACGTCAGTCGTGGTAACGATTAATAATTACGACCTTGCTGGGATCGATCTGGCTCGCCATGAGAGCCGTGGTCTCGGTGGACCAGCAGTGTCTGGTTGTGATAGTATCCGTCAGATCTCCGTGAATGAGGCGGTCGCTTCAGCAATCTCGACAACAGTGACGCTTTCAGTAAGAGGACTGGTCGGGCGTGAGTACCGCGGGCATACTGTCAAGTTTGCACAGGGCACCATTACTTCGTCGACGCTGTCACTGCGACCACCAAAGTTGGTCGTGCAGTCGTCAAGTCCATCTTAACCTGCGGAAACGACAACTGTAGCATCAAGGTAATGGCCAGCCTTTGCCTCCCGTTTACACAACCCTGTCGTGAGTTCCGCATCTTTCAAGCAAACAGGAGTTCTGTACTAACGTTCTTTGGGTATGGAAGGGGACTTGCGAATGAGACAGGGAAGCCAGCCAAATCATTACCAATCAGTATCAACCGTGAATGGTCACTTGTAGTCCCATTGCTCTATTCAGTAGGTACTGAAATGACTCACATTTTATATTTACCGAGGTGGGTGAGGCAGGGGTACGGAGACATCAATATCCGCTCCAGTCTGTCATCTTATTATCACTGGTTTAAAACCCTAATTACCTCTGCAAGTCTAGGTACCTAGGCACTTCGGCAGGTATTTGCGACTATTCATTGACTCGCTAGTGACCAGAATGTTTACCTACGTATACCACTTGACGACCCTATCTGTGGAAAGCCCATAAATCCCGCAGCTTCCCTGCCCGAGTCCTCCGTTTTACAGTTTGGGATCCGTGACGACGAGGCTGCAGCACGCCCTACGACCGATTCCGCGATTCATACATGTAGTGCATCACACGCATGCAAGCGCACAAGTGGCAGACCCTAAATGAAACTTCGCGCGACCTGGCGATCTTCTCCAATCAACCGAATGCTTGTCACAAGCGCACCTATAGCGTCATGGGACCACGAAAAGGCCTGAATGTGCGCTTAGAGGACCAGCGGATGTTGATGGTCTATGCCGAAAGCTCCCTCTCTCTGAGGTGCGACTCCTCGAATGGCCCGCAACTTCCGCTGCGCAAACTGTGCAGCATCGATTGTAGGAGTCGATTGCATCATCAGCGAGTCCATCGTCTTTATACCAATTGACGGAGAAACCAGAGACGAGTCTAGACGTAATGGATATACATATTGGCAGCACGACATGCCGTGCTAACCACGCCGAGACATTATAAAGAGATTGAACAAGCTATCCACTGGGCCACTGTAGCGGCCGAGCGTTCGACTGTTGTAGGGTCCTGTGGCCGTGGATGTGGCCGTCTGCCCCTGCCCTTCTTTATCCTGCTGAACCTGACATAGATCCTGCGGCAGGCTTCCCGAATCAGGATCCGGGTCGTGGTCATTGGAGTGCCTGGGCCAACCCCTGCTTGTAGTACTGGCCTGTCGAGTCTTTCTCCGAAGTCGGCTAGTCTCTTCTTAAGGTAGAGGTCCAGGGGTGGTACCCAAAATCTCGGTCTCCAAGCATCAGGTAGGGGTGGCCTTGTAGGCCACGAAGGCTTTGGTTTTGTGCCTTTGTTAGAGCCTTCGCCAGGCCCTTGGGCTGAACACTGGCCCTGGAAATATCCCGTATACGGTCAAGTTCAACACCTTGCTTTATATACTGGTCAAAAGTTTCGATATGTCTTGAATGCACGATATCTATGGAACAAAAATGCAGGAGCTCAGCGTGTCGTGCGAAATATTCACAAAGTCAAAGTGCAATCTGTTGCAGACGAACGAGCGAAACCACTGTCCCCAAAGCTGCCTCTTTCACCCTGGTCCATGCCCGCATCATCTTGGCTTCACTGAGCCCTAGTCTCCGTGGCTGCTCCAGAAGGAGGAGGTGGTGGAACTGAGGGAGGAACGTTCTTCAGAGTCACCGGGATTGCCGAAGCGTCGGTGTCGTCCCATTCCAGAGTCCAAACACCTGCGGTGGATGTCGGCACAGTGGAGAATAGGCTGACATAGGCACCGTCGACGTGAATCAGCAGAACGTTGCCGTACATTATCCAACTGTATACCCGGAGAGCTTGCATCGTAAGCTTGAGGTAACAAAGATAGGGTATAGTAGATAGTAAAACCATCAAGCCAGACAAGTAAGTTGAAGGTTTTAATTACTATTTACGTCGAACCTTACAGTATTGTACAAATGGCGGAGGGAGGATTCTATCCCACAGAAGCCTCGCCCAAGAAACAACTCGGTTACGAAACCCAGAACCGCCGATTGCACTCATAGCCGCTATCTCTTCCTCTCCATCTTAGCCTCAACCCGTAGCTGAACCATAAGCTTGGCGATCATGTTCAGGGCATCTCCGTACGGCACCTTGAGGATGTCAGGTCCGAATCTGCTCATAATCTTATCCGTATGCCATCTCTTATTCTCATTGCAGATTGTTCGGTACATTTCATCCCCTTGATGATCCGCCAAGTAGACTGGGACAGCTTTGAGAAAGAACAACCGGACGCTTGATTCGCTAACATCCTGCCAGCTTCCGGACTTGACTGGCCAAGGTATTTTAGACGGGGTGATCTGCAGCGAGTGTCGACCTTCAGTTGATGAATTCTTCTGGTTTAAATCTTAGCCAAACGATGGGAAAGGCAACTATACCTTTGTCTTGTCCATCTCAAGCGACATCCAACCCCTGCAGTATTTGCTCCACGCATCTGCCCATTCTTGCTTCTCCGCGGCCTCCCGTTCTTCAGCCCGCTGTCGACTGTTCTGCTGCTGGCGTGCCGTTTTCTTCTCGTGTTCTTGTTCCGCTTTCACTTTTTCTTGCTCTTTCTGCCCAGCACTTTGTTTCGCTCTTTGCTGCTCTTCTCTCCGGTCCTCCGCTTTTCGCCGCGCTTGACTCCCGTCGGCTTCGGCCTTCTCACCTCTTCCAGCCTGCTCCGCCCTCCTCTTCTTATGCTGTTCCCATTGTGCTCCTCCCTCTGTCCTCTGCTTCTTCTCTTTCTTCTGTTGGTTCGACGCACCCCTGTCGTTCGTCGATCCGCCGGCAGTGGAAGCGGCGTACAGCTGAATGCACGCTCTCCATTCGTTCACCAGCGCATAGACTTGGTCTTTGTGTTGGTAACACAGCGTAAGTTTTGCCGCCGCTTCGAAATCTGGTGACTTCGATGCCGTTATAGGGTTTTCTGTGGCGAGCTTGCGGAGGAAAGAGCGAGCATCGGCCATACTGGCGGCTGCTACACGGCGTCGACATCGGCGGCCATAGGTAGAGGCATGACCGGTGCAGGTGTCGTATTCTCTCTCGGGATTTATCAAATTAAAGATGACATCTGGATTCCATACCCCCATGGCGAAGTGTGTTTGGAAGACGGGACTTGGCGTGATACGATCAAAGGGCTGGATTGTTAGTCTGATGGGCTGAGTACTGTTATCATCCAACGCACAGTCTACTAATAACTATCTCCTTATTGTAGTGTCTGCTGAACCTGTTCTTCTCAGTTTCCAAATATTGGCTGAATGAGAGCGGCCTCCCAACCACTGTGGCACAGCTCGGTACTGCCACTTCTCCAGCCTTGTCCTGCACCATGCGATTAATTGGGTAAGCTAAACCCTGACAAAATGGTGAGACATTTTAGTGAAAAGGTGGGTGCAAGAGGTTGTTTACTGTCTCGATTTGTGGTCAGAAGGGGGTTAGGTAGGTGCTCAGCCAACGGCAAAGCCCCTGCATTCCGGCTGCGCGAACGACCTCCACAGCCACACCATGCACTAAGCGGGTGTCAATGCAAATGATCTGAGTTCAGTCATTGTCTCTCACATGTACCACACTCCAAACAAATGCTGCCACTGAACTTCCATCGACGCATCACCACAGGGGGTTGCTCTGACAATAGACGTTCCAGGCCCCTGTTCTCGGCGCAGGCCTCCATTGATCGGCCAGCCTCGTCCTGCCGGGTGGGGGGAGGGGGTGGGGCGATTCCAAGCGCTTAGAACTCCTCAGCCTTTTCAGCTGATGAATGGCACGGTACATCAATTTAACTAATAAGCATGCCGCCGCTTGGTCAGGGGGTAAGGGTTATCCCAACAGTTGCAGCTGGACCTTGAGAGTGACTGAAGCGGGCGGTCCGAAGCCCCGAGATGACTGAAGTAATTGCGAATCTTGATCACGCTCGGAAATACCATTCTCACGGCTCACGAGATGAGATGTTGCATGAGGGCGATCTGCAACGAGATGCTTAGAATGAATCTAGCAAACAGGATTAGGAGAATCTGAGAAATCTATGAAGGACTCAAAACCTCGCAGTCCGCATGAACTGAAGTTATAGCGGGGTTGTAGCTCGCAAACTAAGTGATCCTCCGTCCTACAAACGTGTTTTTTCGCCTTACGTTGCTTTACAGCTCGTTTGCCCTACGTAGCTCTTCATCCTCGGTACGAAGCAACACTATCTTATGCGCCAATTTCGAAATGCTCTTCGCCTGCAAGTCGATGACGTCAAAGATGTGAATGGGAGAGCTACCTTGACAGTTCTCGATCTTCCGGGACGAGGCTATTCCGGGACACGACATTGGAGGAGATGGCATGACTGGCTTAGGATCGAGGCGAGGAACACCACAAATTCGGGGTCAAAAAGGACAAGGCCAACTAGTCTGAAGCCTACTCGTATATCGTTACCGTAATAGAGACGTGGAATACCTCGACCAACGTGTCGAAGAAGTCTTCCTTTGTAATATGGGTGATCTGCATCCGCGTCATCTGCCCGATTTGCTTGCCATACGAGACCTTGAGCGGACTGAAACACCTAATATCGATAAGTTGAAGGAAGTGGGATGAATGGGGAGACATGCAAAGTGAAACGATCTTGTTGACCTTGCAGAAACCCTTGAAATCGACTGAGTGGTGGCTTTCGTGGCCGTCGAGAATGAGTAGCCGATATATCTCGCTAATACGACATTTGGTGGATTGGTCAGATGTTTTAACCAGTCGAGACCAATCTCATTCGTAGTCTAGCCATTCTCGCTTGTGTGATTCTGCATTCGGGCTTCGATCGTAAGGATAATGAGATTCTCTTTCGGAAGAGACTCCACTGTGTTCTGCTGGAGATATCTATAGTAAGGTTGAAAGGCGATGGGTTCTGGGGAAAATGTCCGGTTAGCTTTTCTGTCCGACTCGTTATGCAAGTACGTTACTGATCTGATTTAGACATCCTTTTCCAATGAGCGTTCACGTCAAAATAACATTTCAAATTCGACCTCTTTGGTATTCCCTTTTCCTCCTGAGAAGTTATTATTATCGTTCTTACACCGCAAGGGCAGCTGCCCCTATAACGGGCTGAGCGCTGAAGTAGCCTCGGCAACCCTCGGCCAACCCTAACCCTCATTGCGCACTCCTGCCCCTGAACGTCAACACCAACATCATGGGCAGCAACCCTCATCGTGCCTGCCTCTTCGGGTTGTTGCCTCCTCTGCTTAGGCAGCAAGGCCACGTCATCAGATTGGGGATAACCCTCTTCCTCTTCCTCCTCTTCCTCTTCCTCCTCTTCTTTTCCCTTTTTTCTTCAAGATTGGATATACTCGTAGATTCGTCATCAGTTAGTTGAAATACACTCCTAAGACCGTTATAGCCCCGCTCAGTTCAAGCAAGTGGTCCCCACGCTATTTTACAAATTATATAGGCATTAACTAGTGTTTTATACTTATTGTATAGTCGCTACGACGCAGATTAACTAGCTGCTAAAAGCATATCGAGACTCTACTACTTATAAATAGCTATTGACGCTTGGACGAACGTCCTGATCCTAGATCTTAATCCTTGTCACGATCCTATAGCATTCTGTCACGAACCAACCATATAGCCCGACCTGGTGGGGCTGCGTAGCCGATAGGAACACCAATCAGGATACGCAGGGTGCTGCAGGACGATGCAAGTGGACGCCAGTGGACGACGGCGTCCAGGAGCGACCGTGTGGACGCTAAGGGACGCTGGCGGGCACCGGCGGCCAAGGACGCCCAAGGGCGCTGGCGAGCGTAGGCGTCCAGGAAAACAGCAAGTATATAGTCACTCGTTCTAGAAGACTCTGGGAGTTCTCCGGTGAGCAATACAAGCAATAGCCTCCACCTATTGTGCAGACACTTGCTTGTGCATTTGTTGTGAACCCTTTGGCTTCACCGAGACCTACAGTGCGATCAGCACTACCTTCGACAGAAGAACCCTTTCAGAGGCAGGACTGCCTAGGTTTCGTCACAGGACCTCGTAGATCGTAGCAGCTTTTCATATAGAAAGTTTTGAGTCTTTTTTGAGTGTTTCAAGTGCAAGGATTAGACGACTCTCTTTTGGAAGAGGTTCTATGTTGTTTTGTGGAAAAAATTAGCGACGAAGTTAGGAAGTTGTAAAAGTGAGAAAAGTGCACAACTCGCTATGCTGCACAACTCGCTATGCAAATATGTTAACGTATCTTATCAGCGAGCGCCGCATATCACCGAGCGCCGTACTCCCTACTACCCTACGAACACCATCTTCAATTATAATACAACAACACTAGCAACCAACTATAATTACATCAGAAACAGATAAATCATATCCTTCTACATCCTCCTGGCAAGTGCGGGCATTATGGCCAGGCTTGCCGCACACACCACAGCACCGAACCTTCGTACGACCCACCCCGGCACCACTACTATCTAGCTGTGTTTCTTGCATTGCCTCCCCACCTATAGCCCCCTGACTTACCACCTCTTGTGCCTCCTGTATAGTAAGTGATCCTCTAAGCTGCACGCGTGTTCTTTTAGCTCTCCGGCGCTTGCTTAGTGCCTCGTTGGCCTTGCGGAGCGAAGCGTTCTCTGCCTGAAGGAGGGCCACCTGGTGCATCATAGCCGTTGTGCTTTTAGCAAGCTGGTCCATAGCAGCCAACATTGAAGTCGGGGAGCTATTTTGATGGTTGGCAATGCGAGTCTTGATGAGGGTTGACTGCGATTCGGCTTCCCGAGGGTTGTATAGTGTCTGGAACACCCAAGGTTGCGCAGTGCCAGGCCGGGAGGTTGGGGGTGTTGGCGTACGAAGCTTTATATCCAGCTTGGAAAGCACCCTCTCTGGATCGTACGGCACAAGGCCAGCCCCTGCAAAGCTGCCCTGGATATTCCTCTCGGTGATGGAGGCAAAGAAGGCCTTGCGAAAGATATAAAGGAACTCGAGCTTGCTTACGTGGTTGATATGCATGCGTATTAAGTCCTTGATCTGGCGACCGTATACCTGCTTCAATGGCCCAAAGCAGCCAGTATCAAGTGGCTGGAGGAGGTAGGACGATTGTAGAGGTATGTAGAGTGTGATAATGTTGTTCTGCTGGCAATAGAGCTCGAATTTGGTCGAGTGGTGGCTTTTGTGGCCGTCGAGGATTAACAACCGGTATTTGCCTTTTGTACGAGGTGCTATATGGAAGTCAAAGTGCTTGATCTAATCTAGGCCTACTTTATTGGTAGTCCAGCTATTATCGGTGGTTGCAATACGCTAGTCGGCCGGGAGGTTGCACTTGGTATACTAGTTGGTGAGGTGGTATTGCGCGGCCAAGATGATGAATGGAGGGATGGCCCAGCCAAGGGCATTGACTCCCTAGATCACCATTGCCTACTCACGGTTGCCAGGCTAGGCCAGCTTTGCCTTGCTACGACCATCCGAGGTTGTAACTACCATGCCCGCAAAGATGATACCCATTATAAACCCAGTCTCGTCGAAGTTATAGGTATCGTCATCTACAATACTATACTTGGCCTTGACGTTCCATACAAGGGCAAACCACTCGCCAATGACTTTTGGATCCTCGTACTTCGCCCTCTGGTAGTCGTATCTACGCGTATAACGCGTTCGGAGCTCTAGCTGGCGTTTGACAAACCGATGCGCCCAGAGCTTGCCAACAGGCGGCACGTCGCGTTCGCGTAGTAGATGGTTGGCTATATCTTCTATACCACTTAATCTAGGTGGGAATACGCGTATAGAGAGGTCAATCACATACTGTACTATTGCCCTCTCTTCTAGATCGGTGAGCTTATACGAGTTGGCTGGAAGATCGCGTCTTGCAATACGGCCGGCAAGTCGACAGCGGATAGTTCGGTCGGCAACGTTGTAGATCTTTGCTATGGCGCATATACTTAGTTCCGGGTTCTTCTGAATAGCCTCAATGGCCAAGATTACCCTGGCTTCATTTGAAGTAGGAGGTATATTGGGTTGATGGAAAAATTGGTGTTAAGTGCAGAGGTGACATGTAGTGTAGAAAGGTGCGGCGCTCGGTGATATGCGGCGCTCGCTGATAAGATACGTTATATCTTATCAAAATCTCAGAGATCAATATACATAGGGCCAAGTTTCTCCCTAAGGACGTTATCTATATATTTAGACGATACACTCATCTAGAGTCGAGTCTACGATGCTGTC